GGAGAATATCTCATCACAAAAGACAACACTCCGTTAGACGAAATAGCCACCGCCATGAACAATGCATCGAGNTTCATGAAAGAAGCTCGACTAGTTGTTAGATCACGCCATATTCCCATCGAAGATATAATTGGACCATACACTATTCTTCGTCTCCCTAAGCAGACACCTCATTTTGAGGATATATTTGGGGTCGTTCAAGATATTGAGCATGCTGAATTTATGCTAAAAGCAAATCTCTATTTTGACACGCATATGGAACCATTTGGATTTTGCTGCGAGATTATTTATAATCCAGTTAGCGAGGACTGTTTCCTATATAATGTCTCAGGATTAAGTTTATACTTAACCAGTCCTGGCGAACAGGAAGAGATCTATCCTGGAAGGGGAAAAGATATACGATCTGGCCCATGGAGGATCTCGGCAACTCCAAATCGGCCCCTTTTTGAGATTTTAGTTCTTCCGAAGCGTTTCTCAGCCAAGAAAGGGATTCCGACTGTTCACGGCTCAAACTTATTCCCTAGAGAATCTCAAGAGATTCAATATAATCCACCGGATTTAAGCAAAGCTAATACCTCTATTTTTGACGTTGCGGATGGAGAGACAGTTTATATCCAAGGTTTGACAGCATATGATTTACAACGAATTAAAGTGATCTCTACCACATCCAAGACAAGTGTTTTTTCCTGTCAATATTCAGAAACCAGGGTAGTAGTTGCTAAAGTCTATTGTATCAATAATGATCAACAGAATTTACATTATATTAAAGACGGATGGAAACGAGAGAAAGGTCTACTGGATCGTTTACATCACGTAAGTAAGTGGTCAACTTATATTTAAATCCTTTACTAATATAAATAGCCAAATATCATATCCCTTGAGGGTTCTGATAGTCGATTTCACGCGTTATATCTCTGGCCTGTCTTTCCATCGCTCGACAAGATTGAGGATTTCACTTCATCCGAGATAAAGACAATACTCCATGATATGTCATCTGCCCTTGCATATTTATCAAAGGAGAAAATAGTCCATTACGACATTAAACCAGCAAATATTATCTATTCTCCTAACCAAGGCGCTGTACTGATAGACTTTGATTTAGCTAAATCAGCTGAATTTAGCTACGAGGGAGCGGGTGGAACACCTGGGTATCTTCCGCCTGAAATTATTGAGTCAGGGAAAGAGCGCGGGCCTCCTGGAGATATTTGGGCTCTAGGCGTTACAGCTCTATGGATGCTTAAAATGATTTATCACCCAAATGTAGTGATAATCTTTCGTGACTTAAATCGACCGGGTAGTCCGTCATTCAAGAATATGGAGAAATGGCTAGAGTCTATTACTTCTAGGAGGAAGGAATTAAATCTACGCGACAAAGTTCAAGGTTTGGTCCATAAAATGCTTGAGCCAAAAAGTAAGGCGCGAGTAACAGCCTCAACCCTTGAAAGAGAGCTAAAGGGCGACCCAATAGCTAAAAAGCAGAAGCATAACTAGAGACTGTATATAATTAAACTATCTAGGCAGTAGTTCTATTGTTCTGTGCATATATAGCTTCTTCTTTATTACACATTTTGTCCTGGAACACTGGCCAAGTACATAGGAGTATAAATATGTACAAGTGTTTACTATAAAAGTTAGAAATGGATGCCTCACCCAAGTTCTTTCCGGCAACAAGCTCAATCGCCGTCGATGCAGCGTATATGTTGAACAAGGAAGCACTAGTCCGATCTGACTACGTGGGTCACATAGATTTTACATAAGAGGTCCTGTCTCCCGACTTCTCCCCTAAATAATTAAGACCTTTCAATACAATCAATTTAACCTCTATTGTTCATCTTTCCTATTGACAGTATAAGCTAACATCTTCTTCCTGAAAAAGATTCTAGGCTTGTTTTGCTATTCATTGTAGGTATAATTTATTGCTTGACTTTAGGGACGGCTTATCCGGTATCCCAGCAGGCGTATTTGATATCCAAAAAAGTGGAATTTGAACTTATTACAGTTAGTATACACACTTACTTAAGTAAAATTTAAATTTATAGTAAGTAACTTAAAGTATATATATAAAAGCTAGAATACTATATATTAATAAATATAATTACGTATAGTAAATAAGCGCTATATTATAATAGGTAAATACTATATTATAGCAGATATATATTATCTTATAGTACGTAAGCGCTATAATATAGTAGATAAGTGCTGTAATATAGTGGATAAGTGCTGTAATACAGTGGATAAGTGCTGTATTATAGTGGATAAGCCCTGCATTATAGTAGAAAGCCCTGTATTATAGGGGCTAAAAGTATAAGAACTTCCCTTTCACAAGCCCTGCTTTTTTAGATACCAAATACGCCTGCTTGGATACCGGATAAGCCGTCCCTTACTTTATTGCTAAATGGTAGCTAATAGGTCTAATTCGTTGTTAAGTCAAAGTAGCCATTTATTTTTTGTTGGTTTATATTTGCTTTATACACCAAGATGTTTATGTCGCAGAGTACTTGGTATCCTGGTGTTGCGTTTGAGGAGCCGGCAGAGTTCTGAAACTTAGCCCTGGCGGCTTTAAAAAGCATCGCTATTCTCGGCGATCACAAACTTGTTAAGCGGCATGCCCTTGGATTTCTTTTACATTACAATTCGCAAGGGAAATGCGAGACAGTCAGTGTTGACACAGTGGAAAATCCTTCAGACAGGGATTACTTCAACACTGATTGGTCTAACCAAGCTAATAATTTGTATTCTCTTTTGTGCGACGTTAGCAGTCACTGTGAGCTGAGACGTCGTGCAGGCTACCCCTATTTTCGATTGAAGCGGAGTGAATTTGAAAATAATCCCCTCTTAGTTGAAGAAGCACGGAGGTTAATAGACGGTTTGCAGATTATGACTTAATATATAGATAAATATAAAAGTGGCAATGATTAGGATTTTTGTTTTATTCATTGCCTAACACGGCCGTGTCAACATCCTGTAGTAATGAGCTTAAAGAAGCCTTCGCGTAGAGAGTCAACACGTCGACAACTTGACAAGTGTATTTCTTTGCGATAGAGTCAGGTTCTGAAAGAAGCTGGCAGCTACGTAACTACCTTGGTAATGAAGCCTTATTCTGTATATTGGAAGTATACAGTAATAGATTTGTTAAAATATACTGTGTGGATTCCGTATATATCCAGAAATAGTATAAACAAGAGGCAGCAATATTTGCACAGGAAAATAAATATATTTAGTAAAAGCATAATTTAACGACTAGATATTTAAGAAGGCGGGTGGAAATTGTAAATTTTCCCTAAATCCAGTTGAATTCAATAGCACTGCCTTTCGGTTGTACAACCACCAACGGTGATTCTATAACACTATATACCAGCCATATACATATTAATAAGGAAAAGAATGATAAATATGTCTGTGAAGATTATATATTCCACTACTGTAAGAGTAAGAATTATGTTTTATAATACTGGTTAGTAGTCCTTAGCTCAGGCATATTATAATATAGTTATTCTACTGTTGCACCAGTATACTTGGAAATTAGATTATTGCTGCCTTTAGAATTAAACAATTTTTCCTGTTAGCTAAATTATTTACTGCAATGTGCCCTGGATATATTGTGTTAAAGAGTTAAAACGTCTCTAGTTAAGAGAAATTAAACAGTTTGTATAGATACTTTTAGCTGACGTACTTTATAACAATACTCCTTTCCAATACCCATATATCCCCTTTTGACATCCTCCGCATTATTTATTTAATAACAGGTACAACAACGGGGATCTAAGCCACTATTTTCGGCATGCCCATTTAACTGCCAGGCAGAAACCAAAGCTTTGTTGCACCTTTTCCACTGATGGCTACTCTTCCTTATAGCAGCGTTTATTTTTTTTTCTCCTCTTTTTCTTTTTCTTTTTCTTTTTCATTTTCATTTTCAATGTTAGGTACAGCAGCAGCGATGTAAGCCACCTTTGATCTAGGAATTAATTCAGCATGCTTTCGGCGGTGTTGATTTAACTTCCAGACAGAAGATAAATGTCTGTGGCACCATTCACACTGCCTTTTAGCAGCGTTCTTTTCTGCTTCGGTGATTTTTAATTTTTCAAAGGCAGATACAGCAAGATAATATGTTTTCTGTCTATGATTGACATGCAGTGGGCGATGTTGCTCCAAAGTATCAGGAAATACTTGACTAGGATAGATCTTAGCGAATATCGCGTTTTGGTAGTTTAAAATATGTAATACTTACAATGATATACTCCTTAGTTTAGAAAAGGACTTCTCAATTATTGTACGGTATTTACCACTTGTGACGTAGGTTGAGCTGAATGTGCTTGCATTAGACAGAAGCTCATAAAGTTTGGATTGATCTTCCGAGTTGAGAGAACATTCTGTAAGTGCCTGAAGATACATGGCTTCCCTGGCTAAAACTTAGCGATTGGTACAAGTTAAATAAAGCTGAACGTACTTCCAAAATGTTTGCAATCTGTCACTAACACAGAGAGAAGATGCTATATGAAGATAGTCAAAAGTACGCTGAATTCTATTCTCAAGGGTCAAAGGAATATCAGCATCTATTGCTAGACATAAAATCAAATAGCGAGCCACAAGAGCCTTATTTCGAGACTCATCGTGATCATGAATGAATTTGGTGCTAAATGGTTTCTTTCTGGAAACAATATCTTGTTCAGTTGCCAGGATTATAGCGGTATGGCGGGCTATAACCGACTCGGGTATCGGAATAGTGGTCACATCAAAGGCGTACTCAGTGTTGGGATTTTCCAAATTTCTATAATCTGTCAGCCGAATTCCATTTCATAAAATAAGAGACTTGCCTATGAACTAGCCAATAGCTCCAAATTACCATATGCCAAGCAGGGGATTCCTCGAAGCTGTTGTTTATCACCATAAACATTTTCTCACAGCACTCTCTTGCTTGATCAGTTGCTCCTCGAAAATGGAGGTACATTGCCTTAATCAAGTTAAAGTAAATATAAATAGGAGGCTTCTCCAAATCCAGTTGCGGTTCAACGGATTGAACGTCAATATCGGGGAAATTGTTGTCACACAATAAGATCCCCCCAATACGCATTATGTACCCAAAGAATGTAGCATACTGCGCCTTGAATTGTCTGTGAGATAATTCCACTACCAGTTTCTTGGGTATGATGGGGAGAGTATCAAGTAATTGCATGAAAGCAGCAGCAGCAGGGTTTAGATGGTGATCCATGGCTATTGGTGTTTGGGATAATAGTCAAGGCATATAATGTGTCTGGGGTAGTAGAATGATTTAAAACTTTCTACTTATCAAGTTGTGTTGCGCGAGAGCACTGTACTTATAAAATTTCAGCTGATATAGGTCGATAAACCCACACTTTCAAAGCTCTTAATAATAATACTCCTCTTTATTTTTAAACATACATACAAAATCCTAAGTACAAGGTGCAATTGATTTTCTCGCCTGTTAATCCTCTGAAGAAACAAATATGTTTAACAGGATACCTCTATCCCAAGGCTTTGCTAACTAAAAGTATTATCAGTAGTTGTAAAACAGTTTAGAATATAAGTAACATACATTTTGATATAAAGTAATTGGATGTTATTGAGACTGCGGCCGCGGTGTTTTTGGGACACCTGTTGTATCATAGGCACCACGTCCAAAATTAAAAGGCTTGGAAGTAGATGCAACCATTTTGAATAGTATTAAACCGTAATTTATATAATACTCGCTTGATGCTTTTCAGTTCTTGCCGAGTTATACGAAGACAACAGCGAAGTCACCGTACTTATAGATAAATTGCAGCTAATTCCTTCTCTAGTATTCGCTTAAATTAACAGACAACACTCTATATGACTTAATGCAATCAGTGGAGATAAAACATTCCTTTGGCTTACTGGATTTATCAACCTGAAATAGTGAATTAGGCTATCTACAAAGAGTCACTGTCTCACAGTATTAAACTTCCTTTTCAGCAGTACCCTCAATACTCCGCTGCTGGAGATCAGCTGGAGTCCTATGAATCCAAAGAAAACATAAAAAAGCGCCTTTTTCAACATGAAGATTGAGTTTGTGTGGATCAACTTGTACTGGTAGACATAATTTCTTCCCAAACTCTAGCTTACTGAGAGTTTTTCCATTATCGTCGATAACACTGCAGCCATCGCTTTCCAATAATGGCATTAAAATCCCAGATTGAAAGATCGGCATTGTTGACGGGCGCATTCGTAGTACAAGAAAACCATGGCACTAAAAAAATTAGCACACAGGCTGTTGAGTATAAGAATACAATATTTACCTTCTTGCTTAAATGCACTTTAACTAACTTCAATATAGATTCATCCAGGCACCGTTGAATATTGTCCGATTTGTCCACAGACCGCCACACCCCGGTGGTTTTTTCTGTCAGCAAGGGGAATACAGAAGACACAACTTTGTCTTCCAAGTAGCTGAGTTCTTCTTCCCGAACTTCGATATCCTTAGTGTCAGCCATTATTAAGGTATGTGCTGACTTTAAATGATATAGCAAGTGAATATTGCAGAATGGGCATTGTGGGCTGTATTTATTCATTCTTTCAAGATGAGGCGACTAGCTAGCTGCCTGATGTAAATCACCTGACCTATCTTATGTCAAGTGGGTATGATTACATTACATAAGCCACGGCAGCCTCACATTAAGAGGCAGCCAAAGATTGTTATATATATACGTGATTAGGTAGATGTAACTTAACTACTCAGAAGCTCAAGTTTATCGCATTAATTATCACATACTTACATCCTCGTGCTAAAAAAACCTTGAGGATTAAAATACCACTCAGGATCACATAACAGCGCATTATACCCGTTATACCACGTATGGTCATAGGCTGTCGCGCTTGATAATGCATCTACCGCTGGGACCTCCCAGTTTGCCAGATGCTCGTCGCCGTAGCCATTGGTGTTTCTGGCCGAATCTTCATCTTGTCGTATGGAGTTTTCAGTGCCATGAATAGGAGCAGAGGGATCATTATTCGGAGTGTACCCTTGATAAGGCGCAACTTCAGTGTTAGATAAATTATTCGTGTCGCCGCTAACCGTTGGAATTGTTGCACCACTGTTAGTCGCCTCGTATGCAGATTGCGCTGAACTATCTCGCCTTTGCGCAAAGGTTGAGGAATCTGCTTGTATATTGGTTGATCCATTTTGGAACTCTGGGGAAGAGAAAGTTTGATTGGAACGTATACTCAGGGAGCTATTCTGGATGGCTGGCGGAAATATATTTCCATTACGATGTATATTTGGTGAAACAGCTTGAAAACCTGGCCGAGGAGTAGTTGGATTTGCGTGTATACGTTTGTATGCGTTTGATGATGATGTCTGATCTATAATATCGAGTGTTCTTTTGGTCTCGGTGTTTATAGTTTGGACATCTATAAGACCTAAGAATTTCTGGCCATGGTGAAGTATTCTTTTAGCTGCTAAGTGAGCTCTAGATCTCTCCGACCATGAGGTAATATTTTGTGATTGGAGTTCGGCAATAACGTTTCGAACTTTCGCTCGCGTACGTGAATGTGCATCTTTGGCGTAATCCCATCTGATCAAGCATTAGAATTGGTAGTAAAGTCTTAGGGCTGAAGCCTTACAGATTGTCCTCAAGTTCAGGAATACATTGCGGGCCATGGTCAATCTCAGTTTTATGAGGAGCGATGTTCCGGTTGAACTCTATGCGATTTTTTCCACCTTGAAGGAGCAGCGTACAATCTGATTCAGACTCCAGTGATATATCGATGCGTTCGAGAAACTGTCGAGTAAGTGCAGGAGTAATACGTTGAGCATTCATGATCTTCTGGAAACTCTGGTACACCAATATAGAGGTAAATCTATACTGAAGTTTCTGAATATTGACCGCAGTCCTTTTGGTTATAGCATTCTGAATAAAGAATTTGAGCTTTGCACCGGTGTCTCCTTCTTCTTTAAGCCCCAGAGTGTTTTCTATCTCCCAAAAGGCTTCTTGTGGGTTTTCAATCCATGAACGAAACAAACTAGACATTTCCTTAGTACTAGCCCGATCTGCATAAGGAATTTCTGGGATTGTTGTCTGATCTCCGATGATTGCCTGGTGTTCTTCAGTGGTGGTAGATATGTCAATCCGGGGACTATTTGGTAGTGCAAGGTCCTCATCAGATACATGATCTGAAAGCTCAATGCCACTATCCGATTGTTCAATCGTGGCGGAACTTATAGCCAGGGAACTGTATGGTGGTGGGAGTGCATCTGAGAGCTCTATAGCACTGTCCGGGGCCAAGTCAATATCTACTATTGGCTTTGAGTTTGGTATAAAAGACTTTGGAGTAGAGGCATCTTCTGGGAGTGAAAGCTGCTTTGCGTTCAAAGCATCGTCTGAAATTGAGGTTGATTCTGGTGTTTCAGTGCGCTCTTGTGTTACACTTTGTGCTGGTGATAGAGACGTCTGGAAAACTTGGAAAGTTTGGTCGTGTTCTGGTGTTTCAGTGCGCTCTTGTGTTACACTTTGTGCTGGTGATAGAGACGTCTGGAAAACTTGGAAAGCTTGGTCGTGTTCTAGTGTTTCAGCGCGCTCTTGTGTTACACTCTGCTCTGATGGAGATGTATTTGAAGTTGTAGTATGCTCTGGAGTTGAGGGTGACTCTTGCGCTACACTCTTCTCTGAGGTTTCTGAAGTTTGGTCATGTTCTGATGTTTCAGTGCGCTCTTGTGGTACACTCTGCTCTGATGGAGAGGTATTTGAAGATGTAGTATGCTCTAGAGTTAAAGGTAACTCTTGCCCTAGCAATGGAAAGGCTTCTGAAGTGGTGGATTGTTCTGAAGTTGAAAGTGACTTTGGGGATATACCCTCTTCGGCAGCAATCTCCAGTATTCTATGTTTCCTTGGTGCGCAGCGAAATATAGCACGCAATATTTCGCAGATACTGTTGAAAGAGTCTTCGTTGTCTAAAACCGTGTGCAAGCTATCATATACGTTATAACCCTCAAAGATCTGTATAACGTCCTGAATAGTCGTCGACTCCGTTGCTGTCCTGGACGCCATTGTGGTAGATGGGCGTAACAAAATAGCCGATGAATGGCTGGTGGGGTGGTTTGTTACTAGAGAGAAGAAGGGACTCGGAAAATGTATATATGACCACAGCCGTACGAAATCGACCCATTGAGAAGCCGTTCCCTTTTTGGTCTCACGTGATTGACAGCCAAGAGCCATGCCCTTCGAGACTATTTCAAACGTGCCGAGTTTCTATTGCCACGTCATACGCTAACAGTGCTACTGCATGGCCTAGACTCATCCTTTCGAATTTGACCTTTCTAGTTTAGGCCACCTTGACGTCACTAAAGGGTACACTGTACCCTTTAGTGACGTCAAGGTGGCCTAAACTAGAAAGGTCAAATTCGAAAGGATTTTAGCTTTATGGGGGGCAGTAGACCACGTCACACGTAGGGAGAGCAACCAGCTGTGAAAGCTACAAAGCACGACGACTGTATGAGCACGTGGTTTTGGGGTAACTAGCCGCCAGAGGGGAGCAGCTTCTCGCCATCAGATCGGTGGTCGCGGTTCCTCTGGCGCTTCTCAGGCGCGTAGTGAAGGCGGCGCTGATCCAGATGAAGCGGCCATCGAAGTGGACCATGGCGCAAGACCAGCGACGGTGGCAGGAGAATCGGCAATGATAATGATGGCGGTGGTGAAGGCAGACTCGCACCACGTCAGGCACGACACAGAAGAAGCCGAAATAAATCAGCAATATTCAGCATTGGTCTACATTCCAACTTACTGTACTAATTGGGAGAGCGCAATGTGTTGAGCAACATCGCTTTAGAATATCGAAAATGCCAAACTCGTTATCCAAGCTAGAATAGAAAAGAAAGCACGTCTCTTCTCTGGCCACGCTGCTCAATGAACCCTTAACCCAGGTTGAAAATTGTGACATAATAATGTAAACAATGTTTCTTTTTACCTGAAGTATTTCTCTTCCATCTTCAATTACAATTCCTTATCGTCGTCCTTGATACTGACTTTAAGGAGAAAGCAATGCATTTAACAGAAGAGGATTACCAGTCTAGTTCTGCAACTACTGTCCGACAATGTAATAAATCCACAGACAAAGTTACTGCAATTCAGGTGTGTTATATTACATACTAAACGCTAATTTATTTATTTATTTCTGGTAAGGAACACCAAATGTTTCCCATTGATACAGCAGGTGTTTGTCAAAACGTCAACGTTGACTGTAAGTTGCAGGGCTATCTCCTTATGACTTTCGAAAATATAAACGCATACCAACGCCCTTGATATAAAGATATAAATGGATTGAATGTGTGGCCTAACCTTACGAATGTTCTTGCATTTGGTGTCTTATTTTTTGTCCTTGCTTTGATTTGTAAACTTGATATACTTAATTTTTATCTATCTGATGCGGTCATATAATGAAGAATTATTGCCGAAAGATGAATGATATTCCCGTGAGGTTAAATTAAACCATGCATCAACACGCCGTCCTTTAATTATAAGTAGCCTGACATCTCCCTGCAAAGAATGCCAACTTCTGTATGCATAATCAAAATGCTACAAGAAAGAATAACGTACATTATCCTAACAGCGCACATGAAAAGTGCGCGCCGGTCAGAAGGAATATTTATAAAGAAGATTTCCAACTTTCAAAAAAAAAGACACGACCTTCAAGAAAAAATGGAGCATTACAGTGTCGGCGATGACAGCCTTGACCAGGATATTCAAGAGCTTATCAAAGATGTTTACAACATGATTGACGATCTTAAAATTGCACAGGAAAACAGGCATACAATCTTAAGTTACATATTTAAACGTCTTTCTTGTGGAGAGTTGAACCGGCGTCTGGGAGATAAATACCGGGATGTTCTGAGAGCTGTTCGATTCCAGCACAGAATTGGACGCTTGCATTCTAAAACACTCATGGACTTTACTCAGGTATGTTAAATCACCGATCTTATTATATGAAATATAATACTAATAGCTTCAAGGAGCTTGTAATGAAGATTGAGGCGCGGAGAGGCTGATTGGAATTTATTTATAGCTTTGTAGCGCGCGCTTAGAAGAATTCTTCTATTTTAGTTGTGCACTTTAACTTAAGTTGCCTTTTCGGTTTCATGTCCTTTTGTATACTCCATCATGCCCTTATGCCAAACAGGGTAGAGATTAGGTCAGTAAACTAGTCGCAGCAATAACACAAATTCATTATGGCTACATAGAGGTTGGCTGAGATAAAAGGTAGTTTGCGAAATGGATCGTGCAATAGACAGTAAGCTATTTGGACTACAAATAGGCTGGTTTCTTCCTGATGTCATTCTTTTAGCTAGAATCGAAAAGAGAACACGTTCATTTCATCTCATGACAAGAAATTATAAAGGATGTCCATTCTCTGTAGGAATTGATGTTTTTTTGAATCATTATCTTACATTATTAAATCGCACACCTCATCTTTTTTAAAATGGCTTCTGATACCGACTTCATTGATAACTATGATACAGTTACTACCGACTTTCTAGACCATGTTCTTGCTAGATTTCCAGTCATGTTTCCATACGATGCAAAAGAATTCATACTAAATGACGGTTTTTTTTATTCCATAACCACGCTACTCAATGAACTCTTTTTGCCTCCATACACGATAAACGACGAATGTCACAAGCGCACTATCTTAAGTATAGTGATAAAATTAGAGTCCCGGGGTACACCGACCGATCAAAACTCGGTTCTTTCAACAGTTTGGTTACATACCCTTACTGCCATCTACCTTCTTCAAACTGGCTCTGAGGTCAACGCCAGGCACCATATAATAAAAGCCGCTGGTTTAATCCTAATAAATAAAAATTGGTATCATTAACTACATTTCTGCAATATATTTTACTTTACTTACTCTATAGATAGGCTCTTCGAAAATGCAAAATTTAAAATGGCTTACTTCGGTATTCTCCGCGTCTGCTTGTATGTTATTATGTATGGTTTTTGTTATATCTTACACATTATTAACTGTACATACAGCGAATATGAAATAGAGCTTCCTGAAGACCTAGCAACTAGGAAGATTCATCGAGGCATTTTAAGCAATGACATTCATTCATGGATATATGATCACTCTAGACACAAAGATCACTCTTATAATATTCGACGTTCCATCTGGATTTCAACTCTGGTTCAAGGTAAAACGGAATTTAGAAAGGATATCGCGCGACTTAAAAACGGCGAGCTAGATTTGGCTGAAATAAACGCCGAAATGCATAGCTGGTTACAACGTGAGAGTTTTGAAGAGTGCCCATTTCCAGAATTCTGGGATTACTACGGCATTGACCAGCTCTCAGCAATAGATGCAGAACTAAAGTTCCTACAACCTATCTATGATGTAGCGATGAGCCTAGCTAGAGGCATCTCAACAACAGTAGCGGGGAGTACTGATAATCTAACATCAGTGAAAAGGATCGATTCTAAAGCACCAACAGAGAGCATCGACTACTACATTTCAATAATTGGCAACTTTACTAAAAAAAGCATTAATTATGTAAAAGCTAAGCAAGAACTTCTGGCTGTGGATAGAAATTGCGGTTTTCAAAAGTAAGTTAGAAAGTAAATATCTCATCTGTGTTTTGGAGTGTGAACTAACTTTTCAGGGAATGCAATTACCTTAATCACATTCTGCAAAGTTTCTCGGTAATAGGCTCAGCAAAGTTTCGTACTATTACTAAATTGAATTCTTATGAGCTGTCTTCCATGGTAGAAAAGACGTGGAAGTATGGTAAAAAAAGCACTCCGCCTAATTTTTCTTCTACGCTGGCTATGGAAAGATGGAATGGAATTTATGAAGAAGAACTTGAGTTACACCGGAGAGGAGAAGACTGCTACAGAATGGAATTTCAGCATTAGTCTCGTCTATATAAGATAATGATCACATTTTCTTACTAGACCTTAGGTATATTTTTCTATTAAAGTTTCAGAGTAAATTTCTTCGAATCGCATAGGTAAAGGGCTACTAAAATAGCAATTACTAGTTATCTCCTGTTATAAGAATCCTTTTTAACGCTGTATTTCAGAATGACTTGAGAGAATCTGTGGTTACGCGGTATCTCCCATTAGCTTACACACAGTAGAGGCTGGTTTCCATCCAAATATTCTTTGCTTATCGTGCTCCTGCTGGCTGGTCATACGTTTTACGTTTTTTTCCGCCCTCGTCGAGAGGGAGGAAGTTTCAAAACAGTAACATCATGATCTAGTACTAGATTTTACTAGTATATAAATAATGTCTCTTTCCATCTTTAATATTTGTCTTCCATCTTTAATCTTAATTCCTCACGATTATCCTTAATACCTACCTCAAAGGGAAGGCAATGTTTCCAGCAGAAGAGGATTACCAATCTGATGATTCTGCAATTACTGTCATCCGACATAGTAATATGCCTATTGACTGTAAGTGAGAGCTGTTTCTTCATAACTGTCAAGCATGCAAATGCATAATAACATTTTAAATACAAAGATATAGATGGGATGGACGTCTGGCCTAATCTTACAAATGTACTTAAGTTTGGCATTGTAATCCTTTTCCTTGTTTTAATTTGTAAACTCGATATACTTAATTTCTTAAGTATATATTGAATTATCTTCTGCAGTTTTATTCTTATATTAAGCCACTCTGTATATCGCTCTCCCTAGTAACTCTAACCGTTCTCTCTTCATATCCTTAAAACTTGCGGCGAAGCAAGGATTATTTAATACTTAACTAATTATAGTAGGAGAGGCGTAGATTAATTTGGAGAATGGTTAATTATTAGATAGTGAGACTTATATGCCTTAGTCCTTGAATATTTACATGCCTAACAAACATTTGTAATTTAAGCGACGGAATATCCTTGTCATAAATAAAGCAAGAAACTATAAAGTTCCAAATAGTACTTACTATTATAATTTCTTATACTACTCCAATCATTGTCATTATCAATATGTTCGACTTTAAATATGGATTGGATTTTAAAGATCCGTCAATTTCTGATTTAACTTTTGTCGTTCTATCAAGATATCCGGTTATACCGCCAATGCTAGCACTTAAATATCGCGATAGAGATCAATACTTTCTGCTCTTTACTTCCCGAATAATTGACGCATTCTTAAAAGGAACAAGTAAGGCATTATGCCGCAGTTTCAAACCCTTCGTGGAAATTATGGAAGCAGAACAAATAAACGACATTACTACAGCGACGTATAGGCTTCAGTTTCACGTTTTAATGGCTATTTATTTCTTGCGGTGTGAATGCGGGTCAGATGGCGAGCAACACTTAGCTAAGGCAGCCGAGATAATACAAATTTACCGGGAGCGGTGAGTTGCATTCTCTATTCTTTTTAAACCTTTTAGCTCATCTAAATTATAGAATCCGCTCGGGAGTATTTCAAATGGCACATCTTGTCCTCCTTGACGTATTTCGGTAAGTTTTCAAGCTGTACTTACACTATTAGAGCTAATTATTCCGTGTAACACCCAGTGAATACAAACTCAAGTTTTCAACAGAGCTTATCTTTTGGGGACATAAGAATAACCATAAGCTTATTAAATTATTTAAAACTCTTCCCCCTAAATATGTTTGCATTATTGAAAAAATTATTACTTGGGTGCACAAACAGCAGCAGCTACAAAAAAGTATACCTCAGAAGAAAACTAATGTTATGCCTCAGAAAAAAATTTAATGTTATGCCTCAGAAGAACATTAACCGGAAGAATTCATTGACAAGGTCAATAATATTTCAAGATTGGAGATGAAATTGAAATTTTTCGAGCTATATTGAAACATTCTAGTACAATTGGCTTTATATAGTTTACATTATCTAAAATGCTAAATATAGTGTATTAATATCAGCTGACTATTAAGAATCTTAAACCAATCTGGCTCTGTGGATCATATAAAATCTTTTATATATAAGAGGTCCTGCCTCTGGCTTCTTAATGTCATAACCAAGGCTTTTACCAACAATCCTTTTACACATTCCCTCTTCGCAGATGGCGCAACTACCAACACAACCGTTAGAGACAGATTGGGAGTCTGATACCCAAGAAATAAGATTAAAGTTCGATGAAGATTGGAACCATGTGTCCCAAGGCGTTAACTCTTCATTAAAAAATCTTAAAAAAATACATGAAGACTGGAAACGCAATTCCCAAGCCATGAAGTCTTCAGTGGAATTTCTTGAGAAGTTGCTGTCACCTCATGAAGAAGACGATGACCTTCTTATCTCCAATTTTATTCAACAAAATGATCAAATCAACCAGATCTCTCCCCTACTTCAAACTGCAATACCTCATGTGTTTGAAGTGGCAACAAAGCTTTCAAACACAGTGGACAATCCCTCTGACAAACCAGCGGAAGGAGTCTCCGATTGTTTCGAAGTTATTATGAAAGCGCTTGTTTGTATGACAGAAGTTTCAAGAATCATAGGTCTTAAGGTATTTGGAATTATCAATATTTAGTAAACTTCTGCTTACACCTATATAGACCGATTTAGATATTAATCCACTGGTACTCCGTCTTATCATAAAAGAAAGGAAATCGACTAATCATGATTTGCGGTCTGCTGAAGATGAAAATAAGGAAATTCATGCACAAAAAGAATAATTGGCAGCTCCAGCTGTATACTCTTAGCTAAAAGACTTTCGGTAACTAAGTATTTACGCTTGCGTGGGAGGATTTAAATGCATTTCTATGTAGCCTCTATAATAAAGCCACTGTTAGATGAGAGCTTAATGAAGATAATAGGGCCAAGAAACGTAATACAGCAACTTCCAAGCGGGAGTCAAAACCCCAATCTATATTACTCATCTTGACTATTATTTACGTGTCATTTCTTGCCTCATTAACCTCTTGTTCATCAAATGCAAGAGTCCCATTTATCGTATTAATTCGTAGCTAGCTCAAATGGAATATAAATATGGAAACGCTAGTCTGATCTGGCTATGCGAATCATAGATTCTAATTATATAAGATGTCCTGCCTCCCGACTTCTTGATCTCAGACCTTTCAATAAAAAGATTACTTATACCTCATTGAACTAAGAGAACAAGGATGAAACAACCAAGTCTTCAAAAGCCTTTCGAAAACGGTTGTATTCGGCTACAAGAGCGAATGGTACATATTTACATAAAGGAATTTAAGGAATTGCTCAATACGTTTCCTATTATGACAATTGAGCAATTACACAAAATGCATTTGGAATACCAAAACAGGACGGACAATGCTATGTATGCTTATGTCTTGTTCATTAGAAGCCATTTAACGCCGTACGACGGCATAGATTGGGACCGCTTCAAGCCACAATCTGAGCCGAATTGGGTTCCCAAAACCTCTGATGACCATTTTCAATTCTGTCTCCTTAAAGCAATTGCCCATCTAATCCAATATGAATACGAAGAAGCTAAAGAGAGTTGTATTGAAGCTGGATCTCTATTGCCCGGCATATGCAAGTCCGACAATGACCAAGGTTATAAGAACATGATGGCATGGGGATTCCTATTACTATACAAGTACTCCGCTCCTTTGATCTCGTGATAATTACTGCTAAACAATCTCAGGTATCTCATTCAGGAAGAACTTGGCTTCCAATATGTATTCAAGAATATTCACTCTCTTGAAATTATTGGATCATGCATGAGTGTCAGAGCTGTAGCTCTACTACAACACGAGAAAGACATAATGGACCCTTTTCATGAGCAGAAAGAGTCAGAGGCGCTGCCATTCATTCAAAATGCGAGCGAAGATCAAATGAAAGCCCGAGTTAATATTGCACATATTGCATCCTCTGCAATAGCTGGATTTTTCTTCTTACTTGAAAATGAAGATCCAGAAGAAACGTTAACACCTGAATTAAATCGTAGTATTTATTCAATGCTTGAGTACGTTCAAACTTCAAGTCTTCTGTCTAAACCAGAGAGGTTGCTTAACTATAGGAGGTAAGTTCAAGCATTCGATATTTCTATATATCGCTAACTTTCAATAGAGAGTATCAATACTTATGCTGTCTTTTTCGTTTAAAGAAGTCCTGGTGGGAAAAAACTCAAATTTCTCATGCGTCTTTCTTATGTTATGCTAGTTTAAGTTATGAGTTTAATTCAAAATTTGTAAGACATACGTTTTACAAATTGCAATTGAAGAGCCTTTTGGAGAAGGAAATTAATAGCACAATATAATTATCTCGGTTTTTCCTCAATATTCGTACTCCTCGTATTTATCTGTCTCTTCGGTCTCATCGCATTCTCCGGCCTCATCAGTTTCATTGTACTCTTTCTGAATGGTATTCAGTCAATTATTTTCGCTTGACTCATTAGTCCGCTCTTTTATTTTTTGGAAGGGTCTATCCGGTTTTCAAGCAGGCGTATTCTGTATCCTCTAAAGTGGAATTTATGCTGTTTATAGTTAATACAAGCAAGACTAAGAAAAATTACTCCAAGTTCTTTTGAGTATGTATACTTAACTAACCCTAACTGACCTTTATTATATATACTACTAATTCTAACCATTCAAGTGGGTATCAAAAAAAAAAATAAAGACCACAAAATGAATATCCACATACAAGGCAATTACATGAGCACCTTGAGCGTGAGCTCGTCTTAGCCTTTGTATAGCTACCGTGTTCAAAATTGCCCCGGTCTCTGTTTTTTTGATACCCTAACTTAGTAATTTTAGTTGATATATCTTCTAATTTAGTAAATAAACGCTATATTTTAATTAATAAGCGCCATAATTTAGTGAGTAAGCGCTGTAATTTAGTGCATAAATATACTAGCTGAGTGCTTTAAGTTGCAGTACCCTCGTCTTACACACTCCCCTTTTTAAGACACAGAATACGCCTGCTTGGATACCGGATAGACCCTCCCTATGCTTTCCATAATAGCGATCGATGGGAAAGCATTGTGGGAGTGATAAGAGGCTTAGTAAGGTAAAATGCTCTTGGATAATGAGGTATGAGGATTTGAGGTATTTAGATTGTTGAATTGGCCAAGCTAGATCCTTAAGCAACTTTTTCAGGCGATCCATTCAACACCTTATTTTGCTTTCAACCGCTCTTTGCACACGGGACAAAACATTTTTACATTGTAAAACCACCGCAGTGCGCACATCATATGGAGTGTATGCTCGCATCTTAGCTCGATACATTTATATTCATCATCCTCCGTATCTGTATTTGTACACTCCTTGAAACAAATACCACAACAATGTGCAGCCTTATCGCTTGATCTGAGTACTCTCGCATCTCCATTCTGAAGCCTCTCCTCCCAGAATGGTCTTGTAACGTCAAGTAGGAGCTGATTCGTTTCCTTCTTCAGTACATCATCCGCATACTCAAAACGCATACGGAGATACAACGACGCCGACGAAGGGTCGTGCTCCTGGCAGTAGGATCTAGCAATCCGACATAGTGTTTTGACGATTAGAATTTCATCCACGAACTTGTTTCGTTGGCTGAAAAGTTGGAGAACGTCCGAGTGTAGCTCTTTACGCTCATCAACAAAAGTCGCATTTGGTATTTTTAACAAAGTTTGCATCCGGTTTGAACGGATGCAAAAGCGTAAAGCTTGTTGTTTCCCATACAGCTGTGTCGAGGGAAAAAAGCCAAGGGCCTTGTTGTACGAGTCGAGGGCTTTAAGGTAGTCTCCTGCGGCATAGTCCATGTTACCTTGCTTCTTGAAGCTTTCAGGGCCGCCCTCAATGACCGGGTCGTCCATTTTGATGTATTTGTTGTAAACATTAAAGTAAAAGTAATAGTAAAGTTATTATATTAAAAAAACTCAGTTTTCTAGTTAAAAAGTTGAGAGGCAGCATCTCTTATATACGTAATATAAATTTGGCTCACGTAGCTGCATCAGACTCGCGTGTTTAATAACAGCTGTTTTATAAAATGCTTGTATATTTATTCACGACATTGTATCCCAGTTTAAACTGGTAACATTGGAGTCTAGACTAAACGGACACTCATTTATTAGGAAGGGGTGGATGAATAGGAGAAGAGGGAGAAAAAGAAATGCAGGAGTAATGAAAGGCTTAGCAAGGCAAGATACTCTTGGATAGCAAGGTATACATTTTCTCCATATCTATTTGAGTTGTATTATGACAAATATATTTTAGGATACTTGACGTGGCGCATTGTAATTCGTTTGAAAGCTTTCAGGCGCCCGCTATGATATGAGATATTTAGTAGCCAGGGGTGAATAATGGAGGAGGGATTAGAAAGGTTTAGTATAATCCAGGGGTGGGTTGAAGAAAGGTCAGGTAGGAGCATCAGAGGGCTAGTAAGGTAAAATACTCTTGGACGGAAAGGCATACAGTTACTTCAACTATATAAAGCACCATTCTTTCCCACTATGGCTTATAACTTTTCTTCCTACCTATATATTTACAATAAGGAAATGGTATTATCTTGAGTATGCCCTAAACTAAACCTTAAATTACTTTTACGAAAGGATACTTTCTAATATCTTATATATGTGTTAGGCACTAATATTTATGAAAGTCCTATTGTTACAGATAGTACGATTTTTAAATAAAATAATGCGCCATCACGCAGAATTTCAAGTCTACAAAAATAATGAATTATCCAACACGATAATTGGAAGGGAAGAGTTCCGTGAGCAGTCGGAAGATGCTAGTTACTGGGGTCTTCACGAAGAGGATAAAGTCCACTATGCACTAATTCTCGACCCAATAAATGAAGAAGAAGAAGAAGAAGGAGAAGAAGAAGAAGAAGAAGAAGAAGAAAAAGACAAAGTCTACTATAAACGAAGTCTCACCCCGATAAGAGAAGAAGAAGAAGAAGAAGAAGAAGAAGATTCGTATGAGCAGTCGGATGATGAAGGGCATTATCGTTGGCAACCGAAAGATGAAGACCAGTCTTGTGAGCAGTATGGAGAGTACTCCTGTGAGTGGCTCGAAAATCTCCGTAAGAAGTCAGGAGAGCATTGTGCGGAGATGATGAGGAAAGAGCAAAATGCGGATCTAGAAGAGAGACGTCAGTGGAGTGGTGGAAGTAAAAGATGTATTTCTATTTAATTCTTTTCTCTTTAGATAGGCGTCTTTAAAATTCAAGGTCTAGTCGAAGCTTAAAAATGTTATAATAAATCTCCGTTACTTAATAATACTTTTTAGAATTTAAGCTCCTTTTTGAAGTTATACATGATCTTGTCGAGAATGTCGCGAAGGTTGTAGCATATTTTCTCATCACTCTCAACCATGTTTAAAAAGCCCTTTATTATTTCTTTTATTGTGGTGATGTTTTACCATAAGGACATTTTGAAGATGAGTTATGCTTTAAAATTAATATTCAAGCTATTGCAGAAGTTAGCATTCTACTATGGGAGAGGAAGCAGACTATATAATTAGAATAGTTAACATTTGTTTATGGCTTTAATAAGAAAATTAATGTTATTATAATATATATTTTAACTGTATTATAATAGTTAGGTAGAGATCGGTGTTCACGCCGGTCAAATGCGCTACCTCGAGCAAACCGGTGGGTTATGCGAACCACAGGGGCACATAAATACTCTGTGCTTTTTGTTGAACAAGGAAGCACTAGTCCGACCTGACTACGCGAGTCACATAGATTTTACATATATGAGAGGTCCTGTCTCCCGACTTCTCCCCTAGATAATTAAGACCTTTCATACAATCAATTAAAACCTCTATTGTTCATCTTTCCTATTGACAATTTTTACTTCTCGCACCTTTTCTTCTTTAGTTCTTTTCCATCCATTAAACTTTCCTACGATTAAAAAAACATCCTCAGACACTCAGACAAGACTACAACTCTAACTCGTGTGCCAAAATGGGGAATGATTCGGAGGATACTTCGCCCTACACTTACGAAGACCCAAGCGACTACGAAGAATCAAGCGTGTACGAAGAACCAAACGAAGACAAAGCTAACTTCCGACGAACTCTCCTCGAGAGTATCGACGAAGTTCAAGCGACAGGATCCTTTGCAACTGGCAATGTTATTGATTCCTGCCCGCACCCAGGCATCTGCGTGGATCTCGAGCCTGTCCCCATGCCGCTGTCAAAAACGGCAGCTCAAGGCCTCGCCAGTAAAAGTGACAAGGCATCCTTTGGCTATCACGGAAAAACACAAATGGACGAGACGGTGAGAAAGACGCTGCAGATTAGCGCAAAGAGAATCAGCTTCCTAAACCCAAAATGGGACGGTTTCGTCAAAGATCTTGTCCTGGAAGTTATTCGTAAGCTTGGAGTACCTGCTCCTAATAGGAGCAATGTTCGTGCCGAGCTATACAAGCACCTTCTCTACGAAGAAGGAGACAAGTTCAAGCCTCACAAAGAGTAGGTCAAGATGCGTCTCAGCACACAGCACTGTAAGAGAGGGCTGACAGTTTAGTATAGTACTGAGAAGATTGATGGCATGTTTGGCACCCTAGTTATCTGCCTTCCTTCAGAACATGAGGGCGGTGAGGTATACCTGCAGCACGGGAAAGATTCATTGGAACTATCCACCGCTACGACATCAGCGTATGGTTACTATTACCTTGCATGGTATGCAGACGTCACTCATGAGGTAAATTATCTTCTTAGCTCTAAGACAACCTAGTACTCACTGGTAAAAGATCAAGCCAGTTCGAAAAGGATACCGGTGGGTCCTTACGTATAACCTCATCACGGATTACAAGAGCTCTCTCCCATCAGCCTCGATGCTAGATTCTCAGACCCAAAGTCTGGTAGGAGCCCTGTCATCGTGGGAAAAGCTACAATATCCGCCAGAGTTTCTTATCTACCCTCTTGATCACCAGTATACATCGAAAAACTTGCATCTTTCTAGCCTGAAAGGCCTCGATTACCAGCGCGCTCGCTGCCTTGCCGACAGCTGTGAGCTGCACGGCAAATTCTACCTGTTTCTTGCCCAGCTCAATAAGACAGAGTGTTGGCCAGGCGTCGCGGACGGTGAGTTCGACGTAACTCACTGGAGGTGTCTGCACCACGTTTATAGCCTCGAGGGCTTCAAGCTATCTCCACTAAAGGTGGACATTGATAAGACCTCGCTTTTAAGCTACATCAGCTATGACAGAGTACCGGACTATCACGCCTGCGGAGAATATCTAGGAAACGAATATGTTGGAAAGGAGGAAACCTACTCGGATATGGTAAGCTTTCTAAAGCTGAAGTAACGCAATATCATAAGCATAATAATGCTAACAATAGCTGTTTAATGTCAGGTGTTTGTTATTGTCCGGGCAGACTCCCTGCACGCCCCCCTATGTAACTCAAACTATGAAGACGTAGAAAAGCTTATGAGTCATTTACGGACGGGTATGAACGTCAGCAACAAGACAATGCTGCAAAAAATACTGGTCCACCTTTGCCGCATAATCTTGGAACAAAGGTTTGCCACTGGGGCGGCGAATGATGAGTACCTTGGTTATGCTGCAGTTACTGCTGTGTTTCTCGACGATTGGCCTCTCTTCGAGGAAGCGCAAGAGAAGACTCTTAAGGGTTGGCAGTATAACTCTTGGTATACACTCGGTGGAATAATTGATCTCCAGCATCCCCTAATCAAGGTAGATGAGTAAGACTGGCCCTAATATTACCACCCTTATTAGTTGTACCACTAATATGTACGCCCTCTCTAGTATCTTCAAAGCCTTGATAAAATATGGCACGCTTTGCAGTGTTTATAACGCTTTAACTCATTTCTATGACGGGTTTTGTAGAAATAATATTGGCCGAATAAACCTAGCGAAGGCGGAGTACTGGAAGCAGTGGTATAGCGACAAACAAATTAAAACGCTTAATATGTGCGGTACGTCCAGAGGAAAAGAAGATGCTGCTACAATTAAGAAAATTATTTTGGACCTTAAAATCCAATATAAATATACACCGGAACAGCAGTAAGAGAATCCGAGTTCTTTCATATTTATATTTTTATATCCTCTGCCAACTAAATCATTCAAGTCCCCAGCGACAAATCAAATTTCTATAACTAACCCCTTATATAGAAAGAAGATAGACGAAGCAGTCACAGACTTTGTAAGTAGGTTTAAAGAAGCCAAGGAGTTCGCGAATGCACTGAATGTCGAGCTCCTCCTTGAACTATCGGATCCGAAAAATGCACGGAAGGAATTTCTACGCGACCTATTTAGTATTATTTCAGAATTCGCAATCTCGACGTTCGACTTCGACTTTTACTACGCATACCACTACAGCAATACTGGCAGACTCATTCGAGATTTCTATGAACAAGCATTAGCGCACAAGAATAACTCAGCTTCCAATCTATTGCAGCAGCTCTCAAAAATGGCTTCTAAAGCCAAGAAGAGTACAGTGCTGGCAGTTCTATGGCCTCTGATGAAAGAATTGCTTCCATTGGTGGATACAAGTTCCCCAGAGGCACAGACTTGCTTCCAATCGCTCATGACAGCCTACATTGCAAAGACCGTGGGCGAAGAGCCGTCGAAGCCAGAAGACTGGGCTCGTCCGGCGGAAGTGCATGAGTGCTATTCTGAGTGTCAGGCCTGTCCAAAGCTGAACCTCTTCCTAAAAGACCCCAAAGCGAAAACAATATACCTGACCGATAAGCTAGAGCACGTGAAACGGAACTTCAGTTATCTTAGATACTGGGGTCGCGGTAAAGTCCGCTTTACGAAGACGTTGAAAGGGTGGGAAGAATGTCACCGCAGCTGGGAAGAGAAGGTCAAAGCGGCACAAAAGAAGCTCCAAGAGCTGCCAAAGGACGACCTGAAACGAGTACTCGGCGACAAGTACGACACGCTCATGGCGCTCGACACGATCAGGATCGGCAGGAGCACTGCCCAGGCTCCTGACAAGACTCAGCCACCCTCGCGACCAAAACGCAAGAAGGGCAAGGATACGAACAACACTGGGCCTGTGAGAATTTTGAAGCGCGCGCGGCGCGGCGGAGAAAAGATCGAAGGCTGAGAGATTTGAAGAAGGCGGAGGGAACATTGGCTGATGGAGGTCGCATATGGGACATAAGAGCTCACATGAGATATGACTGGCGTAGTAAAGTTCCATATGCGATATATTTTTTTTATTCTTTCCTTTAGGAGAATTTCCCTACTAAATAGCTGTGAGTGACGAGCTCTGTGAGTCGTCCCAAGTCTGGGGGAAATCTCTTTCTTTTCTGCTGCCAGTTAATGCAAGCACTTAACACCGCAAGATCCTACTGCAACCTCGATCGCGATCTCCTATTAGTTTCCGTGATTATTTTATGATCTTTTACATGACAATGCCTTGTAATATTGTCGAATACTCAACACCACGCTTTGTTGTGGGCCATTATCGCGACGACTGACGGGATGAAGGAAACACTGGTCCCAGGTCCTGCCCCCCGATTTCTTGACTAGATAACAAAAACCTTTCAATAACTTACTATTATACTTCTTACATTTGACGAAAAGACAGTGACAAAAGATCATAAGTGCCCAACCTTTTGGGCAATCTTGCAGTAAAAAATAACAGTTAGAAAGTGACGTGGCGCGGCAGGGCAAAAAAGAACATCTCCGTTGTTGTTTCGGAAGTGGAGATCAACATGCGGACATAGGAGAGAAATGGAAGACCTCAGTGCAGAAGTGAAGGCTCCGTAGAGGGGTGGGAAAGGGCCATATGACTGACCCACAACCTAGCATGTTAGTAAAGATTTTGAGCTTTATAGGCTTCAATAAGTATATAAAGGCTATTAAATCAGATCTACTCAGCTCTATAGTTACAGAACCGCCGCAGACTTCAATTATCTGATCTACAGCCACAATCATGGCAGGCCGGATGCGTTTGACGCCGCCCAGGCAAAAGCCTTTACCGCTCCTGGCTCGTTATCGTTTCCTGATGCAATAAACGAGCTCACGCCTCCTTTAATAAACAGCGATAGCAGCCAGGGAATGGCTCCCAACATTCGACAGGCTGGAAACGGGGTGACTCCTGCAACTCCCGCCGCAACGCCTACAGACTCTCAAGACCCTAGTACCATTATACCTACTCTGCAGTATGGATACACTTAAGTGCCTTTAGCTGTGCTTTTTATAACTTATCTCCTAATTAAAGCAATATCGTGGCTACCTTTAATCTCAACTGTCGATTAGACTTAAAGACCATTGCTTTATACGCAAGAAACGCTGAATATAACCCAAAGGTAAATACTTAAATAGCAACTTAAGGGGGGGTTTATTACTGGTTATATATTAGCACTAACAATTAATATATAGCGTTTTACCGCTGTTATTATGCGTATTCATGAGCCTAAGACAACTGCCCTTATTTTTGCATCCGGCAAGATAATTGTTGTTGGTGCTAAGTCTGAAGAGGATTCCAAGCTGGCCTCTCGCAAATATGCCCGTATTATCCAAAAGCTCGGCTTTAACGCTACGTTCACGGACTTCAAGATACAGAATATTGTCGGCTCCTGCAATATTAAATTCCCGATCCGTCTTGAAGGTCTTGCTTCTCGCCATCATAGGTTTAGCTCCTACGAGCCTGAGTTATTCCCCGGTCTAATTTACCGCATGATCAAGCCCAAAATTTCATTGCTTATTTTTGTATCTGGCAAGATTGTCTTAACAGGTGCTAAAGTAAAAGAAGAGATTTACCAGGCCTTTAAGATAATTTATCCTGTGCTTCAAGGTTTGTTTATGCTACACCTGTACTATAATATAGCGATTGCTAACTCATATAAAATCAGATTTCCGGAAAGTCTAAATGCACTTTTGTGTATAGTAGTGTCTTGCAATACCATAATAAAGAGCTCGAAGAACTCTAAGCTCTATGTGAATAAGTTTTAAGCATCTTTAATACAAGGACATTATTTATAACCCACGGTAGTATTCATCTCCCTTGGAGCTTGCAAAATCTTTTCAAGTTACTTTTTTTATTATTGCTAAATTAAAATGTGCAGCATACTTGGTGACAAGGATCATAAGTGCCCAACCCTTTGGGCAACCTTGCAGTAAAAAAACACAGTTGGAAGGTGACGTGGCGCGGCAGGGCAAATACAGCATGCATAATGCAAAGAGGTCTATATTAGAATTAGGTTCAATATAAAATTTAATCGAAGAGTATTAGAGTGTCTTTGTAGCTATTAGTACCAATATAAAATGTATATAAATCTTCTCAATCTTCCGCTTTCAAATCCCTTCCTCAATATCCTTCATCAAAGTCTTATAGCTAATACTATTTTATTACTGAAGATTCACTATCAACACTCTTACTATGGATTCCAATATCCAAGCTGCGTCATGGCTGGAATTCGACTTTGAAAACAATGACTATCTCAAGATTTTGCGAAATACAGCAATCGATGGAGGCTCGAAGGAATCTACTGCACTTTTCGCCTATATTTTTGGGAATATTGTCCCCCTGGGGCCTTCGTGCAGTTTATCCTGAGAGCACTATCCAGACCCGAACCAAGGAGATCTCACTGGCTTGGTGGCTACAAAGCTTTTCGATGGGGTCCTTGGCGTTGGGGGCTGGAATCCGATGGCTAGATTCACAAGGCCACCAGGATTCCTCCATATATTCCTTTCGGTGGGAGTAAAATGGCTCGCTCATGATTCCGACATAGTCGCGGCTGAGCAGCAACTTTATGTGGCTTGCGAAAAGTATGATCAGATCTATGGACGAGAAGAAATGTGGGGTATCACTCACTCTGGTTCCAAGTTTCGAATTTGGGCATACCAGAAGGGGAGACCGACTCTAGTAGCATTCTTCCCTGTCGTGAGGCCTGAGGAAGAAGAAGAGGTTTTTGGGAAAGAGGAGGCTTATCTTGACCTTGTGGATTCTGGGCCCCAATTCAAACGCTGCTGGGAATATATGATAAAGAATCCTCAACCCGACACCGGATTGTTCAACGCGCATCACGATTGGGTCAAGGGAAACGGTTCAAACGAGTGTCCTGCTATCTGTGTGCGCCCCGGATTCTGCTGACCTATGTCCCGATCTTTATCGTCAAGATAAGCTTCATTGCGAAAAGCGGGAAATCCTAGATTTCCTTCATACCCAACGGGTATAAATTTACTTTCTTACACTCATTTGGGAACTTTATTCAGCTACTGTTACGTCCGCCTTTTATCATAAAATTTATCACAACAATCGGGAAACCATAGTTTCACGTCATACCTGATGGGTATAAATTTACATTCTTACATTCATTCAGAAGACTTACTCAGCTACTATTATGTCCTAGCTCTTATAGGAGGCATAAAGCTCGTCAAGAAACAGAAAGTCGCAACATTTCTCTATACCGAAGGGTATAAATTCAATCTTCACACTCATTTCGAAAACCTAGATAGCTAGTCATTAAAACAATATCAAGATTGGATTACCCTTCTATTCTTCCGTGTCAGTGACAAGCATTGCCTGATTTCCTTGATCCATTCTTCAAAGTAAGCCTAAGACTTAGGTTTGTCCTTTCAAAATCCATTGTGGCGCTAGACCAAAAGAGCACCTGCATTTAACTAACACTACCAATAATCATTCTAAATGTTAAGTGGAGAATATTAAAAAAAGAAAGAAATAAAGAAAAGAAAAGAAAAGAAAAGAAAGAGAAAGAAAGAAAGGAAAGAAAAAGAAAGAAAGAAGAAAAAAGGGAAAAAAAGGGAAAAAAGGGGGGGGATAAGAAGTTTGCAAGTTGAATATTTAACAACAGCCACAACCCCTTAATATACCTCTATTTGAGTATCATTATGATTGAACCAAAATCCCAGAACACCCTTCATTGCACAGCATATCCAGTCTGGTCCATCATGTTCATGAGCATTCTCTTTAGAGATAACAACCTGCACTGATTGTTGCCTTAGGCCTGAACGTGGATTGGCTGAAATAGTGGGTGCGTAGCACAATTGTCCAGGTTCTATACATACTTCGGTTTGGTCAATGCCCACTCTGCAGTGCCCAAGGGCTCGTTTCGATCCATCCAAGTACTCTACTAGAATACCTCGACACGTTTTGGTGCCCGCCTCATGATAAATGTGAGTGCGACAAACGTTAAAAAGAGGAGCCGATGAGTAGTTGGCGGATATGAATGGCGTACGTCTGTAATTGAAAGGCATAAAAGCAGGTATTTCAAAAGATATAGTAGGTTCAGCAACGCCACCTACAAAGGTTATCTTCTGGCTATCCGGTCTTTCATATATAAGGATAGATGGCTGTTTAATTAGCTGGATATTTTCGGCTGTTATATTGCTGGTAGATCCAACAACTACTTCTCCAGCTAATTTAAGGCGTAGCTGTTACATGATTAGCTATTTGCACAATAGTAGACAAGAGGCCCAGGTTTCATACAAAAAAGCGCGCCTGATTATCAGTGTAACTCCAGCCAAAAGCTGTAATAAAATCTCCAGAACTAATAGGGACATAAACCCACTGGGCAACAGCTTGTTGTTTAGGGTTTAGGGTCTTGAATGTACTTTGAGCAGATGGCTGAGCTGATGTATGCGCATGGATAGCCCATATCATATTACAACAAGTAAAAAATGTTATGCCATTGCAGGTACGTGCATTCAAAGTAGAAAGATAGCTTTTTGTGCGAGTATACTTATAATCTATCACGCAATCTTTCCAATCTGGAGGCGAAGGCGTATCCCAGATGCGAAAATTCTCTTCAAGTCCACCAGTAAGTTGAAGCCGTGCAAAGGGAAACTAATAGCAATTAGCAACCACATTAAAATCTTCAATGATAAAGGAACACACACCATATACTCTATTGATGCAGTAGAGAAGCACTCAGCGGCTTCAACAATATACAAAGCGGGGTTAGATTCAAGCAAGCCGTTGTTGGCAGAGCCCGGCTTCAACCTTTCGATGCTTCGCAACCCTTGTGAGTCAACAGAGAGACGTATAAACGACTTATCACCGTTGTGTTCGTTAGTTTCAGCTTGCATATGTATAGTCGGTCGTGTGCCTCGGTGCCACTTTTCAATTTCGTTAATAGAAATAGTCAGTAGCTTCCTGTTATACTCAAAGATCCACCATCGGGCCACAGTCCATAAAGATATATATCGCCGTAAGCAGCTTTGGGGAAGTTGCTCATAAATGAGAAGATCTAATTCCATGGGCAACGACTCCAGGCCGGGCAATTTCCATTCTTCAGCTGCTCGGCGTATATATTCCTTAATTTCAGTAGTAGAGGATGGGGCCAAGTGCAGAATAGGAGCATCATGCCAAGGACTTCTCCACGTTGCCATGGTCCACAGACAAGAAAGCGTATCCGAAGATATATGAGCGCGCTCAAAGAGTTCCAAGCAGTCCTTATGTACTGTTACGGCCTGCTTGGCAGAGGCGCAACGAATGCAATCGGGGAGGCGACAAAACATCCGATGTGGATTCGACTGATGGCAATACAAGGAATCTAGATATTTACTCGCTGGGTAGGTGGCTTCAATCTTGTTATCGAGTCTCTTAATGACTAACTCCAGCGTTAGCTACAATGTGAAAACAGATACAAAGACAGATATCTCACGAGAAATAACCTCATCACCGGGTATGAATGCATAGCTACACGCTCCACATAGAGGGTGAATGCGAACGTGTTCAAGCATGGTATAATAGTTCGATGCCGCAATGTGATGAACTGCACCTGAAGAGAAAGGAATTTAGATAAAGAGCGGGATTAAACGCTTTCACAAGACGGTTCAAGGTCGCTTGAGCAGTCTAGATTAAACAGAGCTAGAGAGGGTAAATATATTTTGACTCCTGAGCGTGACGCGATGCCTTAAAGCAAGGCTTATCATCCCTTGAAAGCTCTCGAGGCACATTGGCTGTACTCCGCCCCACATTCTTTGTCAGCGACGCAGTACATTGGTATTTGCAGCGGCAAGACTTCATTCAAATGGACGCATGTACGGAGTACTATAGATGTAACAATTCTTCAAGTACCAGTCCAATGGATATAAGACGACTGTCTCATAATTTGTTATTGCAGTAAACCAAAGTTATAACAAACCACTTATAGCATAGCAGTATCTGCTTGAATGTAAATATGCGAGCACAGAGTACATGTAGCTATTGTTTCTGTTACTTTAGGGTAGGATATAACATGTGTTTTTTGCAAGTATGTAGGTTTATAACAGCTATTTATCCTGGAATTTCATTTCTACAATACCCTTTATGTCAAGACCTATGTCATGATCTATAACTTCTTCATCTAGATAATCCCTGCCGGTTACGTAAAATTCTTCTCCCTCGTGAGGATCAGGAGTTTTTCGCCCTTCTTCATCATCATGATATTTAAGAGTCTTTCCCTCCTCTTTACAAAGATTAAAAGTGTTTCTTTTTTTCTCATGACGAAGAGCTCCTTGCTTCCGGTTAGGATTATACCGCGGTTTTTTACATGGCCCATCTGAACTCTTTGTAGATGCTACTCTCTTTCTCTTCCCTGTACTCTCCTCATTCGTGTATGTAGAATCTTCAACTTTGCATTGAACTTTTAAATTTGGCGCGTTGTCTTTGCCGTGAAACCTTGCAACATGGCTACACCATGCCTCTGGGCCCGCATTAACCGGGTTAATTATTCCGTCTCGTAAACATTCCGGACAGGGGAACCCATTCTCGAGTTTATTTAGATGGTCGTCTCTGAAATGCCTGTTTAAATTAAATTTTTTCACATATCGGCCACGGCAGAGAAAACATTGATAGTCTCTTTTAGTTCGATTCGAATCCTCAGCTTCCGGGAAGATATCTTTAACGCATTTATTGGTAAGATAGCCAATCAATTTCTGTATTGCGACATCAGGCTTAGTGTCGTCTTGCCGCAGTAGCATTCCAATGCGTCTGGCGGTTTGCCAAGCGCTATTGCCCCTAGATGGTCGAGCGTACTTGGTGGGGCTATAGCCTGCATGCTGTATCTGCTTGCCTTCAGCTCTCATCCTATCCACACACATGAAGTATTCTTTCCGTGATGAGGCAAGTTGTAATGCATCTAGGCGAAATAATATATATTCTATCCGGTGGTATATCGTTGATACCATTTTCGGCTCGTGAACTTTTGCCTTGGCGTAGAGTTGTCGAAGAGTGCTGATGTCTCTTCTCTTCTCAAAGTTGGCCCGGTCATCTTGCGTGATATATAGGGGAGCATTCGCATCTCGTGCTATAAGCACACGGCTCATTGAAGATGAAAGGTCGTTGTTATTGCCGGCAAGTTCTCCGAAAGAAGCATGAGCTAAATCGTCCGATAAATGTTTCGGCAAATAATTTGCCTCATAAATTTTATTGGTGTGATTTAACACGAAATTTCGTAAAGGACCTGTTAGGGTTTCTTTTCAAGAAATTAGCTTTTAAAATAGCTATTATGTGTGATTCTTAGTCTCACCATTAAGCCGAATGCCTGCGCCAACTCTCATGGCATACGGCACCACTCTCTGTGCATCACGTAACCCAGAGACAAGTAATGTTCTGTGCCATTTATTGTTATAAGTACTATATGTGATAGGCACAATATACTCATCCAGTATGTCAGACCTCCACTTCAAAGGAACATAGCTGATCCCAGGTTCAAGCGGTTGGCCGCTCAGGATTTGGGCCGGTGATGTAAAGTTAGCTTCAAAAGCATTGTCTGCAATGGCTGTGGCAGCTAAATGCGATAATAGACAGATTTGACGGCAAGCCATGGTTGAAATTGTAAATCTTAGCCTAATAGTATCTTAGTTAGCATGTTATTAACAAATTCAATCTTCAGATACTAACGCTGCTCGTTGAGTCCTCCGGATTATATTTGTCCGTTGTTTAACATGGTGGATAGTAATAGTTACGACAGGCCATAACTTATTGGGATACCTGGGATGAGAATACCACCCAAACTCAACATCGCGATACTTAATATTCATAAGGCTTCCCGGTCTCCAACCTCCAAACGCACCAAGCAAGATTACACAATGAAGTGCGTTGCGTACATTTGGTTTGCAAGGAATATGTTCAGCCTTTGTCCATAAAGTATCAAGGAATAAGAGTACATCCTCCACGGTCATTTGTCTTTTTTCCACAAGTTGTTCAAGAGACAAATTAACCTTCTTTGCTAAAATTGGTATATACTAAATGGCTAGTTAGCCTTTATTATGCTCTAAAAGGTGGTTTTCTTACCCTTGCAATATCATAAGCAGGACCCTCACAGTTGCCATATTTACTAGAGAAATGCAGTACCCAAGATCCTGGACTTTCCCCCTCTTTCTTTGCTTTAGGCCGGAGAATCTTTTTATTTGCATTATACACAAGTGCGCACCATATGTCTTCCACAGTGACAGCACATGTTACTGTTTGGACTTCTTCCCACTCTTCCGGCCCTAAGCAGGGTCGCCGAACTACTGAGTTTGCGACATAGCTATGCAGGAACGCTTTGCAAGTTTGTTTCGCATCATCTTTGTCCAGGCTTAAGTCTATCCAGACTTTCTCGGAGTCTTTTCCTGCGGCCTCGCAGAACCTAGACAATGTAATTAGAATATATTTGGTCCATTACTAAGAGAAAAACTTACGTTAACCATTTCGTCCATACCTTTTCGCGATACGCTTTCATTTTTTTTCTTCCATCGTCTTCACTGCAGTCCCCTTCACTAGAGTCTATGCCCTCATATAGCGCAAGAACATCTTTGGAGTTTGTAAAAGGCTCCTGTGGCAGATTAAGTAGCCATTCCAGATCGCCTTTAATCTCTTCAGATACATCGGAAAGCAAGTTTCCGCCACTAGCAAGTGCGCTGAGGGTAGCCATAGTAAGGTAATTTTCTTAATAAACGATTGTGTAAATATAAATTTAAACAAATGTATAAGGGAGAGTAAACATAGAACACAGTGTGGAACAATGTATTTAAATCAAGAGAAGGACTACTATTAAGCGACTATATGCATAATTAGATTAGCCTTGGTAAGGACTAATAATAAGCAGCTTTGTTTACGTCCCGGCGCTTCGCAGTTGAGAATCGGGGCAGCATCGGCGGCAAAGTATGGGGCATGCAGCTACCGTTAAAAACAGAGAGCGCGGGTAAGTTCAAGCAATGTAACTACCGTTCAAGACGGAGAGCGGGGATGAGAAGGTTATAATGGTAAAACTTCGGATGAGCCTCAATCGCAAGAGAGGCTCGTATAGCTCAGTTGGTTAGAGCTTCGTACTAATATTTCGGGTCCAATGGCTCCAATGTTGGTAATGCGGAGGTCGCAGGTTCAAGCCCTGCTATGAGCATTTCATTTTTCTTTTTGCCTACTGGTCGCATTCGGTATCCTCATCTAGATTTCTTTTTCCGTAATGCGGTGGCCGCTGGTTCAAGCCCTGCCGAGAGCAAGAGTCTCACAACCTTGGAGACCTCCAACAAAGGCTTTAATTTTTTTTTTTTTTTTTTTTTTTTCTTTCCTTTTGCTGCTATAGTTTCTATAGTCGCTTCCTATGTATTAGATCCACGTACATGTAGACCTTTCTAATTCAACCTTGATGTTTGCTGGGCATTCTCTCTTATAATTTGCAACACGCTCTCAGCACATTCCTCTGCCGTCTTATCTTTGGTATAGATAGTGTATTTCGCAAGTCTCTTATTGCTTGGATGTTCCAGAAAGTGTTTGTTGAGAGCCAGTTTGTGATTCCTTCGAGCCTCTGTAATCTTTATAGCTTCCTCCACATCTTCACAAGGCATCACCAAAATAACGTTCTGGTAGGGTCTCATCAAACCCTCAATCTTTTCCAACTCCTCTGGATTTTCATATACCGAATGTCCAGCTCCAAAATCGATAATCTTTCCATAAAACTCATCGCTCTCTTTACTAGCATTTTGCAAGATGTGTGAAACAGCCTGGTATTCAAAAATTTTCCAATGTTGATAAAATGGCCAGAGGCCCTGTTCTTCGTATATCTTTTCCGCAAAGGCTTTATCGTAGCCATATGGTGCGTAGAGCTCATCGCGGTGGCGGTCAATGCTATACAGCTCCTTTGCAAGATTCGCACCGATAATTCGACCGATTGTGGACTTGCCAGACCCCTCTGGGCCAATCAAAATTACACTTTCGGCACTCATTATAACTATAAATTGTTTCTGATATATTTTTGCAACTTAACTTGCTACTACTACTTCTTATAGATGCTGTCGGATTCAAGATGCCGGACATGGACCTGTATATAAGTGAGTCATACTCCTCACCGACAAAAGTTCGCGGCCTTTACTTAACCCCGCCTACTCTCTGCGTTCGGGGGGGGGGGGGNAATTGCCTATGCACGAACTCATGTTTGTTTCTCATGCGGTCTTAATAAGTAGTTTGTGTTACTATACTTCTTAGACTGTGTTGGTTACGCGTCTGCATGGGCATCGCATACGATGCATCACCTAATTCGATTGTTAGGTATAAAGAATTCTTTCACATCAGTAACCCCGCTTACACCAATTGAGAGAGCCCTGTATCCAACGTACAATAAGCGGCAGCTACTATAGTGATTTTAGTTACATTCCAGCTTAAGTCTGGTATCTAATCTACATTTAATGACATATGTCGCGTATTGAATGGTGTCTAGTTGTAAGACGATGTAGAAAATTAAACCGCCAGTACTTTGACCCATCATCATTATCTCGAAGCCAAATATCGTGGTGACACATTTTTACTCACGATGTGTCCATCTCGTGTTATATCAGATGCCATGTTATGTTTTCCCAAGCCCCTATCCATCATCAATGCACCATTCTCTTGGTACCATTAGATGTCCAATGGTATTTGCTTTGGTCATGTCTCATTGGTGCCAAATCTTCTTAGCCTGCGTACATGTACATACTGACTGCATTGCCCGTTTGGGACGCAAGCCCAATGCGACGAATCGACGCTAAGATTCTTAGTGGAGACCGCCAGAGTTCGCTGGTAATTGGTGGGGCGCGCGATCACTATCGATAAAGGATTTTTTTCCTGCTCGCTTTTTCTTCTTTTTTTTTTTGTTACGGCCCGAGACCCACCATTTGCCATTTGCGCAGTATCGATCAGTCTATCTCGTCGCAACGACCAAGAGATACGATTGATTTTTCGCTGCCGATTGGGACAAGATTCGCTTAATTCTACAAAATGGCCGCCACAAAACATCTCCTCGCAGAGGGCGACGACAGCGTTGCCGAGAACCGCCCAATCAAGAAGTCCAAGGTCGACTCCAGCGACGATGCTGAGAAGGCCCGCTTGAAGAAGGAGAAGAAGGACAAGAAGAAGGACAAGAAGGAGAAGAAGGAGAAGAAGAGAAAGTCAGAGGAGGAAGATGACAAGACCGAGGAGTCTGTAGAGAAGAGCGCAGACGGCGAGGGCAAGAAGGAGAAGAAGAAGTCCAAGAAGGAGAAGAAGGAGAAGAAGGCCAAGGAGTCTCAAGATGAAGACGCAAATGAACAACCCGAGAGCATGGACGTCGACCAAGACGAGAAGCCTGTCGAAGACAAGAAACAGTCCAAGAAGGATCGCAAGGCCAAGAAGGAGACCAACGGCAATGCGTCCGAGCAAACCTCCAGCGGTCGCGACTACGTTCAGACCATGAGCCTTTCCAACGTCGCACAATCCGAAATCGACGAATACTTGTCCAAGAACGAGATTGTCATTACAGACCCCAAAAACGTCACCGACAAGCTCCGACCCATCACCGAATTCCACCACCTCCCCTCAACCAACCTTCTCGAGAAGAAGCCTTCACCCTTTGCCAACTTCAAAGCTCCTACCCCCATTCAGGCTGCCTCATGGCCATCCACGCTTTCCGGCCGCGATGTGGTCGGTGTAGCCGAGACAGGTTCCGGCAAGACTATGGCTTTCACTCTTCCTTGCGTAGAGGCCATTTCCACCATTGGAAAGAAGGGCGTCAAGGCAGTCGTTGTGTCACCTACGCGAGAGCTTGCTATGCAGACATATGAGCAGATGAATGGCGTTGCTGCTCTTCTGAGACTCAAGTGCGTCTGTCTCTATGGTGGCGCTTCAAAAGACGACCAGCGAGCGCTTCTCCAGAGGGGTGCCGACATCATTGTCGCCACTCCCGGCCGATTGAAGGACTTCATGTCAGACGGCACTGTCGATTTGAGCGGCTGCAAATTCGCCGTCTTGGACGAGGCCGATCGTATGCTGGACAAGGGTTTCGAAGAGGATATCAAGCTGATTCTTGGCGCCTGCCCTCCCCGGGAGGAGCGTCAAACTCTCATGTTTACTGCTACCTGGCCATTCTCAGTCCAGAGCTTGGCATCCACCTTCATGGTTGACCCAGTCAAGATCACTATTGGTTCTCGCGGCAAGGAGACGGAGAATGGTTCAGTTGAGCTTCAGGCCAACACCCGTATCACCCAGAAGGTCGAGGTTCTGGACGGCAGGGACAAAGAATTCAGGCTCTTGCAAATCATCAAGCAGCATCAGCAGGGCAAGCAAAAAGATGACCGAATTTTGGTCTTCTGCCTCTACAAGAAGGAGGCTACTCGTGTTGAGAGCTTCCTCGGTCGCAAGGGCGTCCGTGTGGGCGGCATTCACGGAGACTTGAAGCAAGAGCAACGAACGAGAAGCTTGGAAGCATTCAAGTCTGGCAAGACACCAGTCTTGGTTGCTACGGATGTGGCTGCTCGAGGTTTGGATATCCCCGAGGTTAAGCTGGTCATCAATGTTACAGTAAGCGATGTGCACAATGCAAAGATCTATAAACTCCTTTTCTAACCTCATCTCCACAGTTCCCTCTCACTATTGAGGATTACGTTCACCGTATTGGACGAACTGGCAGAGCCGGCAAGACAGGCGAGGCTATCACCATGTTCACAATCCAAGACAAGGCGCACTCTGGATCGTAAGTAGTCCCTTCAAATGCAACTCGGTATGCTTCAAGAGGAGAAAAGGCTAATGGGTGTGAAATAGTCTCATCAACATCCTCAAGGGTGCCAACCAGCCTGTTCCTGACGAGCTGATGAAGTTTGGTACTGTTGTCAAGAAGAAGACCCACGATATGTATGGCGGCTTCTTCAAGGACGTAGATCCTAACCAAAAGGCGACAAAGATTACTTTTGATTAAATTAAAGCATGGGTATATCGGTAAGGGATAAAGGGTCATTTTTGTTTTACTCTCGTCTGCTTTTTCTTTTTCTTTTTTCGTCTTATTTCGTTGCTACTCGCGCTTACTTGCTCTGCGACCTCGGATAGACTGAAAGCATTCGAAAAGAAACTTTCGTTCTAGAGATACACTACAGCACTTTGTTAGATGATTGTGTATATTACAGAGAAATAGACGCATAGCATGTAGAGATGTGTTGACATACATTAAAAGCAGTAATGGAATGGCAAAGCCAATAATCTTAACCAGTGTTGCGAATGGCTGGTCTTGGCCAATTTCGTGAAAATTCAGCTGCCGTAAGAGTACCAGTGTTGACAGCGATACAGCGATTGTGGTCGTGGGAAATAGCGACGTGGGTGCAAAGTCTATACCATGAGATTTAAAAAACTTGTTAATGAAGGCGCCGCTCCAGATGATTCGGCATAGCATGTTGATGCTGTTGGCGTAGACGAGGCCAATAGCACCAAGCGGAAGGATACGCATAAAGAGGAAAGCAGATGCAGCAAAAACAGCCGAGAAGATGCCCATCCAGAATGATTGGCGGTGTACTTGAGCTTCTGAAGCGACAGAAGCAACAAAAGCCTCTGTGATTCCGTTGAGTCCCATGAATGGGATGTAGAAGCAGTATGTGCTAAGAACTTGGCCAGCCCCTGATCCAGTCCAGAGTTTACCCGCTACGATGGATAGAAGCGCTGGAGCCGCAAAAGGTCCAATGCTAACAATGATGGCTGACAAGAGGATGTACAGACGCAATATCGTGTGTAAGTTCTGTTTCGCCTCCTTGACTGATGAAGAGGGCTGCGGCGAAGACTGGCCATTACCAGTAAGAGACGGCGAAGATAAAAGGCGAGAGAAGTAGCTGCGGCTACTCTCTTCCACGGGTTGGAAGAGAAGGCGGGCGAGGAGGCTGCCGTAGTTGTTGGCCAGAGCATACACACCTTGGGCTTCGGGATTAGAGAATAGCGATATCAGGAAAGTGTCACCCTGTGTAAGGAGGTGTTTCACTACACTTTGGGCCATCATGCTCCCCGCAAGATTGACCGTCGGCTTGTAGAAATACGACAGCAGAAAGACGACATTCTGGTTGGAAGCAAGTTGCCTGGGCAGAAGTGAGAATCCAGTCTTAAGCGCAAGGCGATATCCTGAGACCAGATACACGACCAGAAGCGAGATGCCGTATGAAAGCTGGCCAAGGGCAAAGGGAAGGACGCCGATGTCCAGGCCCTTCCGGGACGCCCAGACAGCAGATCCGAAGACCACGGTGCAACGAAGAAACGTGGCGATGGATTCAGCAGTTGCGCGGGTGCCGAACTGAAGACGCGTTTGCATCAGGACAAAGCAAGGCTCAGACATGAGCTCAACCATGGCAGCCACTCCGTACAGCCAGAGGGACTCAACAAGCCAGGGCGTCGCAAGCGTTTCGACCGAGGCAGACGCGAGGTACATCCATCCCAAGCCCACGCTGACGATGCTCCCCAGCCCTACGGCAAGATAGCCCAGATTCACCACTGCTTGTCCCTCTTGGCGCGCAGCAGCAGCAGCAGCAGCAGCATCGCCAGCCTCGTCTTCATTGGTGCTTGCAGCCCCAGCAATGCCCTGGCGCTGGATGGCCACACGCAGGCTTTCGCGGGCGAAAAAGAGAACCGAGAGATAAAACACTTCTAGCTGCGTGGAAAGGGCCAGAAGAGGGGCGGTGAGAAAGCGAAGCAGCAGCTGGTTGGCGACGAAGGTGACGAGACGGGATGCGACTTGGAGGATGATGAGAAGGGAGGCGCCTTTGATGACGGACGGGCTGGGCTTTTTGGGCGGTGCCGATGGATCGTTGGTGGTGTGAGTCTTGCTATCTGGCCCATCTTTAGGGGCTTGAGTGCCCTCGTCGTTTGGAGGCGACATCATGAGCTCACGGATACGTGAGAAAGCGAAAGTGCACTGGCGACGATGCTGGGATTCAGCTGGAACATCACACGTGGAGCTTAGGTATGGAGGTTGCGCTGGCCCGTGCCTTGTCGGCTGCCGAAATTAGCGGTGCATATAGTGGGTTCAGTGGGTGGTTTTCTGTTTCGTAGGGCGGGTGGCTACTGATGTGCAGAACAGCATCTACCCTGGATATTATCCAATGGGCGCTCTGAGGAATGAGTCGGGCTTGATTGGAGTATGAGAGTTCAATGCCTGATATCATTTTTTATCTTTAAAAATTGATCGTAGTATAATGTAGTGTATCTATTACTAGTAAAATGCACAGGATCAGACCAATGTATTTTTCCATGATCTCGCTGCTAAATAGCTTGGTCAAGCGATATATATGGAACAAATTACTCCGTACGTGTACTTGGATATATAATTCTCCTCAGCTTCTCGAATCACAAGTCTCATGTCATTATACCAATTCTTTCGAGATTCAAAAAACAGGTAGTTCTACAGCTTGAGATTGCCATAGCTTCTAATATCTAGTAGCAGTAATTGAGAATTGGTCACACATGCATGTATGTTTGAAAACATAGTATCAAAGGAGCATCTCCACCATTACCCACTTAGCACATGTTGCTATCAATGTAGCCAATAAAGACCTGCAGTGTTAGCCAATATGGCCTGGATTTGAACTAAGAAATGCTATTTGTTCATTGTTACCTTGAAAGGCAAGTCTATCATGTTTTTTTGAGACGCGCACGTAGGCTAGCTGCTCTCAATTTCGTAATCCATGGGTGTAAGTATTGTAAGTATGCATGTGAACACAAGCTACCTGGTAAGGAGATACCCACCGTTGTTATCTGCAAAGTAGCAGGTTTTCTTAGTCTCTATTGCGATGAGAGAATTTACGAATCTTGCAATGGGATTAATTGATATTTCACAGTAGATGCTTTTATGTCTTGAGTAGTGTCAACCAGAGAGAATGGTGCTTTCCATGCAGAGCGTGTATAAAAGGAATGAATATGTCTTTTTGCTCTGATCGGCAAACTGGGTAAAGTGGCATTGCTTTGCATGCAAAATCGATGCATCAAGTTATTGGCTACATTTAAAGCAACGCTATTTGGCTTCATTAGCCTCGTAACTTACATAAAGGCGCACTCTACGACCAACCATGTGCATCCTCTTGCTGTTGGAAACTCGAAAAGAGCAGTATACACAATGGACAAGCCTCTTTCAACACCTTGTGCTTCTCAAAAACTTGTTTCCGAGTTTGACGATGACGACAGTCGCTGGGAGGCCGTGAAATCGCGCAATGTAAAGGCAGATGGGCTCTTCGTTTACGCTGTGCGAAGCACTGGCGTATATTCCCGCCCTACCTGCAAGGCGCGCCTCGCGCATCGATTCAATACTGCCTTCTTCCGAACAAGCATTGAAGCCCAAAGCGCGGGATTCCGGCCATGTAAGCGCTGTCATCCTGATGATAGTGCTCACATGCTAGCAGATATTGCGGTGTCCAAGATTCGTGCGTTCATGAAGAAACGACCCCTCGGGACGATGATGGGAAAGGACGATACAATGACAATGTTGAGTTTAAGTCAAATGGCTCGGCAGGCTGGCCTATCCAAGTGGCATTTTCATCGCCAGTTTAAAAAGTGCTTTGGAGTGACACCGGTCGAATATCTAAGGATAGAGAGGAAAGCAGCGGGACTTGCGACTTCAGCAGAAGTCCAAGGCGAAAAGTCGTTGCTTGAATGTGGATCTCATATAAGAAATAGTAAGTTGGGATTCGTATCCTGTTTTAAAGGGCAAAATCGCCATTCATTCCAAGTGGAATTAGCAAAAATTGTTCTTTGGCGGCGCATACATGGGCTTACAAGCCATAGAGCCCGAGTGTTCAGATGGACTCGATGTAGCGACAGAGTAAAAGTATTATTTTAATACACGATGCGATTCTTGCCGCTCACCGCAAAATTTAAATCTCGGGTTGAAGAGCAAAGCTGAGTGCTGGAGTGGGCAAAATGGGAGGTATTGACAAATCAGTATACATTATTGAAGAGAGGCATATAAGCACCATTGAAACCAACAATACAGAAAATAAATATAATGAATAGCATTAATACGGCATTAATACCACATTTTCAAAGTTATTCTTGGTTCCAAGTATGACTGCAGTTCGTCATACCCAGTAAGATGTCCAATAAGACAACTGAGAGCGGCCAAGCTATCGCGGAGAAGCACAATGCCAATGTTTCTTCCCGAGTTTCGATATAAAAGGCACTATTACAAAGAATTCATTTCTTTTCTTGAGTTTCAAGTGACGCAATAATGATTCAATTATTCAACGAAACATGCTCAACTTGTGCAATTAGATGTCGAAACTCCTCCGAGGAAGTCTGCGACAAGCCGAAGTGTTACCATGTCTGTTGTACATGTATATACTCAAAACGCATTCCCCGCAACTTATTTTCATTTGGTGTCCCATAAACCTCCAATGAAGGGTGGAGAGTCTTGTATCCTACAGCTTAAGATCAGTCGCGTGACTCCGGCCTCGGAAACTCGTGAGGCAGTACTTCTCAGAAATCAAGCATGCTGAAATATCTCCACGTGTGAACATATATAAAGGCCTTTCCACGGCACCTTCTCTCTCTATTCTTCATTCCTTTTTTTTATACCCAAAACAATTATCTACCTTTGTCACTCTCGAAGATATCTAACTATACATCCTGCAGAAGATAATATTCCATCAAGCAGCCATGGCTACGGAATATACCATTAACGCTAGGAGTGCCGTTGCTGCTGTAGCTGCATCTAGTAAATCATTCCGGGTTTACTTCCAAGATACGAAGGACGGCATACGTGAAGGAGTCTTTCATGAAGGAAAGTAGACAGTTTCTGGCAAGGCCATATTTTATGCTAAACGACTCAATCCTCTTTCGGCTGTCAGCTGGGGCCGGGGTAACCAGATGAGCCTACTTTCTATCCTCCTACATTAGCTCAATCGTTGACACATGGTTGTAGGTTCGACTCTACAGCATATCTGCGCATGGATTACTTGAAGAGTGGTGCTACAGTAATGGAGGGCAATGGGCTCCAGGCTATCTTACCAAACAAAAGATCCAAACTGCTCAGAACTCTTCTGTAGCAGCTGTCAACTGGGACGGACCGAACATTCGTGTGTACTGCCAAGGTATGAATACAACAAAACGCTCGTTTATTAAGACATGGAGGCCAGTCTCTTTTTTTAATAGTTAAAGCAGAGAAAGGTTCCAATGCTATCCAAGAATATTGTGTTGGTAATCCTTGGTAAAAAGGTGAACTCTTCCAGTCGCTGATCACGGATCCAATTGGCGGCCCTGTCGTGGAAACAGACTGGTGCCCCCCATATACGAGTTTATTACCAAACTCCAGATCTTCTCGTTCAGGAGCATTGCTATGACAACGGTTGGAGCAAGGGTAAGTGTGATTATTGTATCGTTTTCGTGGTTACGTATTAACGGCGAGATATTTTAGGCGGCTTCAACCCTGGTGCCGCATTGAAGAATACCGCTATAGCTGCCACTTCGTGGAATAACTCTGGAGTGCATCTCCATGTGTATTCACAAGATAGCTACGGGCTACTTAGAGGTTATAAATGGTCTGGATCGTGGGAGAAAACAGGGTTTGGTAGCTCTGTGCCAGTTGGTACACACATGGTGGCAGTAAATTGGGACGATGGGAAAATGGTTTGAGTCTACTACCAGTCTGATGATGGAATTATCTGGGAAGAGAGTGATGACGGTACAAAGAAGCAAATTGTGTAGACTCTTTAGTCTAGTATCGGTTAGTACGTCTAAAAATTGACCAGGAACAGTGCGAGCATAAAGAATGTACCGCGATTAAAGTCTCAATCAACGGAATAGCGCCTACTGTTACTATTCTACTACTGATGTTGCTATATGCAGATATTTAGAAAACTTTGGAGTAAAGAGTTTACATTCAACTAAATTGATCATACTATTCAATGATACCTCATTGATGGCTGGGTGTTTTCAAGGCGCTCTAGCATCGAGGTGTGTTGTACACGTTCTTTGTCTACCTGCCTGTACCTGCTTGGATCCGCTTCCTGGTTCTAGAAAAGAGAATTCACACAGGGGATGGCGGTAAAACTTATCCTCCTTTATAAATTACAGGGGAGTAGCTAAAGAGATGCCGTGAATGGTGATCTCGTGAGATAGAGATGATGAAGATCTGTCGATCGATCTCGTTCCTCGCTTCACAAACGGAAGAGTCCGGTGGTACAATGCAGTGTCAGAAAACTTACTGCCGGCACTTTGCCGATCAGCGACCTCAAGATCATTAAACACGAGTGGGGAAAAGAGTTGCCGAAATACCATGCTGACGGAACATGTGAAATATCGGAGAATTTTTTCAAGGCTCGTGGACATTGGACCCAGATGAGCTAATGCAGAAGAGATCACGAATATTCCAGAAACCGGAAATGAAAGATATCCATACTGACGAGCACTCGGCTACCATCGCGACTTACATGCCGAAGCCAGGCTCGTAAAGTATCAGGGAAACATAATATTATCGGACACTTCCGATAGGAGCTGAAGCCATAGAACCCAGGAGCCTACCGAAATCCCTCATACCCCTATCCTTCATCAGCTCTATGAAGCGTCATGTCTCTTTCCCTCGGTAATTATTACAACATAGAATTGGAAGTTTGCTTCTTCTCTTAGCCATCTCTAAACTCTAGAAAAACACGGAGCCCACATCCACGTAATTCCACGCATAATAGACAGCCTTACCCTTCTCATCATTGCCTCCATTGATTGACGGGGTGGCAAACAGCTGGGACAACGCCCAGATTGGTTCAGCTGCTCCAAGCAAACCTTTCTCAGGGCCCACAAACTTACTCACACATACTCTTACGCGAAAACCTCGTGCCTGACTCGTGCGTATGAATCAGTTTGCAGCTTATACTAGTTAAGCGTCTGCTGGCCACCACTCAAAACACACCCGTCTCTTTTTGGCTATAATTTAGTGATTTTTTAACAAGGCTAACTCACTCTGTATCCCCTATTCAACCCGAAGAATCAGGGGTGATCTCCATGGAGAAAACGTGGCTGTCCCAAATGGTGATCCAACGGGAACGCTCCCGGAGGTTCTCTAGTCACTTGTGGGGAGCTTAGAGAATAGCTAAATTAGCAGCTCACCTAGCACTACCACTTTGTCGGGTGAAATTGACCGGCCTGCCGGAATTGTGTCCTAGTTTACCGAGGGACCGCCGCTTGTTAAGTGCGAGCGACCCAGTGTAAATTCAGAAATTTTATACTGCTGCCTGTTGTGTGTATGGGGGCTGCGGGTACTGCTATTCCGGGGAATGGAAATGTGGCTGATCTAAGAAGCTTGGCTGGTTAGGTTCAACTGATGGAATCAAGCTTTTGTGACGGGAGTGTCGACCGTCAGACGAAAGTTCGATGATCCGCACCACCGTCGTCCTTCATAAGCTAATAGTCGTGGTAGAAGATTATGGAGAGTAGTGCAAATCTAGCCCAGCGAAAAAGATTCTTTTCATTTTGCTGGAACATTTTTGGATTAGCCATTGCCTTTAGTAGCAATCAATAGATCGAATAGATCGATAGATCAAAACTGCTGGTTTGGATATTATCGGAATGTTTCTGCCAGCATGTACAAGACCAGAGGCGTGTCTCACTCCTCTTCAGGGGTGCGTACTGGTGCATACTCTACCAAAAGAGTTTATTTTCACTAGATGTGTCATAGTGTTATACTACGATAAATTACTGACGTCCAGTTGCCACTTTTCGTCTTCCAAGAAGGCCTTCAGATGGTCATCCAGCCACTTCATGTCCTGCTTGCTCACACCCGGACCGCCCGCCCTAGAAGGAGCTCTCAGTTAGTTTCTCTTGTATATCTCATACCGAGCTATGGGGTTCTCAAGAACGTACCAGTGACCCCAAACTGATGGGAACGGAATACAAGCCCCAATGCCTTTAGTCATATTTTGTACCTCGTATTCCGAATCCTCCGGGGGGAAGTACAAGTCTGTCTTGCCTGGTAGAACAAATGTTTTGGCCTTAATACTTCTCATGGCAAGCTCAAAGTTTTTGTTATACGGCTCTTGATCTGAACAATCAGCAGCCTGCCACGTATGAAGCATGGTGAGCAAGTTCTCAGGGTCTACATAAGAGTCAGCAGATACCATGTTCTCAACGGGCAATAGCTAAACAAACCTTTGGAAAGAGCCCATGATTCCCAGAAATTTATCATAAAATCCTCAAGATTCTTGTATCCCAATTCTTTCTCATATATGGCGGAACGATAGAAGGCTTGACTAAATCCCCACCCTGCATATACTCGACCAAATGCCTTCAACCCAGAGACTTTCTCTTCTTCAGTCCACACCCGGTACGTCTTAGCCAACTCACCAGCTGCACTGCCAGCCGATGAGGACCCCTTAGCAGCAAGTAGTGCGCTTTTGACGCCTTCGAGAAAGACTTGGTTGTGCAGCGAAGTGCGAGCGCTTCCGCAAAAGGGTACGCCTAGATCCATAAAGTCTGGATATTGTGTCAGCCACTGGTAAGTTTGTCCAGCGCCCATGCTCCATCCCAGGACCATCCGTGCGTGCTGGACGCCCAGGCCCTCGGTTACAAGTCGATATTGTGCCGTAACATTATCCTTCACGGTGATATTAGGGAACGGTTTGAGTGGGGACTCTCGAGGAATATTGGATGGACTACTGGACTGCCCATTCCCGAATATGGCTGGGATGATAATAAAATATCGACGGGGATCGAGGGCTTTGTCTTCACCAACAAGCCATTCGTTGTCTGAGATTAAACCGCTGAACCAAGAGGGGTAAATGACGGCGGGGGACGATGGATCACCAAAGGTCTTGTAGGCGATGAAGGCATTTGGAATGCTCTCGCCTGAAACGAGCTTGAAGTCTCCCAGCTGAAAGATCTTATAGTCTAGTTCGCTACCCATGATTGTTACTCTTAGTCTGATATTGACAAGTCTTGAATGTTGGTAAACGACATGGTGATGAGGCTGCGAGCAGACGCAGCTTTATTGGTTTCGAACGGCGGCCGATGAATGCCGACTAAAGGCGCTGCGCATTGTGTTTCGTCATGATAAGACATCTTCACTGTGCGTCGGGCCTGATAATGCTACCCCCAATCGATGAAATGAGGGGAAGCGTCAGAAGGCGTTTGGATCACACGTGATGCAGTGCTAAAATGCATCTATCTGCTTGATAGCTGCGCTATTTAGTAAGTGATCTGCAGGTCAATCGCTCTAGAATCTCAAACCTTGATGCGCCAGATTGATGCAAAGGTTGTTTGCGATGATAACAGTTGTGGTGGCATATACCAGCAGTACTCGATGGCTCTCCACACACATACATGCATACGTGCAGCGGGGTTCTGTTGGATTGCTGGACACAACATGTAGCCCAGATAGCGGCTATTATCAGAAACTCTGAATGGACAAGTCCATCTGGCAACCTTGATAGAGTTTAATCTGTTTAATGTCGTGCCGTTTTTCGTCACTTCGATGAAAGAATTTGAGTTTCAAGATGTCTTGTCGATTGAGTCTTCTAGAATCAGGCCAACGGTGAAGATTCTCACTCAGCAGCAAATTTCCCGATCGGTCCGTCCCGTCAGCAACCTCTACGAGAAGACGGTGGGCTTCACAGACACTGGCTCATATCACATGAAGTGACCGATGTACCGAGCGATAAGCTGACAGGTGAGAAAGCCTCTTCATCACCGAGCTTCTACATGCGGTACCCCTATAATCTTCAGTCCAGCTAGACTCTCCTACTTCCTTGGAATCCCAGCTTCTGCTTAATTTAGTGCTTCGTAGTGCGGGCCGAGTCGAGAGCTCGTAGCGGCGCCGCGCCTGATGGTGCTGACGATACAGGCCGCTTAGTGCACAATGCTGCTCTCTCCTGCTGCTACTACGCCGTAGTAGTACTGGTATTCCGTCTCTGCGGGTTGTTAGGGCCATCCGACGGTAATCTAGAAGGGCGGAATGGAACAGCGAAACGTGGGTGTCCCTCGTGGACGGCATGGACATCGATTTGCCTTTGCTCGAAATATCTGAACCCTGGTGATTAATACTACTCAAGCAGGGGCTCTTCGAAATGAGAGAGCGCTGTTGGCCGAGCAAGAAAAAGCAAAAGAATGCGCGCATTAAGGCTGGCCTGCTACTCTGGGGTGACAGCGGCGGCAGGCTCCTCTTGCGTTGCCACACGACAGATGAAAGGGATCGGTTGAGACTGGCCATGGCAACAAGGTTGGACAAGCTTTGCTGTAGAGTGTTTTGCGTTGAAGGTGGTGACCTCGCCTCACAGCAGCCTCAAGCACCTTAGCGCCAACTAAGATGTATGCATTTATATTAGAATTCGCTCAGACGCGCCCTTGTCGCCTCAGCCTCTGGACGATGGCTTGGAGTACGGGTTGGAGAAGAAGAGGAGCAGAGCGGGTGGGGTCAATATATTCTATACGGAGCCCTCCGCGTTGGATTTTAGATGCTCCTAGGCAGTGGTATGATTCGTGGTAGGTATTATGATGCCGATGTCCTCGCCGCTGTGGTATTGGTGCAAATATCGCCCATTGTTTACGTCGTATTTCTCTAGGATTTTAATGATCCCGTCATGTTGCGTGGCAAGCCAACGGAGATGCAGACAAGTAATACGGCGTATATACATACATACGTGGTGCTGTTTCTCCGCAGTTCATCTCCTGGCTGCAGGTCGTGTGAGTGGACACCGCCGAGAAGCGCCCTGGAGTTGATGAAGCGGGATGCAGCCAGAACTAAAACTAGCCCGCACCTTGGGGCGGATACTCGTCTTCCATTTTCCTTTGAGGTCGAATCCCAAGCGGCCAACCTGCAGTAGGATTCCGAAGTGGGCTGACGGGGAATCTCTCGTTAGGTGTGTTGAGCAGCCGTTTGATGAAAAGGAACTTGGCTTCGGCCAAGGAGGGAGGCACAAGGCTGTCATTGGTGAGTGGACGAGAAACAAATTTCAAGACAATCTTACGCAGCCGTCTTTGGCACCAGACTGTTGGCGGTGGCTATGGGGCCCTGTCACCCACGGTATATACCATTGTTTAATTTCCTTGCCATGTGTACGAGATGCTGTGCACAGACGTAGCCAAGAGCTACTAATTTAGAGCAGATACACGAAGGTAGCTCTAATATGCAATAGCAACAGCATGAGCATACCCCCAGATATAGACTCGACAGTAAAGGTGGCGAGCAGCAGGGAAGCTTGCATGGCAGGGTCTCTCTATCTGTTGCATCTGACAGTCAGCTTTTGACCGATCCAACACCATGGTATAATCCTGAGCTGCTGAGCTAGCCTCGTAATGGCCTAGCAAACTTGCTCTGTGCCATACCAGTACGACTCCATAATCCGTAATCCGCAATTCGCAATCTGTGTTCTCATAGCTCTGCGAATGCCACGTTGTACTCGCACTTATACCATAAGCACAGTGCACTATTGGCTCTCTTATACCAGAGCTGCTAAATGGGCGGGTTGGCGGGGAAGCTGCGTAAAAGGCGTAGTTGGGGGAGTCCCCTTTTGATGGAGTTCGATGGAGATGACCTGAGCTTTGGGGACGCCCTGGTCTCTGCCAAATATTAACATATACAAGCACTAGGCCAACAGTAGAGGGCAATACTGTACCACCAGCAGTAGCCCGAGGACAGAGAGGATAGTGCTGCTTCTAGTGTGCTGTTAGTCCTGGCACCCACGCACGCCGTGATACCCACCTGCATGTGAAGCTGCCGCTAATAAGCAAAACGCCACGTTCTGCTCCCGACAGCCACAGCACGGTACATACGTAATAGTGCGGCCCGGTGTGAAATGAAGGGGATACTGAAATTAAAGAAAATTTTTCTCATGCCTTGCATTTGGGAATCTGAGGCGCGTTCGCTTGTGGAAGTAGCCGGGCGGATATCTGGGCCAAACCATCATCCAAGTTCGAGTACACCATGCATCTCGCCAGCCTGCTGAAGATCCAATTGACTAGGCACCTGTAAATGCTACCCAGTGCCAAGTCTCCAACCATGAGTCAAATCAAAACAATCCATAAAATCCTTGCATACCTGTACAGTGCATATACAAGTATGCTGTATACGAGTATTCGTACCTGGCCTCCTCATAGTCTGCGCCCCCGGGCTGTTTAGAGCAGGTACTTTGCTGGGTGGCCTGACTCGAGATGGTTTGCTAGCGATATTTGGCGTCACGTTATCAAATTCTGCGATTCCTCATGGCAGGGCTGACAACCGGTTACGCGCGGGAAACCTGGGCGACTGCAGAGAGACATTGAGAAAAGCAGGGATTCCTTTTGCCCATGGCTCGCCTCGGCTGTCGCTTCTTGTGCCTCTCCGCTTCTGCCTCTGCACTCAATGTAGACACACATGTAAGGCACCAGTGAGCTATCGTTTCACCAGCCTTCTGTGACAGCATGGCCGAAAAGGTTGTGTGGAAGACAAGGCCAGCACAAAGGAGGGCAGATCCGCGGTCGTCACATCCGCGATGCGCCAGTAGCAGCGCATCTCGCTCTTGGGCCTTTTCACCCACCAGGGGCTGTTTCCCAGTTGCTGTCAGACAAGATGACGAGCAGCTGCCACTGGTCGTTCAACAGCCTTGCATCGCCACTCTTTGCACGGGCTGATTTCATCCTCTTCATGGCCCAGGCAACAGGTGCTAGGGCAGGCGGCTGGAGAGCGAGACCCCGGGAAGCAGCTGTTGGACCATCCTGGTTGGCCGGCTGAATCGTCAACGCCTGGCCGGTCCCTCCACGGAGGAGGCCACCCCACAAGCCGCCTGCTGGCTTGCTGGTGCGGAGAGAACCTGTCGTTGCTCGCTCGGCCTCGCTGCGGGTTTCGAAGACGCATGTTTGATATTTCGTCCCATACTCGATAGAACGCTGCCGTCAATGCGTGACTGCTGTCCGGCAGGCTTCCGTCGTCCCGGATGGGCCTGAGCAAACTAGTCGAGTTCCTGAAACAACAGCAGTTCGCGGTAGATGTGCAGCCGAGCGTTGCAACACACGAGCTGAAGACATGAATTACATGCTGAGCCCTGCAGCATGCCCGAGTGCTCGCCGTAATCACACTCGCACAAACACACTCCGTTCTACCGCGTCACTCGCTGCTGCAGGGTGTTCGCAAATAGGCACTGGCCAGGACTTGGTTCCCTCATCGGGTAAAAAGGAACATGCACAAAGAGCGAAGGCCGGGTTGTTTTGGCGCCAGGGGTCCCGCCGAAGTCCTACCTGCACCTATCACAAACTACGCAGCTCTTCCCTCCGGCCAATTGGGTTTTGGTCTGGCCTAGTGGCGTTGTGGCGTCTGGCCCAGCGAAATTGGGGCCCCGACTGGAGGGTCTGGAGTACAGGCATCGCCAAAAACTCTTCCCCATACGGAGCTCACCACCAATCTTCATACATATTGGACATGGGTCCCGTAGCGTCTCCATCAGGCGTCTCCATTTCCATCCAAGCACCAAGAACTTCGTGTGTTATAGTCTGCTACCGACTCTTCTTAGCGGAGGATGCGCTCTCGGTCCGGTTTTTTTCCCCAAGCTATCGGCTGTTCCAGTCCACAGCTGGGTTAGACACCGTCCATTGAAGCTTTCTTTTTCATTTATTTCATTTGACAATCTCCTCAAGAGCAACTATTGCTACCACTTTACCCTTCAGAACCAGAAAAGCCTTTACCTCAGAAGCCTGTCCCTGCTGCCACTCTTCCTTAGGAGCCACCCTCTTGGACGCCCCTGGTCGACCTGTCGTTCGCTTTCCAGCCGAGATACACCCCCCTCTTCTTCAGCTCCTACTAGAATCCGAGTCGACAAGCGAGGAACTATTACTTTTCATCTCCTGCCCATGAAATAGTAGTCGAAATCTTCATCTTCCTGTATCACCCGTTTGTTCAACCCCGCGGGGAAAAAGAAAAGAGACAACTTTCTCTTTTTGCCACACCACCTCGGTCTGTTTATCCGTTCCCAGGTCCCACAGCCGAAATCACCCCAGCCCAGCCAACAACATGGAGCCTCCTCCATTTGCTACAGATCTGGATCGGATAGCGTGAGTCTGCCTCAAACCCCTTTACTCTTTAGTCTCGAGACTTGATCCGGGGCTCGACCGGTCTGGCCAGACCAAGCCAGTAGCCTACGCTACCTATTCGAACGACGGGGATCCATGAGGCTAATGCAGTGCTTTTTCTTTATAATCCAGAGACACCCTGCGTCGTATTGACACTGGTGGTTCAGCCCAATCGTCTCGGCATAATGCCACATCATTTGACCCCAGCAGAGATACTCAAAGAAATTCAGACATCATGAATACTGAACCTCGCTATCACGCCGCTACTCGCGACTTCCCTGTGCCTCCCCCGTCCAAGGGTGAGGCCGTCGCTCAATGGCTTGAGGAGAGCGACGATATAGTCGAGCAATACCATATGCCTTTGCAGAGAGATTCAAGAGGATCTCTCCCCCGTCGACCGCCCTCCAGGGATCGACCCTTGACTGGTCGACGAGAATCGCTCAACTCACAACGCAAGTTGTCCAGCGCATCATCCAACTACTACGCCTCGGGATACAGCCTCTATCCTGCTCCATCAAAGCCATTGCCGGCAATTCCTACTCCTAAATCCGCCACTCACCGGGTGCCCTCCCGGGATTCATCAGATAGATCATCTATCAGCACCCATCGCTCCTCTCAGGTCTCGGCCACCACCTCAACTCCAGATGCCACCACCGTCAGCTTTTCGCCGCCCCCTCGCCGCAACAACCGATTCCCCACTAACTTCTACAAACCCCCGGATCCCTCAGAAGCTCTCCCCCCACCCCGGAGGTCGTCTCGTCCAGCTGAAGTTGTCTTCTGGAAGCTCCTTCAGTCAGACGACAAGAAGAATGGCCCTATCCATTACCTTGACATGTCGTCTAGCCTGTCCACCATAGCGACTAAGCACGGAAACAACATCATCAAAGTCTGGTCCACAGCCGGAGGAACTGTTCAGCAGGTCATCAAGATTTCTTCTTACACGGCGGCGCAGTCACGTTCTCGCGAGTATCTCATTCGCAGCCACGCTATTCTTGCGGAACCTACCAATCTCATTGCTATTGCCACTCGCTTTGGCAGATACATTGAGATCTGGAATTGGGCCAAGAAGAAGTGCCTGCAGTCAATTGACGATGCTGATCGTTGGACTTCGGCCCAAATCGAGTCATATGATGGAGCGTTGTGTTCCTTGGCCATCTATGGCGGCGAAAAGGGCATCATTGATCTCTACAAGGCGACCCCGGAGAAGAAGCCTTTTGTCAAGTCACGTACCATCAACCTAAATCACGTTGAACTGCCATTCATCCCTCAGTATCCAGAACTTGCGTTATCAACGACAAGCCCCCTGCTTGTCATTGCTGCTGGACCACGCCCTCCACGTCAAGGCCATCCACCCCCTGAGAAGGAGACGCTCCTAGTTGCGTGGGACACTACCGAAGGCGCAAATAAGCCATACCGAATCGCGAGGCCATGGCAACACAAAGAATTGGATACAGCCATCCCATGTGACCTAGTCACCTACGGAAGCGCCGTCGTGTCTATCTGGATTCCCGCTTCTTTCCGCGCGGTACCCGCCACAAATGGTGGATCAGGCTTCAATCTCAGCCCCGTAACTGTCCCGTACCGCTATGTTCTGGTCTGGGATCTTGCAGCCAACTCAACGAGAACTTTTGGCATTCCTAATACGATTTCGTGCGTGTCGCCGGATTGTCGCTTTGTGGCTTATTGCCACGCAACCGGAACCGACATTGGTGCTCGCGGCAGCATGGTCATTCTGGACGTTATGACTGGCAAAGAGGTTTGGAGCTGGCCAGATCCAGAAGCTTTGGCCATTGACTACACGCCTCGCCCTGGCTTCGAACAATTCGATGACCTTTCGCGAGTTTCAGAGCTCTGTTTCTCAGCGGATGGAAAATTCTTGAATGTTGGTGATTTGGAGGGCCATGTTGGCATGTATGAGTTGCGTGAATCTAGTGGAGACAGAGTGCAGCTCCACATGATCTAGTGGAAGCGCGAAAGGAACAAAAAAGGAACAAAAAAAAATATCTTATGAAACTACTTCTTTACGATATGGGACTTGGGAAATGTCTTGGTCTTTATGAAGCTATGCTAGGTCGCAATGAACTTTCCACTATGTTTCTCTGCTTGGACGACCGAAGAGGGAGGGTATAAGCTGTAACAATAATATCAGATACCACGGGTTCAAAATTGGCTACTATTACAATTTAATTATCTCTGACGAAATATCTTGCATTTTCTGCGTGACTTGAGTAGGTGTAGCCTATATATCTCTGTAGAAATTGAAATTTCAGATGCACAAATTATTAGAAGGACAGGGTTTTAGATGAAGACGTTGAGGTATAGAAAAGTAAGTTGAACATGATAGTAAAGTCTGTATTAAAATGTTAATTCTTCAACGTTTCAGCGCTCCATAAATATATAGAATGGCATTTTTGCATATTACTTGCTTTTCTTTCAAAAGTTGCGTTTTCATACCTAGTCTTCGTAGAAATTAGACTCCACCCAAGCCCCAGAGATTTTTCACGGCCCATCGTCATTCCCCCCACGATTTTTGATGGCGATCTTGATAACTCTAATGGAAAGCGTCTAGAAAAAGTCTAGTATGTTGCGAGTTATAATTTTACCTTTTATTAGCCCCAGCCGCACATTACTGGATGGACAAGATGCGGGCGATCCGATCATGGCTGCTGGGCGATCAATGAGATGGCCATTTGCAGCCACGTGTATGCCAGGGTTGGGGAGCTTACGGGTCCACTGCTCTGGCTAGGTTATCTTGCCTGCTTTAGGGTGGGACGGAAGGGATTCTTCGCTGTATCGTTGTTAGATAAGATTAACAGGGAGCAGCTGTCAATCTATCTTTACAAGAAATATTGACATTTGGATGATGCTCGAAGCTAGGATTAGGTTGCATACATCTAATTATACCCCTGTCTTTGGCTTATAATTTGGCATATATGTCTAATATTAATATTGAGAACCAAAACTTCTGCTCAGCTTGTCTTCCAAAGTCATATCTAAAGTGTGAGCTCTCCATACTTACTCTACCTAGTTAGCTCGCAGTTTACATTAACATGGGCTATAAACTATAGCGTTGTACTTCCAAGAGTCAAGAGCGGCTTCTTCTTATAGCGGTTCTAGACACAGTGTCGTACGTTTACACTATATCCCTTCAATGTTGCCAATAGAGACAGAGCTTGATAGCTACAAAATTCTTCGGGCGTATTTAGGTCTTATTGTCGAATCTTGCCGGATCTACACGTAGATGATAAGAATAACATGGATCCCCTTGTACGTCTCACTTTTACTCCACATTCTCTCTTATTATCTAGGAGATTAGATCATTGAACGCAGGTTTCTTTTTGCTGCTCTGAGAACAGGCACTATGTTCTTTAAGGATAATGTACGTTTGGTAATAGATACAGTATACAAGTGATTGCTTTCTGATGTGAGAAAGTCCTACCAAAAGAAAGTAGCTAAACATTTAAGCTTTTGCTTTCTATATCTACAAGCGTTCGAGTTTTGACTGTGAAACACTCTGACCAAAAAATTTCTGTGGAATATCAGCATGGACTGCCCGGATGAATTCTCCGAATCCTTTGCCCAAGTTGTCCAACAAACTCGTGCTAGTAACGCCTCTGCCCAAAGCCCCATACACCACAAAATGAACTGCATGGATATTGGGAAATTCGACTCTCTCAAGGAAGTACCAGTCCTTCCAATCCTTCCTCATTAATGATCGCAGCCTGTCCTTGGTCATGAAGGAGCGAAACCATTCCCATTGCTCGGGTGACTCCACAAATAGGCCGATATTCACGTTACCGCCTTTATCACCCGAACGAGCAAGGACGAGATCTCCTAGCGGGCGATTGAGGGTTGGCCCAAAGCTTTCTAAAGGTACAGGATTTGTGGTTTCATAATTTTCTCGGGGTGTTAGCGGCTCTGTCTTGTTCGGCGGGGGAATAGAATGGCGAAGCGCCTCTTCGGTTGAAGTTTCACCCAGTATTGTAACAGTCTCTTCGATATCATTTTGAGATACAATGGCTGGGTAGTACGCAAAGAACGGTTTTGGTGCTAGTGGGCGGAGGTCCATCGAGAAATGCATGCCTGACAAAATCTATAGTCAGTTCTCGGACATCATACAAGCTTTGAAACGTGAATACCTGGAAAATGAGACATGAACTTGTAAGACCAGGCCATGTGCAATTTGCTCAGCACATGTACATCTTTTGATTGCGCAAATACGCGCAGATACGTGGTAGAAGCAAACTGTGAATCGGGATCCTTCATCGGAGTTCCAATACGCTGAAATTCCAGCACGTCAAATTTATCCAGTATTCCCCATTGTTGGAGGGTATCCTTTATCTGTAGTTCTTGAACATCCCACTTATGATCTGTAGCATATCCACTGGCATTGATTAAAAGCTCACACTGATAGCCTCCCTTGTAGAAGACGGCGAGCTTTGTAGTAGGTGGAGGCGGGTGACCTTTGACGCCAGATACAAGGACCCGATTTTTCGATTCTTCGGCGACGGTGATGTTGGAAATGTCCGCCTTTACGTCGCTATTCAGATAGACGTTTCCTTGCAACTCATATAAGAACTGACATTTGACTGTGGCAGGGGTGACAAATCCGTTTAAAGAGTCGTGTTTAGTAACCACGCAATTGCCATTGGGGAGAATTTCCGCAATGCCAGAGCCCAGTCGCAAGAAATCGCTCGGCGGGTATTTATAAGCACCAGCGAAGTTGCCACCTGTTACATATGTTGAGCACTCAATCAGATGACCAGCAATTAGTGATCCGGCAAGCTGGTCAAAATCTGATTCAGACCAGTTGTACCACCAAGCAGCCGCCCCTATAACTGGCGAGGCATCGGAAACTCGGCCGCAGATGAGAATATCGGCACCTTCATCCAAGCCTTTCTTAATCGCACGGTAGCCGAGATACGCGTTTGCCGCAACAATCGGCATCTCTTTTGGTGAGTCTAAGAAAGAAGCTGTGTCTTTGGTGTATTGGACATCTGGATTCGCTCCATCAAGATGCGCAAGAGATTTGGTAATTAGGTGATGGACTTTATGTATCAAATTGTCTCCCTCAACGTAGCCCACGCGAAGCTTCAGACCTTTGAGTTTGATCTTATCTGGCGAGTCAGGTATGTAACACAGAGCTTGGTAGAAGCGACTTTACCATGTCATGAAGCTTTTCAGCCAGTCCCTTGGGGTTCATTGCACCGCCATTAACAACTATTTTTATGCGCTTTTCGTTTATCAGGTTCAAAGACATCTGGATTCCATCGAATGCGGATTTTATCCAACCGGGTCCATTTGACTGTGCACGCTCTATTGCGCTGCTAGCCATCGTCGCCTCTATATAACATCAAGTCGAAAATGATATTGAAGTCAGCCATCCTCATATACCAGTCCATACATGCATTCATTATATACATGTACTTTCATGGTTCTTCTGACTCAACCTACCTGCGAGATAATCGCCTGTGATGACATCAACAGGGCCATATTTGGCCTGACTATACATCAAAATGCCTGGATCGGCTGCCAGTAAAGTCAAGATGATTAGTGGTGAAATGGGACAAGTATATATGTAGAGACATGTACGTATTTAGCATACTGAGGGCGCCAGAGCAGTTGGCGATGCGAACTGGTCTGGATGATTTCGCATTCTCGGGAGCCATGTTGGAAGTGTATTCAGAATACGAAGTTGTATATGATCTATTGCGTCTAAATGAGGTCCAAATCCAGCGAGAAAGAGAGATGATAAAAATTGTAAAGATGCAGCCAAAGGTACAGCATAAAGCGAGGGGAAACGTCTGCACATATATAGACTAGGGTTTCCCCGTAAGCTATTGTTTGTGTAATACAAAAAGAACGACTAATCTTAGTTGATTCGATTATGTATCTATACATGATCCTTCTATTACCTATACCACAGCAGTGAATGTTGATCTTACTGCTCTTACTGGTGTTTCCCACCCAAGCCTCGGATGCAACCTCAATTTGTGGAGGCCTGTCGGTCTTGCAGTCTCAACCCCTCATTGATCAGGCGACTTATCACAAACAGGGCATTGAGGATTGAAACCTACATATGAGTAGAATCCTGTCCACTGAGTCGAGAATTTATGCGAAGAATATAAACATGCCGAGGCCTCTAATAAGGGTCACGTGATGGACCTCCCTCGGCTGGGGAGAATCGCATAACGTCATGCCGGGGGTCGAGGCAGTTGCGCAAAATCGCTGACTAAAAAAAGTAAACAACCAACCATCAAAGACGCGAATCTTCAAAGGCAACTTCAATAAAGCATCCTCCTTTTTTATTGTTCACTCCATTTATCTATTCTCTCTGCAGCAGGTCTACCGCGTCACATCGTTGGTGCGGTCACCATGCAGTCCATCATGGCTGCCATACCGTCTGTTTTTACCCCTGGCAGGGCTACTAGAAGCTCACCGCGGAATTCCGTGGGAGCAAATTCCACTGTTGGAACGCAAGACTCTCCGCGACTCAAAAAGAAGACACCAGGGTCGAATAAGCGCAGGTCATTTGCCAGGAAGCTCATCGACGACCAAGAGGCATCTCCGCAGCATCAGGACACGGATGACAGCAACATGCACGGTGCGAGTGAGGAGACGGGGGAATCGCTGCAGCTGGAACAAGATGAAATAGTATCATCTACCCCTCGTGTGCGACCTAGCCCAGGGAGTGCCACCCGCAGTAGCAAAAGGGCAGCGGCAACAGCCACCGCAAGCCCATCTGTCAGTCGAGCCGATGCAGGCCGTTCTGGAAGGATCTCGGAAATTCTCAATCGGAAAGATATAGGAGTGCCAGAGACTGAAGAATATGAAGGCGAAGAGGAATACGGTTTCAAGCGTTTCGTTGGGCACCGTTGGGTCGATAATTCCATTGAGATTGAAGTCGAGTGGGATAGCGGCGAGACAACCTGGGAACCAGAAACTAATTTGCACCAAGATGTGCCCGACACTCTCTTTGAGTATTGGCGTGAACAAGGGGGCCGGCCATTAAACCCCGCGGATCCAGAAATGTATGAAGTCTTTGCCATTCTCAAGCACAACGGGAATCGCACCAAGCTAAAGGTGGAATGGGTTGGGTTTGAGCCTTCTGAGGCATCATGGGTATCTCGAAAGATTGTGGAAGAAACAGCGAAAGATATGGTGGACGCGTACTTTGAGAGCGTAAAGACTATAAGAGGGAAGAAATAAGGGCAACAACTGGACGAGTTTGTCTAGTTCTGTGTCATTCATTTTGTATGTATTAATATAGCATACGTGTGTGGATGTGATGAACGAGAGCCGGTGTGATTCAGAACGGCTGTATATAAATATGCTACGCTGAGAGAGTGGAACTAGGTATGTGAGATTGACGGGGGCAGAGCATGTCGAGAATGATTACTCGGGGCAAAAAATAAGATACCACATGCAAAATATGCTGCAGACCAGTTTATTTATACGCTTGGCCAGCCCCAGCCCAGTGTAGAAAGGCTTGCCAAAAAGGAGTGCAAAAAAAAGCAAACGACCTCGAAAGTCATTGAGATCATCTTGAGACAGGGTCTGGCCGGGGATTGAACCCGGGACCTCTCGCAGAACGACTTGGGGTTTTCCCTAAGCGAGAATCATACCACTAGACCACCAGACCTATTTTTTTGCTTGCGGTCTGTGGACCATAATCGGCTCAAGAAGATTTGCAAGATGATAATGCGGGAAAAAAAGGAGGTGAAAAAGAAGGGTCTGACCGGGGATTGAACCCGGGACCTCTCGCATACAAGCTGTAGGGTTGTCCCTAAGCGAGAATCATACCGCTAGACCATCAGACCGAATTTGCCATCGCAATCACGTGACGAATTGAGAGGCGATGGACGTAAATGCATTTAGAAGAGATGGGTGTGCAGGAGAAGTTGCTGCTTTGCGGATTAGAATACAGCATCTCGTGTCTGTTGAGCTGGTTCTTTACTATTAATTAGAAACATTATACTATGTAGTTCGATGATAGAATATATCGGCGCAAACCTGCATGTTTCAGCAAGAATGCATGATACGACTGAAATTAATAGAGTTGCAGTGAGCCCGGGAATATTTGGAGTTGATTCTGAAATGTGTTCCGTCCAGGATTCTCTAAGGGCTAAGAAGATATCGTGCGTCTTGATTCGCAAGTATTTCGCAATACTCCAGTGGCCACTCTGAATATTTTTGATATGAAGGAGGCAGCCTCTGAGCCAGGTCCTTTGTCCAATTAATGATAACCGACTTCCTCCCTGGATATTCGGGCTCTTCAGATTTGGAAAGGCAGGCGTTTCCGAGCACGTAGTCTAAAAGGAACATGTGGATGAGTAAGAGATGGCCAATGTAATTTTCGTTGTCAACGAATAACATGAATTCTTGGTTGTTGAAAGTGGTTGGAAGAATGAATAAGTTGACAAACTCTCTCCACGCTATAAGAGGTGGTTAGCATTGGTGGATAGCATCAGGGGCAGTGCTGCATACCTTCGACACATGAAGTGCGTAAATTATTGACGCATCTGATTATAGATTCACAGTACATCAGCTCAGTTGACTTCTTGCACAAAGGCCTAAGACTCAGAGCTGACGAATGAAAACCGTCAATGACGTGAAAGTTCTTCGGTTGTTCCGTAATGAGCCGCTCCAAGGATCGATCATGTTCCACTGGTGTGAAATATTTGAAGATGGAAGTTTCATAATTTGTAATCATGGATGTGGCAACCAAGTTACCTCCCCTTGTCGTTGTAATGTAGTCAACCATGCTGTCCGGCAAAAGAGATGACTGAGTAATAAGACATATTATTGCTGCAAACAGTGCATCTGCATCGGCTGGCTTTGCAGGCGGCTTATCAAGCTGCTCATTTACAAGCTTCATAGCGGTGACACGGTGCTGCAAGGCTTGCGAGGTATAGTCAACGCTACCGTGCTGGGATAAATGTGAAGCCCCAAGACCCAAGACAGCGTGTGCAAGGAAGTCATACTAATAGAACGCGCACTTGGTGTTAGCCAAATACATGTGCATAAGAAGCATTGGATTGCACGGCCCAGCGAATTACAATTCGCTGTCAGGATAGCCTTACCTGGTGTGACATGGCGGCAGCATCCATCCACACGTCTTTGCTTTTAAGTGGTAGAGTTGGGAAGGCTGCTAGGATGAATTGGTGATAGAATCGCAAATCTTCCAGCGCAAGAGCAGATAGTGCAGCACGCGGGGTGAGCGAGGAAGAAGACGACGACGATGATGACGAGGAACTAGAAGATGAAGCCGGTGTTGGGTAACTGCAATTCAGTCCAAGCCGGCAACAAGGCGAACAGGCAGGCCGCAATTCATTGCATTTCACTCTCCTCCGTTTGCAATTAAAGCATCCGAGGCGCGATTTGAAGTGGCCGCGGCGGCTAAGAGGCTTGTTAGATTTGCGGGCCACAACATTTCCATTTGATGAGCTCTGCTCGGACAGAGACTCGTGTAAGTCGACGGATGAGTCGTCTGAAGGATTAGGACTTCCGCTATGCTGGGGCTGAGGCATAGTGGCAGGCTGCGTCCGTCAAACGGTAGGAGAAAGAAAAGAAAGGGAAAGAAAAGACGCGAATAATTTGATTCTTGCTGCTATCGCGGCTGCAGAGACTGAATCGAACTATTGTCTAGTTCTGAGCGCGAAGGACTCATCACGCCGTTGTCGCAATCGGCTCAGCTACTCAATCGCAGCCAACGCCGACAGAGCTGTTCTTCGTCTCTCTAAAGTACCCTTGCGGCTCAAGTTCGCAAAACTCGTCTCGAAAGTTGGGAGGCCTTCATGTGTCTTGCGCACTAGAAACTGGGTCGGCTAAGCGTTCGGGACCACCTTGGGAAGTATGCTCACAATACGACAGTCCGACATGACTCTGCCAACATTCCCAGTCTTGCGCTGCGACAGACGCTTACATTAAGTTGAATAACCAGCAAGAACCGCCACCAATGAGAGTCGATGCACGTGATGAGTCTGAGACAGTGTACCTATGCCTCCGCGTAACAAGTACCCATATTGTGCCCCTCGCTAAGGGGAGGGATGACCTGATAGGTGGCATTTTTGGCTAGGTAGGCCTATCAATATGTAGTTACCCTGCAAACTACGAGACAGATGCAGCAATAAGATTCGGACGTGTCCTGGCAACCCCTCGGGACCCTCTCCCGGGCTGACATGCTTGGCTAAATCTAGTCTAAAGCATATGAATTGCCAGAGAGTACGGTATAATGGCACCAGTCGATGAGGAAGACGATGGTTTCATTCTCGTGTCCCACAGCGGCTGTTCTACTGATCAGCAGGAACCGCAGCTCGTCGATGCCATCAGCCAAGCGGTAGACAACCTCCTCGAGGAGTTTTGGCCAATAAACAAGAAGATCCACGACAACCCGGAAAGAGGATACAAAGAGTTTATCGCCCACGATGTATTGACAAAATTCATGAAATCCCAGAGCGGCTGGGTTGTCACGCCGTCTGCTTACGGAATGGAGACTGCGTGGGTTGCTGTGTTTGACACGGGAAAACGCGGTCCTGTCGTGTCGTTCAATGCCGAGATGGGTGAGTATCTGCGCCTCACAGCTCCCTCGAGACGAGCAGAAACCAACTCTCATGGCGTCAGACTGTCTTCCCGGCATCGGCCACTCGTGTGGCCATAATCTCATCGCTACAGCATCCGTCCTCGGCGCCGTTGCAACGGCTCAAGTAATGAAGCAATACGAAGCCGCCGGAAAAGTGGTCCTGTTCGGCACACCGGCAGAAGAAGGTGGAGGAGGGAAAATTAGGCTTCTCAAGGCGGGAGCCTTTTCTGACCACAACGTCGACGTGAGCCTCATATCACATCCAGGGATCACCCCGGATGCAGCATTGATGCGAACCACATCATACCTGCAGTTCAAGGTCGAGTGCTTTGGCCGTGAGGCTCACGCGGCAGCTAACCCCTGGCTCGGCATTAATGCGCTGGATGCGCTAATCGCAGGATACAACAATGTGTCATTGCTCAGACAACAGATCATGCCCGAGGACAGAATTCAGGGCTATATCACCAATGGTGGCGTTGCGCCCAACATCATCCACGCCTATGCCGCCGGCATCTTTGTTGTCAGATCAGATACGCAGAAGCGCCTCGACGAACTAAAGGAAAAAGTATATGACTGCTTTAGAGCTGGTGCCCTGGCCGCAGGAGCCAAAGTGACTATTACAGAGCGATGGGGCTATCAGAACCACATCCCAAACCGGACAATGGCGCGATCTTATACACGCTATTTCAATGCTCTTGAGCCACCAGGTAGGATTGCAGAGGACCAGGATGTTGATGATGGACGAGGCAAATCACAGGCAAGTACAGATCAGGGCGACATCAGCTACGCAATGCCGAGTTTAAGCCCAGCCTTTCAATTACAGCCTGGCCCGAAAGGCCAAGGTCCGCATAACCCAGAATTTGCAGAGGTTGCTGGGACGCGGGATGCATATGTGAGAGCGTTGAGGGTAGCGAAAGGATTAGCTGGAGTTGCACTAGACATTGTATTTACAGAAGGGCTTCTCGAAGAGATCAAGAGTGAGTGGAAAAGTGTGATTACTAGATGGCGTGGGGATTAGTATCGTCCTTGACTCGATTGACAACATTACAACGATATTAGCCGTGTTGAAGAATCTCGTATAATTTCCATTAATAGACAATGCCGGCTAAATTTGATATATTAGTGCTTATTGGTTTGGAAACATTGGAAACATTCCATATTCACATACGAAAAGCTCATGCTCCTCGTTTCAAAAGGTATTGCTCACAGTGTCATGTCATTACATGCCAATACACGGTACTTGTGGCTTTCACCGCCGCAACTGGTTGTTTATACGTACGTGTAGACAGCACCACTCAATCAACAATGCCGAATTATACGCCGAGCAACCACTTCCGGGTCCGGTGATATGAAGTCAGGGCGCGTTTAATAACGACCTAGACATAACATGTAACGGCCAAGCTGCTGCAATTTAGTCACGTAATTACGACTTTACAAAGTATACAAAAACTCAACGTCAATAATATTTATAGTCCGACTTAGCCGCTAGTTCTACCATAAGGTATATGTTGTCCGGGAGAGCTCAATTTCGCGAGTTAAATTAAGATACTTATAGCTATGCTACGCCGACCTGTATCATTACAGCGTAAGTCGTTGTATTGCAGTTGCCATAACATACAACTTGTTGTAATTGATGACTATGCGCCTAGTTGAAACCTATGCTGTTGAAGACATAATTTCGACCCATATATAAGCCGCTCTGTGTAAAAACCGCCTGTTATATTGTACGAGGAGAAAATTTATAATTGTATATTTTTCATGTTTAATGAACAAATATCAATGTTGACTTTATCATAGTCAAGTTACTGTCAATCTTAACGCATACACCCAATTTCAAGCGACTGTTTTTATCAAGTATACAACCATGTATACACCATTCAAGGCTCATTATACTTCACAACGTCTTGGGAGAACGTAGGCACTATTTTGTCTGTGGAAAATGGATACCTAAGCTGTGCATTAAACAATTTCCAGGCATAAAATCATTTGAGAATCTCAAAATAAAAGCTTGATGGGCCAAAACTTGATTCTAACTATGAGTTCGCTGTGTGGAAGATGACTATGACAGCCGCGAGTGGCGATATACATGCGTAGTTAGAACCTGCTAGCATGAACGGACTAAGTGCAGCTGAAGAGATATCGTGAGCTTTAAACCATAAAGTCTCTTGTTACAGAGAGCACGGGCTCATATAAACCTTTGCACAGACTCATGCAAGCTAGACTAGCCCTTGGTGGCTTGCCGCTTTGGCATTTTCACTGGCTACATGCAAGTATGACTGGATGTCATGCCATTGCCCGCCCTGCAATCTACTGTATCTGCTTCCAGAGCCCTGTCGCATTATGGAGAGATATCACTGCCGAGATTACTTTTTCCACATTAGAGATGGCCGAGCTGCAGGAACGTGCTAATGCCGTCTGGGCATAGTCACTACGGTAGGACGTTATATTTTACATTGATACTCCAGAAATGCTTCTCTGTACTAGGAACAGACTATGTCGGTTATGTAGGTGATCGTATTAGAAAGTAATTTATTAATATAATTGTATATTTAATTTAGGTAAAATAATTTTTTAACACGCAAACAATACACTAATCATCCTCGACTAGGTGAATAACAAAGATCGAAACTGGGTAGAATTATTTGAGAATAAGTCTTGTCATCTAAATTCTCCTTTCTAATTTGTGTCCATACATGATAAGACCATGACCTTTGATCTTCACTGGTCGGAATAAGATACCATTTACAGATGCATACGAGTGATGCTACCACACTGTAGGGACTTTTGATTCTATGGCTCTGAGGTGCGGAACAAAGCGGAATAATCGCCGAGACAATTCACAGCCGACATGTCGCAGGCAGGGCGTCTTCCGCTAATCCTCAGCTGCTGTGGCTAGGACTTTGTTCCTTTGTGCCGCGATCCGTTAAATCTGCCTCACCTTGGGCATTTCTAATGACGTGTTCCGCTTTGCATTCCACAAATTGCAATGTTATTGCTATGATAAGGACACAATTGCTGCAGTCTGCCTTTCAAAATGAGGCGAGCGCTCGTGTTCAATATTGTATTACCCACTTACTCGAATTGGCGGCTAGAGAGCGGGGGGAGTTTCCCGATCAAGCCGATGCATGTCTTCGCTCTGATCAATTCGCATTACTTGATATCTCTGGGCTGGTGAGCCATCATTGGAGAGCCTTGATTTGGGCTGGTCTCATGACCCAATCTCTAGGCTGATTTTTGTTCTAGAATGATTCTACACTCGCATAACACTAGAGCCATCCAATCCTGATCAACACCTTATTCCTGTGGGACACAGTTAAGCCTATCTCAACATCCCAAATTGTACATCTTATGGAGACCCTTTTACTGGATTTCCAATCTGATAGCCCCGGCAAGAAGATACTGATTGGCTTATTCAACGTAATGTTCTCCGCAGCGCGTCTGGTATCATGTCCTGGCCCGTGCATGTATTCCAGCTTGGAATGAATGATCACAAGCTCGGATGTATTCCCTGATTTCTCATCGGCAACACTCGATTTAGCCTCGCACAGCTGCATTCTGTTATTCAGCTGCTGAGATTGGGTACAGATGTTTATCTTTATTTAATACCCTAACATACTCTCTTTGTCTTTATTTTCACTGCATTCAATATTAATACTTGTTTATATATATTTGCAAAGTGAAAAAGAACATAACATGGAAGCCAGAAAACCTGAGACGCAACCCACTGGTCAAAATCCCAAGGATTCGGACCCGCTCCCAATCTATTCTCTCATGATGAACGACGAGGATCTCGACCAAGATGCAACTGGTGGCTACATTGGCGAAGCGACGGACGATATCAATGCCGCCTTTACAAATTTATCCTTCAAGTCAAGCATCACGGATCACCTTGACATCAGATATAGTATTTCGGAAGATACTTGTCTCGCCCACCTTAAGCTTCTTCATGCTATTCAGTCGATGAAAGAGGAAATTGGCTACACCGACGGTCTCTGGAATCTCTGGAATATTCGCGGTAAATGGGCGATGGATGATTTACGGGCCGATGCCGACTGGACAATGATTCGCACGCTTGAAAAGTCCAATTCCAAAACCGTAACGCGGGTCGGCCAGAGCAGAATTCGCGAGAAGAGATGGGCACTATTTGTCGCCCGCGCTGTCGACCGATACGAGGCGTGGTGGAACTCTTTGGTAGAATCCGACATGCTGACTGAAGAAGATATGGCGGACCCCGATAGCTATAGATATAAAAAATTTCCAACATCTCGAAAACTAATATGGGAAGAGAAGATGCTGCCACCCTTAGGTGAGGATATATCCCGGAGAGTTGGCAATGAGACAAACTAACGGATTTCTGTTTTCCTTCTTTGGTAGATGTGTTAATGATTTTTCATACTCACATGCTTAATCCTCGCTCTTTCTTTGAAGATGCCATTCGTTACGGTTTAGGGACATTTTGGGCCTCTGGTATGCCGTGGAAATTGATTCACCAAGCCATTGATGTAGATTTCAACTACAATGTGTCTGATGAAGCAAAAATACATTGGTCGACCACAACTGGGCGTCGCTGGCGGAACCTCAAGGATCCCATGACGAGGGTAGTCAAGTGTCCATTTTGTCAAGCGGATAATGAAGTTCCATGGACAACCTGTGGAGTAAACAAGGACGCACAAAATGAAGAGTAAGCGAAGTTCACTGACACTCTTTGACTATGGGTTACGTGTATGCTGACTTTCGCTCCCAGATATACTGGTTTGATTGGTAGCGGTTTTGGCGATGGCAAGTTTAGCCACAAATGCTCTTTTTGCGGGCATGAGAATTATAAAGAGCTTCTATCAGTGTCGAAATTTGTTACAGATGCTTCTGCCCTGTTGGAAAAATCTATACCAATGCCGGGAACAATACTTGACCCCCAGTATGGCCGCCCCGAGCTCGTAACTGATGATATACATGGCCTTAGGCTTCCTAGGACGTTCCCTAATCGCATGATTAAATTAGAACTACGAAACAGGGTTCTAGAACTAATCAAGCCACCTACTGAGACAGACAAGAAGACTACAGAGGAAAAATCCAAGGACAAACGCAAAAGCAAGAGCAAAAGCAAAGATGACAACAAGTCAAAAGAAGAAATCAAGACGCCTGCTCGGTTAAGCATGAACGCGGTAAGGGACATGATCCAGCAGACTCTATCCGATTATAAAAAGATCCGAAATATAGACTCAGACAAGGGGTTTTTTGGCCGCTACCAAATACACACCTGGGCTGGAATCTCAACCCGCAAAATGATGAGCAGATACTGGCAAAACTTCTCTCCATTTGCGCTTGACCTTTGCGCTGCCGTTATGCGTCAAGGAGTCTTCATTGAAAAGATGGTGAAGATTGATTGGCTTCATAGTCCCAATGCAAGAGATACCATGTCACGACTCATTACGAAATATGACAGGTTCGTACAAATCATGACGAAGCATCCTACTAAGATGGCTGTGCCGACATTGGACGTGGATTTGGCTTGGCATACGCACCAGCTTAAGCCTTCGCATTATTACTACTACACGGTCTCGACAACTGCAAAGTTCATCGATCACGATGATAAAATTGATGAAGACAAGCTTAGCAGGTGCTTTGAATGGACGACGAAGACATACCAAAGCATGTTTGGAGAAGTATACAGCGAGTGTACGTGCTGGTATTGCGAAAGTGAGTTGGCTATCTCTGCGCACCCTTTACACCGGCTATGTTAATAAAATGACCTTCACAATAGCAATTCGTTCCTCGCAGATATCAGGGCTTGGCAAAATGCTCGGCGTCTCAACCAATGACAAACTTTCCGACACGTTTCATGCGTCCGGTGAAGTTGAAACGCATTCCTCAAGCAAATCAGCTCACGTTTCTTTCCATAATGCTGTCCAAACGATAGAAACAGCAGACCGAAAGAAGGTTACGGCGAGAGTGCGTGTACGACAGCGCCAGTGGCTTGATCAAGAGTACAAAAAGGCAGCAAAGAGGGCAGAGAAGAAGGGTCGAACATTGCCTCCTAAAAAAGATTATCTTAGTCAATGGGGTACAAACTTCATCAGTGAGTGCTGTTCCGTAAACCTCTTCTCTAGATATCCAAATCGTTCGTTCAAATCTAATGCTGCGTGTTAGTGAACGGACCCTACCCTTTCCCCCCATTGTTTGTACCTGGGATATACTACGGCTGGGATCCAGCTGTCGTGCATAATGGCGTAGGAGCATGGGCGAATTGTGCTGGCTACACGTGCGGTAATGGGAGCATAGCCGCTGGTTCTTGCGGTGGGCCTGGTGGGTGTATCAATGGTAATGGAGGGGTATGTCACGCATAGTCCTTTGATTTGACGTGTTTTTATAGAACTGACAATCTTGTAGACTTGCGGAGCCAGCGGTGCTGGTGGGAGTGTGGGAGGAGCTGGAGGAGGAGGAGGTACCGGAGGCTGTGGAGGAGGCTGTGGTAAGTCGAAGTGCTCTGAAATCTCTGAAGATTAAACACTGATTCCTTCGTTTAGGCGGTAGCTGAATGGATGCTTGTTTCGTTGATTCTCTACAGTGAAAAACAGCTATCAGTAGTCGCAGTCGTCGTTATTAATACCTTATCACTTCTTCTAGTCGGGCAGGCCAATATGTATTGGTGTTCACTGGAAGTGTTTTAAATCAATGGATCGATATATGCTTCAGTTTCCCAATGGGCAGGCAATTGTAGTCCGTCTGGTTACGTCTTAGTTGAAAACCCTAATTTCTGGGCGAAGCTTCACGCTACAGATCTTAACAGGCGGAGCGGCCCTCTCCAACACATGATCTCGTGCATACCTACCTTGGTAGGAATATATAAAGTTTCCAAGTCAAGAAGCCCGTTTCATTTATTTTTTTTAAGAAAAAAAAAAAATCCTAAATACTACTAAATTAAACTTTAAATAGAGTTTGAGCACAATTAGCGGATATATGCCCAATTCAGCCACAATTCGACACATCTCCAATACCAAAGGTAGAAGTGAGACAATTCAAGGGAGCGTCATAATTTCATGCGCGTCTTGCCGCGTTCATAATTTCATTTTCTCAATATATGGGAGATATATTGGTATTCACGGCCCTTACTGCAACTCATGTATCGCAATGTGGCTTCCATGGACGGTCAACACTGAGCTCCTCAGCGGCTATGCTGGAGCGGCCCTGCTCTGCGCTACGCTGGCCCAATGGCTATATTCACCAGGGCTGGAGATATATTCGGAGATTTTATGCTGGGCTATTCTGCCCATCTTGATAAGATGCCAGAAGAAACCAGAGCATGGATCATTGTTAGGGCCGGCAGTCTATGGGGAACCGACTGCACCATCATCGCCCTCATCGTCGCAATGGATCTTTGCTGCGGGCATTGCCGCATTTTCATTCATTAAGATGGAAACGGGGGCAATTCAATTTTTGGTGAGGAGTAATACATGGAATTTAAGGTGAATATATGTACTAAATCTCAACAGCCAATATTGACGCCTCTTCTTTTGGCGACTCAGAGATGGTTAGGATCTGTTTCCAAATTACCGGCTGGCCCATTTTTACTTTTTATGAACACAATTTGCGGAGCCTCCCTTATTTCTCTTTTTACCATATTCACTTTCTCAGATTGGAGCATTCAGGTATCTCTATCCTCTATTATTTTAGCGGCTGTTTTGTTTATTGTATACGCTGCTCTATTGCCAAAAGGTGGAACGTTTTTGTGCCTTCCATCTACCAACTTTGAACGCGCCATACGACCTCTTTCGCCCCGAATTGTTATCTTGCTCTTTTATATGCTGTGTCTATCTATTATTTTCACTGGATTTGCTAGAGTCAACCTGATTCATATGCTTCTTTTAGGCCTGCTAAAGGCCTTGTCTTGGTACTTCACAGCCAAAGTGGTATGTCTCTTTCATTATCCAACTTTCTGGCCGCTAACCATCATTCAGGCTCAAAGTACATCTTGGGTTATAGCCACCACTATTACTACATTCTCAATTGCATCTACGAGTAATCTTTCCAACAAGGCATCTGATGCTGAAGCCGCTACTTGGATCTTAGCCGCAGCCATAGCGCTTGCTCAAGTCATTTCATCGCTACCAAAGCAAGCGAAATATAAATCGCTATTATGGATATTTGGCTTAATCTCATTTCTACCATTTTTATTAAACCTTTGGATGATTCGCGACTTGCAACAGTCCTCCAAGGTCTATGGCCCCGAACAAGAGCATCCTGTTGAAGCTCTAGTACGCAACAGTAATATTTATTTTAAGAATCTTCTTCAAAAGCAGTCTAAAAATTATCAGCAAGCTGTCACGGAATACCAGCATCGATACGGGGTTAAACCTCCGCCTGGATTTGAAGCTTGGTATGAATTCGCAATTAGTCGCCAATCGCCTATAATCGATGACTTTGACGGTATATATCAGGCTATCCTGCCACTTTGGAACCTGAGCGGACAACAAGTACTTGAAATAATGAACCAAGTTTATTCTTTTCCTAAAAGCGAGATGTGGTTCTGCATGTACTATGGCGCATACGCCCAAACACGGTGCATGCACTCAGATCGAATATACGACAGACATATTGAATATCAATTTGATAGACTACTACTGGGCTTCAACGGCGTTCTTCCCGACATTAGATTTCTCTTCAATCATTTTGATGAACCGCGCATTTTGATGCCCACATGGGAGGTAGGAAAGGCTGATTCCTATCCATCGTTTAATGTTAGAAACATGTCGCAGCAACCTATCTGGGATGAAATCACAAAGTTTTGCGCGTCTACAAAGAAGCTGAACATTGCAGAAGAGATAAAGATTCCCACAGAGGTATTTGATATGTCTTTCGTCACCAACCGCTCTTCTGCCATTGATCTCTGTGAGCACCCAGAGTACCGCAACATGCATGGCTTATTTATGAGCCCAGTAACTTTTTCTTTGGTCGAGGGACTTGTCCCAGCTCTTTCAACTGGTTCGCCTTCGACAATGGGAGACATTTTATTCCCCAGTCCAGCATATATCGAAGAAGAATTTACATATGACGACACGAGAGAGATTAGCTGGGAAGAGAAGAAGAATAATCTGTACTGGGCCGGGTCCACAACCGGCGCATTCGCTTCAAGTGCAGATTGGCCACGTTACCACAGACAAAGATTTGTAAAACTGGTGCAGAATGCAGAGCGCCAGCAGCATTATTACTTGCGGCAGATCGGCGGAATAATGCAGCGTGTTGCATCCTCGTTTCTAAACGGACGATTGTTTGATGTCTCTTTTACACGAATATTCCAATGCGACCGAAAATACTGCAGAGATCAAGCGAAGACCTTTAAAATTGGTAGATGGGCTGATAAAGACAAAGCCCTTCAATCGCGACTGGTCTTTGATCTCGACGGAAACGGCATTAGCGGACGCTACTATAAGCTGCTGGCATCAAAATCGGCACCGTTGAAGCAAACACTACTCAGAGAGTGGCACGACGACCGTCTCGTGCCATGGGTCCACTATATTCCCGTTAGCCAAAGTTTACAAGAGTTACCAGAACTTGTCTTCTACTTAACATCGACAGAATCTGGTCAACAACGGGCTAGAGAAATCGCAGAACGGGGGCGGGATTGGTTTTTTAAGGCGCTGCGAGAAGCTGACATGTCTGTATATACATATCGTCTATTGTTGGAACTCGCGAGACTGCAGGATCCGAATAGACCAGCGGGGCTTCCTGCTGCTGAGTAGTCTCGTCCAAATTGCCTTTTGATGAACGGCAACTGTAGCTAAGCTGCGTCCTGGATCATCTTACGGCCTCTCTCGGGCAAAAGTACCTGTCATAGCATAGTCTACTGACTAGAGACGAACTAAACAGCTAGCAACCACACAATTGGCTCATAGCTTAGAGACCTCGCAAATCCTACAGAAACGAAGCCAGCGTTGCCTTTGTGACTCACGCGGCCAGCCGGCTGGTAACGATAAACCGAGTATCACAACTCTGCAATGATTATAGTAGTACCCTAGGTTTTGTTACTCTCGTTTCCTTGAATGTAATTGCTCAATATGTCCTCATCGTCGGCGAATATTGCACCGCCGCTGCATCCGTTTCAAGCAGCTGCCATCGCCAACATCAAGGCTCAGGCGGTCGCGCTCCGGCCAGATGCATTGGATACGATATCCCACATTTTTGGCATGTCCAATGTGCCAATAGAGACACTCAACGAAGTCCGACAAGCTATTGCTCATCAAGCTCGCATTGCGTTGCATTTTCATCCAGATCGCCCGTCTCGCAGTGGGCAAACAGTTGTTGAAGCCCTACTAGAGGATGGCATGTACAGAAATCAATTTGAGACCGGCATCTCGAATGGCCTAGTAGCAACACAGCTCGGTGGTCCCCGCGATGACTGGGAGCGCAATCTCTTCCGTGGTGCATATCATGGCTCCAGCATTACGGATACCGCAGAGAATGTCTTCAATCCGGCACTACGGCCTAAATATGGAGCTCTGGACCTCGTGCGCAACTCTGACGGCCCTGCTCCACGATTTGGCTCCTGCTATTTCTTGCTTCGGCCAGAAGTATCGTCCCGGTCAACGTTTACATACGGTGGGTCGCAAGCGGCTCCAAAAGATGTAGGGACGGTTGATGAGTTCGACGCAATACTGGCAGCATTACTGGAAGAATGCTTCACAAGAGAAACCGCACTGGGTGTAGAAAATGTGAGGCCAAAGGGAATGTTGGAACTTATCAAAGGATTGAGCAAGTCGACCCTCGTAGAAGCCAATTACAAGAGGCTACCAAGCCGAAATCTGGACCACTTGATCGAGGCGCAGATCCATGGCGACGTTCTTCTCTCGCGAGATGTCGAAGCTCTCGTTGTGGATCCATCGTTCTTCACTCGCGGCGATACTGGATCCTTCCTGAAAACCCTCAGCGAAACATATGGATTTCCACTCTTTTCCCATCACGGATTCGAGTTGCCGGTGGAGAGTTGCCCGAATGATTTCCGAGGACCAACAATGCCGTCTTTGGCAGCAAGGGTAGCGTACAATGGCAAAGTTGACGTGCAGGCAATTGGCAAGGGTGTAAGAAGTCTAGTCGCTGACGCAGAACAATGGGCGGATAGGGGAACTGTCGCAGAAGTTTTGCAAGAGCTTAAACTATTGTGGCATGTGTTAGTTCGTTATGGTTAAAGGTCTAGCTAATTGAATCCATTAAATGAATAGTAATCTGCTAGTCGTCTTAGGTTTGCACAATTTCGGGTACAGTACGAGACGGCCGGAGCAATTACCTCAACCTCCCCTAGTTGTCAAGTTTGATCCAGTCCTAACGAGCTCCGGAGCTGCGCAAGCCTCGAACTTCTCTTTCTTTGGCTGATCCCCAAATTGATTGATAAGCCTATTTTGAACCACACTTTATGGTGCTGACGCCAAAACGAGTCAGAGATTCATAATGACCCAGTCTGTGCGGATAATCGGCTTACTGAACTTTATTAAAGGCCCTGGGCACCTTTTTTGCTTAGTCTCGGACTCTCGGGGCGGGCCATAGGATTCGATGACCCCCGTCCAGTTTTGGCCCAGGGGCCCGTTAATGGGTAGTTATCGTACTGTAGTATTGGGGCTGGTGCTAGCAGTAGTTGTTGATGTCGGAAGTCGGGCAACGCGATAGACACGCAGGATTATGGAGCGTCGGAGCAATTGTCGAGGAGGGCGGAGTCTGTGCGGACTTTTGGGTACTTTGTGATTCCAGGCTTCCTTTCTCTTCCCTTGAGACTTTCGTCTCTTTTTACATTTAGATTTGGTTTCTCTCCCTCTTGTTCTCTTCTCGATATGAATGTAGACGTCTTAATAGTTGATACAATAAATACTGATATTGCTACTTGCCATTATTAAGATTCGGGTTGGCGACAGCCCGTCAATCACCAACGCCACCATGGCTTCCTCTACTTCATCGACTTCTCTGAGGGCAAATGGCTATCGATACGACTCAATATCCAATTCCAATACATCTTCTCAGGTCGAAGCGCCAATAACACGCTCAACATCTCCTTCCTTAGCAAAGCCGACGACCCGACTCCTTGCGCCCGATCTCCAACGCGGTCTTCTCATGGCCATCATGGCCATGGATCACCTCGCCCTTGGTATAAACACTTGGCAACATGGCACCAACATCGATGGCGAGACGGATGGAATTATTGTTCGCCGCTGGAACTTCACCACTGCTTACATCGTCCGCACATTTACTCATTTTTGCGCCCCTGGATTCATGTTTCTTCTCGGCATGGGCGTAGTATTTCTTTCTCGATCACGAACTCGCCTTGGTTGGTCAGCAGGCCGGATGATACATTATTATGCCATGAGAGGGTTCATACTCACGGCTGTGACTGTTCTGTGGGGATTTTTATGGTCAGGGGGTCAACTGTGGTTTATGAATATGGTTCTATTTGCACTGGGATTGAACTATTTCCTGGCTGGTATGTTGTGGCTTACCATGAATGAGACTGAAAATTGGCTTGCGGATGTGCTGGAAAGATGCCTCTTGATGCTTGACAAGCGCACTGGGATAGTGTATGGCAGATGGAACGATGATAGTGATGACGAACAAGGAGGAGTCAGCCAGCCGCTTTTACAAGGACAGAGACACACAGCCAGAGAAAGCGAGCGAGCGACAACGGCTTCATCTTTATCTTGGCATATTCACAACAGTATTCTAGCAATCCTCAGTGTCATTACCATATGGTGGAACATCTGGTTATCCGAGAACCATGGCCACTGCAGTATCGAGACCGAATCACCAGACAACCTCTCCACACCAAAGAATCCGTTCCTCAGCATTTGGTTCTGGCCCGTTATGGGCGATCATGTCATGTCAAATTTTCCTCCTCTGGCGTGGCTCTCCTTTGCCATTCTAGGACTTCTCTATGGCCGCATCCTCTCGGCCCGGAAATGGACAACCTCTGCTATTGTTATGGGCCATGTCGCCATAGGAGTCATCTTTTCTATCATTTTCGTTGGTACAAGGCTTCTCCGCATCGGAAACCTTTCTGAGGACTGTTTACATACACCTGCGCAACACGACCAAACTATGAAAGAGAATCCATATCTTGCCTCGCCAGCATCTTTCTTCTATATAGTCAAATATCCTCCAGATGTCGCGTTCTGGGCCTTCACCATGGCTGGCAACCTCTTTCTCCTCGCAGCCTTCAGTTCCATCCCTGCGCATATTGCGCAGCGTTTCTCTCTCCTTTTGAGCTATGGCACATCGTCGCTATTTTTCTACGTGGCGCACATATGTATCGTCATGTCCCCTCTAGGGCAGCTGATGATAAAAATATTTGGCCAAGAGACTGACCACGCAAGCCCCACAAACCCGGGAAATAATATGGGTATTAGCAACCTCTTTATTTACTTTGCGCTGTGGCTGGCTCTGCTGCTCATCATGTGGCCAGCATGCCATTACTACAGTCGTTTCAAAAGCACAAAACACGCCGACTCATTATGGAGATTCTTTTGAGAATTTAGAAAAGATAAACCGAATAATAATCTAATTTATGTTACAGTAGGTAGCACTAATTATAAGTGAACTATATAATGTAGAGAATCGTATGCATGTGTAAATACCTAAGCCACGTATATGCGTCCTCTATCGCTAATAAACACATGCATAAATCTTCGTGAAGGTTTCATCAAGTCTTCGTAATTCGTTATTTCCTTAGTCTGTATCTTTGCAGCCAGCTGCCTTCTTTTTTCGCATTTCTCTCCCTTACGTTGGCTTCTTTCAATTGGTTCTTTGGTTGTCGCTGTTGTAACTGTTCTGGTTGTTGATCCCGTCGCTGTTGCTGCTGATATTGCTGTTGCTGATATTGCTGCTGCTGATATTGCTGTTGCTGATATTGCTGCTGCTGTTGCTGATGTTGTTGCTCCCATTTCTGTTCAGCTCGTCTCAGAGTTGCAGCTGCATCCCAGTAATCTCTCTTCTGAGCTACATCTCTGGGCAATTCTCCTCTTCGGTTCCGAAGTATGGGGTTAGCGCCCAAATCCCGCAATGCGCGAAGCACTTCTCGTCGTTCCGTATCTCCATCTTCGGCTGACCTAGCAGCATAATGCAGCGCAGTTCTCCCATCTGTCGTCTGAGCGTTAGGGTCGGCCTTGCCACGATCGATTAGCATCTCTACCGTGGCGGCAGATGCGTAGCGCGCAGCTAGGTGAAGGGGCATGCAGCCACCGTCAGCACGAGCGTGTACATCGGCACCATGGTCAAGAAGAAACATGGCGACAGCCATATGATCACGCTCGACCGCAAGATGTAGTGGTGTTAGACCGTGCATATCACATGAAGTAGGCGGTGCTTGACGAATACAGTTGGCTACGGTTTTGACATCGCCTTCCCACGCAGCATCCAGCAAGATGTCTCCGGGGTTCGGAACCGTGTTCTGCGGATCAAGTTTTGCTGCATTTTCATTGTTGGAATCGTGAGACGGGTCGTGAGACGGAGGCTGCTCGACTGATGGTTCTGAGTGAGGGGGAGTAGGTGGGTTTGTGGCGACTTTTGGATAATTCCCTATAGACTCAAATTGCCCTTGAGATTTAGGAGACAATTGTGGTGATGGAGGCGGTCGATTAGGTATTGACGCTGCTGGCCGCGGCATCGGTCTTGAGGTTTCTGGTGCTGTATTTACTTTAGAAGTAGATAGAGGTGGTGTCGGTGTATTTGGTGTATTGAATCCTGATGATGGTGGGGGTTTCATTAGAGCACGACTGTTGCCCTTGTTAGCATGACATGGCTAGCGGATAGAGAAAATGAGACCAACGCATAGATATTAGACATCAGAGTGCCCAGTTGCAATAGCTGCTGCTGCAACTCAGCGTCTGCAGACTTAATCTGCTCTTCGCCTTCGTTTTTGTAGTTGTATGAATGCCAGAAGCCTTCCAGGCGGCCAAGAGCCGTGTTGTTGTTATCCTCTCTAGCAGCCCCCGAAAAACTCGCCAGCAGTTTCGTCATCTTCTTTAATGTCTCGCTTGTGCTGTCAATAGTGTCCTCAATTTGAGACTTTATAGCCTGTCCAGTTTCATCCTCAATAAGGTCGGGCCTTGCTTTCAAGCAGTCCTTCATTTGCTGGATAGTATCACGCGCGGTGGTGATCCTCGCAGAGAGCGCGCGGATCTCATCTGGGGCGTCATTTACGTTGTTGAGCCACTCAACCCATTCTTTGGCCTTGTCAGCGTGCTCGGAGAGTGCACGAATTCCTGCATAGGTTGCAAATGTTTTGGGGAATTTGCTGAAGAAGCTATCTGAGCCTCTACGCTCATGCTTCGGACGGCGTGAGGGCGAAGTTGGCAGTTGAACAGGCGCCTGTTGTGTTTTCCTGTCATACCCATCTACGGAGGCCGAGCGATGTCTTTCAGTGCCTGCCCTTTCGGTGCCTGCAGCAGGCCTCTGATAGGGAGAAGTGCCCCGTATAGCAGGCTGTGGCCTATTATTAGATGAAGCTGAAGGCGGATATCGCCGGGCTTCCTGCCTAGCCTCTCTCGATGTAGTGCTCCATCCGGGTTTATGCGGTGCCAGTTGCGGCGAGGCTGGAGGAGCTTCAGCGGCTGCTGCACTCCCATGCCCAGGTCGATCACGCCTTTCGTGGCTGTCGCCTATTCGAGATCGTGAAGGTACTGGCGATTGGGGCGTCATTTCATGCGGTCGAGGAATTTCCGAGGAGGAATATCGGCGCCTCGGAGGCGATCGCGACTGGCGATTGTAGTAACCATCTCCGCCAGCCATCTTCTGGCGAGAGCGGGGTGACACAGACCTGCGGGATACAGAGTCTCTTCGTGGCGGGCTTCGCACTCTCCCAGAGGAAGCTGGTGGAGGCGGCATCGTCGGCCTCTGAATCTCGGTGTGCGGCCTGAAGTCGTTCGACACCGACGTCCGCCGATCAGCCGCCGAAAGAGACGACCGGCGACGCCTTGAGTCGCCCGGCTGCTTTGTTAAATCTTTCTGTGCATCATCGCGACGGTTTCGGGAGAAGAGGCTGGAGCCCATGGCCTTGACGGAGCTCGATCGGAAGGGCATTGTTTCGGCAATGGCATTTCACGGCGGGATACGAGGTAGAGTAGCGAACAATGTGCCGGTGGAGGGGGTTGCGCGTCTAGAGTTGTCATGACATATATAAAATCAAAGAGCAAGGCAGAAGAAGAAGAAGAAGAAGGCCTCCCAGGCCATTGTTCATGGGCAGTTCAGCTCATACTGATGCTATTGCTGTCCATAGCCACTGCAGCCTGCTGGCTTCAAGAGCACGAGGACGCATTCGGCATGACGCTATGGGCACGAGGCCAGGCTCCGAGGGTGGTGAGACGATGTCTAGCGTGTGGGAGCAACAAGCCACAGCGTGGCTTTGCGAACGCCTGGGGGCAATGCAGTCCAGCCTGGTCAGCCAATATCGCACTTATGTGAGCGTTGGTTAGAGACGGACGACAAAGGACTCATTCCATACACTAAAGAAAATCCATCTCTGGTCCTATGGAAGCGACTATCATGATGGAGACACTAGCTGAAGCGGGCATGGACATGCTTGAGCCTTGATTTTGTAGCACACTCTGCGTAACCCGCTCACTAGAAGCTGATACAACGGCAGTGGGCGGCCTGCAATATTCAGATACTCATTCCAGCTTACGTAGTTGAGCTCTCCACCCCAAGCACTGAATGGTCTATATCTGCTCGATCATGTCAGGGCTACGATGATATAAGACACTCGTGTAAATTACACGCATAGAACCCGTGTATATCGAGTCGTCTAAGCAGCCAAGAGAGCCGCTGTGCTCCCTTGCTTGTTGGTCTCGAGCAATACGAGTTCACAGCCAAAACCATACTGTTCCGAACTGTTCCGAAATCTTGCCGCTCTCCAAGACAGGCAGGTAGCACAGCCTTCAGCCGGCCTTTTACTATTCACATGCAGACTACGGTAGTATTTCTCAACGCTCGTGCCTCGCATGCAGCTGCAAGAATCGCACAGAAAACCTACGGTGGCTCTACTTCAATACTAGATTTATCGGCCAAGGCATAGTCGGACCCAGCAGGCCATCCGTCGAGACAGCGGTTGGCAGCGCATGGTAAACTCTCTCTCGCCCCAGTCCGATGACGTGGTGGCTGCAATCTACAGCACACCGCACATCTATTCGCTGCAGCAAAGCCGACAAAGATTAGCTCGCGGCGCCGTTGCCGCTACTACAGTTGAAACTGGGAACATGGCCGTGATAATCGAGATCGCTGCCAGATGTGCTTTGATAGTGCGAAGCGGTAGCTCCAAGACTTCTTGCTGTCTTCGGAATTGTTTCTCTTGTCCTTCCTATTCCATACCGTTAATTACATTGGCTATCTACTTGGACAGTCAGAGCTTCAGAGTGCCCAACAATTTTCTCTGCGCCACCATGGTGCCTTCACCTTTCGAACGCACGACTCCTCTGGGACTGTTTCGCGAATTGTAACCACATGCGTAGTTGTTCGTTACTCACTCGTATATTTGGGGATAATCACTTTATAATATAGCGTTGACGGAAGAATAAGCGCCGTAGACGAAGCTGCTTATAGCCTGCTACCAGGTTTAAAAAAAAACGGGACTAGCTATGTCATCAATAAACCACAATCATTTCGGCTACATGTACCTAATATCTAGCAGTCACATAGCCGACTTGTGTCGAATGTTTATAGGTAATAAATGAGATAGTGCTCATCAATAATACATAGAGCACATCCGACAAGTAGCAAACTGCATGTAGAGTACTCAACATATACGATGAGCATCTCGGCATTTAAAGTGTTTCGTTGCTCCCCCTCATTTTGGCGGCGGCATTTGTCAACCTCAGCTGCACAACGTTCACGCGAATATGATGGTACGATACGCAATTTGCGCATAGACAAAAACACAAAAGTAATATATCAAGGTAACATCAAAGACACTCCAACTTCATACGCATCAACTCACATAAGACAGGTTTTACAGGAAAAGCAGTGGGGATTACAGAACTTCCATGATTCTATAAAGTGGCGTGCTGATTGGGAGACGATGTTTTTAGGCAACAGCAAATGCAAGGGATACCATTGCCTATGGCACTAATATCGTAGGTGGTGTCTCACCTGGTAAAGGCGGCTGCACACATCTGGATTTGCCCGTTTTTCATACTGTTGACGAGGTAAGCGTGTCCAGCTCCTACGAACCAGCCCCGGTTGTCTTAATTTTTGTAGGCTATGAGATTTGCCACGCCTCATGTTAGTGCCGTTTTTGTCCCTGCCCAATTTGCTGCGAAAGCAATTATAGAATCTATAGAAGCTGAAGTTCCACTCGTCGTTTCGGTAGCGGAGCATATTCCGGTACATGACATGCTACGAGTTCATGAGATACTTCGCACTCAGAGTAAGACTCGCCTAGTGGGGCCAAATTGCCCTGGGATTATTGCTCCAGAACAGTGTCGGGTTGGCATCATGCCATACAAGCAGTATAAAAAAGGTAATATAGGTATTGTCTCCAAGTCTGGGACTTTGAGCTATGAGGCTGTAGGGTCGACAACTTCGGTAGGGTTGGGTCAAAGCATAGTGCTGGGGATGGGAGGGGACTTGCTTCCAGGTGAGGGTATGGATGAGATGACATAAGAGTCTTGGCTGATATGGTCGTAGGTACTACGTTGGCTGATGGCCTCAAGTTGTTTTTCGAAGACGAAGAGACCAAGGGTATCATTGTCATTGGAGAAATTGGTGGAACAGCAGAACTTAAAGCAGCAGATTTAATACGAGAGTATCGCAAATCAACTCATCATCCGAAACCAATAGTGGCGATGGTGGCCGGACGGACAGCACCACATGGAAGAATCATGGGCCATGCAGGTGCAGTGCTTACGTCCAGGGATGTGCCTGCGGAGATCAAGGCAAAAGCACTTGGAGATGCGGGAGCAATCATTGTACCGCATCCTGGCATTATGGGAGAGACCATGAAGAAACTTCTTGAATCGTGAAGAGATAAAATAGTAGAAATGCTTAAAATAAAACAAATGCTAGGCTTCAGAAATGCAAATGTTGAAAGTAGACGAATGAACATGAAAAAGACAGTAGAGAAAAGTGCATAGAAAAGAAAGAGAGAGAGAAAGAGAGAAGAAAAAAAAACAATAAAATGAAAAGATACAACTCTTTCATCCCAGCCTTTCAGGAAGCAATCTATCCCCTTGGACCTCTCTGCCTCTTAATGCCCCTGTGAACTTCTTTCATGTGACGTTTCACATAGTCGGGTCTCTGTAGGATGGTTTTGCAAATCTTACACGTTTCTTGGATTGACGGATAGTTCGTGTTTTCAGCCCATTTTGAGTGATGGACCCAGACATGTCTTGTAATGCCTTTTTTATATTGAGCAGTGTAAGGGCACTTGGGACATTTTTCAGGCTTCTCATGCCATCGGATATGGCGACTAAAGAATAGCCAAGCATTAGCTAAATTCTACTCTCCGAAGATGGTTGAAATGTTCACGACTGAAAACACATTATGGTTTGAAGAGAGATAACGTACTTAAGTTGATGTCGCTTTTCAAAAGACCTCGGGCATCTATCGCACTTATGTGGCTTGACCATATTAAGAGATTCGGATGACAGTTCCTCGTTAGCTTCTGAAGAGGAGGGAGATTCCCGTTGGTCTCCTCGAATGACTGATGGCCCTGATTGGCTCCCGCCGTCGTTGATATCGTCGTTAGAATCATTAGAAGAATAATCAGAAAATGAAAAAGATGTTGGAGAAGAGTTGTTCGTAGCATATGTGTCATCTATTGCTTGGTTTCGATCGTTACTCATTCGCGCCGGGGACTCCCTTTGCGAACCCATTACTTGGCCGTCCTCAGACTAAGTCTTGTTCAGGGAGTGGATCTCCGGAAGCAATGTCAGCTTGCTTGGATCAAGAGTGGGATCAGGTATGCGTTCCTGTACGCTATCACACCATCCGCTGTTTATATCATCTCCTAGCATTGGATCGAGAGCGCCGGGCTTAAACGCATGATTGTCATTTCGAGTCATGGCGAATCCCCTGTTTAAGCATTGACACCCAGCCAGATTCGTATCACTGGCCCTCTAGTACAGGATATCTCTCTTGGCGTCACCGGATTCAGCTAAATCCTGATCCACCTCGAGTTTGACCCTGAGATACTTGGTCTCGTCTTGGTGGGTTGGTGTAATCCACCCTCCAAATGTTACCGAGCAGAGTGTGAAGCTAGTAGTATACTGTTCTAGGAAGTTCAATGCTGCAGCGGAAAAGTGGCGCGTGCCGTTTACGGAGTATTCATACATAGACCTCTTTGGCAATAAGGATTCAGCTGGAGGTGCTCCGAGGCATATGAATCCGGTTTCATACCAGCTGGTCTCTAATGAAATATCTTGAGGGAAATTGAAAAGATAAGCTGTGCATTAATTGTCATACGGGTTAGCTTAGATAGAGATACTGGATGTATTAAACATAAAACATAGGTATGGGTAGTTAATACTAGAGGGGAGAGTTTCTCACAGAGTAGGATAGTAAGAGCAGAGTATTCTGAAGTTGTGTTACACTGGAAAGGACAGTCCGCAATATGTTCTATTCGATCCCAGGGTGTCCCGAGAGGGCGTGGTTTGTGCAACAGTCTTTAGCTGTTTGCTGGGCTCGTATGGAATAAGAGCTACGAATCCTAGCTACGTTGATGTGGGTGGCCAACAGTCATAAGTAGTAAACATCTTTTCAAAGCGGAGTTCTTCTTTGATTTGATGGTGGAGACTTTTTTACGAATCGAGTGAGCATAAAATATGTTGATAGGTAGATGCATGTTTCAGCTGGGAATTCTCCCAACGGCGTGAGAGTAACCAACTTCGTATCTTTACTTGTCCTAACTGAGGATGATGAAGCTGCCTTATGTCTGCCCAACTTCCCATCTTCACGGAAGACAATGCTGGATTGATGTTACAAACTCTACAACGTCCTGATGAAATCGTCGACCAAACGCTGACCAACACATGTAACGCTGCACGCTGCTGGATAAAGGCTAGGCGCTTGCATAAGAGGCTATGCAAGGTGAGCAGCTTTGAGTTGTAGGCCCCCCTTAGTCGCAGATACAAACCACACCCGCATCCATGTGTCCAATCAGATCCGATTCAATCCTTGCGATTCCGTGGGTTCCATCGCAGCCTGGCGCGATGGCCCCGCTTGTAGGCCGCCCAGGTACGCGCGAAAAGGGTGTTTATAGCTGCCAAAAAGCCTGACGGCATAGACTAATGAAGTAATTGGTCCTGCAACACGATCCCAAGCAACATTCTACTGAATAGTATGCCTTGTTGTTGGCCAACAAACGCGGCCATCACGGCGATTCGCCTTAGAGCATCAAAAATCACCTATCATAACGCCAAAGAGGAGCTGGATGGCAAGCGATGGTTCTGCAGGATTTTGGGCTGGCTGTTGGCGCAATAGGCATGATGACGACATTGGAATATAAGACGCCTGAGTGTGGGTACTGGTTTGTGAGGAAGAGATATGACAATAAAAGACAGCTTGAGCCTTCTTTGACACTCGAAGCGCCTTCATTATACACAGCAATTCTCAATTTTTCTCAAGAGTAACAATATTCCTCCCACTCAAAGAGTTACGAAAATGCCACCTGCTGCCAACAGTATGAGCCATTTAAACCGAATAAGTCTATCCGTCGTGCTAACTCGACGTCCTTACCCAAGATAGTACATCCAATGGCCAAAAGCCGATTCCTTTACGATCAAAATTCTCTCGTCGCTTTTATGAGCCTATCCTCTTAGAGGTAGCTTTGAAGAAGATTCGACCAACAGTCTTTCAAGTCACTCAGCATGAACCCAACACTATGAATGACAATGCCGATAGTGCAGAGCAGACTTTCAAAAGCTTCATTAACAGGCTTGCCCAAATCTGCGATAATGTGCGCGGTAGTTATGGTGCCACTGTTACCAGCATCGCTGTTCTAGAAGAACCCGAAGGTATCCATTATATCATCGGAGCCAATAACCGAAAGAAGTCGGAATTGAAGGATGTTGAAGACTTTGTAAAGCAGCTACTGAAGATTATTTCAAAGCCTTTGGAGCAGCATGCGAACACGGCCTTGTCAGTGCGCAAAGAAGCTCTGTGGCACGTTTTAAGATTCAACAAACATCGAATCAAATATTACCTTACAAACGCGGTAAATTATTTAGAAGAGTGTATTGAAGACTATAACAGACGACATGCTCAGGCGCCGTTAGGTAAGCCGCCAGAATGCCAGTAACGCTTGACTAACCCTCATGGGAAGCCGTACGATATAGCATCAGACGCAATCAGATTCAGAAAACAGCTTTCTGAGTTAAAAGTGTTACTTGAATTCGAAAAGAATCATGAGCAAAACGAGCTCCACGAGTCACAATGTAAACTATCTTTTTATACTATCAATATCCATGCTCATCACTAACACCGACATATGTAGTCTTTGCTTCATGCGAGAAGGTGTTTTTATTCATCCACCTTAATCAGCGCCTGAACCTTGGAGACTCAATTTCAGAACAAGCAAGAGAAGGCCAGATGAACAGCTCCAAGCCGTGGCTTGAACTACGCCACTTTCTTGGGCGTCTGCATTCGTACCATCTCGCTGTCGAAACGATGTTTCGCGCCCGTAGAATATGGGACCGATTATGGGATGATGTTAATGTGACGGCAATCCCTTCGGCCGCGACAGTTCCACATCCTCTTAATAAAAAGAGACCAAACGCACACGAAATAATGGGTAGGATGACGTCTGCCGAGGAATTGTTGGAAAGATACCGCAGCCGGGCTGCTGAACTACAGCAGCTCGGCCTCGACGAAAAGATATTGGAAGAATGCAATACTTCCTCTCAGACACACATGGTACATGCAGAAGTTCTTGTACTAGATTATGTGCTGGGTTATTTGCGAGACACTGACGACGCTGAATTCTGGAATGGCTGGCGATATATTGGCAGCAGCAAGCCAACATGTCGTCTTTGCAATTATTATTTTATGGCACATCCAAGTGGCGTTCAGGTTCGCGAATCCCACAACAATCTTTATCCTCATTGGCGTGTTCCAGACGTCTTTGACGAAAAAACGATGACCAAAACAGAAAACCACCTACACGCGATCATCGTAAAGACTAGGGCAGATGCGATACGATCGCTCATGTCTCAAACATCGCAAGGTAGGAAGTATGATTCGAATTCATTTTCGGAGATGCCGCCCCCTTTTGGATCTCTCAGAACTGAAACACCGTCAAATAGCGACGTCATTTCCAGATTCTCAAGCCTCAAAATCATCGCAGAAGAGGACGGCCGAGGTGCAAGCAGAGAAAGAGAAGACCAAGAGGAAGAGGATATAACTCCTCTGTTCCGAGGCCGCGCGTCTGTACTTTCCCGCCGTTAGGAGCTCATCTTTTGTTATATCAACTGTTATGGACAGATTGACAGCATCTTTGGTTTCTAGCTTGGGAATCTAGGGGGTACGTTGGAATGAAGAGTTATTCATGTTCATCGAATTAAGCTAGAAAACATGAGATGCGATACATCATGGCGCAACACGTCTTTTAACTACATTATTATTTTTGAACTTGTTGCTGTGCTAAACCTGCTGAAAGATTCCTGCAGAGAATTGAGGCGCGAATTTGGAATCGTGGTGGCATTCGGATATGTCTGCGTGGTGTACGCATGTGATAGATGCCATGGTAGGAAAAGGATAGGAAACAATAAATTCAGACCAAACAACTTTCCCACGGAACACTAGTACTTTCAAGCCTAAATCCCATTTGCATTTTCTACCCGACGCTTATGAAAATGTTCATGGCATCGTGTTCAGTCAATTTAAATCCAAGTACAACAGGAAGACAAATTAATCACTTCACTGCGAATGGAGTTTGCTATTGTTGGTAAAACTGATGATACTCTGCAAGATTATCAGCGTATCAACGGAGTAATGAAGCAGTATAAGTGGCCCTTTGATATTGTGCGCAAAGATCAAAATAGCATATTGCTGGTTTCAGGGCTGCAGTTGAGCCATGCAAGTCAGCCGATTTCGGGTGCGGGGTGATGGCCCGTCCAGCTAATCGAGGTGGAGATGGCTTGATGCGGAGGAGCTGCTCTAATATTGGAAGAGTAACATTACATATTACTGGGTATTACAACAGACCTCGGCAAGGAATCCAGCACCTCGACTAGCCAGTAGCTTAATCCTATAGTCTAGCAGAACGTATAGGGGCTGGGCATACATTAACACGTAACTATGGATGGCGGCGGATCATATAATGTCGGCCATGTTGGGGAGCCTTTCGAATGAATGATTCGCGTTTGTTCTCATCATTAGCACAACGAATCGAAGCACATGTAAGCTGAATGACGTTTAGCTATGTTTTTGATCTATGCATACACAGCTTTGAGAGCGAATGATTTCTAAACATGTGTTGCATCAACGGCAATTGGACGGAGGAGCGAAAACCTGCTGCATGTTTGTGATTCAGGCGTGTCCAGATCCTCTACCCCGCGAAACTCTGTGCCGCTGCGGTATGATCCCGTTGGCTTTACCCATAACGACGATCTCGTAGCCAATAGCCTACAGTTGAAAACTATGATAAATTGAATACTACGATATCGGACGCAAGGGATTTAACCTCCTGGCCACGTGGACGTCATACAACTCATCCGTATAACGCTCATGCTTGTGGTATCGGAAAGTGTCCATGAATGTCACCTCCGCGGGATCTTCACAGCATTATAATGTCCGACTAAGGAAGCTAACCTGATTTCTTCAGCCACATAATGAAGCGAGTTGCTCATAATTTCCAGCACTATAATTAGTTGCCTCACCACATCCACAACAAGGCCACCTCTGTGTTCTAATCATTGAATGGAGCCTGGCTGGGCATTTGCGCGCTTAGTTGTATTACACCTGAAATCGGTTTTGCTATAAAAAATCTAAAACCGTGAATTATACTCCTCTATTTCTCAATCTCCATAAATTGAGGCTGTTAAGTTCCTTTCGGAGATCTGAAAAATTATTCATTTTGCTTCACTAATATCTCGTTCAAGACTTACTGTGCCGGCAAGATGGCCCACGTCGTCACATTATCTACTTTCAAGCAGCCACCAGGCGACGTTTCGGCATTGCAGGCTAGGGCCATTGCAGAGCAATGGGTAAAAGATTTCGAAACCGCTCTTCAAAAAAACAATAGAGATGAGCTGGAAAAGTTATTTGTCAAAGATGCTTGGATGCGCGATTTGCTATCGTTCAGCTGGGACTTTCGCTGCATCCAAAATCGAGAAAATATTGTCTGCTACTTTCAAAATAACCACAATGCTGGCATCAGTGGAATTCATCTTCAAGAGAATGGTGCTTTCCAGCCTAGCTTCCAGGCTCCATGTCCGGGTATACAATGGATTCAGAGCATGTTCGACTTCGAGTCACGTCATGGCCGAGGAAAGGGTACGATTCGGTTGGTGATGGATGGCGAGGATGGAAGTGAATGGAAATGCTACTTGATGCACTTTAGACTTAAAGAACTAAAAGGGCATGAAGAAAAGATTGGACTAAGGCGCCCTGAAAGCTATGTTGATACATCCGATTACAACTGGCAGCAGCGACGGGAGAGGCAGAAGGAGTTTCTGGATGAAGAACCAACGGTTCTAATCGTTGGCGCTGGTCAATCTGGGCTTATACTTGGAGCCAGACTCCAGCAGCTAGGCATTCCATCGTTGATCATTGAGAGGCTGGGCCGCGTTGGCGATACCTGGCGCAACCGCTACAAAGTATGATACAACATTCACATCGTACTCGAATTACCTGCTGACGAATAAGTAGACGCTCTCGACACACGATCCAGTCCACTACTGCCATATGCCATATATTCCTTTCCCTTCTCATTGGCCGATTTTTACGCCCAAGGATAAACTTGCAGATTGGCTGGAAGCATATGCCGGCCTAATGGAGCTAAATGTTTGGTGCAGCACTGAGCTCCAAAATTCATCGTTTGATGAGGCAACAAAATCTTGGTCAGTTACTGTTAAGCGGGCGGATGGTTCAGTCCGTGATCTGAAACCAAAGCATGTTGTTCTTGCGACAGGAAGTTCGGGCGAAGCCCTCATTCCGCATTTCGACGGCATTGAAAACTTTAAAGGTACTGTCTACCATGCGAGCAAGCATAAAGATGCTTCAGCGCATTCCGATCTCTCAAACAAACGCGTGGTGGTCGTCGGCGCTGGGAATTCGTCTCACGATATTTGCCAGAATTTCTACAAAGCTGGCGCCGGATCGGTCACTATGCTTCAACGCGGCGGTACATATGTTTTGTCTGCGAAAAAGGGTCTCTTCATGCTATTTAAGGGAACGTATGAAGAAGGCGGGCCACCAACTGATGAATGTGATGTCATGGCCCAAAGCATGCCAATTCCCATTTCATTTGCTTTTTCCACTCTCCTCACACAGGCTATCAGAAACGTCGAAAAAGAAACCCAAGAGGGGCTAGCCAAGGCTGGATTCCAGCTTGATTACGGAGAAGGTGGTGGCGGTCTCTTCCGTAAATACCTTACTCTTGGAGGCGGCTATTACATCGACGTCGGATGCAGCCAGCTTATCATAGATGGAAAGGTCAAAGTGAAGTCGAATCCAGGGGGGATCAAATCATTCACGCCAGATGGACTCCTTCTTGCAGACGGATCTGAGTTGAAGGCCGAAATAGTGGTTCTAGCGACAGGTTATCAGACAATGCGCAGCACGGCAAAGAGTCTTTTCGGAGACAAAGTTGCCTCACGACTAGGAAATGGTTGGGGTGTCGATGAAGAAGGTGAAATGGATTCGGTAAGACCTTAACAGCCTGTGATGAAGACGCATTTGATCTAACTTGCCCTCTTATAGATTTGGAGATATAGTGGACATCCCAACTTTTGGTTCATGGGTGGCAATCTCGCTTTAGGCCGAGGATTCTCACAACTACTGGCGCTGCAAATTAAAGCGAGCGAGTTGGGAATTTATGAAACACCAGGAACCCAAAACATAAGCAACGGCGTACAAAATGGAGCGTAGGTTGTAGATGTATAGGATGCTAGCTAGTCCATGCAATTCCTTGTCTGGGTGCTGACAGCTTAGCATTGTGCAGAATTTGCAATAGTATAAGATTTTGCAAAATGAGCACACTCTTTAGTCTTTGAAATACCGCAATGCTTAGCTTGAGGTAAACATGGGAAAGAGCTGCATAGAGAATATTGCTTACAATATAAGAATCTGTCCGTCATCACTTAATGAATAGAGTCATATTGGCAACACTCCTGAGATTAAAAACACCCAGCACTTTTGAGCTCCTGGGCCTTCAATACGGCCTGGATATTGGAGCTACTCGGAGCAAGCTGTCTGTCCTCGGTATGGCAGTGGTCTCAGCGCCTTGAAAAGGGGGATGCGGAGATATCTCAAGACTGGATTCGCGATATAATTGCTTGGCCAAAATTATGCCCCGTTTAATTCTTGCTTGGTCGTTTCGCAGCTGACGCATCAAAAATACTCGTGAATATCAATCTTGACGGCAGTCTCACAATCAGGGGTAGCCTACCGATAGAGATAGATATACTATAGTGTTATATGCCAAGGTCTAATTCTTTGATGCGTTAAATAATATAGCTACAAGGAGATGCGTTCAATCATCATCTATGCGTCTATTTTCCGTATTCGCTAATATGAAGTCCACAGTCGAGCATTTCTTGCGGCAACAGCGTCTCCTGAACTGGCGCAGCTCAACACTCTCTTTGTGGGCCATTTGCGCAATGATTTTATTGACAAAAAACTCGCTGATGAATAGGCGCCTCAATATTATCTTAAATGCTGCACAAGTATAGAGTCAGTCTGTATCGGTCGTGTATGTCGGCTTCTTGCAGTATTCTGCCACTTGGAATATCTGTCGTCGAATACATGTATATATATCAAGCGCCAAGGAATTATGCGTTTGTTAAGTGGAATCTTCGGTAGATCCAAATAGTTGATTGAGATAATTTGGAGATGAAATAGTCGTTGTCTCATTAAAGTCGTCTCTATAAATGCAAGTTTTTCTTCCTAGAAGCCCATGTGCCATCATAGATCTGGAACAGGGTTGACCTTCTTAATCACCTTCGCTGGTGAGCCAACGGCAACAGAAAAGTCAGGAATCGACTTTGTGACAATGCTTCCTGCGCCTATCGTGCACCCCTTTCCAATCGTCACGCCTGGCATAATGGTGGTATTGCCGCCTATCCAGCAATCGTCTCCAATAGTGACACTGCCGCCATACTCGATTCCGTTGCGACGCGACTGCACATCAGTCTCGTGTGTGGCGCCGAATATTGAAACGAAGGGACCGAATAGGACGCGGTTGCCGATCGTGACCATGCCGCAATCGAGAATAACAAGGCTGAATTCGTAAAGACACTTTTTGTCAGCCTCTACCAGCGAAACGACGCTTGCTCACCATGCGGTTGACGTACTTGAAGTTGGCGTAGAAGTTGTCTCCGATGGAGGTGTTGCACCCGTAATCTATGTTGAATGGCGTCTCAATGAACGGGTTTGATCCGATTTTGCCGAGTGCTTCATTCAAAATCTTCTCTCTTTCGGCAACCAGAGAGTCATTCGTGGCGTCGTCGGGGAAATAAGAGTTGTATCTGTGGATAAGCTTTCGAGCCCGAAATCTCCCCTCAACTAGCTCCGGGGCCTGAGAATTGTAACTGAAATGCAGATCAAGTTGGTCAGAAGTTAGACATCAGATATAGAGTCATTGGGCGACGGCGAGAGGGTTAAGAAATTATTTACAGCATTCCTGATATCATTTTCTCGTAATCCTCACACCACGGGATGTTGGTGAGAGACTTGGCGTGCTCAATCGCAGCCGGATCCTTTTCTTTACTGGCCATGGCGATGTGATGATGAGGGTGACTAATCGGACGTGGTAGAGTTGCAAAGGAGGGGAAGAAATGGTCCTCAGACGAGAAAGTAGCCTCCGTACTAATATACCAAAAAGAACTATCTTGTGCCAGCGATAACAAACGTGTTCAGAGTCAGTCCATGGTCTTTGCCCGAGGGCCTCAGCGGCGGGGCATTGGAGCCAGTCAGCAGCACCCTTTTTTCACCCCTCTCATACACGTTACTATTTAGGATGCCATGGTGAAAATGGATCTAGAAATTGGATGTTGATGGCGTCCGAAGAACAACCGCTAAAAGGGAGGCTACCGCGAGTCGGGATAGTACTGCACACTACTATGTATAAGCCTGCTTTCGGGAATACCATCTCAGCTTCGGCCGATCCGGTGCGACGGTGGGGAGTTTCAGCGACGCTATTACACGAAGCATGAAGTGCTCAGTGCGGTATGAACCTGGTAAATTGCGCTATTTCGCCGGCTATATTCCATACCTCGCACTGACAGCTTTACTGCTAAGCCCGTATCATCCCTCGGTGAGCCACCAGCGAATCGCTATACACGAGCCAGCTCAACAGCTCGCCGGGCTGCGCGCCCAAAATCAGACTCGACATGGAGGCCCAGTCTAGCATCCGCGAGCTGTCATTATGCGCCACGAGTTAGCAGTGGTCATTTGTCACAAAAGTGCGGTGTGAAACAAGGGGGGCCATCTCAGCCTGGACCAATCTGCTGGTACAAGTGCACTCACCAGCTTCAATCCCTCTGCCGAGTTAGTTCCCTGGAGCCGGACGACAAGTGGAACCGACACGGTCATCTCCTGCGCGGCTCCAATGATAGATTCGGCAATCATGTCACACCTAGTGATGCCTTCACAGTGTCAGCTCAGCCCTGGTAACATGGACTATCGGGGCCCTCAGCCGGATCCTCTTCTCCTCACCTCCGTATATGTTAATTAGCATGGCTCTTACCCGCTCGTCTCCCATAACGATGCCAAACGCTTGTATCATTGTCTCCTTAGTTGCTTGGCCCCCAGCATCTAAGAAATTAGCACTGGTGCCCCCATGAAGCCCAATAGCATCGTTTGTCGCCATCGCGAGTCCTGCTCCATTCACAATGTTTCCAATGTTGCCATTCATTTTAATATATACCAGGTTGTGCTTTTCGGCATTCACTTCATCTTCCACCTCCTGACTCGTGTCACGCAGGAGGAAAATATCAGGCTGTCGCTTTGCTGCATCATCGTCTATGACAAGACTGGCATCAAGGGATGCAAATAACCCATTTTCTAGTCTTGCAAGAGGGGCTATTTCCAATAGCGTCGCATCTTTTTCCCGAAAGATGCCATACATGTTCGTCAACATGTCATCTAGGTTTGTCACTTGATCACCTGCAACACCCAGAAACTCGGATATTTGAATAACTAAATCTCTGGTTATACCTTGAGAGAAACCAAACGTGAAGGTGGAGCTCTTCTGGGAATCCTTTTGAATCAAAATTTCCTCGGTGTCAGTATTGTCGTCTTGCTTGGAAATGATGATTGCAGGACAGTAGTTTTCTCGGTCAATGGTCATTGTTAAATGCCATAGCTCTTGATGTGCCATGACTTCAGATACCAAAATATGATTAACGGTGATAGATTGGTGACTGATGCCATCAGAAACCACTCGACGGTTAAGCATTCTACCGGCCATACTCATTCCTTGCTCGGGATCATGAACTTTCTGGCTTCCCCCTCTTAGCCCATCCTCAAAGGAGAGGCTGTCTTTGTGTCCCCATAGAACTTGTGCTTGTAAAATACAGCTTCCCCCTAAACTCTTTACAGCATCTCGAGCTTCAAGGGGCGTACGCGCCACTACTCCACGAGGGACCAGAACTCCAGACTAGGGATTTCATGTTAGCGTTGATTGATAGACCTAGACGAAGTTGACGCACTGCTCTGAGCAAGTCTTGCGTTTGAGAACTATGCAAAGTGAGCCGTCTCAGTTGTATTTTAGATGAAGACTAAGAATCATTAGTATGTGCCACGTCAAGAATTAGTTTATCTGATTGAATCCTGCAAGAACGCAGGCAGTTGTATATATGATACCAGACCTTTGGCGTTGATCGAGTCAGCACCCCCGCACGGGTTGCCCAGGCAAGGGAAAATATCATGGGGGCAGCCCTTTATGTAAAGAAGCAGCAGAGTACAAAAATTCCTTTTAGAAGTAATCAATTATCTGAAGGAAATGATGAGAATATGTCATGCGTCCGAGATTCAAGAGTTCTTCCATTACTTCACATGATGTATAGCTTCTAAATAAAGGGCCCTGGCGCAAGTAGCCGACGTTAGCTACATTTTCTAGCCTAGAATCTACTTAGCCGGACACAGTGTCCGTACCCGCAGTGCAGCCAAATTATTTATACGAAACTTTGCGATCTGCATTTCATTGACATACACACGTGGTGCTATCAACTAAGCTTTGAGACTTGATATAGAGGTATAGCTGTGGTTGGTAATTTATATAGAGTGCAGCAGAATCAAATGATGAAATAGGGGAGCTTAATTCAGGGAGGCACATGCAAGTGGAATAGGAGTAAAAGACGAAGAAAAGGGGGGGTGCCATAGCTCCGTTAAACAATGTCCATGAGTCAGAAATTCCATTTTGATGCTTAATGTAAAGGGAGTATCATTCACAATTCTAGAATGCCTAGTCAGTTTATATCTTTTTGATTATAGAAGCTTTCATGATAACATTCCCATCCTTCTCTGCAACTACATCAAACACTCGACTAGAATTCGTCGCGTTTATATCTACCGTCCGAATTCGGTATTCCTCTCCTCCATAAACAGGTGACATTGCCCGGTAGATAATCTCATCTGGCCCTGCGCCCTCTCCGTGAATATCTCTCCAATAGTCCAACAAATTGATAACATTCAGGGGCCCGTGGACAACAATACCAGGGTGGCCCTCTGCGGTACGAGTCCAGTCTTCGTTGTAATGGATTTTGTGGCCGTTAAATGTAAGGGCTGAAAATCGAAAAAGGCCAACTGGAGACCAAGACAGCTTGCGTATGGGAAAAGCTTGTGGCAAAAGAATTAGCCACAGTAAGCATCATATAAGCACGTCCCTGAGAGAGACGTCGGAATACTCACCACTGCTGTCATTTATTACATCAGAGACAGATGATGGAGCTAGGATATTGCCGTCGATTCTTCTAAGCGCTACGCCCCCCTGAGGATTAGAAGATAACATTGGCCTAAAAACCCACGACCTTTTGTCGACAAGTGCCAGGCCCCTTGATCCATGAATCTTCTTTTCTACTTCAACGAGTACCATCTCGCCCGCGGATCTGCTCGTCTTCGCAACCGCACTGATCAACTTTGTGTGCTCTTCTGCTTCCTCTCCAACCCTCAAGGGGTTACTTTTATCAAACTTCATATGGCCACCTGCCCACATCCTCCTTGTGAACGGGGCGGGCGCATTGAAAGTGCGGTCACTTCCGTCAGCACCCAGTTGACTCTCAAGCTCCATTGGTGTAAAATAGACAAGATGGTGTGCTGAAGGAATCGGTGTGCCTGCGGGAACGTTCATCCTGCTTATGTCGTGGCCATTAAGGACTGGTCGACCAAGCATCACCGCCAGTTGTTGTAGCTGATTTGAATCGATGAACTGGCTCCGCTTTGTGACTTTGTTTGCAAACTGATCCATCATATAAGACGCTGCTTCTGTGGCCGTCTTGATCTGGGGAGCTGATGTCGTCGATGCGTAGCGAGCTGTTTGTAAGAGCAGCTGCGTTACGGGCCTCGCTCTGCGCTCTAGTCCTCTCATGCTGATAATCGGTCCAGCAACGCAATCAAGCCTTTCTTAATTACAAGTGAATGTTAACAAAATGAAATGACAGCTCCAATGTATAAGATGTGTGCCACTTCTGTCACAAGAACGTCACGATATCCCGCTCCCCAGTAGCTCACAGCCTCAACTTTGTGTCACAATTCGATAACTCGGCTATTTGATTTTCTCAAGATGCCGACTATAATCTGGAGTTCAGCTAGTTTACAACGCGCTTACAGTGGCTGGTAGGCCACTAACAGCAACTATTGGCTGCTTAAAATCATACTGGCTAATTGCGCTGTGTCCCCTAGGGTTGGGGTCCTTACTCCGTGCGTACAACTATATAACCATACGGAGTACCCTGGCATCTTCTGCCGAGAATCCGCAAGCTCGGTACATATCATAAGCTTGATGGGAATGCTTCATTTATTTGCATGGGAAGAGCCGCCTGCTGCCAATTTGACAAATCTATCAAACTAAGGCCGTTAGTCTGGTAAAAGGAGGTTGAATTAGCTCAACACCCCTGCCCATAGACATGCATTGTCTCCTCTACTCTCTCTACGGCCTTTATGGCGTAATATTTGCTCAAGTGCAAAACTACCACTGCAGGGCTTCACTAATTGGCCTGTCAGGTGTCATGTGTCGTTCTTGACATTGAATAAGGAGACGGCATGCCCGCAAGCACAGACGTTGAACGTGGAGATAATGCTACGACGCGTGGCAGCGCTTTTGCAACTGCATGTAGCAATATGTACGCTGCGGCATATTTAGCGGCATCCGGTAGCCAGATCGCACGCTACATTTTGGGAAAAACTTACGCAGCCCCAGCAAGCGAGAGCTCCTGCAGGCAGATCTAATTTAGCCCGGCCACTTGGACCAGTCACCGCTGGATCTAGAACCTTGCAGACAGCGGAGTACGGAGTAAGAATGGCAACAGCCGCAGCATCCCGAGTGAAAGATGCTTGACATCACCAATCCTGCGGCCTGATAGAATGGGGGCCATCTAATAAGGGCGATAATGATAAATAAAAGGAACAGCCATTGGCTTGCTTTCAATGTTAGTGCGAGTGGCATATGGGTTCCGTGTAATTGGTACTAGACTGTTGTCACACGAGGCAGCGGTTGACTTACAGCTACCTCTTTCGTACATGCCCGAGCAGCTACGTGCATCACAAGCTTCCATTTCATACGGCGCCCTAGCTGTACCGAAAACACATGTATCAAATGTAGAATAGTATCCCGAAACTGAAAAGGCATTAGGTACTCATGCATACAGCGCCCAATGTTAGTGGTGTCTCGTCTTGGCATTTCCATTCACGGCTGCTATATCACGAATTAAATGCAACGTCTAATCCGACAAGAACATATTCAAATCCCCTCAACGAAGATGTAACGGCCGGACATTTTCCGGATGCACCTAGAACTCCAAGCTCTTCCAACAGAAAGGACCTCGCTGCGTTTTTGGAGACTTCCGCTTTGGGCAACTAGTCGTATGTGTTGCACAAGACATTCCTCTTAAAGGAAACGCCTTATTTGCAATGGCTAATACAGCAAGTTAGGTAAACTCACGAAGAGGCAACTATGAACCTGCTATAAACATCATGGAGTCGCTTCATCGATATGTTGAAGCCCCCCATCAGTGTAAAAGCGCCGGGCTGCGATGTCGGACTGCTGACGCACGTGGCTCTGTAGATCTCGGCATACCATACTAAAGTCAAAAAGAAACTGTTTTGCTACAGGTCATGACTCTCCAAGCTTCTCAAAAATTGTAAACTCGCCATTTACCCATACGCTGCTGATTTTGATGACACAATATGGCCAATTCTGTTGCCGGCGACGATCATGAGCTGAGTCGCATCCATACAAACGACGAGCACGGCCGTGGAGAGAATTCTAGAAATCCGGCACAGGTTGAGCAAACGCTGCCTCCGGCAGACTATGGTCGCCGTGCATATCTCGCCCTTGCATGTTGTACAGCTGCTCAAGCTCCTATTTGGGGTACTTCTTCAATTCCTTCGAGGAATAAACAATAAGGTGTGTTGAACATTGACATAATTTGATAGGGTACTCTGTCTCTTTTGGCATCTTTCAAGAGTATTACAGCAATCCCGATCATGGGATAGATGCGTCTCCTGGAGCCATCGCCACCGTCGGATCCATGCAAATGGGCATTATGTATTTGCTGATGCCCGTCGCATTCGTGATTCTCAGCAGGTATCCATATCTACGACGATGGTGCGGTCCTTTGGGGCTCGTCGTCACCGTTGCAAGCCTGTCTGCCTCTGCTTTTGTAAGCAGCATCGCAGGATTGATCGCCACACAAGGCGCCCTCTATTCCATTGGCTGCGGCCTGCTTTTCAGCCCCATTTCCCTCTACATGGACGAATGGTTTATCGAACGCAAATCCCTGGCCTATGGAATTATGTGGAGTGGTAAGTCCTTGGTGGGTGTGGCGATGCCGTTCCTCTTCAATGCCTTGCTGCGAAGGGTCGGGCTCCGTGCAACAATCCTTTCTTGGGCGATAGCTTCCACGCTGTTGACATTGCCGACTCTTTTCTTTCTTAAACCGCGCATTCCACTGTCTACTGTGTCTCGCGCCCGGCCGCTCTCATTCGCCTTTCTCCGCCATACTTCGTTTTGGATGATGCAGTTCGGCATAGTCGTTCAATCTCTTGGATATCTCATGCCAAGCACATATGTGGCTTCATATGCATCGGCTATTGGTCTATCTTCTGTTACCGGTCCCATCTTGCTTGCACTCTTCTCCACGGCTTCGGTGCCTGGGTCATTAGTCCATGGCATGCTGGGCGATAGACTGTCTGCGACTAAACTAATTCTCCTTTCATCTTTCGGCAGTGCTATTCCTGTCTTTCTCCTGTGGGGTCTCGGTCGCCATCTCAGCACCATGGTTGTTTTCGTTGTCCTATACGGCTTTTTCGCCGGTGGGTTCAGCTCTACCTGGTCTAGTATGACCCAAGAAATTAGAAAAGATGATCGAGCTGCAGAAACTTCTCTGGTTTTTGGTCTCCTCATGGGCGGTCGTGGCGTGGGCTATGTAATGTCAGGCCCCGTGTCTGGCTCTCTTTTGTCTATAAAGGATCTGCTCACAGAGGAGCCGTTGGGGTATGCCACCAAGTATGGACCTATGATTCTCTGCACTGGAATTACGGCTATTTTGGGAGCATGGGCGCCGTTATGGAAGGCTGCGAGAACAACAGGCAGGGTGACCCTCACAACTTGCTCGCGCTTATTTATTAGTACTTCGCGATGAAGGATATGACAAGTTTGCGATGGCAAACTCGGAGAGGATGGTCTAAAGGTAGATATACCTTGTAGGTCGGGAGCGACAATATCCGACTGCATTTCCTTTGGCGATATCATCATCCCAGAGTAGCGTGAACTTGTGTGTGAAGAAGAAAGAGAAGAGTATATGGCTCAAGATGGGATAATAAGTTACATCATATAGAATAACACCCAGCTACCAATTGGTTTACATTTCAAAGCGAATGTTAAAGAGCATACGATGTTTAGTAACAGTAATACGGCCAATTGTGACGCAGAAATGCTTAAATATAGGTTCAGTGGCCCATACTATCTGCAGTCTCATACGATACTACACAGTTCGCAGCTCATTAGCTCGCCGCACAAGTCGTCACACATCACTTAGATTAGACTCCGATTTTGACTCATTCTAGACGTAGGCAATTTTGCAATGGCTCCCAAGAGAACCCTTTGGTGTTTCCTCACCTCCGCTCGTCACCCCCAAAGGCAAGAGAGGCAAGAGATTAGCCAAGTGGATTGCATTCCTTCACCAACTTTGAGCAACATCTGCAGCAATATTCTTCAATTAGTAGAAATAGTAGCTGTTATAGAAGAACTAGAGGCAGCAGCAGCGAAAGATGATGAAGGGGTGCTAGCACCGGCAATCGATGTTACTCGCCAGATTGAGGCTACATCTATTTACGTGCGCGATAAGGATTCCTCTCTTACGCTCATTGCCCCGAGCTCGAGTTTCAAGACTGAAGGACAGACCATTTTCCTCCTTCTTTTTTTTTTTCTTCGATTCTTTATATTTCATGATGAAGATGCTACGGTCTCCATGCAAGTCTACTTACATTTGAATAATCCGTAGGTACTTGGACCTGTCTTAAGTACAGGATCAATAATTGCCTAATGATGAAGAATAGCTGCGACCGCCATCTGAGGTTAGCCCTTTGTACTGTTTTTCAATTCCTATCCTATATAATTGTCATTTTGTCGTTATCTAGCGCTACTGTCTCTTGTCGTCGATTGAATCAAATGAAGTTATATCCAATCCAGGCTATGCACATATTGGATAAAGCTGATATTGCTTAGTCTTTCGTTCCGGTGAGAATGGATAATCATCGCTAGATGATAGTTTTTACCAATCTAAGAAAATGGACAACAGATAGAGATGGAGAAGAGCCGTCTTTTGACGGCGTCCACCCCGCCGCCACCACTGTCCCCTTCCACGGACCTCGCCTCCTCCTTTCTTCCCTTGTGCCATAGGACCCCGCAGCTGTTGTAATTGCCATTGGTGCGCGGAGGACTCTGCTGCATTTGCCAACAATCTTCTCGCTGTCGACCCCCTTTGTTACCACTGCCGCGGCCGATGGCTTCCTAGCCACTCCCTTCCTCCCAATGCTGATTGAGGCCTACTCTCCTAGTGATATTTTAACTTCCGTCATTTAGACGAGTAGCTCGTCCACCGTAAGTCTCAAGTCCAAATGCCTACCTCGGTAATACGCCACACACCTAACGGAGTATCAGTGTTTCATATGCCAAACCGTATACTGAATGCACTTTAGTAGGTGGCTCCGGCCCATAGGGTGTAAGAGCAATTCGGGAGGACCTGATGGCCAATTTGGCACATGCTTTTCATAATAATCAATACAGTTATCTAGCGCTCACACATATTTGTATACATGGGCGATTAAAAATGTCCTTCGCGGAGCCAGATCTATGTAGTCTCGATAGACATCTCAGCAAAGGAGACATAAGTGAGAAATCTTAGGCGAATTGGGATATTTCACCAGTATTGAGTATTCGTCTTTGGTTGATCTACCATTATTCCAACCTCCGCCCAGGCGGTGCATTTTAGCCTAAGTGGAAATTAACAGTCACAATAACGATTTTATTATGACGCTCTCATGATAGTTTTACATGCAAAATCATGCCATTATAATGCCGGTTCTCATGAGAACTCATCTTAAAGTCTTACTGAGACAAGATTGCAAGTTAAGGTTTAAGGAGTGCACGCAAATTATAATATATAACAATACCTCTCATGGAAGAGTCAAATCCCAAACTCTTATAATATGATTTCGGCCCCCTTAGTGCCAAAGAACGTATGGCAAAAGGAATAGTGTGCTGCATCTTCAGTTCCGCCATTGAGACCAGCAAGCTATGAGATGTATCGTTCCTTACCAAATCTATTTTTAATATAATTTGAAAGCTAGATTCCAAAACTTCCCATCGCATCACTCATTACGTTGACCCATCATCTCACTCTCAGTTCTCCCAGCAGTGTCACTCACTGACTCTATAGCCTTATTGCAAGCAGGTAGGTCTCAAAACCGTGGATACGATTCATCATATTTAGATGACTGAAAATTAAGTTTCCATTCATACCTATGCATTTCACTCTTTCTAGTCGATTTCGCAACTCTGTGATATAACATTCGTACACCTTTAGTTCTTCTTACACATGCATCTTCAAAACCGCTACATACATACTCGAATGCAATAAAGGTAAGTTAGATAACCCAAAGTTCCAATCATTGGTTCATTGTGAATTTTTTAAAGCTCAAAGAAGCAGGTCAATAGAGATAGTTCCGCACGACAATCTCGTTGCCTTAAAGTGCTCCAGGTCCAATGCTCTTCCGCGTGGTCTATCTATATGATAGATCTGCAACCTAGCGGGGGGCGCTAAGCCATGAGCAGGAAGCAGTGCGCAGTATGTAAGTGCGAAAAAAGGAAGGACAGAGGATTGATGTGATCGGTTAGAACTGCCGGATGGAATCCGGTTGGCAATGGGCGGGGTAGATAATATGAGAAGACGTTGCCTTGTGTATTGCGCTTATGATGCTTCTAGGTACATAAAGAGAGAGAAATGGGTTTTGTATATCGGTATTCTTCGTCCGGAAAACTCTATGGCTCTTCCTGATGGTAAAGATTATATGCTACGTTCGTTACTTTTAGTAACTAGTCTAGGTCGTAACGTAAGCATTCTTTCAGCCGGATTTCCTAAATGTACCACCTACCAAACTCGACTAAACTGCCGGCCAAAAGGACCCGTTTGCATTCAGGGATTGTGTTCAGCTCTCGGACCTAGGCCAATCTTGAGTGGTTGTGCCCCCCCAAATGGTGGGGTTTGATATCAAGAGCTGCACCACGAGGAGCAGATGCAAAGCCTGATGCGTCAAACCATTAATGTGACGTAAAGGACGCTAGTACAAGATCTGATGTCCTTTATCTAGAACAAAATAAGAAATAAGCCAGAACTTTTGCCCTTAAGCATATCGGTATCGACTCACGGAGTTGAGAGGGTTACATTCGCTCCTTCAGTGATCCGAGGTGTAAGTATATAATGCCCCGTCATGGCTCCAAGAAGGTGTCGCTTTCAATAAACATAGCCTTCCAGTCTCAATTAGTTTATCAGCCCTTACAATTAAGTCTATCATACTTTACAATGAAGACAATTACTCCCATTGCTGCCGGAATCGGCATCTTGTCTTCTATAGCAAGTGCATCCGTTCAAGGCTTCGATATATCCCACTATCAGCCTACTGTAAACTTTCAAAAAGCATATTCCGATGGTGCCCGATTCGTTATTATAAAGGTTCATATTACATCTTTATTTTTCGTCACGTTCTAACGCGCTAATGCTTCCAAATTATAGGCCACCGAAGGGACCACATACATTGACCCCAGTTTTAGCGATCACTATACCCAAGCTACACAAGCGGGTTTTATTCGAGGCGGTTACCACTTCGCGCAGCCAGCTTCTTCTTCCGGTGCGGCGCAGGCCAACTACTTCCTAAAACATGGAGGAGGTTGGTCATCTGATGGCATTACTCTGCCCGGTATGCTTGATCTCGAGTATGCTCCCAGCGGTGACAGCTGTTACGGATTGAGCACCAGTGCCATGGTCAGCTGGATCAACGATTTCATCACAACTTACCATGCCGCTACGACTCAGTATCCTCTCATCTACACTTCCACTAGCTGGTGGCAGTTGTGTACCGGAAACAATGGCTCGTTCGGTAGCAAATCCCCTCTTGTCGTCGCAAGATACGCCAGCTCTGTGGGCACGTTACCCAATGGCTGGAGTTATTATACCATTTGGCAGAACAGCGACTCGGCTCCTTGGGGCGGCGACTCTGATGTGTTCAATGGAGATCTATCTCAACTCCAGAAGATTGCTCGTGGGAGTTAGATTTCTCATGCTAAGAGAAATTGAAGAAAGGATTGGCTAGCTAGCTCTAAATGACGGTTTATGTGCCGGCCTCCTTTTTTCGCACATTGGACATCTGACATGCCATTTCCTCCTCTTTCATGTAATATTTCGATAGATTCTAGCACATTGAAGGGAAGAAGAAAGGCATTGATAACCGAGGGTCAGTCAAAATATCTTTATATTTAGTAACTTGCTAAATGATATCTATTTAAATTATTGAATGATTATATGCCATCTATTGTACACTATTCAACCTCATCCTTGCAAATTTCAACGCATATACTTAATTGTTCTGTTGCCCCTCTCATTCCCACTACCTCCTCTAGCAATTTGAACAGCGATCTCTTGCCAATGCAGATTATATAGCACTATTATCGCTCGACAAAAATTATAGATCCGAGAAGCGTATTTATGCTCCTATTTCCTTCAAAGACAAGTCGTATAGTCTTGTCGCCGCGTCTTGATCGTACACCCATTCGGCATGACCTGGGTCAATCATTTTCCAGCCTTTCTTTAGTGGCTCGCTGAATCGATTTCTTTCACAGTACTTTCCTCCTTGGCCCTCCAGATCTCTGCTAACAGCAGCCCATACCGACGTTGAGGCACCTTGCTCAGCATTCATCACCGAGTGAAATGTTGCCATAGGACCAGATTTAATGATTACCATCCAATCCTTGACATCCCATTGACTTGGTGCCTGTAGCCCTGTTCGAATTCCGCCGGGGTGCACGCTCCATGCATGGAGGCCTTGAGCGCCATATCTTCTCTCAATCTCACTAGCGGTATAGACATTTGCTAGCTTGCTCTGGCCGTATGCGGTAGGACGATCGTATTTGCGTTTTTCCCAGTTCAGATCTCCAAAGTCCATAGGGGCATTTCTATGAGCAGTAGAAGAAACAATTACGACTCTCGAGCAAAATTCTGGAGTTGATGATGCCAATAGGGTCGGTCTCAGAAGCTCAAGGAGAAGAAAATGAGATAGATGATTTGTGCCCCAGTGCTTTTCGTAGCCATCTGAAGATCTACCGAAAGGCACGTGCCGAATGCCTGCGTTTTCTATGAGGATGTTGAGAGTATCGCTCTTTGACTTGAACTCTTCGACACAAGATCGAACGCTATCAAAGGACTCAAGGTTCAGCTTAATGAGATGGACACGGTCGCCATCGAGAATATTCCCAAGCGCCTCTTTTGCCTTCTCCATATTGCGAGCTGTAACAAAAACGGTTGCGCCGGTAGCTTTCATCGCTCTCGCTGTCTCGATTCCAAGTCCTGAAGAGCAACCGGTAATGAGTACAACTTTGTCCTTCATATTTCCTTCTCTTTGCTCATCTTTGATAATCTGTAGAGCGGTAGGCCTTGCATCGCCGGGTCCTCGTTGGTTGGCGTGTGCTTCCGCGTAACGGCTCGTTGCTATGGTGGTCATGGCTAAGAATAGATACAAATTTATATAGGCGTTGGTAAACTGGTCTCGAAATCGTGTGTGTGATGCTGATAGATATAATATGAATGGAAGAGATAGGATTTGACTGTGAGGTGCTGATATGTTTTTACGACATAGGCATCGAGATGCTCGCTTATATATTCTTGGGGAAAAAATCCTCCGCTATTTCTCTTATAAGACTGCCTCCTCCTTACTTTAACTAAATGAAAGGTGGTAGATCTATAAGAAGGCTGCAGGAAAGCCATGCGCCACGACGTATCCTATTTGGCAGGCAAGTCAGCCACATACTCCCAAAGTGGCAATTCTGCTGACAGGGTCCGCTAAAACCCATCCACGAAAATTAACCATCGCCGTTTACTCTGGGTATGCCTGAGAAAATAGCATAATTACAGCTGCTTACCTCTGCATTTCAGCACGCGGAAATTATGTGTGCATGAACAAAGACTTCCGAAGCCCCACCTGTGCAATTCGTGACTGCTGTTTACTAGGTACTCAAATAGGCAACTTTTTGTCAGCAACGTCGGGATGAGTCGAAACATCTCTTAATCATGAAAGGCTGTATTGCAGCATCATTGTTATTGAGTACTCGTAATTACATGAGTAGATGTGCACGCCATAAATTTCCTGTAGAAGGGAGAAGAAATAGCAGATAGGTTGCTCTAAACAAGAACTAAGGACCAAACTTAACTCAGAGGGTTCAAGTCGAGGTGACTCCTGTGCAGTGGAGTGTATATTTCCAGTATGCCAATACAGAGACACATAACCCTTTGAAGCAAAAAAGTCCTTTGGCAGGTATAGAAAATGATCAATACACGCTTATCGAGAGGCGCAGCAACTAAGTTGTGAAGCCCTTTGACATTCATTTACTTAGTAAGACTGCTCTATCATCTTGCACATGCCACTGCAATAACTTCTATGCCAAGAGTACTTGATGTACAGACTGTTTAAATTGACTAAATCGAGCAGTTGTAAGTAAGATGATATCCTGTACAGACCTTACCACCCAACCTTGCGAAGATATTCAATCTCGAGAACCAATCGTGTAGCTACGAAGCGAGGATATGACTGGGGAAGTATAGTCGTTTAACACGATTTTTGATTGAGAGGAACGCTTCGATGAACCCAATGTGTCACCTGGGCATCGCGCCCACTGCTAAGAGCAGCTATATTTGGATCTCGGCTTTTTGCAAGTGTATGGTTTGTTTTTTTCACCTCGCTAGCTATCAGAAGGACAATGCGCGTTTCTTGTTTCGAAATTGCATGAGCAGCCATGCGCTTTCCATTGGCAACGGAGGCCGCACTGCCTCTTAAATCGGCAATGAGAAATACAGTACTCTGGCGCTTGTTTTTTATTTAAATGTACAAAGACTGCTTTTCATAATCTCGTTATTTCGAACTTGTTGTTTCAAATATGAAGTTCTTTACCATCACCTGTTTTTGTGTGTATCCTAAGTGGCGAAAGGGCTGTCTTTTAGTTTCGCGCAAGGCCACAATGTTTGCAAGAAGCGAGTCGAGACAAGAGATTTGGGATGGAATAGGAGTCGGTCATATAGCGTCGGATATTGCGTTGGCTCGCGTCTTTGTTACGGAGAAGAATATCAGTTGGTATCGTAAGTGGGAAATCCTGTTTACCCTCAAGTAGTGCGTAAAATTCTACCCGAATAATGTGGTTCAACCTTTAATTTAATACCATCAAAGATTTGCCTTATTTTAGCGTCTTCTAGATGTAGGTACGGGCTTCATGCTGTGAGCTTTTTGTGTCGCATTCATATTGGATAGGAAAAAGTGAGAAGAAATAATTGTTCTGTTTTTTTCTATCTTCAGTGCCGCTTGAGTCAGGGCATCTTGAAATCATGATCGAGCCGCTTTTCCGTAGTGCCTAAGCTCGATATGGGGCTAGCCAGCGTAAAGAAGGATGTTGGGCGCTTTGTGGTGGATCGTGCAAAATAGGTTGAGAGATGCCCGTCACATCATGCATCAGTGGATATCTAGCTCATTTCAAAATAAGTGAAGCCAACGCCGACATAAGGTTCTCACCGTAAAATACGTCATAATGCCTGGAGCTTGTCCGTTCTAGCTTTCTAGTCAACTGAGAAGCTGCTGTATAACAAGGGGCCAAAAAAGTCAATTCCTATCCACCCAATGGCATGAACTTGGAGATTATTGATCTAGTAAGCGCAGAAAAGCATCGCGCATTATTTCCAAAGAAAGGCGGGGTTGCGCTTACATATGAAAGCAGCCATACTCCGTAGTTAGCAGCTCATTGGCCCGGAACAGCTTTGATTGCGCCTTCGCCCAAAGAGCTATAGAATCTCAAGAAATGGCCCTCTCTATCTTGTTTTATAAAGGCTAAAACAACATCTGCAGAAGATCGGGCCTCTTTTAGATGTTGATTTGCGCCTGCGGCCGCGACTCGCGTTGCTCCATGACGCCTCTCCTACCCGTGACCCAACTACATTCTGTCGATCCGTCATGTGCTACGTTGTACTCGTGCTCTTTGTTATTGAACGGCCCTCCGGTCCGGCTGATCTTGGACGTTTGTTCCAACAATGCCAAGAACCTCTAGTCACATGTGGTTTTATTTCGTTTCGTTTGGCTTGACCATCGTAACATTGATCTGGTCATATTACCGAAGGATCATGTGAAAACAACACCCCTCGTCGGCTTCGACAGGGATTATCTCGTTCTCGCAAACTCTTGATTAACAATGCGCATTGACAAAAACTACCCTACCTTTTACATGAGTGGTCCCCGCCGGGATGTGCTGCTGTTCCGACGCGCCGCGATCAGCTAGTAAATAACTTCTCGGCCAACCTTATCCGCCATCCATGTAACTATCAACAATCCTTTTATAACTAAGCTAGCGTCAATAAACCAGTAACACGCAGAGCATAGCCAACATCAGCGGATGCTGAAACAACCCAACGTAAGTCTTATCATGGCATCAGCGAGAAGCTTTCTTACTGCAGGCCAGTTTGACTATCTTCGAATGGAGTGGAATCAGGCTGGCAGCTTATGGAGGGTAGTAGGCATGCCAGGCACAAGGGATCTACCGATCTAGATGTTTATGCTTTCATCAGTAGTATCATACTTTGCTTAGCTTTGGTTAGCACTACTCGGAGTTTAGTGACATTATTGCCGCTACCCAAATGCGATGGTATTAGCGAGCCTTTGACTCCCAACACCAAGACCAACAAGGCTTCCCCAAGGTCTCCCCAAGGCTTCCCCACGATAATAGTGGGACTTGTGTGATCCTACGCCAGGCAGCGCTGCAATTGTCTACATCTATTGGCACGCTTAAGGAAAATTCCCGCACTGGCTAAATCATGCAAGGGAGTCAAGTAGCTCTGCAGCTTAGCAGCTTGCATAGCAGTATTTTGTTCCTAGCGTGAGATAGTAGGATCTTGTTAGCACTTAGCGTGATTTGGTGAGACAACCACGGCCTCCTGTTGATGCCGGCAGTTGGATGTAAGTTTATGTAAAATTATTGTCATAGAGCTAGGATATCACAAATAACAAGCACTATTCATTCCCGATTTGGTAGATGTATTCATGCTTTAGGGAATAAGAATACTACTTTTCTCGGAAGCAAATTCTCTTCTTGTCTCCATACCGGGTCACTCAAATTGTAAAAGCCCGTCGTTGCACGGGCTGTTTTTTTCTCGTTACCTCCTGTTTTGCATTAGTGTATTCATTTAGAACCAAGCTACGCAGACGCTAATACTCCAGAAAATGTATGTTTCATTCTATCCGTATGATCATACCCCAGATCCAGCCTCATGACGGCCCTTCTTGTGATATTGAAAAGCGGTATGTATGACACAAGGTTACCACTCCAACGGGACTATCTCGGCCATTTCAAGCTACGGTTTAAGACTACTGTAAGGCGAGCATGATGTTAGAGAGGGCAAGGATAGTTGAAAGGTAGTATTTCCAAATACTTGGAGTATTCGCCCATACCCTCTAGAGAAACCTCCTGCCTCTTTGGTAAAACATGTTCCTGCTTTTAAGTTAGAATCATATAACATTTTATGACATTGGATATGAATGGATGATGGTTAGGGAAGATCAGCGTTGCTCAGCTTAAAAACCACAGAGATCGCCCTTTCTTTCTGTTCATTGCAGATCAGTCTCATCGATCGATTCAAGACCACAGCCATATCCATCTCATTGTTCGTCTATATAGATAGATATGTTCTCCAAACCAAGCCGCGTTAGCGTTTTCGCCTTGGGCCTAGTTGCCGCTGGTTCTCTTCAGCTTGTTGCTGCTGGACCTTGTGACATCTACGCGTCTGGTGGCACACCATGCGTTGCCGCACACAGCACAACTCGTGCCTTGTATGGAGCTTATAGCGGCCCACTCTATCAGGTACGACGCGGCTCCGACAATGCCACGACTACGATCTCGCCGCTATCTGCCGGTGGTGTTGCCAATGCCGGCGCTCAAGACTCCTTCTGCGCGTCGACAACGTGCCTCATCTCTATCATCTATGACCAGTCTGGCCATGGTAACCACATCACGCAGGCTCCTCCCGGCGGTGCCGCCCAAGGGCCACTGCCAGGGGGCCTTGATAACTTGGCTGGCGCAATTGGTGCGCCTGTCAGGCTGAACGGGCAAAAGGCATACGGTGTCTTCATTGCACCCTTTACGGGCTACCGCAACAACAACGCCAATGGAACTGCAACAGGAGATAGTCCAGAGGGCATGTACGCTGTTTTTGACGGCACTCATTACAACACGGCTTGTTGTTTTGACTATGGTAACGCCGAGACCAACTCTCGCGATACCGGCAACGGCCACATGGAAGCCATCTACTTTGGAACCGGTGATGGCTCTGGTCGCGGAACAGGCTCTGGAAGTGGCCCGTGGATCATGGCCGACTTGGAAAACGGTCTTTTCTCTGGTTTCGACCCTATTAACAACCCCGCTGACCCGACAATCACCTCTCGATTTGTCACCGCAATTGTCAAGGGACAGCCGAATCAGTGGGCAATCCGTGGCGGAGACTCCACCACTGGCTCTCTATCAACATTCTACAGCGGCGTGCGTCCCAATGGCGGCTACCAGCCAATGAGCAAGGAAGGTGCCATCATCCTTGGTACTGGTGGTGATAACAGCGATGGCGCCCAGGGAACCTTTTACGAGGGCGTCATGACCACGGGCTACCCATCTGATTCCACCGAAAACTCGGTCCAAGCCAACATTGTGGCTGCCAAATATACATTCGACCCCAGCTTGATGACCAGTGGACCATCTCTCAGCGTTGGATCGCACATTTCTCTGCGTGCTACAACCGCCTGCTGCACAACGCGATATATCGCACATTCGGGTTCAACTGTCAACACTCAGGTTGTCTCGTCGTCTGACAGCACCGCTCTCAAGCAGCAGGCCAGCTGGATCGTCCACACTGGTCTTGGAAACAGTGCCTGCTTCTCGTTTGAGTCTGTCGACACTCCCGGCAGCTATATCCGGCACTCCAATTACGCTCTAGTTCTCAACGCCAATGACGGCAGCAAGCTGTTCGGTGAGGACGCTACATTTTGCCCGCAAGCAGGTCTTAATGGCCAGGGCAACTCTTTCCACTCATGGAGCTATCCCAATCGCTGGTGGCGACACTACAATGCCCTTGGCTACATCGCTGCTAATGGTGGCGAGCATGCCTTTGACAGCCCTACTTTGTTCAACGACGATGTGAGCTTCGTGGTCAGTGCAGGCTTTGCTTAAGTCCTAGGCCACCAGTCCTTGCCAAAGTAATAGCGTACATCACTTCTAGCTGATTGTGACACATACGAGCTTCTTTCTTTGGCTTGTTTACTGCTACCTGTGGCCAATAATAAGGAAAATGTACATAATGGCGTGGTCAAAACAGTTAATAAAGCTGGCTAGTATATATATGATGAAATGAAGCTTCTTATTTGAGCAATTCTAATTCCTTAGTGAAGCGTATGAGCAAACTATTCTCTGTAGCCCTAGAACTCTCCCCCATTTCAAATATGCTGGACTTTATTGCAATTGGTAGTATCTGGTCCACTTAATCATCATGAGAACCAACAGCAATGACAATAGTGGCTCAAGATCTTGAGACGCGCCACGCAAACGAATAACCTGGCCACATGTGAAAACGTGAAACAAAACGAGCAAATACAAACCATATGCTGCTTCAAAGCAAGATTTTGAGATAGAAAAGATCAAATGGTTTGCTAAGCTGCGAAATACTATGCTCAAAGTCATGAAACGCAATAACTAATATTCTGTAATACGTCGTATGAAATATGAATAGATGGGACCAAATTATTCGAGCACATGGGCTCTACTTGTATTAGACCGAGACATTAATACAATGCTTCTCAATGCTATATGTGTCACGAAAAATTAATCTATTCTTGACTAGATTAGTCATGACTGATCTCATTCACACTCCATGTTAACTTTATATTTTTTTTATAGAAAGGAATTGTATCAAGATCTGATTCATAAATTCAGTTATATAATTTACAGAGGGCTGGAGCATTGAAAAGCTGTAATTGGTCCCCTTATTTAATGATTGGAGTAGATAAAGTTATCCAAAAGCAGCAAATCAAAGTCAGCCGAAGCTAGATCGACCATATGGCCCCCCAACAATAACGTTCAAGATAACGTTTAAGATAAAGTTCCACACCGAAGATAAAGTTACACGCCAGTGACACAACAACACACCCGTGAGGAAGCCACAAAAGGATATAAACCTTTGATGGTTCCAAAAGAAATATAAAAAATTTGGATCTATTCAACGAATATTTATGCACGTCGTGCACGAGAACTTTACAGGCCTACATGGTACTGGTCAAAGTGGAGAGTATCATATTATATTTCATTACATTATACTTTATGGCTCGTAACTTCCAAAGCTTCATATACAACCTTCTCCGAATCCTCTATTCCTCCGTCTATATGCCCCCAAAGCGTTCATAAATTCAAAATCGGATACCAAAGCTAGTCCCCTCTATGGCAAGTTGGTAGGGGCGTAGCTCTGGTTGGGCGACACGACCTTGCCAGCTTGGACCTGCACATCGGTATAGGCGGGCCAGACAATGAGCTTCTTCGCGGCATCGGTCACAGCAAAAGTAGTGAAGCCATTGCCAGGGCCAAATTGGCCGCTCCAGCCGGATGTGATTGTGTAAGGTCCGCAAGTGACAGGACCTCCGTTGGCTTGTGAGGCATCTTTGGCCGCTTTGACAACGTATGTGCAAGATGTGGCAGCAGCGAGATGGGTGTCGACAGCAAATGTCCAAGTGCATGAAGTGTTGGCAGTATTGCACGTCCGCTTAAGGTTCTCAATTGTCCACTGGGGGACATTAGCCATCATGGACTTGTCGGCAGGAGTAGGAGCAGCGACGACATTAGAGGCTGCGAAGAGAGCGGTGATGAAAGTCTTAGTGAACTGCATGGTGGCGGTTTTGGTTTTTTGATGGGAGATTGTTCTGAAGTAGTAGCTGAGTTGCGTCAATGGATGTAGAGTGAAGTGTGAGATGGATGAAGAATGAATGATGCCGGAAGGAGGGAAGACCACCCTTCTTTATAGAATTCTAGCTCTAGGAAAAACAGGTTCAAGTGGAGAAGATACAATACAACAGGAACCCATATCAATGCAGTACAACACATTAAAGTTTGCCATGTTCAGGGGCGCCGAAAGAGCTCTCCATCGGATGCGATCACCCGAGCGCCACGAGGTGGAGCGAATCAAAGACCCCGCAGCATCTCGTAAAAAAAAGAAACTTGTTGTCGAGGCTGCTAGTGTTGCGGTGGCGATGCAACATAGCTGGCCAACTTCAACGTCATCGTCATTCAGCATGATATGCAGGGGTTTATCCCACATAACTGACAGTGGCGACCCAATCCGAGGTCTTGGTTTTAGACATTAGAGGGAGACTCAGAAGACAGTGATGTAATAATTTGAGCATCTAGAAATTGTTTCGATTAATTCTATGCTGAATTTACTAACAAGCGTTTATGCCACTACAAAGAGCTGCAACGTTGCCGGATCTACAAAACTTTAGCTTGTATGCTTGGAATCTTTTAAGTGCGTTGAATAGCGGGGTACCTGGTCCGGGATACATCTGCCGCTGGCTCGTATTCCATGAATAGATCATACTATGTAGGTAAACGGTTACCGTATCCGGAAACTCAATGGTCAGGCGAGTCCACCGCCCCCTAAACTTGGGCCAATGTTTTAGAACTTTGACCACATAGTTCGTAAAGACTTGGTTGAGATATACCGCTCAAAAGCTCCTTTAGAACACATATGGCGGTCAGAAACTTAGGAACCGAAATGGACTCGTATTCATTCGCTAAGAAGAGGATTTCTTGTTACCATGCTTTGCAAAATATATTCTTATTTGATGAGTCAAAAAACCGAGCCACAAAAGTTATAAATATGCTGCATTAATAACGGTGGAACATCAGAGTTGTGTGGCCGTGGCGTATAGTGACTTCAATTGAGTGGCTTCAACTGTAATAGGCATCCGACTTGTAAAGTAACTCTAGTCCTACGGAGAACTAGTCTATATTATTAGCGATAGTAAGCCATCGGCTATACTAGCGGATTATCCCGCGCCTGAATACTATTTTTACCATATCCGTACAAGTAGGGAGATTCAATTCTACTACTACTAGTTAGCTAGGGAGAACGGGCCTCGGCAAAGGGGCGGACTCTCCAACGTGTAGCATGATGCCGACGGCGGCTCCACTAAGTCGTATCGCCCCAGAGAAGCCAAGCATCGAGGCAGCTGGAACGGTGAAGAAGCAGTGGAACTCTTGGATGAGAAATTTCGAGCAGAGCAAAGTACGAGACACAATAGTAAATGTCGGCGACTCGATGAGTTATGCAGATAAACGCGCTACATAACACCAAAGAGAGCATACAGTGTCGCATAAGAGAATGAAATGAGCACAGCGTGTCTCACTTTATCCGCATAATGCCTCGTATTGCAAATGCTGAGATCCCTGCGCATGGGCCGCGACCGTCGGGCTCTCCGTGGCCATAGAGGGCTTAAATATTAGCGTAGCTGTATTACTAAATGCTTTGTTGTTGGTTTCAGCAGGAGAGGTTCAGTTGGTTAATTTGCTGTTCAGGATTATATTATGTACATATGTCGAGGTCGTATGGTACCCTTAGTAGTCTAGAGTAATCTGTCTGGCCTGTTGCGTTATTTTGCATGTGTAACATATCGCAAGAAGGCAAACGGGGCTCTCTATGTAGTATAAGGGGTGTAAAACACTCTTCAAGCTTCTAGACAGGATATGTCACATTTAGACATATTTTTTTGCATGGATAGAGACCGTTTGTTATATTCACTAATAGTTACATCTTTACGAAGAAGTTTCTCGCTCCTTATGTTTAGTCAGAGACTTTCATGACGAATTCTACGATTCTTTTATAGCAGTCTATTGGCTGTGGATGTGTATGAAGCATCTAGAAATAGTACGGCAATCCTTATATACCCTTAAGTATGTGTCAACACCATCTAATTGCGACTTCTCCGCGTAGACAATTATTTCATCTGGGGGAATATCGCATTCTGCAGTTATAATTACTGTAGACTCATGGGATGTTAGCTGAAGTTACTTCTAGTGTCTAGCCGGCAAAGAACAGTGCTGAATGATTCATAATTTACACGCTGGTGGCAAGTTTTTGAGGGACTGCGCGAGCAGCGGCGAGCAGCGCCAGTCGAACCATTCCATACGTGCAGCAGTAACAACACTATCGTTGCAGTTTTGCTGATAGCTACCCATCTTGTACGCTTCCCCGGGAAAGAAGTTGGGGTGGCAAGTTACAGAAAATGAGAGAACTTGGGCTATGATCCATTGAACCTTCGTCCCGGGCCATGATGGCGACAACACTGCCCTGGTGATTGGTTAGCTCACCCTAGAATGAAAATACACACTGCACAGCAAAATGACTTACTGTACGCTTGAATGGTCTTGCATCACGGTATGTATATGCAATAACACCTACCCACTTCAGTGTATCGAAGCAGTCCTTCAGTGCATACGGAAACCTTTACTGGGTCGACCTATTACCATGGTCAATAAACAAAACATGCATATCCATCACATTTGTATTCCACCTACTGTCTATAGTCAATCCTAATCCCGGTTGATGAACTTTGGCCGAAATCAACGCGTATACGTCTCGCGGGTCCAATCAAACCATACAGTGATAAAATGCTCTAGATAGCACAAATGTCTATTTTTTTTATGATTACTGGGAGAGCGAGCATATACATACAGGGAATATCAACGTCCTGATCTACCTGCTGGCCTTTTTCTCTTCGAAACTCCATACTCGAGGGTCCTTCCACACATTCGGCACAGCCAAGACATCACTCGAGTCCATCGCTATCAAGAATGATATGACTTCTACCAGTCAGAAGCAAATGCAGATCTTAAAAGATTCTACGACCAATTTTAACAGGTATTCAAAATGGCTGGGAAAAGGATACTCCTCATGTTCGTTTATCCCTGTTTGGATTCGAAGCGGATAGTAGCTTCACCAAATCTATCAAAGAGCGGCCCGAGAAGGGGTAGCCTTGGCTAGACAATAGCTCCAGACATTATATCTTGACTCCGTGTCATAGGAGCTCGCATGGGATAAACTAGTCATGTAGGGGTCCACCACACACTTTGCTGCAGGCCTAACGGATAGCTCGATAGGTCATTCTCAAGTTCTGCTCTTTCCTTTTCACTTGAACCATCTTCATGCCGGATCTGACTTGACATTTTCTGGTATAATTTTATCATCCATTTTCAACAACATACGGAAATAGCGGGGTACGCAAAAGTCAAGCTCTGGATATCGGCTAAGGAGCAGGACGACGTCGATATCGTAGTGCAGATCCGTTAGGCCTCAACAGACGGTAGGCCGCTCGAACATTTCAATGATCCATACCCCATACCGGACTCTGAGGTAAGAAATGACAACATCGCGACGAGCAAATATGCAAGCTCATCATTCATATAGAACTGAGGTTGTTTCCACATAATAGCACTACTTTGTCTGGCTGTTTAGCTTACTCCGCTAGTTTTAGGACAACAGAGCTCTCTTTCTTCTCGACACACATTGATACACTAATCAGAACATTCATGAAGAGAATATTCTCGCTGTTGGCCAAGCCAATCAGAGGGCTCGAATGGGCGGATGGTTTAGTGGTATAATTTTCCCTTAGCATCGAGTGGCTTACGAGCTACTTTAACGCCTGGGAAAGGTCCGGGGTTCGATTCCCCGTTCGTCCAACAAGCATCTCCGATTTACTTTTTTGTTTTGGCATTCTTGGATATTGATTGGTTTATCCCTTGTTAAGTTGGATGAGTGAGACAAGAAGTCCAAAATATAGTGCTTCTATCTTCATAACACTATTTCGTGTTCAGCCCGATATGAACTTTGCCCCTTTTCTTTTTATCTTTTCTAAGTAACTAACGTATGACGATAACCCTCATAAGACGAGCTTGCGGCAAGTGGGGACTTATTCTCCGCACATACTTATGTCAAAGACTACTTTCGTACTTTAACAACTCTATGGTCAATTCATATTAGTATTCTTGGAAGGGTCGACATAAGTGCATAAAGTCATGGTTGTTATGTACATATTTGTTTATTGCGTATGTAGTAAATGCTAACTATGTGCACGACTAAATCCCTGGTCGGAATCTCCCTGATCAGATGTCCAAATCAGCTAGCGGTAGTGGCGTAGACAGAGCCGTTGTGGTGGACTCGTATCATCATTCGTTCATTCAATAACATCTGCCTTCGAACTGCAAACCCTATTCTCACTGCTCACTTCGATAAAGTGCCCGATAGCCAGAGCTATGTTTGATTCGATCGATTGTCTTTCCTTGCTGCCTTTTCGGCTGAATCGAAGTTGCAATGGTTTCGGTGTCATGACAGATTTAGTGGATAGGGTTGTTACCGGGAAGGGCAGAAATTGGGCCGTTAAGTCCAATGTTCTCTGTAGGAGCAGGAGTCTGGAGCTTCTGAGGCGAAGAAGAACCAGGAGAGCCGTTGGGTCCGACATTCAAGCTGCATCCCTTGTCAAGGACACCATTGGGACCAGTGCAGGTGGCGATGGCGTTGTTGAGTGCGTTTTGGTCAGTCCAGCCTTGGAGGTAGTCTGCGTGAAGACTGTAACCGGTAGCATCACCGTCGGCATAGACAAGGCGGTTGTAATTCTGGATTGAGCCAGTGTCATAAAAGAACTCGTAGAAGACCGAGAGAATGGCCTTGGGGTGTGATTGAGGGCAGACACCTCCATTGTAGGCACCAATGGCGGGGAAAGCAACCTGTGGTCTTATTAGCGTTATACATACCTTGGAGCCGAGAAACCCTTTGCTAAGGAATAAAAGGGGTTACGTACATGAGACTTGTGAGTGCTGCTGTCCAAGTTGACGCCGTCCCAGCAAGACGGGAAGAATGTCTCAGAACGCATGCGCTGGCATTGCTTGGAAGGGAAGGTATTGGAGTCAGGCACAGGATTGGGATCAATGCAAACGTGCGAGATGGCCTGGTCTTCGAAGCTCGAGGCATTGAAAGTGCTATTAAATGTTAGAATTGTGAAAAAAGAAAATCACCCAAAAAATTGTAGTCCTCATGTTCAAACTACGCACCGTCGGTTTAGATCTCCAACCAACATGATGAGGCCTTGAGGAGGGGCAATAGGAGGAGGAGCTGAATCGCAGTTGGTTCTGCCAGGAGCATAGTCACAGGCACGTTGGATGTAGTAGGTAGCCTATCCTTCTTATTAGTATGATCCAACACTGTATGAAGAACAATTCTACAGCAAATTCGACAACTTACACTACCCTGGAAAGTAACTAGCTCAAACTGGCCATCAGTTCGCTGATGGTAAACTTGGGGCTGCCAGTAGTTGCTTTGATCGAGGACCTTGTCACATGTTGTGGCAGTGGCAGCTCGTGCTTGAGCGGGGGTCGTGTTGAAGGAGAAAGCGGTGCCACCAACAACGGCATGGACATGAGAAGACAGTATACCAGGAGAGACGATGGGATCACCTCGGAACTGAGTCAGGGGAGAGCAGTTGACAGTGAACAGTTGAGCCTGAGCTCCAACGGCAGCGGCCAGAGCAGCCAGGGCAGATTGCTTCAAAGTCATGATGTAAGTGTTAATTATATACTATTTCAGCTCTTAGACGACTCAAGAAGGATTGAAGCTGAGGATTGAAGCTGAAGGATGACCTGGTAAGCGAAAATTCCAGAGTCCAGGGACTCGTGGCATCTTATATATCAATTGAAATAATACGGTGGAAGAATCCTGGACCCCTCGTGTTTGTCTTATCTCCAATGTAACCAAATTCCATATTTACCCTCGTCGTTCTTGCTCCTCGTGCTGACATGTTTCGAAACAACCCTTTAGTCATCTTAGCAGGAATAGTATGCGCGTCGGATCAATCTGGTGCTAATCGACCAAGCTATCCCCGTTCCTGGAGAGCTTCATCGGGGACAAGCAACGTCTTCAGCGTTCTCCTGCAGATCCGGATTCGGTCCGAGCCCATAGATTCTCAAACACCACTCTGAAGTCAAAATGATGAAAGATGCTTGGCTTCTTAATAAACCGCCCTATCATCTGATGGAGTTGCCCGCCGAGCAATGCGCCGAATACGCTTGTGTGGGCAGAAGCAGCACTGGCTACATGTAGTCTACCATCCAACTAGGGAAAGTAAGAAACAAAACAAGAAGGCCGGAGAAGAAGATGCGGCGGGGTAGAGACGACTGTCTATAGGTCAAAGCTGGCAGTGAAGTGGCGGATCTGCAGCATTGCTGTGTGGTTTAGACTGACTCGCAGTGGTAGGACGTTGGCAAGCTCACTATAGCTGCGGCTGCCGGGGGGCTAAATGCATACAGAGCCCATACTGGCTTATCAAAAAGTCCGGGGTATGTATGTATTGGGAAGTAGCCAATATGGAGTGTGTGGAGCTCGCTGGCATTTGTGACAGCTTCATCCCGGGGAGGTATTGCTGGTCAGCCCACCAATCAGTCGTGAGAATGTGCGTATTACTGTACTGCTTTTTCTAGCCAAGAATGACAGTTACAAGGGTGTTGGGGATTATTCGGATTTTAGATTGGACCACGATTGGAGCTGCACATGACATGCTAAGTGAATACGCAGTAGAGCCGTGTAAAGCGATCCATATTCACCACTTTTCCCAACCAATAGCCGTATGTTTCACAACCCACCAGCTAAATCGGTAAACATTGAAGCTTCTCTAGAACCTTGTTAAGAACCATCAGTAGTATGGTTTAGCTCTGGTTTGTATTTGGCCAGAACCTGATTTTCATCCAAGTCGAGATTGTTCGTCTCAGACCGACTCTTACTATCATTGAAGAGTCTCCATATCTGACAAAACATTCTATTGCTAGAAACCTCTGGATCTTGAACACCATGGCATCATGCACCATGATGCTATCACACATGGGCTACTATCCTTTCATCTTACTGACTGAGCATGTACGGGGATGATCGGCGTTCCCACAGCCGCTGGTCCTATGGTTTGACCATACGGAAGTGCTCGGTCCACAGGTTGAGGCTGCATCGCTCGCGGATTATCGCTGAGCATTCATATATACCAGATTTGGTGTGATTTGCGGACCGGGGGTGATCGGCCGCCTATCTTTGGAGTAGTTCATCTACGCTGGGTTCATGCATAGCTAGATTTCAAACACAGCGTGGTCGATGCTAGCTCTCATCGGTAGAAACAAAGAGAGTTCTGTGTAAGTATCTTGCATGGGTTCTTTGCCCCAAGCCTGATGGCCGCCAGGGCCTTGAGTCGGACCTATTAGCTAGTGCGACGTCTAGGTATATTAATTTGATGGAGACAGCAAGGGGGTATTGTGACCAAGTACTTGAATTCAGCCATTTCCCCCGCGAATCAGATATGCCGTGCTTGATCGGCTTGTCGTGGCTATTGGGTTAGGTTGAGTGGACTCAGGATGGAAAAGATGGAATTAGGATTTCAGACTAGTGCCTACCCGCAGAAATATTCCGCGAGGTTAGACTTTGCGTGTGAAGGGCATTGCTCTTTTACGAAGTACCGATCATTGAGTATTTGGCTGAATGCGGAGTTCGTTAAGCTTATGGTAGCATTTTCTGGAGTGCAGGGACCGGGGTTCCAAAATCCAGGACAATGGCGCAATATTACCCGACGGTCAACGTATGGAACCCAGTTAGTATTTCTGCTGAATGCTTTTGCCTTGATTGCAATATTGCCTATATAGTTATTCATCTATTAAGCTGGATATTTGTTCGGCATGCTATAATTTCTCAGCGTTTAGAAATATTGTTGCTATTTAATCACAGCGCACGACTCCATCACTGTTGATTTGCTTACGCGTAACATGTTCTTCCTGCCGACTCGGAAGGCAAAAGTATGTACACGATCTTTGTGATCTTAATACATACCTATTTATTCAACTCCGCTTAACCAGCGCTCTGTGCCGTAGAAAGTGCATCTAGCATATTGGGCGCTAAGCTTCCATACGCCGGTATACAGGATACTCGTATACGCACACGTATGTCCCCCATACTGGTAGCTGCGTGTGCCACCTGCAATGTAACACAAACATCTGCCTCGGGAGTACGAAAACTCACCTCTACGCGCGAACAGTGGTATTAATATGACCAGTCGCACCAGGATAGTATGAAATTGTTCTAGCCTAAAGCATCACGCTGTTGATTGTAGAGCCAAGCTTTGCGTGTGGTGAATTTAGACCTGATTTGCTATTCTCGCTTTTTGTTTGGCATAGAGGAGCCAATATTCAGTTAGCCCCAAAGAATTTTGCAACCACTCAGGAAGGAAAAGTTTTCGGTTGTTTCTCGCCCGATCAACGCTATAAATGCGCCGCCATAACTATACAGCAGGTTGTGCGAGTGGTGGCCTCTCACCAGCTGCCGAGTGGAGTGTTCGGGGAGCTCGGACGTGAAGGAGATGGGATTAAGGCCAAGAACGATTCGAGATGCGTGTATACGCATGCTGCTGACAATTAAATACCCAACCCGTTATCATCGGGTTTCAATTGAACCCAAGAATAAACGTAAACGGACCGTTTCTGCATGCTGAGCTGCAATCATCGCGGCTCCACTTCAATAGATGCGCATGGTACTGGGTTATCCAAGCTATGATGCAAAGACACAACTCACTAGAGAAGTTTTATTACTTATTATCAGTTCTAAAATAGATGACCTAAAGTGCGGGGAAGAGGAGGTGTTAAACTTGTATTGACTCTGAAAAATCACAAGAGTGTAATGATAGCTTTGGAAACAAAAGTTCTGTCATTCTCCCTAGAGATAAATATTGCAGCAGCCTCATTATTTATAAGTCACAACCTACCTATTTCAAGTGAATTAAATGTAACGAGGCACCATCCCTGCACTATAATGTCATATTAATTGCGATGGAGCTCGTATGATATTTTTGACATCAAATATTCAATACCGTTCTGAGGACGGTGAAAAGGGTGAATAATATTGCTACAGTCCTGATTGTAAAGAGAATCGATCAAGAAGGGCAACTCATCAGTAGACTGAAAACTATGCCTTTATTTGTAGTAGATATGGATATACAACTTTGGATTTTGATACTAAAATTGGTCATAGTCGCGATCTTCATACGCTGTAGTGTAAAGGGGGGTGAAGGTTTTTTTTATTTTTTTATATAAAGTTCTTGTATCTCTTCCAACAATGCCATAGATTTACGTAGTAAATGATAATACTCTGTAGCTGCATAGGGAATAAAAAAGACAGCATACAAAAATTTAGCGAGGAATAAAACCAGATGTTGAGATACTGAACATTGATGAATATATATAATGATAGTCACGTTATGATCACATATATATAGACTCTACTCTGTATATTTCTATCATACGTTCTATGCACTAGTAAACAGGGGCCCTGTCTCTCCACCGTGTATTAGTGTAGGCTAAGCTCATTCAACCGGATACATCACCCTCACACCTATATGGTTCTAGAGCCCAACGACGCTCGTTAATGGCAATTAGCTCGACTTATCCTTATCAGATTGCTTATCTCTGCTTTTCGAAGTCTATATATAGAATCGAAGCGTCGGAGGAATATTAAGCTTGGAAAGAACCTCAGCGCTAGGACCGCTAGCCATGCCAGCGTCACCTTTCATCAATGTTACACCTCCGAGCGGCAAGATCCAAGCGTGCTCCACGTCTCGGCAAACTCCAATTCTGTGGATACCTGGAGAGCTTTCAAATCTAGCAAAGATTTTTCAGTGCCAGATCTCTCCTATCAAGGCTTACTCCACTTCGGAGTTTCTCATGTATTAAAGCTGGCGAAACATTTATAAGTCACACCAGCTCTTTGTGAACACAGAGGCTGTAGCACGTATGTACCCATTCTATCAACTTCAATTATTTCTCACAGGCTAGCATTTCACTCCCACTTTTCATTTGTGATTTACACGCATCGTATCCTTTTGTCAAGAATTGTTCAACCACTGCACAGTGGATGCACTCTCGTTCTGTATTCTCGTAACTCAACTTGTAGACAGGATATCAAAAACTTCTTTTGCTGCTCTGCTGCCTGAAACCATAGCCCCCTCCATATATCCTTTCCAAACAGTACTGGTCTCTGTTCCAGCAAAATGAATAAATCCCTCTGGCCTCCACTGGTCTTGGCTTAGGCTCCTCAAGCAATAAGCGGGAACCACAGGACAAGGAGCTCCCTGGGAAAATTCCTCTTTATTCCAAATCTGCTCTCGGGTTTCTATAGGTCGCGGGATTTCCACCCCATAAATGCGGTCCACATGAGCAATCACCTCTGCCAAGCGGTCATGCTCTTCTCTCAGTGCCCACTCTCTGCCCCTTTGGCCTACTACGAAGCAGATCAAAGCAAACAGCCCATCCTGGTCATTTGAAGCATCTCTCGTCAAGGATACGGGTCCATTAAATCCCTGTGACAGGCCACAGAGACCGAACTTGCGCCACCAAGGTTCCGAATAGATGAGAAATACTTTGGCATAAAATCCGAGCTTGCTGTGAGCACTGAGCCAGATTTTGTCTGCCGACAGTGAGGGTGAGAAGGTAATCTTATTCAATAAAACGCTCGGAACAGTGGATATAACGCGCTCAGAGCGAAATATCCTACCGTCTCGTGTTGTAACTTGACATCCACTAGTCAAATTTTGCTCAACTCGTTCCACAACGGCAGAGTACATAACGGTGTTTGGTTCGAGGCCATCTCTAAGACCATATGACAGTGACTGTGATCCATTTCGGAAACGCAGATGCTGGCCACCACCAGCATCGTCGGATCGCATTTGAAGAAGCCCCCCTCCAGCCTGGCAGTAGTGTAAGAAGAATATTGCACTGAGTTGGGTCGACTCAACGCCCAACATGGCGGTGGTCCAGATGTTGACCAATCGACGCACAGTTTCCGTAGCGCCCATGCAGATTACGAGCTCGTCCATGCTCATGTGGCCATATTCGGCCAGAACTTGGTCGAAGTCGGCGATGGTGACTGTGTGGCACAGAGCCTCTACGCGATTTCTGACTTCAACGAATGTTGCTTGGTCTTCTCTAGAGAGCTGTTTGTTGGTCCCAGAAGTTAGCCGCGGTACAATGATTCATGAAAGACGCAAATGCACGGGATTAAGCTCACCGGCGGGTCGCTACCGTAACGAAATCTTCCATAGTCTTCCACAATGCAGTCGCCTATAATATTCTGCTTAATCATTTGCAGCCCGAGCTTTTCAGCGAGCGCGGTAACCTTGGGCTGGTTCACATTGTTCGTCCAAGCTCCTCCAAGGTCGACATATCCTTTGCCGGCGCCCAAGGGAATCGACCACAGCTTCCCTCCAACTCTATCACGAGCTTCGAGAATCAGACAGGAGACGCCTGACTCCTGGAGGTCATGGGCAGCTTGTAGGCCACTCAGTCCTCCACCGATGATGATGACTTGGGCAGTGGCCTCTGACAGTCCATCTGGTTGGCCGGAGGCCATTGTATCATTGGTATAATCAGGCGTGAGAGGCCGACAGAATTATCGTATTCAGCTGCTTAAATACTTTTTACTGAATTCCCCCCCTCTTTGCTTCTTCTTTTATTTTAATTATTGCCAAATGATTTGTCGCTTCATGGCTGGATAACTGATGATGGACGGGATGATGTCGGGCAGAAGTTGGGCAAGCAATATGTCAGTTTGAGGGGTTAGCGCCGAAGCGAGCTGAACTGTCTTATTACCGATGGTGAAGCATTTTAGTGGATTCGACAGGTACAGGTACGTGGTGCTCTGTTACCTGCAATTTGCTCACCAGCAACTCGAGTCTTTTGCCGGATGTATAAATTCAACAGTAATATTAAACAGAGAATAAAGCGCCTAACTTCATAAATATTATTTACTATTTACGTATTGCTACTCTTTAATGTCTCTTTTTTTCTCTCTAGATAGCCATCTATTGGAGCTGTTTTTTGTTACAAGCACACCTGCTGTAGTAATTATAGTACTCGTAATACACAGTAGGATGTAGTAATTAATTGAAGAGCGAAAAGCCAGGGCCTCTGTCGTCTCAAGTTGAAGGCTGCATGTTGAATTTTTGATGGAATGAAGGAATGAAGGAATGAAAAAAGTCGGGATCAAACAAACAAACGTCAAATAGGTAGGCATCTGTAATGATACTCGGGAACTACTCACCACCGTTAAACACCCGGCAGCTCGGCAATGCAGTAGCGGCTGTGCTATAAAAAGATGTATTAATGTGTTAAAGGTCATGGAATAAAGCCCCAACAGGCCGCAATTGGAATATTTTACTGGCTACAATCGTTATCTCTCTGCTGAGCAGGAAAACACTATAGATGCCTCCTAATTGAAGCCATCAATGTATAGGTAGATTGGCGCCTGTTGAGTTCTGAAGCACGACCCTCGTTTAGTGCAGCCTTATCTTATCAGCTCATCGCTGCATCGCTACTTTTTTTTGTTCGTTAGCGCCCAGCTAACTTCAGCCTTGCTCTGCTGTGACATCCTGCTTCAGTTCACGCGTTCACTGTTTGGCAGGCCGCGCTGCCTCCCTTTCTCAATCTCTTCTGAGTGCTGGCGCTCCTTTGGTACTTCTATCTTTTTGCTGTGCTTCTATCGTGAAGCTCAGTTTGGCTCTGCTAGTCTCCCACGATGCCTCAGCCATCGGAGCTGCTCCTTCGATATGCAGAGTGCACCGATGACGACAGCTACGACTCGGCCGTCGAAGACGAATTCTACAATGGCGAAGATCCTTGGGACGAGAATCCCTACAAGGGACGCGTTTTTCACAAGTTCGCAGAGCTACCTCCTGAGCTGCGAATCAAGATTTGGAAGCTTGGACTTGCTGGCCTAACCCAGCCTCAGCTTCTTGAATTCACCCTCCGGAGTTCTGTTCGAAAAGATCCCAACGAGATGGTGGCTGACGAGATCGGCATGCTGTATCCTCGTCGTTATCGCGATTGGACCATCACTGGCTCCCCCAGCCTTGTGCGCGCCACCGAGCTCAATCGCAATGTTATGGCCGTCAATCGAGAAGCCCGAGACGTTGCCCTCAAATTGCTTCCACACTCTGTCAAGATCAGAACACCAGCTGGCCACGGAATAGTGCATTTCGACCGGAATCGAGACATTATCCAGCTGAGGGGATATAATTACGAGGTCATGCACCCCTTTCCTGTCGAAGAAAGGTTTCCAGACTTTGTCTACCATTTCGATGGCTTTGCAGAGAACGTGGTACAGCTTGCGATTCGCCACAACGACTTTTTCGACGAAGACGAAGACACCAGCGAGTATTTTACCCTTGCCCTCAGACAGTTCCAAAACCTCAAGCGACTATTTCTTCTCTCAACGCATGACAAATTCATTCCGAGCGACATTTTGTGGTGTGGCTCGGACTATATCTACGTGCACACGAGCATGATTACAGATGGTCGAAACGAGCCATTGTGGACAAAATGGTGTTGGCCCAATGCCGATGAGTATGACGACTTTACAAGAAACCAAGTCTGCGACCCCATCACACAGCTTTTACCGGCCGCGGCTCTGCCACTACTAAGAACCCGTGGCATCGAGCTATTTCCAATGGTCGTATTTGAGGATAAATATGGCTTAGAATTCTTGAAGAAGTTGAAGGGGAAGTGGGAACGCACCTATAACGAAGGCAACTTGCCATCCGAGTCAGAATCCTCCTCCGACGAAGAGGAAGAGGAGTCGGAACCCAACGAGTACGAAAGCGAAGGAATCGACGATTCCGAGATTGAAGAGGACGGCGAAGATGGGAGTAATTCTGAAAACGACAGTTTCTTCGATGACGACTCTGATAATGATGATCTCAGTGGTGCCGGCGTAGGGGAAATTGTGCCAGTATTTTCCGACCCCGAGCCAGAGCCAGAGCCAGAAGTAGCTGGCGGTGCGAGACACTCTAGGAAGCGACGCATCGTAACTGACTCAGATGATGAAGATGACGACATATCTGAGAGGTCGGGGAGAAAGCATGCTCGTACCGGCAGCTTCCCCGCACCAGATGAAGGTTCAGAGGATGAAGCTATCAGCAGGCCTAGTGGTGTTGGGAGGAGCCGAAGGCGCGCAGCTGTTGTTGATAGCGATGACGACGAGGAAGATGGCGGCGGTGCGCTCAGTAGCAAGCCTGACAAGTATGAAGCTAGTAAGAAAGCTGAAGCAAAGAGAGGAAAATCTGACAAGCGGACGGAAACCGACGAGGATGACGACGATGATGATGATGAGGAGGAGGAGGAGGAGGAGGAGGAGGAGGAGGAGGAAATTATGGATGTGAGGCGGCTAAGCCTGGCTTCCAGGCTTCAACAAATACGGGAAAGTCATCCATCCTCAGGTGAAGAATCCAACGGCGAAGAAGAGGACAGTGACAACGTTACTGATGACGAGGATGACGATGACGCGGATGACGACGAGGATGAGGAGATGTATGGCGGTGGTCTTATTGACGGTTACGCAGATGAATCGGATGATTCAGGGGGTTACTAAACACTAACGGCTCTAATGAGGAAACGGCTTTTCAATAATTGGACGATTTTGGGTTTTTCATCTGGGACACTAAGTATCGGGGACATAAAGATTTAGATTTGAATACCACGGCTCATGTAGCAGCCTGCTTTGTTTTATATAGTTGATACTCTATCATCAACGTACCTGATGAAGACGTATCATATACAATTATAATGCTTGTCCTGAGGCCAAGAGGCTCACAAATTCTCTTATCTTTCTCTCCCTCGTTTCTGTCCTTTTTACTGTCGTGATACGCCATAGAAACGAATACCTTTCTGACCGGCTCAGTCCGTCAAACACCCTCTTTGCAATGTCATTCTCCTTTAACGCATTCGCAAAGTCTTCAGGAACCTCCATGGTCGCGGGTCCAGCGTAAGCCTTCTCCCACCGTCCATCCTCCTTTGCAGCATCCACCTCTGCAATCCCCGCGGGCTTCATCCTCCCTTCTGCCGTCAGCATCTCGACGCGCTGGACGTTGCGCTGAGACCAAAGGCTCCGGCGGCGGCGAGGCGTGAAGCGCTGCAGGTAGAAGTTTTCGTCAAGGGCTTTGCGCTGGCCGTCGATCCATCCGTGGCACAGGGAGATGTCGACGGCTTCTAGGTAGCCGACGGAGGGGACTTGGGCCAGGATGGATTTCTTGCTGAAGCGCAGCCAGATGCCGGCCGGAGTTGAGACGCCGCGTTGTAGGAGCCAGGCGTCGAAGTGGGAGGCCGATGGGAAACTGAGGGTTTGGGCTTCAGATGATGCCGAGATTGGCTTTGAAGCTGCCTTTGATTGTGCTCTTGATTTGGGTTGTGATGATTTGGTGGTTTTGGGTAATGGTTTGGGTTTGGCTGGCAGGCTGGCGGATGAAACACTTGATATGGCTGGAAGAGATGCTGCTTCAGCCGCAGCTTTGGCTGCTCTTGACCTTGTCACTCTGCCAGCTAACATTGCTGTCTAATTGATTAGTTAGCGAGAATGGATATTGTATTTCTGAGTGGTAGAATGAACACGATTATGAAATAACAGATACTCGCGTCTTGGTCTAAATCGCCGTGAATATGTCTGACTTACCGATGCATGAATTCACGGCACAGCTGCTGGTATGTCAATGGGGCTAATGCTACTGCTCTTGGCGCGAGATTAACCGAAGCAAGATGTGCACATGAGAAGCATAAGCAGAATCAAAGTCGAAAACCAAGCCTATGAGCTGCAATATGTTGGGTGCGATTGAGGATCATGAAGTGATGGATTTGAAATCGACAGCGTCAGTGCATGTAGGGGGTACCAAGAGGCGCTATAACGCTGGGTAGTAGCACTATAGGCTCTCCCAAAGCGTCTAAGATGGAAACGCCTAGCCGTCAAGTGACCATCAGCTCTCTGGAGCCTGCGACGCCATTCTTTCAGCATCATCACATCTTGAAGTCTCAAAATCTATTTACAACGCTTGCAATACGCTGCCTGGTGACAACTCCTTCTATATACAACGGCTATCTATCCTCTTGATGAAATTGACCATGATACGCCTAGCAAACGAATTCAGCCTCATTCTTTAAACATCTCCAGCAGCTTCTGAACTGGCCACGCTCGCGCGTCCCGATACTTTTCTACCACGCCCCGAAGCGCCTGTCGCTCGTATCGATCTGTGAAAAAGTCGCCATACAGCTGAATGCCAATGGCAGCATTCAACAGTGCCGGGGGTGAGGCTGGATGACAGAGGGCGATGCCACACAGATCTAGTAGCAGAAGTCGGACGTCGTTTTCAGCCTTTCTCCAATCGGCGCGAGATGCCGTTGGCCGTCTAAGAGCATAAGTTAGGATCGAGTCAAGGTAGATGGGAAGAAGAAAGAAAAACCTGAGAAGCGGGCTCTCGCCAACCAGCACCGATTTGGCCATGATGCTCTGCTGAATACTCGTCACTTCAAGATTTGATCCGTACCAGATGGTAGGAAAGATTTCTCCCTTGGCCTTGTCTGCTGCTCTCCTGAAGATGGGCTGGAAATTGGCAAGAATTTCGCGTTCAAGATATTGTTGCTGGTCCATAAGCCTCGCTACGCTGTTGCGTTAGTTGTCTGCGGTTATATACGTTTTGCGTTTTCACAACAACTCACTCCATTCGCGCTCAGATCCGTCTTCCCAGCGCCATTTGGCAGTTTGTATGGTATGCATAACCGTTTTGTTGGCCTTTGATGCGCTATGCCACAGCTCTATCGAGGGAAACAGCTGTGGCGGCTGTTTTCGAGTGAATGAGTGGTAAATTTCCTGTCGAAGCGCCATCCAGTATGCGGCCTGAATGAGACTCCTTCGACCAAACAACGTTTGCGATGCCGAGCTCCTCAATACAGAATTGATAATTGGGAGGAAATTCACCTTGCTAGAATGCAAGTGAGCATCGTCGCTTTGGTGGTTGCCGCCAACATTCGCCGGAGCATCATCGTCCTCTTCGTCGATTTCTTCCAGCTGGCGAAGTATGACAGCAGTGGCAATAATACTATCCCGATAATCATCATCATCAATCTCATGAAAGTGCCGAAGCGCAGGGATACATTTTAGCATGTACTCGACAGCGTCATGTTCGCTCAGGTTGGGAATAAGTTGCCCGTGATATAGGATCCCAGCGGGAGTTCTATACTGGGGGAGACGACTAAGATGGCGAGCAGCAACGGCAAAGATTGCGTTGAGAAGATGCGGGTGATGATGAGCTCGCCGAGGGACAGCAAGCTGAAAATGGCGATCTTCGTCACACAAGTCAAACTAGCCAAGAGTTAATACATTGCCATGGACTAGACATCTTCAACAAATGGTATGGACAAAGGCTTACCCAATGAGCAATCTCTTCAATAAAATACCTGAAAAGGCAAGCTTCTCGAGTGTCTTCTAGGGGGAAACGGCGTTGGAGGGTCTCATCTTCCTGAGATGATATTACACTTGGCACGTAGCGGTCATATAAGGAGGCGTATGAAGCAGAAGCATCATCAGTGGGGTACGATGCAGCAGGGTGTGTCACAGAAGAATAATGGTCTGCCTCCCCTTGTCCGCGAGGTCGAATGTGGGGACCATATTGAGGAGACGGCCGCTCGTCGTATGGATGTTCCTGAGCTCGGAATGATGCAGCTTCAGGGGTTTGCTCCTCGGAATGGTTGCTCAGATGAGGCGAGTGAGTCGAAGGTGAACCAAGCGAAGGACCCGCGTTCGATGCAACATGATATGGGTGCTGGTTGGCTGCGCCGGGAGAAGCCGCAATCCATCCCTCAGATGCTCCATGCTGATCAGGGCTCTCCTGGCTCACCACCGAGGAGCCGCCTCCTTGGGAGTGGAAACGAACTGCGCTTGTGATTAGCAGCCAATACCGCAGATGCCTACGCCCAGCACCAGCTTGGAGAAGCAAGTAGATGGAAACTCTAAGCACCAAAAGGAACGAGACCATCATGGCCCAGCCTACGTACAGTGTTTTACTTCGCTGTTCACCCATTTCTGCTCTTTGGAGAAGTTGACAACTGAGCCATGGCGGAAGACAGTCCTCTTAGCTGGACGAGTGCATGGTAAGAGTTTCGACTGGCACCGCCGACACTTGGGGCGTTCCTCGTCACCTACGGTGGATTGCCAGTTATGGCAAGCTGTTAGCAACGCCTAAGTTTAAAGACTCGTCCCGCCAGCATCACATATCCGCCATCCATAGGTCAATATACAGCCCAGCCTCCAATGCAGGAATATGCTTCGTTGTACATGTACAGATGGCAATTGGACCCTCTCAAGAGAAGACGATATGCCACGGCAACCAGTGTGGAGAAGTGAGTGGATAGAATGATGAAATCTCACATTTGACGTGCTTTTCTGTGAACAGGAGTCTAATTAATGTCTAGATTCGAGATTGCAATTATCGGGGAGGTCTGCCCACGGACCTTTGCACTGGAGGCACGGATGCTTCACTGCAGGCATGAAGTGTTATGAAGCCCAGGCGGCTTCACCTCAACCAGATTCTCCGCTATGGGCCGTGGCCTGATAAGAGCAGCCCGCAACGCCTGATAGAAGGAACCCGGAACAGCTGATGAGAGGTCCCTATGAGTCGACAAGGACGCGGCGAGCTCGAAGAGTGGGCGGATAGACTGAAAGTGAGGGCGAAGCGAGAGCCGGCGAAGAGAGCCTGATTCGGCCAAAGGTCGGGCTTCCAGAACGAGAGGGCTTCCCCATTTCTTTTAGTAAGCGTCGGCGATAGTTTCCTTGGAGGTGGGCGGAGAACGAGCCTAAGCCTAAAGAGGGGCTTTTTGATGGACACACAGCTTGTGGACAGTACGGAGATGAAGGCTTCTTGTGATCTGTGCACAGCGTGTAAGTGCTGAAGAAGTCAATCTCAACTTCGACACATGCAATATTCCGCAGCTTCAATCAAACAACAATTATTGTAACATGGTTCGCTCGTTTTGTTGGTTTTCACGTTCATTAAGGGTCTTTTGGCTATGTATCAGTCAAAGATGTTGAACTAGTCGTGCTCCGCGAAAAGCTGTGAATCCTTCACTAGTAGCCTCGTTACCAGCGCTCACCGTTTGTACCCATCGAAGCAATCATATTGTATTCACTCCCAGTCTTCCAAGACGCATATAATAGTTCAAACATTCAAGCAGCCACCCACCCGTCCTAATCATGAGTCATCAATCTTTGGATAATGATTCTGCCTGCACCACAGCCTCTCAGCCGCGGCGTCTACCCTACACTGGTTCATGCCATTGCGGGAATATTCGCTATGTCGTCTTCCTGACTCTCCCTCCTGCATCGCTTGTCGGTGTTACTAAACCGCCGCCATCGCGAGGAGTTCAGCACATGTACAGATGTAATTGCACGATCTGCCACAAGACGGGGTTTCTGCATGTCCGTCCTGCGTCTGCATTCGATGACTTCTTCCTGCTGTCTCCGCTAGACCCGCTCGACAGCTTGGGCGATTATCAGTTTAATAAGCAGACGCTGCACAATCTCTTTTGCAAGACCTGCTCGGTACGATGTTTCACCATCCATGGCGAGGGAGAAATCGTCGAGACTAGTCTGCTAAAAGCAATTGTCTTCCCTGGTACCACGCCTAGCTCTGAGGGTGAATCCGTCTCTGTCAAGGCTTGGAGACTCAAGCCGGTAGAATTGACTGAAGGCATCCCTCACAAGGGCTCATATCTCAGCGTCAATGGGCATACAGTTGATGCCGGACAGGAGGGGTTTGATCTGAGAGAGTGGGTGGAAAGCAAATCTATCGGATATATTGATATCCTTCATGGGCGCGATGAAAGGAAGCCGGCCCGTTGTGATAGGCCACAAATAGGTGGCTCATACTAAAAACCGGCAAATACAAGGTGATGACCTCTTGATTTAAGGTTATTTTCTTCACGGGGTTAGCATCTTGACCCTGTGTGAAGTGGAGAGACCTCGTGGTATTGCAGAAGCTGGATTCTTGCAGTCAGTTTGCTATTCTTGCGCGATTAAAAAAAAAAAAAGAACATGTTGTATCGTGTATTGTATCAAACTGAAGCAGATTTCGCAACTCAAACGATAATTACATAGAATATCAATAACTCCCTGCTCTGCCCAATCTGCTCCCAAATCAATCGGTATTCATCGCCTTCATAATCTCGTAATTCATTGCGCCGTTATCCGAATCTCAAAGAGCCTTGACCAACACCGAAAAGTACAAATCGTCTCTCAGCGCCTTCCCGCTCACAAGACTGTCGTAGGGGAAAGGCTTCTTCTTTTCCGTTCTCTGGTAACCTCTACGCAGATAATACTGTATTAATTCCTCGCGAGTCCAAATGACGCTCATCTCCATCTCAGACAACCCCCAGGTCTGCTTGGCGTATTCTTCTGCCCTGGCCAAAACGATGCGCCCAATGCCTCCGGCTTGACGCAGCGGGTTTACAGCAAATAGGCCAAAGTATCCAACTGTGTCGTTTTGCTTGAGAATTTCGCAGCATGCAATCATGTCGCCAGTTGCATCGTGGGCAACAAGAACCGCGCCAAATGGCTCATTGATCTTAGCAAGGACTCCTTCTAGGTCTATTCGCTGATCGTCGACAAGGTCTGCTTCAGTGGTCCAACCAGCGCGGCTAGACTCGCCTCGGTATGCCGAGCGCACCAATGCAAGGACAGTTGGAGCATCCTCGGGCACGGCTTTGCGGATTGACAGAGAGATTGGCGCCATTGGAAGGATTTAGGCGTGCAGACTGTGTATGAGTGGTGGATTTGAGTAGTCAAACGAAAGCGGTCTTTGCAACAAAACACAGTGAAATATCAATGCAACTTGCAACTATTATGAAAGTGAATTGCTGTCCGTGTTATCGGAGAGAGCGATGATGCCCATCTCTTATAAGAGACTCAGTGCAACGAGAAAAGCCACTGAATAGTAAACATGCGCTTGTGCTTCGTACTATCGACGGTCAGTCTTCTAAACACTTCCATGTCCCCACATGCAGTCTGTAAGGCGGTTGTCGCACTAAGGCGTAGGATTGACATTTTCGACATGCCTAAGCCTGACTCGTGGAAAAGAAGACGCCACTCGACGACGTTCGTCCGAGTCCCCCAATTCCCCTGGAAGCCAACAGTCGCCATGCAACGCCACGAAAGGATTGTCCGATCGCATCCGATACTTCTTCGGGTCTAACACCACGCAGTTTTGCGCCACATGTTCAATTGAATACTACTATGTATGTATGTATACAGCCAGATAAGCCTGTAATATCGCCCACCTAAACGCCTTGTACCTATTAGGCAAGATGCCGTCTGCCTAGTTGATTACCTATTGCTTACACGGGATTGAAAAGCACACTGAATTGCCCTCCTCTGTGCTTCCACTGGTCTGAAAGGACTCCATGGACGCTCGTCGGTCTCGCACGAATTTGGGCCAGGTGTTGGTTAGTACCAGATACTTGATGCTCTTCTCGGCGTCGTCAAAGATAGTCTGATCGAAGCCGTCCGGAATGTCTCCCCAATACTGAACGCCATCACCGCCGAAGCTTTCGCTTTCAGAAACCGATTTGGGAGCCTCGGAAGATGAATGTGCAGAGCCGGGCTTGTTCCACTCGGGGCAGTTGAAGGGCGTCGCGGGATTGATTGCTTGCTTTTCGCCATACATGGAACGCGCAGGCTCTTCAAAGACTGATGCGAGCTTCTTGAGTTCTGCCGATGAGATGTTGATTGGGAATGCCGCATCGGTGGCGCTGATGTACTCGGTGTAGATGCGCAAAGCGCGGTTGAATCGCTCTCGAACCAGCTCCCGCCTGTTCTCCTCGGATACGTCGCTACTGCGATTACGGACCGAAGCGGGAAATGAGGATTTCCATTCTCCAACGCTCGTCAAGAATGCAATATTCTCCCCCGAGAAATCTCTCAATGCGGAGAATTGTTGCAAGGGCTCGGGGTTCCTCGCTAGCACATACTCGAGGGCGCTTAGTGTAAGAATAGATTCAACGGAAGACGTCTTGACGGAGCTGTTGGTGGACTTCCACCCCGTTTTGATGGACTCTATGATTGTCGATTTGGATTTGAATGATCGGATTGCTTTGCCCAATGTCTTGTTGTTCTCCCACTGGGCAATCGTATTCAGTGTCTCTTGACAGAGCGCTTGATGACACAAGACTTCCCAGCACGGTAAGAAGACGGTAAATATTTCCATCAGCCAAATAGAGAGCGCAATCCTATGACAGGAGTCAATGGTCAGCGTTTCTTTCTAAGGGGCGAGATGCACTTCTTAAAGCTTACCACTGAGGAGGGATCCAGTACTGATTAATTACTTCCATACCCGGGACATACAGAGCAATGAGCCACATGGGTGCTGCATGAAGCCTTTGTATCTGTCAGTAAAAACGCTCATAGAGGCAAACAGGTTTATATGCTGCTCACTGACCCAGAAATTGCACACAAAATTGTCTGAGTTCGCCATCCTTGCGTGTCATGAATATCTCGAGCGCGCCACAGCGTGAGAGGCGCAACAATCCATGCCCAGAAGAATTGCCAGAAGATGGAAGGCGTCCTATTCTCACTCCGCATTAGTACGCAAACGTAGCCGTCGGAGAGATTTCAATTCAAAAACTCACCACTCCCAGCCTCGGCCCATCTGAACTTTCTGCTCCATCTCAGTCCCAGACACCTCGGTGCCTGGGATGCCCCAAGAGCTATGCCATTTCCGGGAGATGAGGTACATGAAAACTGCCATGAATAGCTGCGAAGAAGATTGTTAGTCCGTGGCGTGTAAAACTTTAAAACATAGCCCTACGAATAAGAATGCGCGGATAGGCTGAACTCACCTGGAAAAACATTCCAGAGCTGACTAGAATCACTGCCTTGGCTGAGTAGTCAAGTTCCCGAAAGCGCTCGAGAATGCCACCCGCTTTGCTGGGCTTGTACGAATTGGGAACATTGGGAATACCGGCCTTGTCGACAAACTGCTTCTGGCGTTGTGCCACGTGAAGAAAACGAGTGTTTGAAGCGTGGAACAGGCCAATACCAAGAGGCAGGTATGTGCCCATGATCCAATACTGCATGTCTCCAGGATAGAGCGGCCCAAAGACATAGCCAAGCTGCACTGATGCCCAGTAGAGATGAAGGAATAGGATGGAAGACAGCGATAGCCAGATACCCCGAATCTTCAGCATGGACATCTGGCGATGGTGGATTAAGAAGCCCATACCCCAGAGCAACAACACGGTCCAGGTGGCGGTCCAGCAAATCCACCATATGCCAACGCCGTTAATCCTTGGTCTGGGCGTGGAATCCGCCGTGAGACCCAGTTCGGAGCCCATACTGGCGATGGCGGCCCGGAGCAAGCGAGCGAAACTGAAGATTTGCAAGGAACCTGGATCTAAGAGCTCGGGTGGCACGAAGATAAAGAAAGTGTGGGTGAACTAATCTGCTCGCGGCTCACCGTTGGAAAACGCGATCTGTGGGTCAGTGTGAGCGGAAAGGAGAGAAAATAGCAGTTGGAGCTCGGGACAGCAATTGACCAAGAGCAAAACATCAGGACGGGAGGGAGAGTTTTAATCTCGGTCGGGATGGTGACGGTCTGCGTTGTGGATCATGGACAGATCCCTTTCCATCGAGCTGGTGACTTGGAGCTGAATGAGATGAGACGGACGCAATTCGAGCACAAAAGGGGTGTTGGTTCGTCCAGGTTGCCTGAATCCTGGTTTGTCCTCTCGCCCTCATTCCAGCTGTGCGTTCTCATGCATACATTCAGCTGTTGGTTCATTTGGACGATTGTTTTTCCCGCTGCTGTCTCCACCGCTAAGAGCATGGCGCATAAATGAGAGTCATCCACGAGGCTAACGATGATATTGCGCTCTATGCATCTTACTGTAGTACTAATGAAGCACAATTCCACGTGCCTTTTGGCCCCCGAGCCGGTCTCGCCATGATCGGCCGCCGGCCACGTCCAACATCCCTCGAATAACCTAGTCTAGCACCCCTACTAGTCAAGCCTTCCCGTCACAAGCTAGGGAACGAGAGATCCAAGCTCCTGAGAGCTTGTCAAGAGCTATCTATGAGCTTGTTTCTGATACGCTGTTGGGGGCGGAAACCGTCTCGAGACATACCACAATATCGGGTCGGAGCCCTTGCATGCACTGCGGCACAAAACGCCTCCCTTGCTTTGTCAATGACACTGCGGTGAAAGGTCATCATACAATCAAAAGTCTATGCCTGGATACATGTCCTCATTGTCATTTTCTATAACTTTATGCGCACTCTGAATATATATGTATGTCCCTTATACGTGGGGGACAAAAAACCATGCTCCTGGGATTGTTTGGAACTCTGGCAGCAAGATGTAAAGTTTGATTCAACAAATCCTAGCACGAATACTACCTCGGATAAAGAAGCCTCATTTAAAACTATAATCCGGAGAGTGCACATCAGAAAAACTGTTTCATTGGCCTATGTTATAGCATAGAAAATCACAGCTACACCGCTTCGTTCTCTAGATCACAGTCGGTATCTAAAGTATGCAGGTGGGTATCTAAGAAGTTGGTTTTGTAAACGCTTCCTTCAGCTCAAGTAGCTAGTGAAGTACGCTGCCATCTTCTCGCCCCAAGTTCATCCACCTGACTCTATGCGCCGCAACCAGGCTACGAGCTCTTACTCCTCCAACGTGAGACTTACAGTAGTCAAATTGCTATGAGAGGCTAGTGGCCTTTGCAAAGACTAAGTTGATACGGCTGACCTCTCATTACAAGACGCACCAATAAGCAGATGTGGTGATAGCCTATCTCGTCGCGTCACGTCCCGTCCCGTCACATCAAGATCTTTCCAAAGTGGCGCTGCTAATCTGGCAGAAGTGGAGAAAAACTAACGATTACTTGCAAGGATAATGGCGGTGCAGACTACATATATCATGTAATAAGATGCCACTCACTGCGTAACGTCTGTAAATTGGCTTGTGCTGCATACTCCTAGAGGCCGTGGCTACTTCTGCTGTTGCTTAATTTGTATCCCTCCAGCATAAACTTACAACTTATACTGCTTTTAGGTCTAAAGACATGGTAAATGGCTGGCAATATTCGCCAACGTTAACCAACTACTAATACCGTGATGATGTTACTTTTGTTTCATGGCAGTCTCAGGAAAAAAGACTGTGATAGCTCTCGTATTGCCTTGAGAAACATTCGACCACCTGCTTCACATGTACGATTGTTTTCGCGGCAATAAAATCTCACAAGGCGATATATCCGCTTCATCTCGGAAAGCGGTACGAGAAGCCGTTCCCTAAAGCTTTGAGAGACACATGGCGAGACATGCATATCCTTGCATTAAACACAATGCGCTAAGGTTTCCTGGTGACTGCCATACGCTGACATATAAATCTCGGTCAAGCGTTAGTCGGGGAAGCATTGGTGGCATTGCGATATGCAAGGGATGTCAAGCTTTGAGCCGTCTCTTGGCAACAAACGAAGCTAATTTCCCATATCGTGTCCCCATTGGCGCCATACACTGCATTTATCACCGAAGAGTAAGCCTGCATGTATGTCTGAGTACCTTCATTTCACTGGTACGAGTGCATACTGAGAAATTCACGAATCTGACATGTAATTGTACATTGAGTAGTACTGTGTACGAATAGAGATACTTGGGTATACTAAATGTGTGGATAAAAGCTATACTGCATATACCTCTCGTGCTGGGAATAGTACATAAAAGCTATCCAAGAATTATGAAAATGCTACATAACTGGCTTGTTATAATGGTCACCGCAGCGGGGAGAGGAAAACAAAGCATAGCATTCCGTGCTCTATAAACTTCTCTATTAACAAGGCATGGCACGCGTAACGCGCCACGTTGATGGTTCAACTGTTGGCCTAGACGGAGCAAATCGCCGATCCGCGTCTAGTATACCATCGGCACTCTTCTAAAGCCTGATGCGTGCCATGGTCTGTGTGGCACTACGGAGACATCCTGGGCCAGGTTGCGTAGCACTAATCACTCTTGATGCAGGGCAGCATTTGGCGTTGCCTTTGGCGATGGAACCAACAGCCACGTTATGGCTGTAGTGGCAAGTAAAGCAACCAAGATTGGCTGCAATACCTTGACGCCGGCATTGGCAGATACCACTCCTGTAATAATAGGGAAAAGCGAGCCACCCATTTGAGCAAACACAAACACTAATGGCAGGGCGGTGGAGCGTATCTCCGGGGGAAATAGCTTTGACCCAAGAGAAATACCCTTTTGCGGCAGAGTTAGACGGCACGGATTTATACAAGAGACACAAAAGCAGCACTAGAGACTTACGGTAGCAAAGAGTGGCCCCGTAAAGAAGCCGATGAAGCTGACTGCGATAGAAGCTGCAATGATATTTGGTACCCTAAACATTTCAGTATGAGCCTGGCTAGCACGTTAATCGGAACTGGTGAAACAAGAACCTACAACCAGAAGATCAGCTGGAAGACAAACGCTGCAGCGATATAACCAAATACCATTCGGCGCTCGCCATATCTATGCGTCGGCTCTGCCAGCAGTAGCCGTCCAAGCAGTGCGCCGCCGCTGAATCCGGCGGGGACGAAACCCATTTGTGATAAATCGCCGTGGCGAACTCTGACCAAGTACTCCACAACCCATCCGCCGGCCGTAAGAACTGAGCCAAGGTAGAAGAAAAAGAACAGACTTAGCAACCAGACGCTCAACGTGCTGGTGGTCTTTCTGATAAGCTGAGTGGCATTCTTGTTCCTTGATACTGTTTCAGTGCTTTGGTCAACGTCCGGGCTCTCATGCTCATGATTGTCGCTTGCTGCAGCCTTGCGCACAAACCCAAGTGTATCTCGGAACGCAATGCAAGTCAAAGCAAGATTAACAACTCCCAGTCCCAAAGGAAACGTGTAATACAAATACCATCGAGACACCTGCCCCGATGACGCGACGGCGGTAGAGACAAATGGCCCAACCAAGCTGCCAGCCGTGTACATGGCATGAATAAATGCCAACCAGCGGTGAGAAGATTTGACGCCGGCGACATAGGAGTTTGCGTGCGTGTCTTGGAAAGCCTGCCCGATGCTCACAAACCAAAAAGTCACAACGAAAAGCCCAAATGGAGGGTCCCAAGATCTGAGTGCATGGGCGATGATTTGGAACAGCGCCCCGAGGGCAAGCATCGCGCCGAGGTTGAGATACTGGCAGAGATGCGTGTTGGCAAAGGCTGCAAACAGCCAGCCGAAAAAATTGGCGCCATATCTGCATGAGTCAATCTTGTGTCAGTGATACAGCATCGCCGCCGGAGCAACGCTTTGCGTGCCACTTACACGCTTGATACAATTGCCGTGCTAACATTGTACTCGCGGATGACATAGGGTATCAGGGCTCCAATGCTGCCATCATTGGTACCGGCGACAAAAAAGGAGAATCCCGCGCTGATCAGCCTCAAGTAAGCCATCTTACTAAGGCCCTCGACTGGTCCTTCCTCTGGCTGCATCTCATGAGGGCCAACAACCTCATGGCTGCTCCCATGGGCTAAATCAGTGAGCTCAATTGCACTCTCGACTGCGGTCTCGGTTGCAGTGATGGCCATTTTCGAGTCTTGTAAACCGTTGGACAAGAAGGACTTGAAGCCTGAGACGCTCACCGAGTCTCTCCTCTGGCCACCTTAAATAAAGGCAGACCCTGGGTGCATGTGAGAAGCAACAAGTGATGTACGCTTAAACTTTTAGACTGCGCGGCTATTTCTCCGAAGCACAACGCAACTCCCCGCATGCCCCGGAGTAACTAACATTAGCACCACTCCAAAACAGGCATTGAGGAGACGCGTCTTGGCATCCATATTTCTCCGCAGGAAGTCGGCAAAAAGTGGAATTGATTGAATGATCAAGTCATCTCCTGGCTTTGGTATTCAAGTCTTTGGGCGGCTGACAAGGCAGACCAAGCTGGCTGTGTTTCCCTCGGGGAGTATCGGGAATAACCCCATGTTATAGAACACCCGCGTCGCTGCAGTTTCTCTAAAACAATAATTAGTGTCACACAATGACCAAACATTATTGAAAGGATTCGGGTAGCGGCAGTTCAACGGATAACAGCTCTACAATGGCGGTGTAGAGTACCAATTCACGGAGCCTTCGGGGTAATGGAAGAGAACAAGAGAGGACAGCAGTAAAGTGCAGAACATGGTGAGACACTAATTGCTATTTTGAATAATGATTTACTCTGATACTGAGCTGCATCGACAACTTGTAGGATTATAGAAGCCAGTCTAGATACATGTACATCTATGTATAGGACCTAATCACCCTGCCATTCAACTACAATGATCTACAAGTCCCACTTGCAAACTATCCACAAAGACAACCGTCTGAATAGCTATACAGATATCCAAAGTCAGGGAAGAGATGAACCGAGTCACCACTCGAACTCCTGGCTATCTGAGGAGCAAGACGATTTGTTCCAGTCGTAGATGCCTCCTCGTTCCACAAATGCTGCCTCATCCCAAAAGACGGCCTTTAGAGCGTCTTTCACTCCGACCTCCAAGATGGATTTTGATGGTTGTTTGCCGTTTCTGTCCAAAAAACGCATGTATTCATCAAGGATCAGATAGGACTTTGCCATCAGCCTGTTAGGCTCCGGAACCAGGCACCTTTGGTCGCTGTGTCTCTGGCAGAATTGGTCAAATTCATCGTCAGAGATGGTAAGCTTGTGAGCGTTGCGAAGAGTATCATCTGAATCATTTTCTCCGGCCACAATCAATACTTGAAAGCACTTCCATCGAAATGGCTGAAGGGCGCTGATGTGCCCATTCATGTTCTCCAAATGGTTGAACTTATTCACCACCGTGTTGAGCTTGAACTTGATGCCGTATTTTTCGCACCAAGTAGCGATTTCATACAGCTTTTCCACCTGATTACCAGATCCACGTCCGATTTTGATGTTTGTAGCCTCGTTGAACGAATCGGAACTCACGGCTAGGATATCAATGTTGTGACCATGCTGCCGGAGAAATGATTCCCTGACAAGACTTCCATTGGTGACAATAGAGACCGATTCCAAAGAAAGAGCGTCTTTGCAGAAATCTATCATTGCGCCAAGAAATTTTGGGTAAAGAAAGGGCTCCCCGCCAGCAAAGTTAATTTTCTTCATGCCAGCCTGCTTAAGGAGTAATAGACCCTTTTTGGCATTCTCTGTACTCTCAATATGAGATGTGGTTGCAGTATGGAAGCAGAATAAACATTCTTTATTACATTTCCGAGAAAAGTGGTAATTGACAGAGATTGGTACTTGACCAGCGCGGACTCTACCTTTGGCGAAGACCAAGACGATCAGAAGGACAATGAAAAGGTATACAAGGGCAGTCATGTTTTGGATTTTAATGTGAGGCTGAGAGAGCTTGAAATAATCCAAGTATGAAGAGAAGGTAGAAAAAGCAAAAGCATGCAATAAGCGGTATTTCCCTTCTTTTAAGGAGCATAAATACCCCCGTGCCCTAATGTAACACGAAATAACATCTTTTCACGCATAACAAAGCAGAACCACTTCCACCAACGTAAATAACATTATAAACTAAACGCAGCAGAAATCAGAAACAATGGACCCGAAGACAGAGGGAATAATCTTTGTGCTCGGTATGTCAGATTTGATGTACGTGCTTACTTGAAAGACACTAACAAACCTTTAAAAGGCGCCCCGGGGGCTGGAAAAGGGACACTCTCTTCGAAACTTGCCAGCGACTACGGCTTCAAGCATCTCTCGATTGGAGATCTTCTAAGACAAGTGGTGGCATCTCCAGACGCAGACAAGACAGTTGTAGAGTATGTGCGCCGAGGGGAGCTCGTTACTACAAGTCTACTTTTCCAAATTTTGAAGCCTCATATTGAAGGAGGAGGCACTATCATCTTGGATGGCTTCCCTCGACGCCTGGATCAAGCAAAAGAATTCGAGAATCAGGTAAATGACCCGAAGCCCCCGCCTGAGCTCTGAATACTCTGCTGATATGTTACTAGTTTCAACTCCCCGTGCTTGTTCTATTCTTCAACTGTCCTAAAGATTTGGCCGAGAAACGTGTGATCAATAGAAAGCACGGTCGGGAAGGAGATAACGTGGAAACATTTAGGAAGAGACATGCGGAATTTTTGGAACTGAATCCTCCTCTACTTTGTAACTACGAACAGATGGGGAAGCTCATCACGGTAAGTAATAAGGCATGCCATTCGTACAAATCGCAACCTGCGGCTTCTAATCTCATAATAGGTGGACACTCAAGATTTTACTCAGAAATCCTACGAGACACTTATCAAGTTGCTACAGGCTAGACAGGAATGGGTTTCTTTGATCCGTACGTAACATGGCACAGAGAATGGGATTTTACGAGAACGATACTCGGCTGCCCTCCTGTTTTTAGCAGTCAAGTAGGACGAGGCTTCCTAGCGCCTCAACAAGATACTTGAGGGTGGCGTAGCTTAGTCGCACAAATTAAATGATTGCAGCATTTGCTATAAATAAGAAATGATAAGCAAGAAGGAGATGGTTGGACGGATAGCCACAGCTTCAACCTCCGAAGTCGGGAAAGACGCCGTCTTTATTTTCACTTGCAAGTCCAATACATCCATCCTGTACTACATCTCATTTCGGATTTTTGCCTTCCACATGTCCTTTGCCCTCCACACATCTTACCGCTGGAATCGCTCAAAGTAAGCCGTCAGCTTTCCCTTTGGATCGCCTGGAGAAAACGCCCACGAATAGGTCTCCATAAAAGAGACAATCCTGTCGTCCATGATTTGCATTTCGTTTTGCTTTTGCTGCTCGGTTGGCACACCTCCATCCTCGCCAACCAAGGTCTTTTGCAGCTCGATTTCACCAACCTGGTGGCCAAAGTCCATCGTGTCGAGGACAACGTGGAACTCGTCATCTGCTACCCAGGTTTCGCGTCTAGTGGAAAAGGTAGCAGTGGCCTGTAGTCCGAAGTCTATGGCTTCTCCGGCATCGATTCCAGTGGTGCGTTTGATGTATGCCGCAATATCCTCAATGCTGCTAAGCTCTTCAAATCTGGAGTTGGTGAAATTGCCCCCCTTTCTGATTTTTGCTTGCCACTCTCCGTCTCTGTTTCTTATCCATGCTCCGACCGAAGAGAGGATATTCGACTTGTCGTAGTAAGAGTCGCGTATTATCTGGTCAGGAAGTCTCTGAAGACTCTTGAAGTGAGGAAGCCCGCCATATTGAGTCAGCTCACGAACTGCAAGTGAGCGGAATTTGCGTTCTACTTCTAGTACACAAGTCGATATGGGTAGTCGTCGGAAAGCCATGATGAATAAAGATTCCTAGTTTGCCTTGTATCAAGTAGATGAGTTAGCAAGCAATCAATAGAGAATACGATAGCCGAGCCTTACTGCAGTGAAAAACTTCGAGAGATTCGAATGTATCTCGTTTAATGTGACTACTAGTGGAAATGAAAGACGGCCGACGAGCAAGAAAATAATTCAAGTTTCACAAACATCAAACGGCGGTAAACGTGGATTGAACGCCATGGCCCGTGCACAAGATCAGAGTGAATATGAAGTCAACAAACGAATCTTTACAGGCCATTTGAAGTATGAGACGGAAGTATTGTTGCTGGCTTATAATAAGATTCTATTGGTGATTTATAGATTGTAAGACCGGCATTGTTGATACTTTCTAGACGCTGCCAAGGGACAAATGGCATAATTGCTCGTAGGCAACGAATCATACACTGATATTGTCGTAAAAGTTGTTATTGAAGAACTTTGAACATGTAGATACAGATGAGAACATCGCAAGTGGCTGCTGGTCCGAGTATCCTGGCATGGTTGAAGCGTTCGTGGTCGGGTACACGCATCAAATATCTAGCAATACCGGAGTTTCAGACGGCGCTGAGACGAATCCCAGCTTGAGCCGATTTGCCAGGGCACTAGAAGCACTACTGGTCCGCTAAAATGGTCCGCACAACGCTAAATACCGCTGCAAGCCTTAGCTCCACCAAAATCGGGGCCGTTGACGACCAGCCACGATTCAAAAAAACAAGTGTTTAAAAAAAAAACATGTTCAAGAGAAACTCTTGAAGAACGGGTCTGGCCGGGGATTGAACCCGGGACCTCTCGCAGAACGACTTGGGGTTTTCCCTAAGCGAGAATCATACCACTAGACCACCAGACCGAAGAAGTTGAAATATTGCAGACATAGTCAGCTCATGAAGATTTGCGAGATGATGATGTGGGAAAGAAAGAAGGGATGAGAGAGGTCGGGCCGGCGATTGAGCCTATGAACTCTCGCATACAAGCTGTAAGGTTGATTCTAATCGAGAATCATACCGCTGGCCACTTCAAGTGAAGAATATGGATATATTCGGCTTCCGAATTTGCATACTGATTTTATTGTTCCAATCCTTCTCTACGTTGGCATTCTCCCTAAATGGCCGAGGCGAGAGCCAATTCTTACACAGATTCCAGTAATATAAGGAAGAGAGTACTATAAAGAGAGATACCAATGCTTCTTGCAACTCTCTCAATAACTTCAGTACTTCATCTCTCCCCATTGACCTCTCGGTGAAAAGACTTTGTGCGCCTACCCACAGAGATCTTTACATACCCAAACTTATACCCTTTGCATATATATAACAGTAATACTACCATTTGTTCCTTAATCGAATCACGGCTGTCACAAAACAACCCCTCAAGACACACATGCCTTGTGATTGACTTTATGTCACTGCATATTAGCTCCAATTCCTTAGCTCCTAGTCAGACAATGAAAACCATTATCGCCAGAGAGAGGGCTTTATTCGTTATGGATACCGAAATATTGGAGCCCAGCATGTCAGGAGAGGCCAGTCCTAGGTAACAGCACGTTTCAGCCGAGACATGAGTGCAACCATGAATACATGTAATACGTTCCTGTAATAAAAGGATATCGTCTCTGCAAGCCATTTCGAATATAGAGAATAACACATGATGAAACAGCGACTTTATAATGTCCATATACCCCTGGCTCTGCTTAATGTAATCGGTAGAGTAGATCTACTACCGATACTGTTTTAACAGGATATTCGCTGCATCTCCATATCTCGTTTTCTTCATAGTTTCACGAATAGTCTCTGCAATATCCTCGTTCCCTTCTGACGGACGAACGTCGTGAACACAGTGGCTCAATCCCATTGCCGCAAGCGTGCCTAAAACATAAGCTCTGCTGTTGGGTAACTGTTTAACTAGCCAGCTTAGTACTCGCAACTGACCCACGAAGCGACCGTCGCCGGGAATAAGCATCATTCCATTGCTGATAGCTAAAGGATTTGGGTAAGAATTGTGAATTGTGGTAATGGGAGAAGCCTTGCTATCGTCGTAGCTTAACGACCTAATCGGCGATTCGGATATTTTGGCGGTGTAAATATTCCAAGATGCCGCTGTTTCCATATTCTCGTTGGGCTCTGGGTATACCTGGCAAAGCTGCCTAGACGGTCCAAGATTGTCATAATAACAGCGGCATGTTGAGAAAAACGATGCATTGTAAAAGTCAATAGCATCTGAAGCTCGAGCAGCACCGGCAAGATTTTTTCGCATACGTTCCACCCAAATAAGGCCCGTTAAATACAGCGTAGCTTCTTGCATCAAAGCAAATGTTTTAGCGTTTGCTTCAGGTTCTTTGTTAGTAGAAGCCTTTAGTCCAAAAGGAACGTCTAGGCTGGCAGCCGTGCCCATGTTTAGCCCATAAACGTCTGGAGTATAAATGCCTGGTCGATGTGATTCATCACTGACTCTGAAGAGCGCCCAGTCCACGATTTCTTGTGCGACAGGATAATTATCATGAAACCAGTGATATCGCCACGCGAGTAGGTCCAAGTAAATAGACTCCAGTTGCTTCTGTAAATCAGGTATAGAGTTTGGTGTCTCCTCTCGAATTATACTTGTATCACCTGCGACCCATTGAGAACGTTCGTTTAGAATCTTGTCCATCTTCTGGATGACTCCAGGAAAGTCGGATATAATATCGAGCAGTTTGCTCGTATGTGTCTTCACGTCGGGGCGTAGCGCCCATGGTACTGACTTCCATCTCTCTTCACTGATGAGGGTGTTTTTTCTCTGAACGAGCGCATTTGCAATCTACAATTAATTAGTATATGGCAATTTCTGCGGTCTTCATAGTTGCATATACTAACAATTGTGAATCTGCAAGATTCAAACACTGGCAATATTTTTGAGTCTTGAAAATATTCAGCACCACAGAATTCAAGAATACGAGCCAGCCCTTGATGGTGTACGAAGCGAAGATCAGACTCAACGGTAATCTGCTATTATCAGCAATTGCACGACTTGAATACCCTTGAGCACGCAGCACGTATAAGGATGAAGGAAAATTTACTGCATAAGATCCCATAATAGATATGGGTTTAATGAGGGAAGCTAGTTCCGATTTCGATGCGGTACCAAGCTTCGACTGCAGTTGCTGTAGAACTTTGCCGTAGATGCGGCGAGCTGTTCTTTTCAAACCGTCTACTTGGTGATCTTGACCAAATATTCCATATGTCAGAGCGCGAAGGCTATCATAGCAAAGTTCGTCGCTTTGCTGAGCGAGATGCTGACGCATCGGTGTATCTTGGAGGAGAATGCTGTGTACGTTAATCCAGCTGTAGGCATCAAAAAAGTAGGAGAAAGTAACATTGTCGGTGAACGGCTCTAGGCTTGGTTGGATAGGCCAACTTGCTAGGCGATGTGACAGCGTCAGTCTTGGGTCTTCCGTCTCTGTAGTCGTTGAGTCCGTCGTTAAATTGGCAGAGTTATCAGCTGTCTGTTGGCCCCGGCCTTTCTGTTTGCGACACTTGGTACGGCCATGTGACGAAATAGTATCATGAGTCTTGGTTGGGGCGTTGACTGGATAAGAATTGAATTGGCTTATTTTGACCAATCTCTGGCGGCCCGGTTGTGTTCCCACGCCAACTCCAAAGTTTTCGAGTCGAAGCATGGGATCGTATCCAAGGCATTCATATCTTGACTTTTCGCATTGGCTACATACGGGCTTCTTGGCGTCACATTTGATTCGGCGTTTTCTGCAAGTATGACAGCTTAAACTAGAAGGCTGCCGTCCCATATTGCTGCGGAGTTTATACGCGACTTGAGACTCTCACGTTGTCACAACTTCGCAAGTGCAGCATTGAACGGGGCAGCGCCTCTTATGACAGTTTCCCGCCCGTGGGGCAGCATCCCCACCGCTGCCTTAGGCGCAGATCTCTAATATTTAGCGGCATGCCATGCCGATAGTCAGGAAACATCCTTTTCTCCAAGATTCAATCCATATAGTCGACCTGTTTCTGGGGCAAGCAAGATGGAAGCATTCAAGAAATGAGTGATTAATTCTATCTTTAACAGAGTCCAGATTAAAACTACTGGAATGGATAATATGATGTAAATATATCGCTGTTCAACGACCGAGAATATTGAGGTGTACTAACTACATGCACATGTAAACAGCACAGCCGAATGTTTGATCATGAATCGTATCGACTTAACCCGGGCGTCCCAGACAATATGATGTAGCGTGTCTTTTTTTTAGCTATGGATTAATTTGTCACATCGATACTAGTAGTCAGGCTGCAAGACAGTGAAGGATAGCACCTGGTGAAGTATCGGGAAGCGTAGAGAGCAGGATATTGGCATTTGTCCGTAGCGGCAGCCATTTCACAGACCCCATCGCCAGCGTTTCGCCTAATTGCAAACCCTGCGACTACTGGTCTAATTGCCAGAGTCCAAAGCCACACCACTTTATAAAAAGAAATGAAGTAGAATTTGAGCTATTAAGATTCGGGTGTTGGAATTTCTGCCTAGATATCCATGTATCTACATACACACAAGTATCTGAAAAGGCGCCTACAAGCAGGCAGTGAATGCACTCTAGCTGCGTATTACATATCAAATACTTACACACATCTCCCTACTACACAGAATTAGCAACTGGACCTTGGTGAATCGATGAAATCGACTTCAAAAGTCCATCAGCACCTCCATACGTTGATGTAGGGTAGCGCCCGTCAAGGAACACCAATCACGCCCGCGTCTTCCGCCACCCGAACGCTACGCACCCCTTGAGAATACAACCTCCGGTTGACGATTTTGACGAGCAACATGACGCGATATCCGAAAAGAAGTACAATCGTAAACATCAACTGATGCCTGCCATCCACAGATTCAAGGCGGATGGAAATCGCGACGTGGAAAACACGATCGAAGAGATAAGGGGTATTCAGGAGAGAATTAAACGAACAACAGAGGCAAGGTCTTCTCTGTTATTGCTGACAGCATCTCTACCGCTGATACCGCTGATACCGCTGATGAGGAAGTAACCGCAGCCAGAAGAGCTTTGATTCATAATAAAAAGTGGTATAAATAGCAAAGTCCTTCCACCCAACCTTTCCCCTCCTTCTTGACCACCATCCTCTCAAACACCAACTCGTCATCAGACATCTCCTCGTCGGCCCCCCCCCCCCCCCCCCCCCCCCCCCCCCCCCCCCCCCGGAGCTGCTGCTTCGGTTCCTCTACCTCCTGGCGCTGCTGCTGCTGGTACTGCTGTTGCTGCTCCTGTGGTGGGAGGTCTTCCTCCACAGACAAGCCCAATGCGAACGCGTGTTCGCATTGTTTGCGGGAGAGACGGACGTCTTTCCCCTGGTCGATAATACCAGTTGCCCGGTACACGCCGCCGCGGACCTTCCTCTGAGGAGGAGGAATGGCCTCACCAGCTTGGCCTTCCGACTGGCCCAAAGCTGCGATGACATCGCTGCCATCACGACGGTTATCTATGGAGGAAGAGCCTCCACGACCACTACCACTTCCGTCCTAGGTGATGTTAAGCTGGGATGGTATCACTGCCATCACGACGGTTGTTCGTAGAGGAAAACGAACTTTCACGACCCTCCCTCTACTCTGAAGAGAGAGAGAAGAAGTTCGACATAGACTTTCCCTTCGTGTCTGCTTTGTTCATCCTTCTGGTCACGGGCCTTACCATCGCGCCGGATGTTTTGTTTGACACGGAATGATCCTTCGTGTCTATGTTATTCGACACGGAACTATCCCTCGTGTCTGTCTTCTTGTTCGACACGGATTTGGCTGTCGTGTCTACTTTGTCTTGCCTCGGTCACGGGCTTTGCCGTCGTGACCGTCTTGGTCCTCTGGATGTTCAAGCTGGACTCAGACCTGGTTTGCAGGGGAACGGGACGTCCTGCACCATCGGCAGGATCAGTCTTCTACTTCTTATTCGAACTTGCCAAAGGAGCCATCTCAACTTTAGCAGAGGTGTCACCACAGGAATTGGTCATCTGTGAAGAATTGTTAGCCTCGTTCGAATCAGTTGGAGTCTTCACAAAGAACTCAGAAATGCGCTTCTGTCCCCGCGTGTTGTCTGGGGATATTCCAGCCAGAAAGACTCGAGGGGAGGGCAGTGAGATGGGAGGGAGATAGAGATAGGGGAAAACGGTGAAGTTAGTCGAGTCAGGGCACTCCAGTATACTGGAGTCACAGAGACTTAATACTTGAACAGTATTCAAGGCGTTTTGGTCGTGTTTTTGAACAATGTTGAAGTCTCTTAGGATGGAAATGAAGACGCGGTGGTGGAAAAGGAGAAGGACTCGCGACTTTTAGCTTGACGTTTATTAAATCGTTGAATATGGAGGCAGGTGCCATCCCATCAAAGTACCTGAGCGGTCAGCGGGTGCGTCTGCCGCATTTTTTTTCTTTGCTGGATTTGATGTGTGCACCGACCGGATCACAGCGTGGAAGTCTCTACGGATCACGACGACACACATCTTGGACGCGCTGGAAACGCACCAAACAGCGTGGCTTTGTATCTCAAGTCCGACAGAGAAGAAATGGTTGACCTAAAAAGACTCTATAGGGCGTGTTGATGATGGCATGAGCAAGTTGAGTTGCTGTGTACATGGGTATACAGCTCGGTAGTAGACGTTTGGGCACATGAAACATGTAGCTGCAGATACAGTTGTACTCTGCCTACCTAACTTCAATACTAGTAGTACTGTAGGGAGGTACGGTACCGATTGACGCTTTGTACACCCATTGGATCACATCCAAGGACGGCGACAAGAGGCCAACTGTAGCAATAACAGAAGCACTACCAGTCGAGCTGGAAATTTGATCCAAAACACCCAGATAATGTATGTTGAATAGACTGTTCACAGTGCCATAAATTCTTCATAACCCATCGGAAAGAATTATATCACGTCACCAAATGTTACAACAACAGCTGAGACAAGAGTGACACCAATGCGATTTGGATGTAACTGGGATGACTCATGCCAACGACAACATTCGATATCCATCATACCATCACAGTTTTGCAGAACCAGCGTTGAGCGAGCCTGTACGGCCAACCGGCATCGTTAAGTAGGACCGATCCAGCTGAATAGCTTTGTTGGGAAGAGGTAGTGTTGGCCGATCTAGACGATCCTAAGCCATGATCGATACTGGAGTTGCCATCAAACAAGATTTTCACATAAACGGATTAACATTGGGGGTGACACAGCTAGTAGGCCTTCGATTCAAATAAAGATGTTCATTAAAAAAAATTCTTCTAGTCCTTCTTCTCATTCTTCACCAACTCCGTCTCCTCCACCTTCCCCTCCTTACCCCCTGGCTGCTGCTGGAGCTGCTGTTGTTGGAGCAAAAGCCCCAACTGCTGCAGGAATTCTTGTTGGGGCTGCTGCTGCTGCTGCTCTGGTGGAGGGAGACTGCTTCCATGACCACCTCCACCACGAAGGCCCCCCTTCCGCTCTAGACTGTGTCAGTAAGAATTAATAAAACGAGGAAAGAAGTTGAGACTTACTGGTCACCCCCCGACCACTCCCGCCACCACCACCACACCCCCCAATCCGGCCTGTTGTAGTCGTTAGCTAAGAATACTCATGGCAGAGAGAAATGTTACCATTGCCGCGGCCACCACGTCCACCGCCGCTGCCACCGCCACTACCACCACCACCACCACTGCTTGGTTTCCCAAGCACCCGCTCCGTCACCCTCCATATTCGGGCGACATCATTGATATTAGACATCTACCACCTTAATAGTTAGCTAATGTGACATTACTGAGCTACCTAAGAGATAGATGCTTACTCAGAGAGAGAGGTAGAGAGAGAGAGAGAGAGAGAGAGAGAGAGAGAGAGAGAGAGAGAGTCTGAGCAGTAATAAGTTAGATATTGCGAGCCAAACCAAAGGGGGAAACTGACAACAACGGCTCAAAAGGCCGGAACTTGATTGAATATTTCTATTCACAGTTAGATAGGCATTTTTGACAACCAGTTGGGGAGATACTGACGGAAAAAAAAAAAAAAAAGAGAGAGAGAAGGCACAAGGCCCGGACGAGTATATCTGTATAAAAACTATCCCACAGTTAGATAGCCATTTGAAGATCAACGAACATGAGGATTCTTACAAAGAATATTGGCCTTGGGCCCAACGTTTGCAGCGGAATTCTATCCAAGATCAGTTAGATACTGCAGACAGAGCGACCAAGGAAATACCAACAGATGAAGACAAGGAAAAAACGTTGTCATAAATGATACAAAAAGAAAACACTATATATCCTCATTAGAAACAGTCATAAAAAAGTATTTGCCAAAAGGTACTTGCATGTCCGTGGGCGTCAATGAAGGTGAAGCTGGGGAAAGAAAGAGGAATCGAAAATACTGACCGGAAATTGGAATTTATATCAACAGACTTGACACGCCAACTGGTGACGCGACGCGTTTTTTCTTCACCACGCTCTCACTTTGAAGCCACCAGCTGTTGCCAGCCCGACATGTCCCAGGGATGTGGTGTGTGGGCAGCTGTCAGAAACTTGTAAAGATTGCAGTGGGTAGATGCTGTAGATATCATAGCTACAACAGCTACGGCATTGACAATGCTTTGTTTTTCTCCATCAATATCGTAAGACAAAGACATCCTAGCTGCGCTTCTTCCTCCTACAATGAATTTGCGTATGTGAAAATGGAGCGCTAATGATAATATGCTACTGGGAAGCGCGCTGATAACTAGGTACATGGAATCTATGGAGCAGAGGCAAGAAGATGGAGCTGAAATTTTTAAGGCGGAACTGGCGGTTGACGACAAGTAAATGCTAACTTGTAGTGATGATGAATAGGGACCTCCAGAGATTTGCAGAGCTTCTCCAACTCGATCATACGGGGTCGGCAGAATGGCAGCCAGCCGGCGAGCAGAAGCAGTGGAAATAGTGGTGAAGCTTCTTCTATCGTGTTCATTTGGTACTCCTTTCTCATCTCTAAACATTTTGTTTTCGCAGTTGCCTCCTTGTCTTCTTTTTTTCTATTCACTTGGCGGCGGCCATGGCGACGAAGCTCTTAATAATTATTTATTAAAGTTGATATTGCGGTTTACCATCTCGTGTTCAACTGTCTTGTTCAATGCCAGCTTATGCTAATATCTGGTTATGTATTCTTGTTCAGCACGAGAAAACAACGCGCGATAAAGGACAAACGGGAAAAGCAACTGTGACCCCTGATGAATGAACTACTGCCAGGAGAGTGCCCCTTTCATACGCAGCCCTCCCTTAAGCTCTCTTCCAACAACTACCCGACAATCTTATTACCAATCAACTTACAGAGAACCTTAATTCAAGATAACCAATATATCAGGAGCCGCCTTGTCATATGACGGGGATTCTAGATGAGCTCTCATGGTTAGACTTAGCCGCGGGAAGATATAGATGAAGCTGGTGGTAGTGACGGTCAAACCAGCGAGGTAAAGGGCATTCAGCTAATACAACGAAGACTCTAAATTTCTCGAGGTCGATGACTTGACAGCTCTTTGTGCGATAAACTACAATATTCTGCGCCAAGAGCAATCTTGATCAGACCGCTCCCCAACCAGTGACACTACTGCTAGAATCGATTCACCTGTAGGGCCCTGAACGAAGACGGCAAAGGACAGAAACTTTCGTAATACACGATGATCCCGAAGCCAAAATTTCTTGAAGAGGAGAAAAGGATGTAAGACAGCATCCAGCGGAGCTAGTTGAAGCAGCGACAAGTTGCGCCGGTTGTATTGGACTAAGCTCTATAGGGGTCATGGGCGTATATGTTTATCTGCAGGCTGAGTCGTCGTCATAGCGGCCAAGGAAGCTGACTTTGGCGCTGGAGATTTCGCATACTTTAACCTTTTCATGCACCCATTAGTTTCACCAACCATCATCTATATATATTGACAAATTATTCCTAGCGCAATTACTCTCGGTGGCTTAGCTCCCTGGTGGCTGGATATTGGGAATTGCCCGGGTGGCCGATTGCGGCATGTAGTCTGGAAAGATGTAATTCCGTTCGAGAAAGTCTCCTGGAAACTGCAAACTGCGAACCAGTTAGTTCTCTAGCCGCGGGAGCAACCAAATCCCAGAACAGTTCATGACTGACTAGGAGTTCTTGACCGGGACACTGAACCTTGTCGCAGTGGTGATCCTTGGAATGACTTGCTAAGATGAATTACTCTCCGTGTCATATATCAGCAATATCGACTGCATGATTACTTGGGGATCTAGAGTCTAACTATGCCAAGCTGAGAAGTGAAGGTGGTGCAACTAAGCTCCCGTAAGATTTTTAGCATCCACAACTATATGTACCAACATGGATGTTGCAAACTTGCAAAAAGAAATGACTGCAGGATTACCTTGAGCGGATGACACTAGGCCTAACAGACCACGATCAACAAAACCCGATTTGTAGTTCAAATGTCAGAGCACCGTATAATATATTGACTTAATCACGCCCAAATCGTCTTTCTCGTCGTAAATCTCTCTCTTGAGCCATAAAAATGCCAATGCCATCTTCAGTAGTCTCAGAATCATCGCGAACAAGTTTGTTGTCTCCCGGGGATCAACGAGTACGGCGCAGAAGATTCAAGGTATCCTATATGAATTGGAAAGCACCTCAATGTGATATCCCGCTGGCGAAACTCAGCAACACTTTTTTTTTAGATATCGCAAAGATTTCAAGCCTAACAGCCTTTAGGGCCATCAGAATGACAATGGATGGTAAGCCAAAGACGAGTCTAATACGACGAACTTGCCACTGTGGGCTTCAGTCTTCCAGACTGCCAGAACCCTATTTTATCGTATGGCGCGTCGTTGAGTCTGTTGGTCGTTGCTATGATATTGTTAAAAGCTGCAGCAGATGTGGAAATCAGACTTACCATGGATTCATTGCCTTGCTATTCATTTCTCCCTGCATTGCCGCCGTCAGACAAGCAAAGTTTGGGGATGTTTCCCGTCTTTCATGATGACAGAGTCCACAACGTCGGCAGCGACCGGATCCCTCTCCTGATGCCATTGTGACAAGCCGAATAGAAAGCCGATAAAGACACTGCGCGAACTCGATGCCAGGAGTGAGCAATAAAGGATGAGACGGCACTTAACCTTTGAACCAAACAGAAGCGTGTGATTCTGGCATGAAACACGTCCAGAATTTCTCTCTTTTGAACACAAGATCTATTTGAGATTATTTTACCGATCCTTTGTTCGATGCCTCGCCAGTTGGCAGCAGTTGTTCTTCATCTGTTAGCAGCTGCTAGGTGGCAGTATGTACATTTAGCCAAGACCACACAGTCACATACTGCCCATTGTCTTTTCTGCTTATTGCACTTCCCAACAATTCCAGGTTCAGGCTGTCATCCAAATCCATCACTAGAGCTCAGATAGCAAATTGGATGAGCGGCAAGGGCCACAGTCTCAGCGATGTCGCGATCGAGAAAGCACCCAATTAACTGCCTTTCTCTCCCTCAGTATCCATCAAGAGCCGGCCAAGAATCTTCTCTCTGCGTTTTTGCCAAATTATGGCATCTGGATAACGGAGGACAAAATGAAGGGCAAAGGAATGCACTTTCTGAGGTGAGCAATCATGCAAACGTTTTGATCTCTCGTTGCAAGCTAATCGTTTCCTGCAGCCATTTGGTCAACGATAAACTAAATGTTGCGCAACTTCCTTTCAACAAGGACTCTACTTGACCTACGACTGACGACAATTAGAATCCTGCAGTCTCAACGCCCATCTGTATCGCACTAGAAGTTTATTCCGCGACTCAGCAACTGGGACCTACAAGCTAGCTCAGCGAAGCCGAATTACTGCTAAAGGCTGTGACAACTCTGGTCTTGACCAATTCTCCTCTTTAAACAGATATTTGTCAATGTGCACGCCACATCATCAGATCTTTATATGACAACCGCGCAAGGAGAATACATGATTGCCTCACCAACTGTCCTTTCAATCTGGATGGAGGCTTACGGTCTCCCATTTCCCATCTCATCAATTACACATTCGCCGAAAACATTCGTTGCACATGCAGGCTGCACACGCGCGTTTGTTAGCTGCTGTTCCTTCTCGTCTTCGTCCAATATTAGGTTCAATAGCCGTACATGCAGGTATTTATTTTGATGAGCTTGTCTGTCATACCTCGACAGATGCTATTGTACCGCTCTTTGCAAGATACCTAAAATAACAGCGCATATACTCGTGGGGACTCTGTCTCACGTTAAGACCGGAACCGTTTGCGATGCGCGAAACCATCACCGATGCCCGACAAGCTCTGCTTAGTATATCTTTCATTCTCTCATGATCCGTCATGCACAACGACGATGGGACAATAAAGACGAAACCTCCGAGCAACGACGTCGACAATGGATGACCATTACTTCCTAGGCAATAGAGCAAAAAGTCCCAACTTCTCTCTCTTCCCAGCAACAACATCACCGACGACAAGCGACAGCAACATGCGAGTCTTCAATGACATGCAAGCCGAAATATAATGTTTATTCAAGCGTACACCAACAACAAGGACGATTTACCTCTCGAGGTCTATGTATTAATAGTAGTAAGTCCAAGATAAGCGGTCGGTAGAGCATAACTCTTGCGCATCAATCAGACCCTTTAACAGGGTAGTCATCCTAGCCATCGACCTGCCAAGGTAAAAAGCAGTTCAGCATCCCTCCAACATTTCTCGCCCTTCATGCTTAAATCAGGCCGTAAATGCCGAAGTAAAAGGAAATAATGGGAGACGAAATATGTCTACCTAATTGGTAGGATTCATCAGTATCGTTTAGACCTGAACTGCTTCGCTATTGAAGTTACGCTCTAAGCTCATCTTGTTCCCATGTTCAATCCAGCTTGATAACCAGTCCCGGCCAAACAACATCATCATTAGACAAAAAATAAATTACGGCGCATAGCAAGTCCACCCATATTCACCACCGCTGCACCCCGAGTAGGCGGCGCCATTAGAGTATGTAACTTGGCAACACTCGCTTACGTTGATACCTCCGTCAACGTTTCCGGTGTTTGGGTTATAACATTGCCAGTCATTGCAGCCGGAACCATCCGTAATGGCTTGCTCTGAGCCGTTGGAATATTGCTCTTGGCAACATGCCTGCATATTGAGACCGCCTAGAGTATTGTCTGCAACTGCGCCGGATAGCAGGGTGGCAGCAACAATAACGCTCAGGATACTAGAGGGAGCGAGCATGGTGGCTTTACGGACTTGTAGTTGCTTTATGATGGAGCTGTAAAGCGTCAGAAATAAAGTTATGAAAATCGTTAGGGATCTCTTACCGGACTAGCAATCGTAGAATGGGAAATTGAGAGCCGGTCAATGAGTAAAGAAGAACTTTGAGTGTAGAACTGGCGATGGGAAAACACCTACTTGTGAGGATTCTCATGGAATATTTATACACGACTATTTAGTTACTGGGCTCAATCTTGAGAAGCTTGTACTTTTCCCAATCAAGAAATGAAAGAAGAACTTTACTGAGATAGAAATGAATGAAAACACATGCTGCAGCCTATGTACGTTGATTGGATCAAGAACGCTCCGAAGGATCATCTTATACCGTATAATACTACTATAACCTAGAAATCTGAATCATACCACCAACTTCAGTAGGATTCGTTTACACTAAAAAGTTTATATAATCCAACCGGCATCTATACCCGCGACCAAGATCATACGGATAAAATGTTTGTAAATTGGAAACAACGCCATTGCATTGATGGATGCCGTGAGGCTGTCTGCGACCTTCCAGGGAGGCTGCCCCAGATAGAAAATTATGCGTAATATATCCTCTATTCGGCCTTATTCTACTTCATATCAGCTTATTTTCGAACAATTAATCTGTAAGTGTAATAGTACAATTATTTAAGGACTACATAGGTCCTTCGATTGCCTTGCGAGAATGAGGGGTGAGCGGTTCGTCGGCATTGTTTGTTAGTTCGCGGGCCATCGTCAAATGTATTTGTTGTGTTAATTCTTTTCCTCCGCTTCTCACGGCACAGTTTCTGCGTCAGATTCCGTGTACAACAGACTTTCTATTGGTTGGAATACGCAAAGGGGCTCAGGAGGAATGAAAGGAATGAGGGACTGTGAGGAGACAAGAAGTCCAATGGCGAGAAAAGTCGTAAAATGACCAGTTAGAAGTGACCCCTCGTCAGTGCATACTACGCACGCTAGCAATAATATCTCTAGGTTGCTTTCCATTTATAGTACAACTTCACACCTGTCTGAAGCGAGGAATTGATCTGCATATGCATTCACCCCACTAATGCGCGCCATAAACGGCGACCTCGCGGCGACATCACGACGCAATTCCCATCGAGACTACCGAGTCTACTCTAAGCCTTATGAACTATGGGAAATATCATCTTTGAGAGAATTGATCGTCAAGATCGGAGCACAAAACTTTCAGGACCGCAAGTCGGCAATGAAGTAATACCAAAAACTGCGCATTGCACTTGTAACAGAATCTGTCCATGTTTTATATAGGCATCTTTGTACATCATCGTTATTTAGATCTCTTAGCATCTCCAACTTTGCTTGACAAGCCCGACCAGCTCTGATCTCGGCCCGTCCTTGGCTCGAAACGACCTTTTCTGTTCCAGCACTCGGCTTAGAGCTTTAGTCTATACGCTAACGCACAGATGGGTTTCTAGGAAGGTTAGTACAGATTACATCTACACGTCTAATGCGGCTTAAATACGAGCAAGTTACGTTTAGTATTTCACGCATATATATGAAGTACCAAGGAGACTATTATATTACTAACCAAAGAACGAATCATCTTTAATTAATGGTTTTTATGGGTCATTTCTAGTTGGTGTGAAAAAGTCGTGTCCGAAGGCAATCGGCCTCTCGGCGAGAGGACGCCTCGGCAGGTATACAACAATCGCACGGCATTTCTCGATCCAATAACTGTTCGAAAGTCCAATGTATAATCTGGCAGCGATTACGACTCCGTCAAACGTTGCTAAATAGCATTCATAAGACTCATCAAAGGCTTTCAAGCAGTCTTACAAGTCATGTAGTATGCCTGTCTCTTTCTTCCTTTGTAGAAATATTCCTCTTCTAGAAGGATTGTCCGCTCAGTTAGACAGATTAGACAGTCCGACTCTCCAGATTATTTAACAGTTTCAGCAGATAAGTGGTTAAGGTTATTACCGCTTTTGGAGCAGCTCAACTTAGTGCAAGAGCTTGCTAGTCATGTTCCAGAGTCAATGTAAGAAATCCACCAGCAAGTTAGGTTTCTTGTGCAAATTACGTCACTGGTGGAGGAACAAAAGAGATAAATTATATTTCGTATAAATAATTGCATATGATCACTCTATTCTTGGCTTGTGATAGACCTTGGCCAGTTGACGCATTGACAAAAGTGATTACACTGCGTGTTTTGCTCCAGCTCTTTAATAGTGTATGTAATAGTAAAGCTGGTTACTGATAACTATAAAATTCTCCAATATTTTGCTCCCCATCTACTAAACAGCGATACTATCCATGGAAATTTCCGTCACCCAAATCTTCAGTCCGAAGCAATCATAAAAATGTGGCGGTATGGTCTAAATAGATAAATGACAGTGTTACGAATTATAAAAGTGAATTGGTAGTCGCGAAAGCTTTCCCAACTAAGCCATCAGGTAGTAGCTTCACGTCACCGAGCCTTTTCTCGCAGGTTTATATAGTCAGCATCCGCTATTGTTTTTCCACTTTAGTTTCCGTGAATTTGTTAACTGATTTTGTGTGTGCCTCTTAACTGACCGGATCATATTGCCCACTCCAGCTATTGGCAAATTCCCAAGTTAAGACTCAAGGAAAACTGACAAATACACCATTTATGGGGACTTGTGCAGCTATGATTCGCTGACAAGCTCCAGGGTTTATGGATATCGAATCATCACTTCGAAAAAGTCTCCGAGACAAGATATCAAAGTAAAAGATGCATGAAATTCGGTATATCGTTTCCATGGGTCTCGTGTAAGTGATGGATCATCCTATGATCTACGTAAGGGCCTCTCATAGGGATATGCCATATAATGACTAATTGAGCTTAGGGAGGGACGAAAACTCTATATATATATATGCGTATATATAGCCTCTCTAATTTTATCAGTCTAATCTTAACTATTCGGTCAATTTATCAATTTACCAAAGTCTTATATATCACATATATTACTCCCAAGTACCCACACCATGATTGATGATAATGAGACTTTTGATGGAACTTTTCCATTCAAGCCACACTTTTCAACAGCGGCGGGCTTCCGCATGCATTATGTTGATGAAGGGCAAGGACCAATAGTTTTATGCTTGCACGGAGAACCTACTCACTCTTATTTGTACCGAGATGTGATCCCAATATTAGCGAAAGATCACAGGGTCATTGTACCAGATTATATGGGCTTTGGCAAGAGCGAGACCCCAGACGTCGAATATACGGCGAAGAGACGCACAGGCAATTTGGAAATTCTCGTTCAAGAACTCAATTAACACGATATTACTCTCGTCGTGCACGACTGGGTTGGCCAGATTGGTGGAGCTTTGGCGCTTAGACAACCGCAGTTGATTCGCCGTATCGTCGTCATGAATACAACGCTATCAATGGGAGAATCTGCAGAAGATAAATGTTTCGAAGGAAATGGCAAAGAATCGGCTTGGTTTGGCTGGGCGGATCGAGCGTTTCTCGATGGCTCTTTTGAAGCAACATTGAGCAACGCTGGCGTTGCCATAGTTGATCTTATGAAGCTACTTCAAGGTTTTGAGCGAAAGGAAACCTCTGAAGCATTTTTCCGTGCCTATTACTTGCCTTTTGCAACACCAGAGGAATGTTGCGGTGTCATTTCTTTTCCGAAGAGCATCGTTACATGAAGTTTCAAGCCAGAAAAGGGAATCGCGGAAGCAATTGCGGCTGTAAAGCCCAAGCCTGTTATGATGATCTACGGCATGAAAGATAAGGTTCTGCTTGCAAAATACTTTATTCCAGTCTTCAAAGCTGCATTTCCCAACGCTCCCATTCATTACCTTGAGAATGCCAGCCACTTTTTGCTGGAAGACGCGCCAGAGGAGATTAGAGACCTAATTCTTTCCTTCATCAAGAACACATAGCAATAACATTGGATACGTATAAAATACATAAATTTAAAGCAGCACAGGCATCATGGAGTTTAATTAGGCATTGATATACGAGTAGCACCATGATTTGTGAACTAGGATCCACTAAGGAATCTTTACTCGCATCCCAAACTCCGTAAACAAAGCTGATAAACTCATTGTCCAAATAAAGAAATTGTTTTCAAATATACATTATAGTTAACTATAAAAGTATTACTTGCCGAGATTCTTTTTTCCAATGACCCATAATTTTAACCAAGCGAGCAGCCTTAACAATACAAAACAGCCCAACAAAAAGTGAGGGGCTAAACTTCATACAGAAGGTAATTAGTAGCTACGTGAAAGTAGCTGTATGAATAGTAATCCCTTTATGAGAGAATCCATTTTACGGACGAGGTTATCACTGTACGGATGTAAAACGAATGAGACCTTTACACCCGCTTCATATACAGTAATGTGCAATCGGCAGCTTATTACACCGACCGAATGATGATATATCGAATGGAAAAGTGTAAAGATTTTGGCTAAAGCAAGATGTTTTAGCCGGATTCGAATCAACTATTCTAAAGAAACTAATGATGCAATATAAAAAAGACTTGCCAAGCAATTTGTCGCTAGATAAAAAAGGCAATGAAAGAAAGAAGCTGTAGATTCACAAAAGGTCTCTAATTACAGTCACGAAATCATTGATCGCTATGCCAAATTGTTTGTTAATATTTTCCATTTTTGGAGGGTTTTACTCTAGACCAGATTACAAGTTGCTTTATATCGATTTTTTATATCTACTGTACCCCATACCCTTACCCAAGATCCATGCCTATTGCCCCGGCCGGTACTTTTCCAGAAGCAGTGACCTTAACCGAATGCTACGTATACGTATAACTCTGTAGGAAACCATCCGACGATGGCTCTGTTTAAATCTATCTTCCACCAATGAGCCCAGAATATTAATCGAAATTATCCAAGAATTACAATAATGGCTCTATTTATAGCTTAAATCCACAAATACGCGCAACTCACTAAGTTATATATATTCACGTCGTTGACCACTGAACTTCAAACTCGTAACAACCTCTTTAGAATTATCTTGACATATTCAATCAATCACTCCATTCAAAATGGTAAACACCACTGTGTTACTTAATGCACTGCTTATCACAGCTACTACTGTGTCTGCTATGTAAGTACATGATAGCTTTTGAACACGGGTTGGAATGGATTGCTAACTATTTATGTAGCGCTCCTTTGACAGCGTATCCCTTGGGCCGATTCTGCGATCTCAGCAGCCCCAGCACCGGAAGTGGGTCTACTGCATCTACTTTCACCTGGGATACCTTCACAGAAAACGAATGTTATTCATTCAACTCCAACATCTTATCTCTTCAGACTGGTACCATTGCTGAGGGCTGCAGTGCAACTTTCTACCGCGACAATTTTGATTGCACAGGTGATTCCTACGTTGTTGATGACGCCGACGGTGGCAACTGCTTTGGTCTTGGAGGAGATGTCTTCAGGAGCTTTAAATTCTTTGCCTGTGGTTCACAATAATGCATCTAGGATAATCTTGGAATATAGCTCAGCGTCCATCATATATCTTGTATGGCGTAATTGCGACGATAAACTACCTAACGTACATATGGAAGAATATATGAGCTTATAAGTTTCCGAACGATTTTCATAATTCTACCACGGTCTTAAAAATAGCCGGAAGAGAAGTTTTCCACAAGTATCTCTAACACTAGATATCTGTTGCGTAGAACTTTAGATAGAGGGAAGTGTCTGTTAAGGTGTTGCCGCAGATAGCGTGTGTAAATGTATCAATTATTCATTACGTTTAACATTATTTACATATCGAATAGTAATCGTCTTCCATGGACGCGTTCCAATTTCATAAAGGAACCTCTAACCGTATATAAAATGCTCTAAGACAACAAGATTGCCATGCCAAGAGTAAAGACACCAACGATGCCAATGGAAGCCGAAACAGAGCCAGCTCCGGAGCAAGTATCTGAGCGCTTGTAGCCGTTGCCGCCGCTTTTGCTGCTAACGGTGCATGAAGTGGTGGCAGCAGGGGCAGCGGATGTTGTGGTTGAAGATCCCGAAGTAACAAGTCGTCCTCCAAAAACTTCCTGTGGGTTCGACGCACTTTTTTCACTTTTCGCGGCCTTCTGGTATGCATCAAGCGTTTGGGATGAGTTGGCATTCACTACTCCGCTCATGCCACTGATGCAGTGGGAGAAGGTGTTTTGCGAACAGTAGAAGAAGATTGGATCGGTCGAGTTGACAGTGACTTGGAAAACTTGGTCCTGGTACAGGTGTTAGATGATAACTGATGTTTACTATACAGAACTTTGATACATACAGCTTCTCCACTGGAAACAGGCTGAAAACCGGAGAAGAATCCGCCAGTCTTGGCTGGCTGGCATGGATTCGCAAAGTCGCCCATTACAACGCTGTGGTTGATAGGGTGGAAGTGGAACTCGAGAATGTCGTGTACTTTTGCCGTTACACTGTCAGGCGTAAAGGTGAGACCATTTGCTCCAACATCGATTTTAATCGTCTCCGCACTTGCCTGCGAAGCAAGTGCGAGGACGGCGGCGTTAGTGAAAGTCGTAGCACGCATATCAGCTGTAAATGCAACAATGAAAGACAAAATTGCCAAAAATAAAATCTGGATGTTCTAATTCTAGTCGAATTTGAGAAGGTCCATATCAAGGAGATGTTTACATCTTAAATACTGGACTCTATCTCTCCACTCCGATAGCTTGGAATTCCAAATAACTGACGTGATAGGAGAGGCCGCCGTCCATGACCGCGTGAGCTGAGCCTGACACGGAATAACTCGAGGTTTCCAAGGAAAGACTCTCTTCCCGATCTGTTTACTAATACGCTTGTCATATCTTTGGCTTCATCCAACCACGCGGCGAGTGGACTATACTTTGCTGCTAGCAACTCCGCGAAAAGTCCATTATGATGATAGTGAGTGGGGTAGCATCCCGACCAAATGGAACAAAGGCTGGTGCACGTTGCTGATGCTATATTAAGCACCTGCTAGGCCACATCTGGCTGGGAAAGGGGTCATCTTGTTGTGGTGGGTTTGGGTCCTCGCGAAAAACTTCCGACCAAGCCAGTTCTGCCCGCTGAGTCGGAGTAAGAGATGCGCCGGCTTGTTGGGCAAACAGCGGGGTTGTCCACGGGGGCCTGAACGGCTTTCATCTCCCGAATGATCGATTTCAACGAATCCCTACAGCTCGTCAGCTCATATGCCCGTTTAGAATAGTAAATACTGCTGCCCGTTTATTGCCGTTTCTACGTATGTAATCGTCTGTCATACGCTAGCAGGCCATATCGCCCCGCATATGTAGTCATGGCGTGGACATTTCGGCTCCGTCTTGTCTCTGGGTCAACAATAGCTAGGGTTAATGTTCAACCTCTAATATACAGCATACCGCTCCGTTAATAACCTAGATTCCAATATTTTAGTCACTATATCATGGGCGCCTTTTCAAAAGCCACAACAAATATGTTGCGAAACTTAAGGTGATGTTCGTTTCAAGGTATGCTAAATGGTGGCTGAGACAAGCTTATTCATGTAGCCGCGAATAGATGCAGCTTAATTCAATGCAACTACAGCTAGAGAATAGTTTTAAATACAGCATAAGCGACACCGGAAAAAGGAAAAGAAATGCGAACGCGGGATAAGCATACAACCGAAAGAAGCTCCTCCGTCTTATTCGTATACGTATAGTCTGGATCTGTTCCATACCGCATGCGCTTTAGACTCTTACAACTAAGGTATAATCTCAGCCAACGCATTGCAGCGAGACGCTCTTACTAGTGTCGGCATTGCTGCCTCCATTCTCCAAGAGGGAAAAAGTGTAAGAACCCTTCTCTAATTCCCATTTGTTTGTCCGATCGAGAATCATCAAATATCGATCCACTTCCAATTCCAGCGAAATAGTCTTTTTCTCCCCGGCATCCAAATACACTCGTTGGAAAGCGACGAGTTGTTTTACAGGCTGTGTAATGATGGATACACGGCCCAATAAATAGATCTGGACGACGTAGCTGCCAGAAACGGTGCCAGTATTCTGGACAGTCACGGAGAAGTCGATCCAATCACCGCCACCAAACGTCTGGCTATTAGTTCGTGTATCAACACTGGATCTTTTTGAGTTGGTGCTTCTTATTGATGCAGTCGGAGAAGAAGTTGAAAAGGTAGTATACGACAAGCCGTGTCCAAATGGATACACCGGATCAGACGGAATGTCCAAATACTGCGCTGCCCGAGCTGAAGGCTTGTAATTGTAGTATGCTGGAAGCTGGCCCACCGAGTAAGGTATCGTGATTGGCACGCGTCCGCCTGGATTAAACGCACCAAAGATTACATCTGCAATTGCTTGCCCCCCAGCTTGCCCTCCGAAATGAGTATCCAGCACTGCGGCAGATTGTTGATAATGATCTGGTATGGCAAATGGCCTTCCACCTTCAAGGACAAGCACTACTGGCTTACCAAGGGCATAAATCTTCCTGGCCAAGGCCTCCTGGCTTGGTGCGAGATCCAAAGTTCCACGATCGCCGCCTTCGCCATCACTATTCCAAGCAGCTCCCACGGCGAGGACAATAACATCGCTATCTTGTGCAATTGCCACAGCTTGGTCGAGCGCATCGCCGTTTGGCGACACCAGATTCCACCAGAAAATGAGCTGTGAGTTAACAGAATTGACATTGGCTGTTTTTTTGAAGTTATTCCACGATTGCAGTTCAATTTTCACGTTGTGTTTGGCGCCTTTTTTAAATGTAAACTCTACGCCATCCTGGGGTGGTATAGAATTATTTTGCTGTATCCACCCATAGCCTTCGATATTTCCCAAGACATTGCCGTCGGGGCCGTAGCCCTTGGACGCAATAAACTTGCCATCAACATAGAGCTTTGATGTACTGTTCGGCCCAATCGCAACGCCAATCCATCCATTGACGTCTAAATCCGTCGGGGATTCAAATTGGCCTTCCCAGATGGCGCTAAAGTTATTTGAAGAAAGGCCTTGCGGGGGATATAATCCCCAATCCTGGGCGGGAACCTCTAATCTTGATGCCTTGGGGGATGTAAAGTTGGTCTCGGCGTAGTACGTTGCCTTCAAACCTCCAGCCGTGCCGTCAGGGGCAGAAAGGAGATACCCTGGGACCACATATTGGTTATTGTATTCCCAGCTATTGGTACCCCAGCTAGATTTAAGCTGTCCACCTGAGCTACTGTTCTTCAAATGGCTTAGCATGCCCTGGCGAAGAGTGTGTGCATACTTAGCAGGGTACTGTCCAAGAGCGCCAGAGTAATCTCCCAAATTAATTGTATCGGCAAAAGGCCCGATCAGTGCAACCTTGGATTTTGATGGATCCAACGGAAGTGTACTATTGTCATTCTTAAGCAGTATTATGCTCTTATGTGCAGCTTCCAACGCAACGTCTTGGTGACTGGCAACAATAGCAAGCGGATCAATATTATCGGGAATGTAAGGATTGTTAAATAGGCCGAGATCCCACTTGACGCCCAAAATCTGTCGAACATGCGATTGAAGAGTCTTGAGTGGCACAGATCCATTGGCAACAAGGTCTTTCGTGGTCTATCTGTGTTTAGTAAAATTGCCAACACATATTTTTACAATTACTTACAGTTAAATAGGAATCGAGATCCCAGTCATAAAAGTCAATCATACCACCAGCATTAAACCATTGTTGCATGGCGTCTGCTTGAGAGCTTGCCACTTTGTGTTCTGTGAGAAGGTTTCTCATGCAAGTATCATCTGCTAGAGTAAATCCATCAAAACCCCAATCTTCTAGAGCCTGGTACAGCATAGGGGAAACAGCAGCGGGTATTCCATCAATTTCATGATATGCCCTGTTTCAGTTAGCTACATTCGCGAGATAGGATGCGGTCTTACATCATTACTCCTCTCGCCCCCCCTTTGTCGAAATTTGCTTTAAACGGGATAAAAAGATCTTGCATAATCTGTCGAGTTCCAAGCCCCGTGAATGGAGCAGTGTTGTGGCCCGCTTGGGCAGCACCGTGGGCGGCAAAGTGCTGACTTATTAGCTTGACACACAGCTATAATAGGACTGAAAATCACCTTCATAATAGGAAAAACCGCGTCTTCTGACCACGTTTTATTCTTGGACAGACCAGAAGAGTAGGCAACCCCAATATGCGATGTGAGAACTTTATCTTCGCCAAAAGTTTCTATAGCATGTTAGTAAAATAAAGACTCCTGGTCGGCGTTGTTACACACCTTGAACCCTTCCCCATCGAGGCTCTTGGGCAAGATCAAGAACTGGCGAAAAGCAGCCATGTATTCCGATAGACCGCGCTTCTGTCCCTATGGCCCGACCAACGCGATATACAATATCCGTATCGAACGAAGCAGCCATTGCAATATTCTGAGGAAATAAAGATTGCTTAAACGATCCAACACCGTGGAGGCACTCTTCAACGAGCATTAAAGGAATTTGAACATGGGACTTTTCCAATTGAAGCTTTTGCACCGCGTTGAAATAGGATTTGTTCATAGGATACCTACCCACATGTAAGACACGGCAATAGCATTGCGGTCAAAGTATACTAACCAATCATGCATTACACCAATGGGAGATTTCGGGCTGAGGTGCATTGTTTGGTCTGTCATATGTCAGTTGTCTTTTTACATAGAGATCCTTTTACCAATTACCGTAGAGTTCATTATGTGAATCTTTTCCAACAATATCACCAGCGAACATCAGATGCAGCTGCAAGACTACATAGTATCAGCCATTTAGAATGCTTGAAGTTTTGTTTTCCGCATGAGTGTAATATCTACCCAAGTCGCTCACAGACATCTTTGAGATCAAAGAGTCAATAAATTGGTCTTTATTGGGAGCACTGTTGATGGTTCTATCATTACTCCTGTCGGCCAGCCGATCAAATCTAGCGTCAATCTGAGAGGCGATCGATATGGCAAAAAATGAGGCAGTTTTCCAATGCTTGAATCGCATATTGAAATAGCTGCTGCATTTATTTTAAAAAAAGACTCTCAGAATTATGTATAAAACATATACTTTGTATTCTTGAAGCTCTCTACGGAATGTCTAGGCTACATATGTTGCGTCGCAATTGACGCCGCTCTACAGTAAAACGAGGGGAGATCGACAATCAGATCGATGCGGGGGGGAATCCGATCGGGTATTTGGCTAAATGAAAGGACATCTTTGGTTTGATACTACCTCGCATAGACATATATTACCCTACGGATCATTTTTTTGTCAAGTCAGGTGCCGTGTATCATCTCCACCTAATTCGATGAGCCGACTGTAAACAAGAATAGTTCAAAGTCGGCCAAAGATAAACACAAACATACTAGTTGCATCAGATCATCACCTGATATATAGAGTAAATATTAGCCTGAAGACAGTAGCGCCAATTCCTTTACCGTTACCTGTTGTCTGTGTTTAAATATGTAAGCAATAGTAGGAAAATACGCGGTTAAAAATCCGAAGGATATGTGTTTTACTCAGTAAGAGTGTTCAATATTATTATCCTTGGCATACGCGCCGTGCTGCCATTTACATCCCAATGAAAATTTGTCTCAATTACTACATTGTAGTAACACCTCTTTCTTTCCAATCGCCAGGGGCTACAACAAATCAAGAGAACTACCGTGGTCGTAGTAGGGTAGTAGATTATGCAGGCACTAGCAGTTGTTTATTAACAGCGCCGACTTTACTCACAACACGCCACTCTAGATAATTTGCGTGAGTATCATATTTGGGCATTAATCAATATTCTCAAATTCTTGGTGAGCGACGAAAGAAGTAAACTTTTTTCGTGAGTATGTGCGCCTGTCCGATGTTTTTGGCTTTTGTGTCTATACTCTACATATGTATATTTGATCCTAGCTCTAGGTCAACATTAAATAATCTATTTTAGAGAAGTCATATCTGTTTATACAATACCAATAAGTATATATAACACATTTATTTCAGCCAACTGTTCCTTTTATTCACGAGTGTTCTTTTTTTCGGCATACTATGCCTGTTTCAAGATCGGTATGTCGGTTATGTTTATAGAGCCAGAATAGCAAAGTTTGAGTAACTACATGTAGCATCTGGCAGATGTTTGGGCTTGCGGCCCGAAGATGTCAGTCCGCCATGAACAGCCACTGTCAGAAGATTATTTCTGTATTTCTAGGTCTGGACGGCGGCGCGTAGGCGTACCTAGCCTCTAATTCGGATTGATCATAGCGCTGGCAGTCAGTTGTTTGAAGAAGGCATCAGGACGCAAATCAAAATATACAGATTTACAAGCAGTACTAGCTATGGCGTAAGTTAAATTACCGCCGCCATAAGCGCTATAGATGGAAAATGATGGGTAAGCCCAAATGTAAGAGAGAGAAACCAGTCTGGTCTAGCCCAGCGTCTTACCACTTCAGCTGGGCCGAGAGCAGCTGGGCGACATACTGACTTCAGGGGCTCCCGATGCAGATCTCTTACAAAACACAAGCATGTTAGAACCATTTGTGTAAGCTTCTTTCCATTAGGCGTAAGTTGAGCGCTTTGATAGCATTTGACACCCAGCTGATTCTTGTGTCCGGCACGTCACAGTCTAATAGCGGGACCCTTTCTGCTCCGGGACACTACCTTCCTAACTAGGCAATTGGCGCTGTATGAATTCCGCCAATTGAAGGTGGGCCCCGGAATCGAGAGCAGTTCGTGATCCAGCTGCGACGGTCTTACAGTTTCATTTTTGGGTGTAAGAGATGTCAAAACACCAATTCCAGCAAGACATCAAAGTCCGTGCTCACAGATTACCACACAGCCAGAAAATATGAGATCGGTCATGGACCATCCTTAATGGCAAAGTTCAGGCGAAAGATGGTACAGAAACCAAGATAGTATCATAGCGGCACCTATTTCGATTGTGTAGTTTTTCCGTGATCGTCACTCAGGACCGGCTGTAGGACCGAATTCATTCACATGGCTCACCTAATCATTTTGTTCTCTACAGAAGAATAGCTCGTGTTGTGAACGCGACGAGATTATTTTGCGTTTCATTCAGACAAAGCGGCTGCCTTTTAGCGTAAGTTTCATGCTCGTACTAGCAAAGATCGTCGTCTCAAACTGTTATGCATGTAAAATCCGTCTCATAGAGCATCTCAAGATCTGCATTGTGACCCTCTAATTATCATGGGAAAGTTGAAAGAGTCTGAAAATTTGAATGGCACCTGCCGAGTAACGTTAAGTCGTTCATAGATGAGCTCCGATGCCGAGACAGGACGAGCTCGATGAAATCTTTATATAATATCGTAAATATACCATCAATTAGTTTCCATGCTATTGTTTTGTTAAGCCGTCATTGGTACATACTTCACTCTTTTCTCTTGACACTCTTTGAAAAGCATTTTAAACTGTATATATAAGTGCTTCTTTCACCCTTTGTGTATATATCTCTACAACATGTTTTTTCGCAACGCCGTCGCTGTAACAAGCCTTTTGGCTGCACTTTCTAGTGCCCAACCCTCCGGTCCCGAATTGGCCGTGTACTGGGGTGCTGAAGATGATAGCACGACTCTCAGCGACGTGTGTTCAGACAATTCCTATGGCATTGTGAATCTTGCCTTCCTCGACACTTTCTTTGCTGCAGGAGGTTTTCCTCAACTCAGCATGAGCGGGTTGGATGGCCCATCTCAAGCTCAGAAAAGCGCTGGTGCCACTGGTCTCAAGGATGGTAGCAGCCTTGTGGATGCTATCAAGCAGTGCCAGTCGGCCGGGAAGCTGGTTCTTCTTAGCCTTGGTGGCGCTGGCGCTGATGTCACTCTCCAATCAGACTCTGATGGGGAAAAAATCGCTGATACGCTTTGGAATCTGTTCGGTGGTGGTACTGATAACCAAGAGCTGCGCCCCTTTGGAGATATCAAGCTTGACGGCTTCGACCTGGGTGAGTAACATTAATGCAATAATACAATCAATTGTGACTAATTCTATATAGACAATGAATCCGGCAACCCCACGGGTTACCTAGCTATGGTAAAGCGTTTCAAGTCCAACTTCCAGTCAGACACAAGCAAAACCTACTTCCTCACTGCGGCTCCCCAATGCCCTTTCCCCGATGCCTCGCAGCCCCAAGATGTTTGCAGTGAATTGGACTTTGTCTGGGTCCAGTTTTACAATAACGGCGATTGCAACATTGCGCAATCTGATTTCCTAAATTCCGTCCAGACATGGAGCAGCGGTATTGGCAACGCCAAGCTGTATATAGGTGCTTTGGCTAGTGGCTCTGATGGTGATCAGGGCTTCGCTGACGCTAATACGCTATTGGGTGCTATTCAGGATGTAAAGAACATGAATCTCTCCAATTACGGCGGTGCCATGCTTTGGGAAGCCCAGCTGGCGGTTCAAAACGACAACTTTCAGCAGAAAATTGCTCCCGGTCTATAAGCAATGTGCAATACTAAGGATCTTACGTACATCACAGCGGGCTAGTGATGGAATATTGTATTATATGTATATTGCAAAATATATAAACAATGACTGATTGTATATACGCATTTTCTTGCCAAAACTAACATACTGACTCATCTATGCCATATAACTACCTGCTAATTTTCTTTTCAAGATCTCGTTAAAGAACATGTATATATATCAACATCTTTAACCAGCCAGTCTTAAACGGATATCCATGCGTGTTCTGCCTCAAGCTTCTGCATAACCCACTTCAAAGGCCTTTTTCGGGACTAGTCCAATACGAAATACATAGCAGCCCCCTGTGATCACACGAGCTTGTCTAGCCTTCAGATGAGACAGGCGATTACTATTCAGTGAGGCTTAGCCCATCGACCTTTAAACTCTTCTCAACTCTATGCCACCTACCCCGATTGAAGAAATTCCAACTCTTCAATATCTTTGTAGGGTACGTGGACTAGCGCCCAATACCTCTCAGCTGCCAAAGGCCCTCTTTCAGACCCTCAAGTGTAGACCAAGAGAAGCCAAAGGGAAAAGTCCGCCCCTCTATTTCCTTTTGGGTAACCCCCGCTTCACTCGTTGTGACTCAATCTCATTGGATAATCACAGACCTATATCGGTTGTCATGCTAGGCTTTATCAAGTCACTGGTACGAAAGGAAGAACGCCGGTGGTGCGGTGTCTGTCTCTTCGAGCTCAATCCGACGGCTAAACCACTCCCGTCGGACGTAGGTGAGCGATGGGAGTACGCATTTGCGGAGTGTGACTCTCGCGAGTTTAGTTTTGCGGATCTAGTCAATTCCTCTAAGCGTGGATGCGACCGATGCACAACTCTCCTCTTAGCGTTTGAGACGTTGGTCGGGGAATTCAAGGAGGCCACATGGAATCCTAACCTAAACTCGCCCGGAAGCCCATTCTTAGAAATCACCAAGGCCGATGGCACAAAACAGAATTTGGAGCTCTGCTGCAACGACACGTCATTGGATAAGCCAGTACTATTTGCAGACGAGCCGTGTCTACAGCCTGCTTTATGCAGAGGCTACAAACTCCCACGCTCAACAGGAGGCGATAAATCTCTCAGCCAGGCGGCAGTTTGGCTAGCCGAGTGTCGAAATTCTCACGACCAATGCCGAGCCTATGATGCAGCATTTGTGCCAAGCCGACTTCTCTACTTGGGGACAAAGCAAACTAACACCATCGAACTGGTCGATAATTTGGAGCATGCTGTGCCATATGCCGCCTTGAGTCACAGATGGACACAGGAAACGCCAACAAAGAGTCTCCTGACAACTAATCTGCAGGATCGAAAGCAGCATGGCATGCCTATGGCAAGCCTACCTGAGATGATGCAGGATGCCGTTTCTGTGCTGCGCCGACTAGGAATCGAGTATGTATGGATCGACTGTTTATGCATAGTGCAAGATGATAAAGAGGATTGGAAAAAAGAGGCTGCTTTGATGGCATCTATCTATTCCTATGCTGAACTCACAATCGCGGCATCCTGGTGCGACAAGGTCGGGCAGCGCCTCTTCAGAGACCACAGCGCGCCCCACGAATCAGCGGTAGATGTTGCTAAGATTGGTGGGCAATCCATCTTTATCCGCCGTAGGAAGCCTCATTTCAACTGGTCGGGCACCGAGTCAGATATGTTCGGCTATACGATGACGGAAAATCCAGACATAGAATGGCCGACTTTGACCCGAGGCTGGGTATATCAAGAACAACTACTTTCGCGCCGAATGCTTCATTTCACGCGAAATGAGCTAATTTGGGAGTGTCTCGAGGCAACCCAGTGCGAGTGTGGGTGGTTTGATAATAACAATGTCCGCCAACAAGGGACTGAAGAGTCCTATAAACGAGCTGCCGGCGACAAGACGTGGGCTGAGGTAATCAAAGAATACGCCAAACGCCCTCTTACTGTTGCTACAGATAGGCTACCGGCTCTAGGGGGTATTGCCAAGACAACCGCGGTGGAAAAGGGATATGATACAGAGGAGTACCTGTGCGGGCTTTGGGAAAAGGAGCTTGAAAGCACCTTTTTCTGGTATCTCACCGAGCCTCCCTGTGGTCAGCGGCCCAACTCCCAGATCCCAACATGGTCATGGGCCTCTGTGGATGGAGATAAAGATTGTTGGCAGGTTTCTATAGAGGGTATCGAGTTTTTGGGAAGTGACGTGAAATATGCCTCCGGCAGTAACCCGTTCTTGGGCGACGTGGTAAGCGGAACATTGTCACTCGCCGGACAAGTAGTTTCCGGAACCATTTATCACGGCCAGGATTGGACTAGTACCCTGGAAACACTGCGCGATGCCACTGGCTCTTCTCTTCTGCTCACTAGCGAGAGAGGCACAGAAGAGTATGGATTGCAGATTGGCGGGCAATTTGCAACATTCAATCCAGACTACAGATTGGATTTACCAGGAAATGATTTCATCTGTTCTGGTTCGCAAGTCCTTTGCTTGCTCTTTGGACGTACGACTTCAGGCGAGTGGGATCCTGATTCAGGCGAAGGAACTGAGACCGTTAGAGCGAATCTTCTCGTGTTACGCCGTACGAGCGAAGAGCCTCCTCGATACGAGAGGATAGGAGTGAATGAGAGCTGTATTGAACTGGACTCATTTCTTAGCCAGTCTGAAAGGCGTCAGCTGACTTTGGTATAATACCCAAACGGGTATATGCAGTGCACACACCTATGTATTAATAGCCTACTCCCATTAGTTTCGCACGTGGCCGCCGGCTACTGGGCAATATTATTCAAGCCATGACAGTTGCAGTCACTTCATGTTTCGGGTAGAGATACAACTCATGCATCAACTCTCTAAAACGGAAAGGATTTAGGCACCGCTCTTGTCGCTATAAAAAGACGATTCATGCTGCTATTGCCAGGCAAATAGCGGAACGAACTTGTGAAACTACCAGAGTCGACGATGATAGTGAGACAGCATGAAGAACAGTGGCCGGCGGGCACCGATGCTTAAAATAATAGCCAATCCGTACCGCCTATGCTAGAATTTCTGGTACTAGTATATAGTAGAATGCACAAGTCGACGGTCATCAAAGTTCTATACCGATTGCAGAAGTCGGTGAGAAAGCACCTCCCAATGACTAAAAGTAAGTGCATTTGCTTCATTTGTACATAGCCATTCAAATATTAGAATTGCAATTACTCCAAGTCGTTATTATCTAATCGATCTCATTCGGTGAAAGCGATGTGGAAAGGAGGGCAACCTCTGCGAAGGATCAGGCTTTTTGGCATTTCGCCTTGGCTGAGCGATAGATTCCCTCAGCGTTGTTTGGGCCTACATCCTTCATCCTTCGCCATGATCTTTTTATCCCTCTGTAGCACAATAATCCTGATTTCAGGTCTCACTGTCCGTAAGCTATTTCAACACTAATACTTCATATGGCCAAAGATAATTGCCCAGTCGCACAAAGCTTCTCCGGATTACAATCATTCCCGGGGCATGCCGCCAGCATTACACGGTAGTACTAGCTATGTTTCTTAGCCCCCAAAGCGGGTAAAAAAATTCTAACGCATGGTTCAATGTTTATGTTCGGGTCCCCTTGCATGAAACGAAACGAAACTTTTAAGCTCCAGCCACTCAGCACTTACACATTGTGCTTCCCCAAGTTAACAAGCCAGCAGGACTTTGGAGGCCAGAAGAATCCTACATGTGCAAACTGCGAAGAGCAGCAGTTTGAAAACAAGACAGCGTGACGTCAATGAGGCATACACGAGAGACACCAAAGTGAAGGCATTACAAAATTTTATCGCGCATATGACGCTGTTTGCTGTGTCGTGAGGATTCGATTGAGTAATTGTGCTACCCATTGATCAGAGTTGGGCTGCTACCCAAAGCCACGTTCTTTAACCTCATAAGTCTAATGATAGAATGCTTTGTAAAGAGGCGCCACATGCTAAATCAACAAGGTACATGTACTGTAATGTAATGTAATGCAATTACACGTAGCTTAGCTTTGCTCGTAAGCCTGGCGCTACTGTGCGCTTGGTTTGCTTAAGCTCCTCTGCCAAATAGTAATCATGGATTTCATGCCTATTGTGCAGTGTTCTAGGGCAGCTCTATTCATAGGCATGAGTCCGGATCTCTTAGTAACGGCAAGCTATCCTATTAATAGGGCTATTAATAGGAGCCAAAGCTGCAAAGGTGATGGGGCTGACATTTGCTAGCTTATTTTTACATACGGAACTGGCTTGAACCGGTGGCGGCGCAGACCTAAGCTAGTGCCCTTATAGTGCTGACGGCTTAGACCCAACAAGTTGGTTGTCAACTAAGGCTGAGAGCTACCCAATCACGCATTTTCTAAGGAAGACTGGAGGCTCGGAATATGGCGAAGCTAGTGCTGGGGCGGGCTGATATGGTAATGCCAAAGATGAGAATTGACTGCGAAATATTGCACTTTGCTCGGTTGGGTTACCAGCCGAGAGGCTGTACTACTGCAGATGTAGTCATCACCACTATGTTAGTTCAAATATGAAGTTCGGACTTTTGAGTGAAAGCATGTATAAATAAGAGCCTCTGATCTCACTGTAATATCCATCCTCATCATCTTCATCACAAGCAATAACAAGCAAGCAAACAACAGCTTCTACTGCATTCTCGCATCAACTTCTTCTCTCAACACCTCTACTCTCAACCAAACATCAAAATGTTCGCTTCCAAGGCCTTTGCCCTCTTCGCCGCTGTAATTGCCAGCGTTTCTGCTGCTCCATCTGGCACTCCTACTACTGGAAACAACTTGGCCAGCCGCACAGGATGGACCGGCGTCACCCACTCCGTGGTTGTTGGACGCGGTGGTCTTCACTTCGATCCCGAGAACGTTGTAGCTGAAATTGGCGACACCATCGAGTGGCACTTTACCGCTGCCAACCACTCCGTCGCTCAGTCTGACTTTGCTCATCCCTGCCAGCCTCTCGCCGACGGCACCAGCTTCTTTGCCGGCTTCAACTTTGTCACTTCCCAGGGCCAGAACCCCAACGTCTACCAGATCACCGTTATTGACGACAAACCCATCTGGTACTACTGCCCCCAGACCAAGGGCAACCACTGCCAAATGGGCATGGTCGGAGTTATCAACCAGAACTTCAACTCCCAGAACACTCTCTCAAACCAGAAGGTCATTGCTGCTGGCACTGGTGTCTCTAAAGTGGGCGTTGTCCAAGGAGGCAAGAATGGAGGCTTTACTCGCGCAAACCCGAACCCTAACAGCGGTTTCTAAGCGGTTTTCCCTTTTTTTCTTAATACCATCCTTTATAGCATAGCATTTCCTTTTCTCGGCATGGCGGAGCACAATTTGGACTCGGAATATGGCGGGTTTTGGGTAGCGACGAAGATATCACGGTGAATTATATAGACTAGACTTTCCCTAATGAAAATTATACTCGTTCAAGAAACTATAGAATGGCTCGTTTCCATGTGGTTGTGATTCATTGCAGCTGTTGAAGATGAATGGGGCGAAGCCATAGTGGCCGAAAGATGTAACTCTGCACTAGCCAAAGAAGGGTGGAAATTTTAGCTGCATCAAAGTTACGGCAATAAGTCTTGAATGCTATCTTGGTCACTACCTATTATTGTGCCTGTCTCATATATTTAATGCCTGCTACTACTTACAATTGAAGTCGACATATTCCATCCAGTCTATACGTATCTAGATTATCACGTGACACCACTACGCGCACTTACATGTAGTCTTTCTTCTCCCTCTGCTCTGTTACAGTTAGTTCTTCGTTCTTCTTCATCATCACCACTTTTTCTGTTCCCAAGTCACATTTGCTTGTTTGCATTCGAGCCCAGTGTCTTTGGTAACCTAGATTTTTCTCCTTGTTCATTTCGTCTTTCGTTCGTAATCCCATCGTAATCCCTCGCATAGATAGTTCATATTCAGCAGTCAAGGAATGCATATTTGCAAGAAGTAGTTTCCCTCTCATCAGACTACTCGCTAAACTTGAACCGGAGATACACGCCACCATTTCTTTAATTATGACGGAGTGACTTCAAACATGCTTACAAAAATGATCAGAATGGTTTGAATGCAGCATTATATAAGATCTATGCTACATGTATCTCTTCTAGATCAAATCATGACAAGAGTATTATATAAATATCAGCCAACTCCAAGCTCTCAGTAATTCTGACACTTGGCATTCGTCAAAATTGGTCCGTGTTATTAGCAGTCCTCGAATCACACACTTCCTTAATCGCTAACAGTCGGCTGATATGAGTTGTTTGGCAGTCTAACCACAGACATAGCGCTTTACAACGTCGTGGGTAGATCCCTTGCAATTAATAGTCTTCTTTTTCACAGGTGCGCAATTGCCATATAAAGAATTGTCTTTAACACGTCGGAGTCGCTTTGGGTTTTGAGCATAAGGGGTACCGGGGTCGGTGCAGCCGACAAGATAATAGTCGGTACCGTCGAGTTTGAAGTTACGATTGCACTCTTTTCCGCTTTCCGGGGCAATTTCGACATCATCGACGCAAGGGCTCACCCCTTCAATCCAGGCGACATTGAAATGAGTGCCGCCTTCCCTGATCTGATTTCCGATGGCGATGGCGCCTTGTGCCACGGGAAGGACTGTGACTGAGAGGCAGAGGATGGCTTGCGCAATCGAGCTTGTCAAACGCATTTTGATAGAATAATCGTTTGTTCTGCGAAATTTTGCTTGTCAAGTCAAGAGTAGAAGGTTGTTATTCGTAATTTCCGAGTACTGCGAAGCGAAAACCCTGCCCTTTAAATACATGTGCCCAGCTCTCCTTTGCAACTGCCTGTGCACAGGCAAGTCTCAGGATCTGCCTCGGCTGTTGAAATATTTACAAAAGGCGGCGCTGATCAGCCTGCCGTCTCCTCATCTGAGGCTATATTGCAACAATCCTCGCCTCCAGTGGGACGATGCTGCTCTTTCTGATTCGTGTATGCATACAGTGTCTGAGCTCCACCGCGGGCCGGATTTCGTCTAAATAAAACCTCAGATCCTCTGGATCCTTCGGAAAACATTGAAATAGAGTTTTAAGGTTACATTTATTTTATTTCTATACCTAAACTTACTTCTTCTGATCTACGGCTCATCGGTGTAGCGCTCCATTAACCCAGAACGGGAGTGAGTGTCCGATATGCATATCTGACCTTGCAGACCAATCCTGGAGGATCTCTTCTATTTAAAAGATCGGCAAGAAACGGAACGGCTTCTCTCACAATTAACATTATTGAAGCTAATCGCCACTTAATCTCTGTCACTTGCAGCTGATCTTATTCCGATATGGAGAAAGTACAGAACTTTGGCTGCTCTTCCGTGCTACATTCAAGCTTGGCATCAGCAAGGTCTTGGGTTGCCAGTTTAGGTAGCACGCGGCGACGTGCCTAAAATGAAATCTGTATTATCTTTTCATTTCCTTCATTACATTATAATCGTGGAGCCTACATCACCGCGATTGTCTTTCTTGCACTGTCTTACTGTTTGCCACCAGCAACTGCTTGGCCACGGCTATGGAGCACTTGGCCTCCCCTTTGCCAATACATGAAGCTTCAGTCCATATCTCATGGAATGCCCTACTAAACGAATCATTCTTGCAGAAATAAATTTTTGAAAATGACCATAGATACCTTTCGGTAACATCCGAGTCCCTGTTATATAATGGCCCATGGATATATCTCATCGTAGACTGAGCCCTTGGAACTTGGGGAGATATTTCGTACTTGATCCTACACAAGACCAAAGCGGTCGAAACAGCCTTTTCTTCTTTTCTTTTTTTCTTTTCTATGTTTGGACTTTTTGGACTTTTGCCTGAACATATGTGTTTGTGCACTCAGTTATGCCCTCTGTCTGATGCCAGTTGAGACCCTGACAGCTGCAACAAGCCAGCCGCTGGAAGCCTCTGTGGTGGTGCAACTGCAGCGACATCAGGTCATTATAGCATAGACCCATATTGACTATGACCATGACTAATATGTACTAGCTATTTTCATCACAGCAGTGTCAGCATAATTCACGTGACCTTTCTCCATACCACTACCTATATTTAGCCTCCTCTTGCTTAGCGTCATCGTTAGGCTCTCCGCTTCAGCGGTCCGCGCCCATTCACGCCATGGCTGCCACCAATATCAATGTCAACACATCGCAGGCTCGACACATCGACCCAGAAGAAGACGGCAGTTCGACACAGCCTGTCACTTCGCGTTAGTTAGTGAAATAGTTCATTCGTTACTCCTCTAGGTTGCAGGCGCCTACGTGGATAGCAGTCCCGCTCGACTCGATGATGCTCCCCGAGACTGCCCTTGGGTGGCAAGATCTTCGGATCTTGAGGCCGCCGATAAGAGGAATAGCTTATTAAATTAGGCGTTGGGCGACGGAAAATGGCCTCGTGTCATTCTTGCGTGACCCCGTTCTCTTGTCGGTCCCCGTCTGCCTTTGCTCTTCTTGGGCGGCTGTCATCCTGTCCAGAGCGGATGGACTTTCTACTACACCTAACAGCATTGTCCTTCATTCCACATGATGGACCGATCAGGTTCCCGCCTCTCGATTAGACGTCCGGAATGCTAATGCTGCGTAGTTCCGAGCCCGAACAGAATAACCCTGAGCAGCTTGAAGAGCCCAAACAGATTCACGTCTCTTGTGACAAGACTGATATAACCTGGAAAGATGGCAGCGGTCGGGCACAGAGTATTGATAATATACCTTTCAAAGTCGACATAGACACCCTAATCTCCAAAACCATTTTTAGACTCTCTTGTCGGGTCTGGATCAAGGGCAAAGGCAAAAATAGGGCCCAGCTTAAGGGCCGTAAGAGTCAAGCAGGCGATAAGCAGTCCGTCTATTTGTTTATACACCCAGAGAATATTCAGAACATCAAACTAGGAGACGACGACGATGTACCATCACTGCATTTCTCCATGAATCAGGGTCATTCTCGCCTTGTTATCCCCAGCGATTGCATCTTAGGCTGCAAGAAATCGGTTCACGCTCGATTGCATTCAATGAGGGCGCTAGCCGAGACAGGCGATTTTACGATACATTTCAGGAATGATCAAATTAACGCGCCACCACTTACAGCAAATCGCATCAGTATTCTCGGCTACCAACATCAATCGTCCAGAAACAGATGACAGACGCACCGACCTCCGAACATTATATAATGGTATAAGAAGCCATGTTTTCGACGCAGGTGCGACCCTTGTAGATAAAGCATTGCTGGAGGACACATCAGCACCCCCTCCAATTGACTGTAAGCATTCTCTTGGATCGCTTATGGGGCTATCATCTGACTTAAACTAATTCAGTTCTAGATGAGCCTGGCCGCGAACACAAACCTCAATCGTAAGCGCAAACGCGAGCGTGAACGTGAACGCGAATGTTCCGACGCTGATTATGAACGCCCCCCTCCCCCTCCGCATCAAAGCCCTTTCATTAGAGAGTCTCGTGCTCGGTCTAGCGACTTGACAGGCCTCGTACAATACCTTCTTGATATGGAAAATTGTTTGAGAAATGACATGAAAGATATGGTTGAATCTACTGAGACCCGTCTAAAAAATGACCTGAAACAAGTGATCGAATCTACTCAAGACTGTTTAAGAGACGACGTGAAAAATATGATCGAATCTAGTGAAAATCGTTTAAAAAATCACGTGAAGATACGGTTGAATCTACGGAAAATCGCTTAAAAGATCAAATGGACGATATTCTCAATCATATGAAAGGGCTTGAGGATACTTTGGCCGCAGACTCCAGAGCAGACGATATAGAGCGCGGGGTCGATATGGCTGTGGATGATTTAAGAACGGAATGTATCGGGACCATTGAATCGGAATTCAGATACCTCAGATATGGCATTGAAGAGGTGACGAAAGGCATGGAAGAGGCTGAAGAAAAAGCAAACGAGGTGTTAAACTTGGTGGACGAAGCTGGCGATGGTATAGAGAGGCGAGTAGGGAGATATCTAAACAGCATTCGCTTGCAAGTCACCGTCGACGATGAATAAGAAGGCTAAATTTATAAGAGAATCCTTATAGTATACTAAAGGTATGCGCAATCGCAGAGTTGTGTGCTCATGGCTATACGAACTAGGACTCTGCATTTGTTTACTCCCCACTTGACAGTGATTTCCAGCATCCTTTCTTTTTCGCTGCTTACTCAGTGGCATCCTAATCCCCTGTAGTTACCGCTTCTGATTCATTCCCTCGCTTCACTCAATTAGCTCTGTGCCTCTATCGCTCATTCCCACAAAAAAAAACGACACAGTCTCGCGACCTTTCTCATCTCATGAGTTTTCGTCTCACACCGTTACAAGTTTCAAACTAGGTCAATCATTAGCAGACAGACTAACGACCAACGTCACCACAACTGCTGAACGAAAACTGCCATTTTAGCTGTCAAAGCTCAAAACTTTGGGGGGTTCTAGCTCCACTACAGATCGATCTACTGCTAGCGCTTATCAGTGCCGGAGTCTCAGGGAATGTGACGCAGTACCGGAAGCGCGGCTACTCACTAATACTTCTATAGCCTACTTCACGACGCATCAATTGATCTAGATGCCCGAATTGAGAATTGAAGCCCGCTCGCATTACTTATGATCGCTACAAATATATAGGCCTCAAGTATGAGACTCCATCACTGCGGAAATCTCGTGTACAAAATGCCACCGCCAAAGTCATCATGGTAGCGCGCTCTTATAACTGGGCCATGTGAGCTTACAAGTATCACTTGGTTCCATAATTGGCTCCGAGTTATTTGCTAGTGCGGGCAACCTTCCTAACAGGAGACTGTCCAACTGCCAGTCGGATCCTCCGTCTAATACATCGTCTTCTTACCATCAACATACCTCAGCCAAAGGCAACACAAACGCAAATCATGGCCTACAACGAGCTCTACCAATATTCTGTTGTCTCGGCTCTCATGCAAGGGCTCGGAGACTATGGGCTGCCATACAAAGAACTCGTCTCTCACGGCGATCACGGCCTCGGGACATTTCGTCGAATGGACGGCGAGATGATTGCCCTTGACGGCGACGTCTATCAAATGAAGGCCGATGGCTCAATCATCAAGATTGACACTTCTGGGGGCTCCGACATCGCTCCCTTTGCACAGCTCACTCGCTTTCAAGCCTCTGCCACCGCCGACGTCGAATTCAAGGACAAGCAGGGCTTCTCAGATGCCCTGTCCAAGCTTCTACCAAAAACCAAGAACCACTTCGTGGCGTTCCGCGTGGACGGCCTTTTCAAGTGTGTTGCAGTACGCACCGCGGGTGGTCAATTCTGCCGGCACGAAAGCATCAGGGTGCTGCACAAGCGCCAGACCACCTACGAGTTCACCAATGTCCGCGGAAGTGTTATTGGATTTAGATCGCCAGAGTTTCTACAGGGAGTCGGTGTAGCGGGCGATCATCTTCACTTTATTTCGGATGAGAGAGACCGTGGCGGACATGTGCTGGAGGTTGAATGTCACCCTGACGTTCCAGTTAAGTTGTCTGCATCAGTTCAAACCAAAGTCCATCTAGAGTTCCCAGACGACGATGACTATCAGGAGGTAGACCTAAATCCGGACTCCAGTCTGATCAAAGTTGTGGAGGGATGAGCAGCACTTTTACTGCTGGCTGAGTAAGGCTTGATCCCTGAACATCGGCGACAATGCCTATTTTGGCATATTTGTAGAATTCAGGGATGAGTTTCGAGGCGATTTAACAGCGGAATCATTGCCATCACCATTGATTTTTTTTGTATATAAAGCTATTTTAGACGGTAAAATGGATTGCAACGGTAAAGTTGTGGGTGCATCATCATCAATTGTCTGTCCAAAAAGCACTGAGAAGAAGAAAAGAAAGTGCACTGATCATAATTAACGCAATTCATTCAAACTTCACTTTGATCATTAATGATATAGTAGCAGCCAAGGGGCACATGAGCTGGGCTGCAAACTTGTACGAATCTTACTGTCATTTATCAATGCTATGTATGCGGCACATTACAAAACTATGCCGATACGTCGATGCTGAAGATATCTACACCACTCTTCAGCTGACTCTTGGTGGGTGCCCTTCCTAGCCTCAAAAGCTCAGACACTTGCATCACGCTAGGATCGCGGCCTTGGGAGGCAACTGCCACAACGGTTTCGCCCTTGGTATAGTATGCAAGAAACTTTCCTGCGGCCACGTCTCCATCCACGACCACGTCGTCCCATCCTGAGGCAATGGTATTTCCGCTGTACCGCAGTTGAGCCCCCAGAGCAGACCAGAAGACGGGGATAAAGTGCGTGGTGCTTGCAGATGGATTCACAATGTGCGTGGCGACGGCACGGCCGGCATTCTGAGCAACGTTCCAGTGCTCAATTCGGACCAAGCCTCCATTGCCTCCTGGGCCATGGTACGGATAAGTTGCAATGTCTCCAACAGCGTAAACGTCTGCAAGTCCCTTGACAGCAAAGTTGGCGTCAGTCTGGAGCGATCCATCCTTTTCCAGCTGAACAGCCGTGTTGCCCCTCAGATACGTTGTCTCAGGAGATACTCCTACTCCCAAGATGACAAGGTCTGCGTCGAGTTTGGTGCCATCTTTGAGGTAGACAGCACCGACCTTGGACGGATCCGAGGCTGATGGCTCAGCCCTGTCGACGCCAGCGCTCAGGTAGAACTTGATGCCTTTGCCTTCCAGAGCCTTCTGGATGCCAGCACCGACTTGCTCGCCAAGAACACGCTCAAGGGGAACTTTTTCCATGCCCACAACTGTCACTGAGTTGTCACCGCCGGTAGCGTTGGCAATTTCCATGCCAATAAACGATGAACCAATGATGACAATCTTCTTGCCCTTGTCTCCAATGGCATCCACAATCTTCTTGGCGTCATGAACGGTGCGGAGAGTGAAGATGTTGCCGAGAACCTTGAAGCCTTGCAAAGGAAGTTCCCTGGGGGTTCCTCCAGTTGCGAGAACCAGCTTAGTGTAGGGAAGCTTGCTGCCACTAGCAGTTATCACTTGTCGGCTAGAAAAGTCGATGCCGTTGACTTCACCGTCAACCCACTCCACTGAGCCACTGTCGAACCAGCTCTTGTCGCGCCATGCAATCTTGGATGAATCTGTGATTAGTGCTTTGCTCAGCTTGGGTCTATCAATGGGGAGGTAGCCCTCCTTGGAGATGACGGTGATATGGCCAGTGTATCCCTTCTCTCGCAGCCCTTCAACAACACCAAGCGCACCAGAGCCACCACCGACGACAACAACCCTCTCTTGGGAGTCACTTGAAACACTGCACTGGAAATTGGGCTTTCTTCGAGACCCTTTGATAGCAGCCTCCTCGCCGGTAATGTAAAACCCCCCATCACGCTCGGTGAGAGGAAACACCGGAAGCGCATCCAGAGCAGGGCCGTCTTCGACATCACCAGTCTTGGCACTGAAGCAAGCTAGCGAGACCAATGTCAGCAAGCTGTTGTGTGGATGAACGATATGGCGAGATTATGGGATTTACCTCCATGCCAGGGACATGTCAAACGGCCCCCAGTGGTCAAGATACCCTTAGCCAAGGGAGCGCCGTAATGGGTGCATTTGGCACCAATGGCTTGCACTTGTGCCTTTCCACCGGTTTGCAGGCCAACGAGAAGGACCTTGGCATCCTGGATGCCTTCAACCTCGGCCTCCTGCTTCTGGCCGGGCTTGAGTGACAGCGACGTCACGCCCTTGAGCTTGTATTCCTGAGCCATGGCGCGAACAGTAAATGAAAAGTGTCGAGATGGCAACAATGAGGCAGAAGACAAGAGACGGTGGCTTGGGTGAAGTAAACGACAGAGGTGGGGGTTGCGGGGTAAAATCGGCATGGCCTGGGAGATTATTATAGAAGCTGAGCTCTGCCGGAGAGATTGATGACGCGAGATGGTGTGAGACTCGGAGGGACTTGGACGGGCAGGCTTCGGTTTGAATGGGTGAGATCTAAGCAACGGAGCTCATGGCGGGCAGCTGGAGCTCTGGAGCCTGGAGCCTGGAGATTGGAAGGCCGGAGATTGGTTGATAAGCCCGGATTGGGGTCATGCACGTAATGAGGAAGCATTTGATGCTGCCGGTGCTAGCTACTGTAGACTGCCAGATGCTGCCCAGTAGAGAGAGGCAAGATGTCGAGCTTGTTTCGAAGCGACTGAAGCGACTTGCTTTGTAACATGGAGCGATGATTGGCTACCGCAGATAGATGACGCAATGGCTGCTACATGCGAGGTGCTTAGTACGGAGTTGAGAAGAAAAACAATCCTATGTTTTGCCGGCGAGTAAGCAAACAGAGTGCTACCCTAGAGACAAGAGGGGGGCCGTTGAATTATGACAGGTTATGAGAGTTGGTATTTACCTACTAGTATAGAGTAGGTACTACTATCTACCTAGGTGATGATTTGATGTTTGTATACGCATACAGGCACCTCTTTGACAAGCAGAAGCAACAGATCCTAGGTTGCGGAATCAGGGGTATCCAGTGTGTGCGAGTCAAGTTGCTCTACTGGGTACACTATCGCTAGCGCCCGGGGAGCTCCTTTGGCAGCAAAGACATCATACAAGCTGTGTACTCGTCGTATATAGACTTCGCTCTCTTGCTTCTGTTCATCGCCTAGCCCTCTGCCGTGAGAACTTTGATCAAAGTGCAGGTTACGACCAGCATGAATAATACTCTTACTAACGCGCCCGGCCACACCCGCCTGTTTCCGCCGCCACATTGCTACGCTTGGCTGTCAGAATCAATGTGTAGCTCCCGGTCCCCCCCCCTGGCTCGGCAAACAAACATGTGCTCCATCAGGCGGGTTCGATGTGCTGGCAGGCCCCATGTCTGGTGCTTGTTCTGTACACCGCTGCAAAGCGTCATCGGAATATGGATCGTGCTTGATGACTATGCCACGTGAGAAACAAGGCTTAGCGGTCCGTTGCATAATGTTGATGCCGGGCTTCATCCTGTAGCACAAAACATGAACATGTGCATGTGCATGTGCCTAGTTCATCGAGCAAAGCAAGAGGCAGGTGACGGTCCAGCCAACGGGTCTATTTCCACCTACCGCGCGGCTAATATCTGTGAGGCTGCCAATATGCAGCTGAGAGAAAAAAAAGAAAAAAAAAAGAAAAGGGCGGGATAAACATGCACGCAGATGCACACCAGCGGGCCCTGTTCGCGGTGCTGCTTCCGGGCGAGCGTCTCAAAAGGGCCTAAGACTCTGCTAATGCAGGAGGGTGCTCACTAGAGTCGCATCCAGGAACCGAGCCAAGCAGCCGTTCGTACTCGATACCAGCAGCGCCGAGCCTCGCCCTGGCCAGCGACGCGTACCAGCGACTCGAACGCAGCGCGGTGGCTGCGACCGGACGGCCTCAGTCAGCTGCGCAGGCACAATCCTTTCCATCCTTCAACGCTCCTCGACCTGTTAATCTCGCCAGGCGAACCGTCTTGCTTGGGGTCCGCCCTCCTCGACAAGTCGCCAATACCTCGCCGGCATCCATTCCATCACCGCCTCTGCGCCTGCTGTTCCCACTCCGGCCGAGTACTGCTACTTCTCCCAGCTTGAGTCAAACCTCCTTTCGAACAAGGCTGGCTGAACGTCATCTGTCTTTTCGCTTGTTCCTTTTTCTCTTATTTCATTTCTATTACCATTACCGTCACCTACTGCCATCTTTATTACTCCTAGCCACCTGTTCGATGTTGAGCGCACTTCTCCTCCGCTATCCTTATCCTTAATCTTCACCTACTAGCCTCTCTTTTTTTCCGGCCATCGGCTCTCCGCGTCAACCGCTAAGGATCATGTTTGTCGCTGCAGCATTGCTACCGTCTCCAAGTCTCGGCAAAGCGACGCGCGAGACACCGGCTGTCAATATCTAAAACCAATCCTCGATTCTCTCTCTGCTCACCGGTTTGAAGGCGCCATGGAGAGGCTCGATCTGCCCCAGCCCGAGTCGGCCTCATCGCCGCTGCAGTGCTGCTGCGGCAGTCCAGACTGCGTCCACCTCAAGAAGAACTGCTCCATTCTCGAAGCCGTTGAGAAGGATGTGCATACAGCTGCCCAGTTAGGCAAGGTATGTGTGTGTGTGTGGTGTGCGTGCCTGCAGGTGTCGCGCTGTGCTCTTTTTTCGCCCAGTCCTGTGCATTCCTTTCATCCCATCTCATTGTCCGCGCCCATCGTCGCAAGACACATCTCGGACCCTTTGTCGCTTTGCGCGCAAAGTGCATTCCGGCCCGTGTACACAGCGGGCAAGGCGCGAGAAACTCCCCCAGCCGTGTATGCAACATCCTGTGCCCTCTTCCAACATAATCTCCAGCACCAACAGCCATGCTATGCGACTCCAAGCAGACGGAATCTCCACTGACATTTGCCCTGCAGGCGCTACTCGCCAGGCACGAAGCCTACATGGCCGACGCAGAACGGGATAGACTACGGCTCAACTCTCGCATAGAACGCCTGCAGACCGACAAGCAGGAGCTGGAAGCTAACAATGCGGCCAAGAGCGAGGAGAACAACCAGCTCCTCGAGCAGCTCGAGATACTCAACAGCACCGTCCTCGACTCTGATGCCAAGATCAAAAGCTTAGAAGCAAGCCTCCTCTCATCACAGCAGGCCATTCGCCGCCTCGAGAATGCAGCAGCGCGAGCCGCCGAGGCAGACCAGCACCTCAAGATCCTCGAGGAGGAGCAGGACAAGCTCACTGGAGAGCTCCGAGCTTCTAAGGAAGAAGCTCGCTCTCACGCGCAGCGGTTTAAAGAGGCACAACGGGGCATCCTCGACATGCAAGATCAGCTCGAGCGCATGGAGAGGGAGGCCATCCTGGAGCGCCAGCGCCATGAAGAGATGATGGAAAAGGTTGACCGACAGCGTGAAGTGGAGAAGCATCTTGACGCCGCCGCCGTGCGACTCAAGGGCGCTGCGGTCTCCAAATCAATCACCGATCACCGACAGGGGAGCAAAATTGTCGGTCACTTTGTCCGGGACCTGCTGCAGGACAATGCGAACCTCCAGTTGGGTATTGCTGAGCTTAGGGAAATGCTCATTAGCTCCAATGATGAGATTCAGTCACTGAGAGAGCAGCTCGTGTTTCACCAGCCTCTTGCTGATGACTCCAGCCCAGCCTCGACGCTCAAGGCGGAATTGGAGCCTTCTCTGTTTGAAAACTCAAAGCCCCCGCAAGAATTTCATATTCACCACCACTATCACGTTGCCGCCAAGCAAGATGTCCGGAAGCCCAAGAAGAAGCGCCAGGGCCTGTTGCCTGGCATTTTCACGCCTCCGGCTACAATCTCAAGTCGATCTTCCTCGCCAGGCCCATGGGCCCAGCGCCGCTTGATCTCATCCCCCATAGCCCCTGTTCTCTCCAATGGAGGCGGCGACACAACACCCACCACTGCCCGATCCTCAGCTTGGCACGAATTCTCCACACCATCCGAAATGTCCTCCTCACTCCCGACTTCACCCGGGATTTTCGACCACAGCGGCGCTGAAACAGATTCTCTCATGTCGCCTACAACAAGCTATGACCCCATGTCTCCTACCTGGCGTGCGTCGCACAGAAAACGACCCTCAGCGGCCTCATCCTCTAGCTTCCAATCCCTTTCAATCATCGACATAGAGCCAGGCATGGCCGGGATCCAGGCGCAAAATCCTTACCGCTTTAGCAGTGGCGTCATTCATGAAGAGGACGAAGACTTACCCACCAATACTTCTGCTGATTTGACCAACTCTGATGCCTCTAAGGACATATCCGCGGCAGATGATGACACGAACCAGTCAACAGATACAACTATCGAACCAGCACCAGAACCTAGCTCAAGACTACGCCGCATTGCCTCTCACGAATCCATCATGTCGCTGTCGGGCGGCCTTGACATCCACACACTTCAGATACGGCCGAGTCAAATGAGCTTGCGTCCCCCGCTCCAAGGTGGCGCCGATGCTGTTGTTACTGGGGTCATCGCTCAGCCGACCATGTCAACTAGCTACTCGAAGCGCAGCGATGCCGCCCTGCGTGATCACTTTGCCGGCTTCCAACAACTGAAGCGAGGCTCGACTCCTACGTCAGATATATCAGTCTCGTTGTCCTACGCATCGCGGATCGGTACTGGTGGCCTTGGGAAATGGGTTGGATGGCGGCCGTGGGGAGGAGCAAACACAAGCGAAGGCCAACTCAAGCCAGAAAAAGAACCACCCAAAGTACCTAAGAGGGCACCGGGCATCAATCAACCTGGCGCAGTCCCAGGATTTGAGCATTGGATAGCGCAGCAGCGGAGAAGCGCTGCAGCCACGACGACGACCGGGACCCTTAACCGCAGTGCACTATCGGAGAGCTTACGAGACTCTGCATAATATTGTTTCGGGCAGACACGACTTACTATAATATTCCATATGTTTTGAGAATCGCTTGGATTATTCGGGGAATGGGATTGGAGCATTTGCATCATTTAGGCAGCAGGGGCTGGCTGGCTCAAATCCGCTTAATTTTTCCTTCTGTCTTTCTGCATATATGGATTTCTGTTTTCTTGTTGGCGTTTTCACTTATTTTCGAGCGACTCGGCAGAATGGAGACTAGGTACAAAACTGGGATCTGGACGATACCCTGGCCGTATGAGGCTACATATCACCCATGTTGATATAGATTGGAGGCCACGCACCACCTTGTTTGTTTTATTAGAAGTAGTATAATGACACCACATACGTAATCACAATAGATGTGTATTTATTATGACATTTGAAAGCTAAATGACTACCATCTTCAAAGAACGCTGAAACTTTGCTGATCTATTCTTATTTTACTAGCCTCAATCAGGTGATGAATCCTCTGCAAAATGAGTTGTGATTACTTACGGCGTCGATCTCATTGAGCCGTCTGTAAGAATGACGTTTAAAAATGAAGTCATAGACGACATGAAGCTTCCTGGTAAAGTGATTGATAATACCTGCTATCACGGCTGCTTTTGGTACCCTTTTTGAAGACCCTTAGGGTTCAATTTTCAGCCCTTGTGCCAAAGTCCATCATATGATGTCAAATATATGTGTGTGTATCTAGCCTCAAAACCGTTACTGTGATTCATCTTCAAATGTGGCTGTTTCCACCGCGCATTCCCGTCATGCCACATGCTCGTTGCGTTGCTCGGACCACGTTAGCACTAACGATGAAGGCGGTTACGCAGTTTTAATAAGAAACATATGTACGGAGTAGGATTATGCCACAATACGTGAGATGGTTGAGCTCCAACCTAGGTGTAATTCATGAGGTTGAGAGGATCGCATTCCAGAAGATGGCAGCCCTGCTGATTAGAGTTACCTGATTGACTTGATTCGACGCACCGCTGCCCCAATAGATAAGCTTCTTTACAACTTTAAAACAAGTCAATATATTTCATAAACCTGAATCGTCATCAATTTGGAATGGGGGTGTTGTCCCAAGAGGCAAGTCGTCGTAATCGAAGGGAGCGCTTTTGACGATCACAGCCAGAGCTAACAATATTGCGGACATGCATGGTATTTACGAATAGTGACAAATAGTGACAGCCGAATTCTTGAAAAAATACATAAGTTGAGAAGATGGTTGCTTTTTCTCAAAAGTCAAGCATCAATTAGCAGGACTGAATCCAACATTGAAGCATCTATCATCTTACACTTTTAAGTAAGCTCTGAGCAAGCTCTAAGCAATCAATCTAAAAGACCGCCATCATGCAGTTCAAGCCTCTCATCTTCTTGGCCTCTGTACTCCCTTTTACCCAGGCTCAGGCAGACCTGACGGCCAAAGATGTCGTCGACGCTGTCCATAATATCCTTGACGTCTCCACTAGTGCTTTGGATATTGTTAGAAACATTAGTTCTACAAATATCCTTTCGTCTGCTCAGGTTTGTTGAAACACAGCGACTTTATCAAACACATGATCTGATTTACTAATTTCATTTATTTAGGACATAGCAGACGACCTCCGCCAGATTGTCACGACTGTTGACGACGATGTTAAAGTGCTCCAAGGCACTTCTACGCCTCCTCAATTCTCCGACAACGATCAATCAGATATTTGCGAAGCTCTTTGTGACGTAAGTCACACCTACTTATAAATTTCCCCTTACAGTAAATATTCAAACTCATATCTAACCTCGTGCGCAAGCTACAGTTCGCCACAATTCAAGAAGACTTCTTCAACACACTCGTCAGCAAGAAGAACTTTTTGGATGCCACGACCTTGATAGGGCCCATCGGTAGCCTCCTAGGCTTACTAGAGACTGGAATTAACACGCTCGCAGAGGGAGTCATCGCTCTGGTGCCGACCTGTGCGGCTAAAGCGAGGGATGAACTGAAAGACCTTGACAAAACTCTCAGTGAAGCAGTCAGTGCCTTTACGATCCCTCTGCCAAATACTCCTACCACCCAGGCGCTTAATGCTACCAACAAATCACATAAAAGTAACATCCAGCCGCGCCGTGCTCCGCTGCGTGGTGTCGTTGGCAGCCCGGTTGGAACTCTAGTCGTAGCTCCCTCCAAGGGCAAATAACGCTTTGCAGCGTAAGGGATGTATTATTATGAAGGAATTCAAACCTAGCCATTAGTCTATTAGTGCATCTCTTCCGTAGCTAAATTGAAAAAAAAAAAAAAAAAAAAAAAAAAAAAGGGTTTTGACCTTAGAATATCTGAAATCATAGCCGCCGAGTGATGCAAGCGGGGAGAAGAGTCCAAGATTCATACCCCCTTGTGTATGACTTCTAATTGTATTTTGGACATATGCATACTCTAAAAGTATGCCTGGGCTCAGCTCCAAACATGACTAGTTCCTCATATGGTGTCACATGCTCGGTGCATTCCTTGAACTGTAAGAATACAGGTTATCTGAGTAGATGAAGTTTAATGTGTGGCTCTAAAAAGCGATTCTTACTCTCCCCTTATCAGAAAAGGGAGCAGACTTATGTCAGATTATATTATGCTAGTTGATCCAAGGCAGATACGGAACACAGGTCATGGGCTGATCCCATTCCAATATATAATAGCCTTGCAGATCGAATTGTTCGGTCAACATATTTTACAGCACTGCCGCACTAACAAAGATCGGCTTCTTTATAGCTTTTGGATGGCCTAATCTATTTCATAAAAGCTGAATGCTAATCAAGTTGGAATGGGATTCTACCAAACACGATCATTCGCTGCAATCAAAGGGAGATTGATCGTCATAGCTAGGGCTGAGACAGCAGGAGAATATATGACATATGACAGTCACAAAGAGCACTAACTGATACGTGAAACCCCCGCTGCAGTTTGCCGGAGCCTACCAAACCCTCCCTGAGGCCCTCATCGGCAAGAAAGACGTTGTGCCAAACATGCATCCGTCCGTCGCCGTGATACTGGATTACGTAAAGACTGAAGCTGACGGGTGCACGGATTCAGTCACGAACCTTGCACCGACTTGCGAACAAAGCGGGAGACCACCTGAAGTGGCTTGACGGGGTTAATAAGAGAAACAGGCATGGATTCGGTATTTTGTTGGCTGTGGGGGACCATGGCCTTGTGCCTCGCAGCTTGTCCTGGTAAAGGAGTCAAGCGCGGCGTATTAAGAGATGCGATATTATGTATACCAAGGAGTTGAAACGCGGTTAAGGGTACCTACATATAGGTATATCTCTTTGAAGCCATTCTAAATACATGGAAAGGACCCGTCAACGCGGGAATATCTCAGTGTGTGACCGCCTGTCTGTTCCTATTCTAGCCCGGGATCCCCCTGTGTCGAGCGCCCCATAGTCGAACAATAAGCCAACAATAGGTACAAATCGGGGAGCGTTGGTAATTTATGCGCCGCCGCCTTATTCAGAGCTTCTAAATTTAGCCTCGCTGCCAGCGCTTTAAAAATATCGTTGCTGGTTCGGCTCCTGCTACAGCCGACGCCAAACAGAGCAAATCAAGGCCGTCGACTCTTTTCCAAAGCGAGCTAACATGGCAAAGGATGCATCGTGCGAGGTGCGCTAAAGAGTCTTCAAGCTCTGGACATTGAATCCTGCACAGGCAGCATCTATGCCCGATTTGGTGGCCAGACTTGTATCCACGGTATACGAAATTGTACAGAGGCTACCGTATTCATATATATCCTACCCTGGTCATGCTGCGTTTGCTAGCCCGTCGGAGGTATCTACGCAACTGAGGCGCTGCCCGGAAGGCCCTTTTCCCGCTGAAGACTCGAGCCTCTTTTACAGATTGTGGCTGGGCAAACTGTACTGTACCTGCATTATACCATTAGCAGGCGCTCTTTTAGTCGTAGGGCTAGAGCAGGATGACTGTTTTTAGCATCCACGAGTCCAGCATGACAAACACCACCCAATGGACGGCCTGGGCGCGCTACCCCATACGACCTGGCGTCGATGGCATTGTGAATGTTTCGGCTAAGGCGGCCAGTGGAAGGCCGTTTGCACGATGGCTTAGTGCTGAGCTCAGCCTCCCGGGAGCAGAGATTAGGTCTCGACAACCCAATGCTTGGCTCTTCGCGCTCGTCGCATGGCCGGTTGAGGACTCCACCGTTGGGCGGGAGCTCGCAGCGGTCCTCGTATAATAACCGATCAGATCTCTTATTACATTAGCTTCGGATTCTGTGCTTTGCTCATCCCTTTTGTCAGCCCATCGTGTCCATCTTGAAATACTACTACTACCTACTTGCTGTATGTTGTGTCGGCAACTTCTACGACTGGCCCAGGCGTGACCATTAAACACACACTCACATATATAGAGACAGTCTATCTAGCCCCGATGCGTTTCCACAGCTTCATCGCCCTGGCGGCCGCGACCGCTCAAAGCGCCGCCGGCCTGGGAATCAACTGCCACGGCGACACGCTCTGCGGAATCTCGTACATGAGCGGCGGCCGCCTGACCCAGTTCCAGACCATCTTCGACAACATCTTCGAGAAGCGGATATACGACAACGGCGACGACGTCGGCTGCATCGAGGTCCACTCGGTCAACTTCAAGGGCTCCTTCAAGGGCACGTACTGCGCCTACGTCCAGAACCTGGACGGCAGCGTCAGCGGCGCCACCCTCAAGAGCCTCTACACCGAGCTGGTCAACTACGGCTGTGGAATCTGCGGCTCCATCCCCATCCACTATGACAAGGGCGACGACGACGTCAACCACGGCGAGCTCTCCTTCAACATGGTGGACAGCCTCCCGGACAACTGCGAGCTCAACAAGCCCTGCTCAGCGCTCTCCTAAATCATGATTGTTCAGTAATAGTCGATGGAGTGGTCGGATAGCGAATTTGCGAGTCATTCTCAGATATACGCCAATTTCATTCCGTTTCGTTTCGCGCAGCGATGTGTGCATCCGATTTTCGTGTCGAGGAACGCGCCATGATGATACCAAGCCCCTCCATCGCAGACCGCTTGATTTTTTTTTTTTTTTTGTTAAGAGGAGATGGGAAGGACAAAAAAGGCGTTTTGGCGCAGCAAAGTTGACAAGTCCAATTTGTAATCTAGCGATTCGTTTCTCTATACATTGTTCTTTATTTATCCTGTTGAGCTGGGAGCTTAGAAAGAAATAGTAGGTAGTAAGCATTTTAATTCTCAAGCCACCCGGCCTTATCGGAGCTTTCACTCTTTCACCCGGAGACAAGGTGTGATTGATGCAAATATTGATTTTTACTACCACGACCCACCAGCAGTTTTGGGCGTATTGCAGCGTGTCAGAACCCCCTCACCAGCCAACCCCTCAATACGACCTCCATGGACTGTCTGTGATCGGTACTATCACCGATCTGGGGCCATCATCGCCGTAGGCTTTTGAAGCTCAGCAGCTTCGTTGAGGTCGATCTACACACTATGTCCGGACTAATTCCGACTTTTCGTTGAAAAACTGCGTTAAAAAAAAATCGGAGATAAAATTTGTTGATTTCGCCTTGGCCCTCTTGGAAGACGTAATAAGAGATGGATGTATGAGATATATAAAGGCGGAAAGGGAGGGGTAATGATTCATGTAGTTACTAGGTATAATAGTGAATCGACCAACAGCTTCAAATACAAACTGCATCTTCTCCAAAATCACAATCACCGCAAGCAAGAGTGGTCAACACAGAAATACCTCCCACAGATAGTATACGAAAATGGCAGCCACTTTCTTCGCGTTTGCGCCAGAGCCCAAGACCGAACTTGGTCGGCACCGTATCCTGGCCCCGACGGCCGGCATTCGTGTCTCGCCATTGGCCCTCGGTGCCATGTCCATTGGTGACGCATGGTCTGACCTGATGGGATCCATGGATAAGGAGAGCTCATTCAAGCTGCTGGACGCATTCTGGGAGGCGGGCGGCAACTTCATCGACACCGCCAACAACTACCAGAACGAGCAGTCCGAGACATGGATCGGAGAGTGGGCGGCCAAGAAGGGCATCCGAGACCAGCTTGTCATTGCTACCAAGTTCACTTCAGACTATCGAAGCCACGAGCTGGGAAAAGGAAAGGCTCAAAACTTTCAGGGTAACCACCGCAAGAGTCTCCATGTGAGCGTAAGAGACTCCCTCAAGAAGCTCCAAACCGACTACATTGATATCTTGTACATCCACTGGTGGGACAGCACCACTTCCATCAAAGAGCTCATGGACTCTTTGCACATCATGGTCGAGCAGGGCAAAGTTCTCTACCTGGGAGCTTCAGATATGCCTGCATGGATCGTCAGCGCGGCCAACACATACGCAGTTGACAACGGCAAGACGCCTTTTAGCATCTACCAAGGCCGATGGAACATCATGCTGAGGGATTTTGAGCGGGACATTATCCCCATGGCACGGCACTTCGGCATGGCTCTCGCGCCCTGGGACGTTCTTGGCGGAGGAAAGTTTCAGACAAAGGAGGCCCTGGAAGAGCGCAAGAAGAAAGGCGAGGGGCTGCGCGCCCTTATATCACTTCCAGAACAGAGTGCTGAAGAAGCAAAGATTAGCGAGGCGCTCGCCAAAGTGGCGGCAGAGCACGGCATCACCTCCATCACCGCTATTGCCCTAGCATATGTATTGCACAAGGCAGGAAATGTGATCCCTATTGTTGGCGGAAGGAAAGTTGAGCATCTCATGGACAATATCCAGGCCCTGAGCATTAAGCTCACAGACGATCAAATCAAGTTCCTCGAGGGTGTACAGTCGTTTGACCTGGGATTCCCTTCAGCCTTCTTGGGCCCTGATCCTAATATTACAGGGTATTCCCCACGACTCCATCGGACGGCTCACTACAGCTTCCCTAATGCGGGAAACCCCAAGAGTACAGTATAAGGTGATGAATGTCTTTAGTTTGACGATAACTACTTTGTGTGGGTGATGTATATCTGCACAGTCTGCGAAAGGTTCTCTGTGGCCATTCAGAAAAATTTGCGTTTTAAAGCTCCCAGCCAACTTTTGTTGCAATACATACATTCTATAAGGGGGGTCTTATTTGCTCAGCTTCAGGATGCTTTTATCAAATTATTGTTCTAAGAGCATAGATAGATGCATCTATTCGCTCCATACTACGGCCTTAGGTACAACAGCATTAAACAAACAAACTTGACTTGTTACCTGCATAGATGCATCCATCCCAAGTGTGCCATTCTAGCCGTGAAAAGAGAGAGAGAGAAAAAAGACACAAAGTCCACGTTGCAGCATGCAGCAATTGGTACCAAAAATAGACACAGCTAAGCTTCTTTCTCCCATGGTAAGACTCTCGTATCCGCCCTCCAAAATCCTTGCCAAGACGCCCAAGGCAAGGGGGGCCATATAATATAGTTTCTCCTGCAGCTTGTGTTCTCGGGGCATCATCCCTAGTGGGCGGGCTGTTTTGCTTTAGATCGATATCCGCGTGCCATCTCGGCAGCTGCCAACGATCTGGCTAGCATGCATCTTGTGAAGATGGCCGTGATCCTATTACCCACTTGGGTGGGAACGTCAAATGTAGGCTGCCGCTTGAATCCACGTTCCTAACTTTATTCGGTCAATGCTTCTTATGGTAATTGCTCAAGCCTATACTACCTCTATCCGTAAAGCGTGATGAAATTGCCCGCAAGTGAACAGTATTTATAGATACGTCTATTGTGGTATAAATGCTACTATTTCGTATTAAAAATTATGGTTTATGTACTTCCTCATCTCCCTCGGAATCTTTCTGAGGTGGTTTCTCATTCTCTGCTTCGTCTTTACCTTCGTCACTCTTCTTCACTGGGGTATCCTCCTGTGCTGCATCAGCACCTCCTTTCTCCTCTACTGTATCATCGTCAGGCCCGTCTCCCCCTGTCGGGATATTTGAGTTTAATACCTCCGGTTCAGCCACAAAACTAAACTCGCTTGATTCAGAGTCTGTAAGAATCAAAGGAGCTGCTACTCGGCTCCCTTGGAGCTCTGGAACATCGCTTCCGGGCATCTCATAAATTTCACTGGACAACAACTCTGCCAATGGCGCCGGAGTTGCCAGCTCTGCTGGTGGCGGGGTGCCCGCCGATTCCAGCTCACTCAGAGGAGTCTTCGACGCCGGAGTGGTGCCTTCGACTTCAGGTGTAGGCTTCGGTGTTGTTTCGTCCCCTTCAAGCTCTCCCAAGTTTCCGCCGAGAGCCTCTGCAGGAAGAGTTCTAGAAGTTTCGGGTGAAGCTGCGTCCACACTTCCTAGCATCATGCCTGTTGTTGAATCGGCCTGAGAAGTTTGGGCTGCCGCCGCTTTCTTGCGGCGAGGAAGCACCAAAAATCGCAAGACAGCAGCGGCCGCAGCAGCTATAAAGACACAGACACCGATAACAATGCCCGCAATAGCACCCCCTCCGAGGCTACTGCTATGGCTACTGCTTTGATTGGGCTCGAGCACTTGGAAGTTAAGCGGATATATAGTGACTATATTCGATTTGGCGTTGGCATCCCACACGCGAGGATGAACCGAAAAATTCCCTCGTTCGTAATCCACAATCAAGTACGCCTCCTGCAAAAATGTTCGTCCTAGAACATATTGGGTGTCGTTGGCTGCCCTTTTCAAAGGGAAGTATCGAGATGCCGTCTTAACAAGCGGGGGATTTGCCTCCAAGTCGAAACTTGCGTAGGGAAAGGTAATGTTAAAAGATGAGCCGCCGGTAATTGGAGTTGTTACTTCAAAAGTGACGACTGGGTTTTCGGAAGTGAGCTTTTTGTGCAACGAGTCGCTAACCAAGTACATTTCCAGTGTCGTGTTATAAGTTAGACCAAAGGCTTTCTCAAAAGTTTTGCAGGCGTCTAGAGGAAGGTAGATTTCGGCCACGGAAGAGTCGATAAACATGGATATCAGGTCAGACTGGAGCACCGTATTATCCGCGCTTGCATTCGTAGAGATGGATTTGATGCCAATTGATAAATCACGCGACTGATCGCTGAAAAATTTATAAGTCTGATTTGTGTCTTGATACGCAGATGTATCGTAGCCACCCAAGATCAAGCTGCCCAGCGCCTTGTTCAACCGGTATGGTGCTCCTGCGTTATAGCTGTATGACAGACTGGGAATCGCTGACTCATTCTTGAGAAGCTGCATAAAACTCTGCTGCGGATCATTCTGGGATGTGAAATTAGTAGGTCGTGGGTTCAACGCAAGCACTCCGAGATAAAACTCCGTGCCTGCGATGCCAGCAATGATTGAGTGGTTGACGACAGGGCCACCACTGCCAAGATACCCGAGCCCGACTAAAGTTTGACGTTAATATGCGCATTATAGATGATGCTGAGCAAGGCATTGGCCATACCGGTGTCATATCCAAATTCTCCATTGTCCGTAAAGCCCAAGACGTTCTCAAAGCCAAGGTTGTATAAGCCAATTTCCTTCCAAGTCGAGGAAGCTGTTGTATTAAATAGTTTTCCTCTGCTGTCGGCGCAGTCGTCGACTTTGATAATCTGACAGCCCTCTGGTAACACCACCAGAGTTTGAGTTGATGAAGTGCCAGGCAATATGCGAAGGTTCTGAGCTGGAGTTCCTACGCGCAACTCAAACGATGACCAAGGGCCATCAACACCCTCACTAAAGGCACGTGAGTTTCTTTGCGGCCTCAACGAAATTGGGAACTGTACTTACAACACCTGGCTCGGTGATACGGATACGGGAGGTGGTATAATAATTGTCGCCGGATCTGTGGCTCGTTTGTTTACCAGCGCGAGATCAAACGCCGAGGCGAGCGCTGCATTCGGCATCAACATTGCCCATGGCAGCAGATGATGCAGCCGCGTACGCATCGTCCAAAGATGTTTGAATGTTTCAACAAGTCCACATCCTAATGTGAGATCATGTAGTGTTGTAATCCCCAAAGACCCTGCTGAACTGAGTGGAGTAATGTAGGTAATGTAGGTTGCAATGCGTATAGGGTGCCGAAAAATGGGATACTTCCTCTCTCAGCACGCATGCAGCTGACTTGAATTGTCCTAGGCGCTCTTTCAACCAGCTTATCTAAGTCAATACAGGCAAAAGGTTGTCTCGTGGCAACGACCGAAGATAGTAGTAATATTACGAAAAAGAAAAGAGAAGAAAAATGAGCAGACATGGGGTTGTATCTTTGTCCACACAGAATCGTACACCAGCCCTCAATAGTCCTCGCTACCACTAAGTACTACTACTACTACAGTCCTTTGATTTGATGAGCATCCACATGGAAGTCAGATTTTAGGATGTCGTGTGAAGCTATGCGATGCACTTCGGTTAGGTGCCAAACGAACCACCGGTGCTATCGCGTGCCGTAGGCGTCTTCCGAAGCTGATAGCACGACTGCATGTTGTTCTCGCCCCAGAACTAATGCAGGCTATTCCAAGTTGATCAGGTTTTTTGTCTAGCAGAACCCGCTCCTAATGCGCGGTGACCCACTGAAGAACAACAGCCCATGGGCGTCCCGATGGGGCGGGACGCCGTTGAAGAGTTACGTGACAACTACTAATCGAAATCTCCTGTTATGATGGGGAGAGTTCCCTTTCCCCGAACTCATTGATTCAAGCCGCCGCCAAGCAAATCTTGACGCACAACTGTTGGCTGGATTCATAACGGCGGCCCGTACCAGCCGAGGGTATAGCGCCACATACAACCAGGATTAATAGTGCTTGTATGGATCGTGTGTGAATAGCTTCAACGAAATGGTGGTAAGCTGCTCGGTAAATAGACGAATTGCATGTGAGCAGTCCACTAAACAATAGCCAGGGGTATTGGGAGCGCCTCAGACGCCGGCGGAAAATTACGTCCAGAACCAGCGGTGGCGCCTGTCCGGCTTTTCTCCCTTTAGAGCAACATCACCGCGTTAGCAAATTGCGTCTGCGCTTTAGCCGTTTGACAGGTGCCATGCCGTTATAAGGCTGAGCGCTTGTGGCGTGCTGTCTGATTCATGGTTGGGCTCAGCCCCCGACTTCTTGAGATGGTGCTAACACTAGAGCGTAAGCACTTGAAGATAGGTGCGGCACCACCGTTGAGTGCGGCTTGTGCGTTTGATAGTCTGTCTCTCCAACCATAGCTCCGGGTCGCCTGCCTGGTGAAAACATTGATGGTGACTATGTTCGAAAGCCATGTCCTTATGTGCTGGCATCGGCTAGCAGAGAGCCTTACAGGCTTTCTAAGCTTACACGCGGATTATCAAAGCGGGACTATTTCAGGTACACGTACAGTAAACTCGCATTGCATGAAAAAGGAAAATCGTGAAGATCTCGGCTTGGGCCTTGCGAGTCTTGCCCAGCTTACATGTAGCTAGTGGTAGTAGTAGAGCTAGCCCGCATATATCTTCAACCGCGCGGTGCTCACGCGCAAATTCTTCCCTTCTCTTTGCTATTTTCAAGTCATTGTCCACTTGTGCTACGGTTGAGACGATGGCTGGTCTATCAAGAGCTGTTGCTTTGATCCTTTTCGGCGCTGCCGTGCGGGCGTCGCCATGTAAGTTGCACGCAGCCACAATACTGTATCTCAGTTCCAAAGCAATGCTTACTTCTATTTTTGTTACGCAGTTGCCTCTAATGGCACGATCACTCAACCTCCGACGGCCACTACTGCGGCACCGCATACCATTTCGAATGTTGTATGCGGTACCATGAGCAGCTTTCCAGGCATCATTCTTCAAGAATACGAAGGCCTGTCCACAAACCCAGCCTTACAATGCCAATGTTTGGAGCAAGCATACAGCTGGCTGGAAACGTCGAATCCGCCAACGCGGACGCTTACCAGGACTATCGGAACTGGTGTCACTACATTCACAGAGACCATTACAAGCACCTCGACAGTCGTGACGTCCGTGGTAACAACTGTTGTAAACACGGTTGAAACCGCTACTGTTACGGGGAACTTTCTTGACGCTCAAACGAATGTGTGGTATGGGTCTGCGTCATCACCATGCGTAGGTTTCTATTTGACAGTATTGAGCATGACTTTGGCGATGCTGATTGCTCTCTAGTGCTATAGCTGTACAATCGCTGCCTCGACGGTAGAAGTATTCTACTGGGCTGATGGTACGTTCCAATTCATCATTTGCCATGAGAAGTACTATATGAGCTAACATTGTGCAAGTTACCGAAACATCGTCTGGCTTCGCTCCAGTCACCTCTTTCGTATCGAATGGCTATACCTTGTAAGAACATGCATATCCTGAGAAAACGAGACTCGAGCTATTCTTCATCATTTCTAATGCACTCCATCGCAGCCAATCTCCTTCCGTTTACATCGGCTTCTCTTCACTGTCTGCGATTGACTACTGTGGCTTGGTCGGCCAGGACTTCACCAACATAACAGTTGGATTTGACCCTGACGAGCTTTCAACCATTGTCTTTTCTTCATCAGCCGCTGAAACGGTGACCCACCCCAACACAGCTGATGGTGGCTCCATTACTTCAACTATAACTTTTTACACCCCTGTTGGGTCTGCTGCGCTCAATACGAAAGATCTAGAAAGGAACTGCTCCACGATCCTTGGATACAATTACATCCCAGGAAACCCTTCAAACGCACTGAACTCTTCACGTATGTTTTGAACTTTCTAATACGTTTCATGCTACCATGAAATCTCAATGACATAGCAATCTTTGCTAACTTTTTCTTCGCCCAACAGCTGATCCCTGCCACCCCACGATTGTGATTCCAGATCGAGTCAGGAGCTTGGACCCAGCTTGGGCTTCTTGCATCACGGATGGTTTCGGCGGGTAAGTGTCTACGTGGATTTGAATAATTGAGAGCCATTCTCACAATATCTGTTTGACTTAGATTCTACGATCCCCCTTCGGCGCTCAGCTCTGTGACCGCTCTACTACCGCCCTCCTCTCCACCACCGGTTACAACTACAGCTGCCAGTCCACCTAGGACAACCGATTCTCAACCAACATCGACGCCGCCGCCACCTCCTCCACCGACGTCGACTCCACCACCCCCTCCCCCTCCTTCTAGTTCCAGCAACCCTCCCCCTCCTCCTCCGCCTTCATCTTCCAGCAACCCTCCTCCTCCTCCACCACCCTCATCTTCATCTCAGGGAGCTGGAGGCGGTAGTGGTAGCAGCCCTCCTGCCTCTAGCTCACCAGCTGGCGGCAACAACCCCCCTCCACCAGCAAGTTCTTCAAACGGAGCTGGTAACGGTGGCAGTGGCAGCGGCACTTCAGCTTCCAATCCCTCTGGCACTCCTGGAGGTGGAAATAACGGCGGTGGTAGCAGCGGCGGTAATGGAGGTGGTAACGGAGGAAGTGGCAATGGAGGAAGTGGCAATGGAGGAAATGGCAATGGAGGCAGCAGTGGAGGAAATGGAGGCTCTAACGGAGGTGGTAACGGCTCAGGCAACGGTAGCGGCAGTGGCTCACCTCCTAATGGATCTGATAACAATAGCTCTGGCAGCGGCAGCAACTCTGGAGGAAACGGCGGTAGTGGAAGTGGTAACAATGGAAGCGGTAGCAATGGAAGTGGTAACAATGGAAGCGGCAGCAATGGAAGCGGCAGCAATGGAAGCGGCAGCAATGGCTCTGGAAACGGCTCCGGAAACAGCTCCGGAAACCAAAACGGAGGTGGTGCTGCAGGCTCTTCCACGAATCCCCAAAACACTGGCAACGGAGCTCCTCCCAATTCCATCATCGCAGTGGGCTCGGCGACCTTCACCGAGAACTCTCAGTCAGAGTTTGTTCACGGATCTACAACCTTGGTCCCTGGAGGACCTGCAGTTACTCTGGGAGGTACCACGCTGTCGTTGCCCACTTCAGGCTCTGAGATCATTGTCAATGGGTCCACTGAACCAGTCTCCGAAGCTACCTCTGGGTCAGAGAGCTCTGGAGCAGGTGAAACTGGCGCGCCCGGTTCTCAAGAGACTTCTGGTGGCTCATCTGGAAATTCTGGTTCCACCAATACCGCCTCATCTGGCCTTCCATCATCCTCGATTTCGTCGATTCCCAAGAGCGGGGCGTCTGGATTGTTTTCGGGTGCCATGGAAAACATCCAGATCGTTGGCGCGGTTATGCTTGTTGCATTTTATATCTAATAGCGAGATAATAGCCCTCTCTTTGCAACAGATTGAACGTAGGGCGACTCGTGGCGAATTTTTTAGGCTAGATAATTGTGTAATGATAATGAAATCTATTACGAGAAGCTTGTGTAAAAGAACATGGTGGCGTTGAGGCTCTCCATACATTAAATGGATGTACACCGTCTATATGCAGCACCGTCAAACATGCAATGGGCTCATTTGCCGGGGCAAATTCTACATGAGATTCCAAATAATTATTCCATCCGTAGCTTTTCTTCCCTCCTCTTCTGAATTGTATAGAGAGTTGTTGATACGACATGAGTTTTCAGCTGTCGAGTCTTGCAAATGGAATGTCCCCTTTGGGATTGGAGAATTCCAACTTTTATCCTACCCTGGTATTTCAACGATATAACATCTAGCAATAATGCAATCTGCGAATCTTCGGCTTTCAATGCCACACTCGGATGGAATCCAACCACTCACTCTACTAAAGATGCTGCAAGCCTTTTTCAACTTGCCACACGTTGCCGCCATTATATAATTAGCACTAAATAATCTCTAATCTACTCATGAATGAGAGCAATCAATCTCACAAGAATTATTTCTGGCCGCCTTGTGTTGGAAACCCCCGTGCTTTCTAACGGCGGGGCAGGTTTGCTGGCCCTCTTGTCAACAATAAGAATCATGTAAGTGTCGAGCACATATTTTGTTGAGTCTGGGACAATATCGCAACTACGGAGTTAGGCAAAATGGATTTGAAATAAAGCATCCGTTTCTGCATGATTGCTCGACCGCCATACACAGTGCAATACGCGTTAACCTCTCTATGTTTGGCTTGATCCCCAAGAAAAGGTGGCTGGGCTAAAAATTGTGGAGCTGACTGGGGATTCTCCCATTTGTGTTGAATAGGATCAACCCCAGAATACTCTCCAGTCTCAACATTATTGGCGATCCTACTCATCTCTGGAAGAGGCCGCCCTCTCATGGGTATTATTTAATATTGCTTCATCTGCTGCAAGTAGCACATCATGGACTACTCTGAATCAATCATCAGAAGCCTACATTGCATGCATACCTTACTATTATAGAAACATATCAACTATTCATTAAAAATGGAAGAGAGAGTATTCGAGACGAGAATAGGTTCCAAGTTGCATTACTTCAAGCGCGGCAATGGGCCTATTATGATCGTTTCGCCGCCAGCTTGGGGACTCTCTTCAAAGTATCTTCAGGAAGGCCTCGCCCCGCTGGAACAGACATTTACACTGGTTTATCTCGAGTTTAGGGGAAACGGGAAATCCACAAGGCCGGATGCATCCGAAATGACCTGTTGGCACCTAGCGGATGATATTGAGTACCTTCGCCAGGAATTGCAGATGGAAAGAGTACCGTATCTGTTGGGTCACTCAGGTGGCGGCACAATTGCTCTTTGGTACGCTATAAGATATCCAGACAAGGTGGATCGTCTTGTTCTCTTGAACCATCGTCTGGATGGCTTTGACGACGGTGATTCGTTAAAGAACTCTATTATTGAAAAGAAACGGGATCCGAAAATGCATGCTCCGCTCAGAGCATGGACTTCTTCGTGGGACGATCTTTCCGATGAGAAATTTGCTCAAAAAATTCGCCTGTTTCTGCCAGTTTACTTTTTTAATCCCGATGCTTCTGTTCAGTCCAAAGAATTAAATAGCATTCAAACTGTTCCCTTGTGGAACTACCAGCTTCTACATGGCAATGAACGAAAAGTTCAGCATCAAGAGCAGGAACTTGGCAAAGTCGCAGCAAAAACATTCATGATCTTTTGCCAAGCGGATCCAGTTTGTACACCGACACAGGGCAATGCGACTCAAAAAGGGATTGTTGGGTCTAAGCTTGTGATATACGAGCAATGTGGCCATTTTCCATGGATCGAAAAAGGGGAAGAGACATTCAGAGACATTATAGAATTTTGTGCTTTATAATCTATCAATTACTTCTATGAAATAATAAGCTCGTTTATCTGGGTATAAAATTTAATCAGGCAGGTGTATCTCTAAAAGCAATTATATCATAAGAATTTAGGGTCTCATCACCTCTGTGATGTCAAAATCGAGCCAATTCCAATCAAAGAATGCCTGCGAGAGATCTCCATCAGGGTCCGGTGCGCCAGTTCCCAGAAATACGTTATCCAGTCCCGCAGGAATTTCCGCAGATAGACTAGCCAATATGCTCTCTTGAGAAGCTGGTAGCATCTCAGCACGACCAATTTCATTTTTTGATGGTTCTTCTCGCTTCTTAGCAGCTTCAAATTTCTGTCTATAATCCTGTAACGCCTGAATACCCCCTTGTGCAGAGATATCGTATGACATGTAGAGTTCAAAGATCGCAATGGTCTGTTCCCATACAGTCTTATCTGGCTCTTGGTCTAAATCAACGTGCAAGTCTGGAAGTAAGCTGGCTGCTAATAGGACTGTTGCCGAACCAAACGTCACTGTTAAACATTAGAGTGGTGCAAATATTAGAAATTTTATGTTGGCTAGCCTACCTCGTAATGTATGCCAAGTAGAGGCCTGATACATAAGATGGGTATTACTATGTACTCTCTCAATAACTGTTCGTGCTGTGGAAACGCAGAGCTTATTGATATCATTAAGTAGCCCCATAGCTAGGCTTGAATTGCCACTTTTAGCTCTTAACAGCTCTGAACGTATTGTTCGATTTGCGACAGTTGCCAGAAGACAGGGGCGAAGAATGGAAAGTCGGACATAAATAGAACTAGAAAGAAAATTTTTTTTAGCATGAACAACACTCCAAACGAACTTTTTTTTAAAAAAAAAAAACTTACCGTATTCTGAGGACTATGCCTTGAACCTGGAAACATTCTTCGGCAATAGGCGCATTGACTCCTTGAAGCTGGCTTGGCAAATTGCCTAACATTTCGTCCAACTGTAGACAATACTTTGGCATTTCGCTGATATATTGAGTTAAAGAGGTAGTTGAGCTCTGTTCAATCGAGCTCTGTCCAAGCGCGTGCATCCTATCTGTAATCTCGCGAGGAACTTCACACAGTTGGAGATAGTATCGAAAGAAATCTAACCTCGAAGGCTTATTTGCCGGCTGTTGGCCTTCCCCTTCTTCTAATAGATACTCGTCGTCGACTGCTTGCGGAACTGGCACAGAATTTGCCTTGTTCGTCGCTATAGGCCACCCGAACGTGTATGAGGCTATGCTATTATCTTGTAAATAAACATTTTCGTTTCCTTTTGGATCTAACGGTGAGCATATAATCCTTACCTATCCATTATAAGAGAAATGTGCCATACCCTACGTCTCATTTCCCGTTCTAACTGGTTTGTTGGCTCAGGGATATCTTTATGAAGTCCAAGGCCATAAGCAATTCTCTGTGCAACGCCAAGCGTACTCCAGCATCTTGAGGCAAAGGATGTATACTGAAGGTAAATTACCCGCAGAAGGAATAATTGCGCCGCTTCAAAGGAGTACTCGTCCAGTGTCTCGGCAGATACCAAGCGGACTGACCGCCTGTACAATGATTCGGCATCTCGCTTTCTCCATTCAGCTGGACAATGTTCGGATCGCTGGCAGCCAATGGCTAAGACAACGTTGACTATGGAAAGTAGAAGCATATCATTGCCCGTATACTTTGATAGTGAAAGAGAGTCCGTAGATCTCCAAAGATTATCATATTTTTTCACGAAGCTTGGCCAGTGTAATACGGGAAATATAGGGTGCGAGAACCGCCAGTACGTGTTCATAAGGGAGTCTGCCAATTTCTTTTCAGGTAACAGCAGAGCGTCAATATCCACGCAAACATCATTAGTATTCGAGACTGTAAACCCAATTGGGTCATTGAGATATTTGTTTCCTGAGAACGGAGTACTGGACGGCGCTGTTTTCCTGTTGAACGGATCGATCGTGGCAGCAACTCGGCTAATAAAAGAGTGAGTCGAGGGCGGTCCAAATATGGATTCACTTTGACGGATGGGTTTATCTAGTGGCTGAGGATTCTCACTAGGGATAGTTATGTCGCTTTCCCTACGAATACTCTCTGGCAACCATGATTTTGATGAGACATGAAGAGTAGGATCCGGCCCTATAAGAGCTCCACCGGGTGTTCCAGTGGGAGGACTCTCAAGATTATTCTTGATATTTGGAGGCAGAGAAGGTATATCCCTTGATGAGGCATCAAGTTAGTTTATAGGTTTATGACGAAATCAATATCATACTGGAGCTGAGCCGACATACCGAACTGACACTATTTTGGGCTGTCCAGGAAGAACTTGCTCATATACACACAGGTTAGGCTGGCCTCTGCTTAAACATGTAAGACAAGACGGCCGAGTTCCATCGCATTTAGATTTCCGTAGGCGACACGGACGACAAGATTTTCGAAGCCTATTGCGCTTACGGCGTGGAATGGCCGAGGTAAGCCTAGGCGGCTTTTCTTCCATTTTCCGGATTTACCAAGTTTGTCGCCGGAGAATAGTGATTATGAAGGATGCGATGGAGTTTTAAGCGCGGAGATACCGTGCAAGAGGGAAATACGATTAAGGTATTGAGTATATTAAAGATTTAGGTGCCGACAGGCTCTCAGAATGACGATGAGAGCAGTGATGAAGGTGAGCCATGCTGAGAAACTGGGGTTGCGGGGCAGGCTAGGATATAAGCTGCTGTTATAATTGGATACTAGGGTAGTAATAGGAGATAAAAGCCATGTATGATTGGCTGTAATTGATCGGACATAGTCTTCAATTTTAATTGGCTTGAGTTTGCGTTAAATCTTGCCACTTGAGGCATAGTGTCGGAGATACAACGAGGAGACGCTCCTTGGTTGTCATCACCAGGACCACCTCGATGGTATAAATGACAAGCTTAAGAAATGTTTCAGTCACTTTTTCAAATCTTGCTTCGGTACCTTGCAGCCACCAGTAAAACAATCTTCAAGGCATGGGCTCTAAAGTGGGTTTTGAAACACCATCTGGCGTTGTCCAACCTTTGGACGATGGAGACACCACGGAGCGTGGTTCGCAAAATGGGCCTACAGATACAGAGAAACCCACACACGAGGAGGAGGAATTTAAAGAAGGCGGCTATGGCTGGTAAGTTTTAATGGGAGAAAAAAAGGTTTTTAATGACATTGATACTCATAAATCCTGCGATAGGGTCGTGGTAGCTGCTGTTTGGCTGATATTGGCTCATTCGTTTGGCATCAACTCAGTAAGTGATTCCTGTAGATATATGGAGAACAATGTATTGATAATAGTCCCCAGATGTTTGGTGTATTCTTAGCATTCTATCTTGCGAATGACCATTTCCCAGGAGCGACGCCTTTACAATTCGCTTTCGTCGGAGGCCTCAGTTTTTCAGTTGGTTTGTGCACACCAACGATACTACTTAACGGCAAGGAGGTAACTGACATGTTTGCAAGCTTTTATTGCATCTCCATTCGCCACAATATTATTGCGCAAAATAGGCTTACGGATGACTGTCGTCACTGGTGGGCTATTTATATCGTACGCTCTCCCTCTCTGGTTACCATATTTTCAGATATACTCACTCATAAACACTTGCAGCGGCGCTTATGTTGCAGCGTCTTTCTCGAAAACTATATGGGAACTCATTCTCAGTCAAGGAGTTTGCTACGGCATCGGTATGGGAATTTGTTATACCGCAACTGCCGGCCTAATTGCTAAGTGGTTCAAAAAACGGCGAGCTCTCGCAAATGGCATTGCAACAGGCGGTACAGGGTTTGGTGGCCTCACATATTCTCTAGCGGCGAACGCCATGATTCAACGCATGGGAATTGCTTGGACATTTAGGATTATGGCCATTATATGTTTTGTTGTGCTTATAGCCAGTGCTCTTTTCCTAAAAGATCTTGATAAGGGAACAACAAAGACCACGCTCACCGCATTCGACCGGAGTCTTTTCAAACTGCCTGACTTCTGGCTATTCTTAGGATGGGGATGGCTGTCTAGTCTTGGCTATGTTGCTGTAGTTTTCTCTCTATCAGCTTATGCCCAGCAAGTTGGGTTTTCTGCACAACAAGGCTCTCTGGTGTCTGCGATGTTCAACCGTGAGTAAAAAATTCTCTTGGATGAGCTTCATAAAACTAATGTCTTTGCTGTTACAGTTTCTACCGGTATAGGGCGTCCGATTATCGGTTTCATGGGCGACAGATTCGGCACAATTAGAGTAAACACACTTGGAACTTTTCTTTCAGCTCTATTCACATTTTTCATATGGATCTTTGGCGGCAAGTCCTATGGGGCACTCATGGTGTATGGGTTATTGGGCATGTTTCCCAGCATTATGTGGGCTACTTTTGCGGTTATGACAGCGTCAATTTTTGGTCTGCAAAAGATGCAAGCTGGTACGTATAAACTCTCAGATTCAGAAAGGATAGAACCGCTAATTATTTTTCTTGTTTTGTTCAGTCATATCTCTTTCAACACTGACATTAGCGCTCCCTTACACTTTTGCCGAGGCGATTGCACTTAGCTTGAGGAAGCCCGGAAGAGACGGCTTTCTCGACATACAAGTCTACGCCGGCGTGATGTTCGTCGCGGCTACGATTTGCTGTAAGCTTTATGTTATCCTCTAGAGCGGCAAATAGCTAACACCTTGTTCGCAGCCCTAATTCTTACTATCAAGAAAGGTGAACTATACCGCAAACGAGAGGATGATTAGCGCATGACTGCTTTACTGTAATAGATCAAGCATATGGGTTACGGAAAGATGCATAGCATAGCATATAGATTGTATTTGGTGTGTTAGAAACAGTATATTAATAAGACTCTTATCAATGCTTTACTATTTAAACTAAAAAGAAGAATATAGTGGTATTAATTGCCAAGTTTTTAGAAGCCTTGTGCTCCTGCCCAACTTTATGGTATGTCCAGGCTGTATTACAACCCAGACTGTGCCGTCTAAACTCCGTGGAGGAACTACCTACTAGGCTTTCTTCCTTGGCGCTCCCCATAGCTATAAAGGCTCAAACAGCGAACGGCGATCCAGCGCTCGCTTTGGCTATGTAGCAAATAGTACAAATGTGCAGCACTGATTCAATATACAAACGGCATACCTTGGAAAGAGAAGCACGAGAAGAAGTCTAGTTCAGTTGTTGTCGTTATCATTTCCTGGGACAGACTCAATCATGATCTTCCACGAGAGAGATAATTCACATCCCTACTATTGTTCCGTAAGAATCCTGAGTTGGGTCATTGTTGTGGACCTCGGCTTAATCGGCAGCAATCCCTGTACACATATTGGCTGCCATGGCTACATAGACAAGCAACCCGTAGAAGCAATTGCACGATTCTATTTGCGCAAGTATGGGTCTCAGGTCTGCTCTATTGGAGCTGCTGAAGAGTGACAGCTTCTGGACTCCACTCCGCCATGACCAGGTTCTGGCTGATGGCTGACGAGAGCAATCGTTTTCTTGACCGAGCGAGCACGTGTTGAAATATGCACGGTTATCGGTTATGGCTGTACGCGTCGGTCAGATTTGCCCGATGAAGATAGACGTGGGTCGTGGGCTGTGCAAACAGCTGGTTAGGAGAGCGGCAGGACTTAGTATTCTCTACCTTAAACAAACGATGTGACTTGACCTTCGCTGGGGACGATTTTTTTCCCTTTCTCTTTTTGCTATAATTAAATGAGTTGTCTAGTCTCTGGAAAGTGCAAGTTTGAGCTAGTAGATAATAAGGGTAGTTCATTGAAGACATGTTCTCTTCGTACTGTATACTAGTGGCAGTGGCAGCATTAATCCATCGCCCAACAATCGAACCCCACAGGATTTTCGTCATACTACACATTGACAAATTTACATGCTCTCGATCTGGCGATTCTAATCTTCAAGCTATACCGCATTCTTCTGCATCATGAGCAACGTGCCGTTGGTCTACAGCCTGATTGGCTTACAGTGTAGATTTATCTGTTGGCAGTCGACAAAGGCAAGCTCGAACACCGACGGCAGCAACACAGGCCGGATGCGCCTCTGACTATATAATGATGTGAATTCCAAGCAGATCATCATCGGAACTCTTGTAATCGGTCTGAATCAATTGTGAAATTCTCACTGTTGGCCTTGCCGAAGTGGAGCATTGTGGATCGTCAACACCAAGATGCGGCCCGACACACTCTCATCAACCTTTATGCTGGCATTGCTAGCAGAGGTTTGCTCAGCCAGAAGCTTGAATACTACTATCGAGGCATTGAGCGTTGCTGGCGCTGCTACATCAAACTCCTACCCTCCCGCTAGCAGTATGTCATTCTCTGAAGCTCTATCTAATAAAAGAAGAAAAGAATATATTACGTCCAGAACAAGGTGCTGACAGTGCTACTGCATTAAGCAAATGTCAACTCTAAATTGTTCCCGCCCGAGTCCAAGGTAGGATACCCGGGCCCTACGCCAACGGGTGTAGAGCCGGCTGCAATTCAAACCGCTCCAATCTATCCTTACAATAATGGACCTTCGGATAGCTTTCCGCTGGTGGCGCCTCAGCCCTGGGGAGCAAGCAAATTCGGCAAGGGCTTTGACATTACCAAATTCTGGGGAAATCTCTCTCCTTGGTATTCTGTGTCCTCAGCAGACTATGGCCTGCCTGACGCGAGCCCTTTAATTCCGGATGGCTGCAACATTGTCCAGTTACATCTTCTATACCGCCACGGTGCTCGTTATCCTACCAGCGGCGCCGCTCCCGCTACCTTTGCCCAAAAAGTCCAAAATGCAACTCGGGCGGGCGGGTTCAATGTCACTGGAGAACTATCTTTCCTGGCTGACTGGACTTATAAGCTCGGCGCTGAGCTGCTGACGCCCTTTGGCCGCAGCCAAAACTTCAATCTCGGAGTGGCTTACCGGCAGCTATACGGCAATCTTCTAAACAATTTTACTACCAGCGGCACGATTCCGGTTTTCCGCACCGAGTCTCAGGACCGCATGGTCAAGACCGCTGAGAACTTTGCTGCCGGCTTCTTTGGCGTGCCCGAATATTTGGACCAAGTTAACATCGAGATCTTGGTTGAGAACACTGGCGTGAACAATTCGGGTGCTCCGTATGAAGTCTGCCCCAACTCGAATGTCGCTAGCCGCGGAAGCATTGGATCTACAGTAGCAACAAAATTTGCGAAAGATGCCTTTAACAGCACGATTGCTCGACTGCAATCTCAGGTAAGCTGCAGATGATAATGATCAGAAATAATTACAGGATTTCTTATTAAGATTGATAGATTTTCGGGCTGAACCTGACCGTCACTGATGCCGTCGCCATGCTTCAACTCTGCTCTTATGAAACTCATGCTCTCGGCTACTCGGCTTTCTGCAATCTTTTCACTGACGAAGATTTTATTAACTATGAGTATTACTACGACCTGGTAAGCCGTTTAATTCATGTTCAGCCTTTTGGCGACATGTACTGATGCGCGCAGTCATTCTACTATAACAATGGCCCCGGATCTCCGGTTGCCGCCGCACAGGGCAAAAGTTATCTCCAGGAATTCGTAGCTCGCTTCACGCATTCGTTTCCCACCGCCAGTTCTGCCCTTAATCTCACTTACGACAACAACACAACTTATTTCCCGCTGAATCAGTCGATCTATGCAGATGCAACTCACGAAGTCGTCGTTCTCGACACTCTGACCGCGTTTAACCTGACTGCTCTGTTCAAAGGTCCAGCACTGAGTCTTTCTGGAAACCAAAAGCGAAACTCTTTCGTGGCTAGCAAAATTGTGCCCTTTGCAACTCATTTTACCACGCAGATCTTGGAATGCCCAGCCTACAAGCCTACTCGGCAGATCCGATTCTTAGTGTAAGCATACGAATATTCCATTGCTCTCGTCTCACATACTAATTATGCTGCAAATAGTAATGATGCCGTCGTTCCCATTGCAGACTCTTATCACGGGTGTCCAGAGAACCCCGATGGTCTTTGCTCTTTCGACCATGTTGTATCAGTCTTGCAGAATCGAATTGATGAGATTGACTTTGACTATGACTGTCTCGCCAATTATACGGCAAAGGCTGGAGTCGATTACAATGGCCGGGCTCCAAGAGAGTAATATCAGGGCTTTTGTGTCTACATGAATATATTGCATCTGAATAACGAGTTATGATTCGATTATTTCCTTCTGGCTATTTATACTATAATTTTCCACAAAATGTATTGCCGTTTACTCATTACTGGCTCGTATTTTCCAATCAAACATATTGTCCAACGCCTTACTCATTTGTAGGTGACACTAGGTAAATTCTTACGGTTAGCTATTTAAATTGCTATCAGAAATATCGCAGTTATCTTTCTATGTATTTTATTGTTATAACACCTCCATCATATATGTTCTTCGCTGACATCAGGCATTTACAACTTGGAGTATTTCAACTCCTATCAACAATTTGAAGCAAATTACCCTCCTGCCCTCCATATTGTTAGAGAACAACCACCGAGGGTTGCTTGGTAATTGTTTTACCTCACAGATCGTCGGACATTTCATGTTGAAAACAGCATCCAGCGGATGGGTCACGAGTCATAATTTCATCAAGCAGTCTCGCCATCGTGTAATTTGTTACCCCGTCTGCTAGGCGCAGCCAGTGCTGATTAGTTACGCCGGTATCATTGACCCACGCATTCGAACCATTGGCTGCATTAAAGCTGTTATAGCCAAACGCGTTTGCATAAGCAAGCATTGGGCGAAGTCTCAGCTTTGAGAGCCATTCTAGTCCTACGATACCATACAACGTCGTGATGGGATCCCATGATTGGCGAATAGTAGAACCTCTGCCGACATACCATTGATAGGCGCTGAGAACTGGGGAATCTGGAGAAAATCGCTGTGCAAAGTTCTGGCCAGAGAAGACATTTCCACCTAGCTCATTACCCGAGTATGTGATTTTAACATTCTTTGGCCAATGGTTAACAACTTCTGCGGTGCTTTTTGGGTCTATACCGCCAAAATTATACTCCCAGCCCGAGGGATATTGTCCTCCCATCACAATTAGTTCGCTAACTTTGGCCGAGATAAGTTGGAAGCCTGATAAATGACTTATATGGTCCGCTTCAGACTTTAAAAGATCAGCGAGATTGATAAGTCCGCCGATGGAGATGATGTGAATACTCTCATCTTCGGCAGAGCTTAGAATAGTGCGATATAATTCGACTGGTGTTGGAGTCAAAGACGATTCCTTGACTTTTCTGGGCCAGTTGTATGCTAACTTGCTGACATATTCGCCATATCTACTAGAGCATTTAGTTGGAGTACATATGAAAATGAGTGTATAGATAGAACTGACAAATAAAAGAAGCTGTCAAAGAACGTATCGTTTGTGAGCGGTCGGAAGGCGGCGATTGGGATATCTTCGTTGTCAAAATATGTGCAAAGGGCCTATTTTCCCTCAATATTGAGCGGCTCTTTAGGAGTGTAAGGTGGGTATACGCACGCTTGCTCCTAAAGCTCCATAGTGAGAGGGCGAGTTAATTGCAATGCCTCTCAGGTCTGCCAATCCACAATTGTGGAAGACGTTTGCAATTGTCAAGGCGCCCACATCATCAACGTCGCTGAATAGATCTGTGTCCAAGATTATAGGCTGGCCGCCGTTGGTCGATACCTTTGTGGCTCTTGCCAGCCCCAAAGCGCCGCTCAAAACTATCGCAAGTAGAAAAATGAAGGACATCTTGTTTTCCGATCTGAGCCGAATGCCACAAAAATGTCCGCCACCGGAGTTTGCTTAGCATTTACGGAGTACATAGCTGATCTAACACACCGACCAATCTACAGTGCATGATACTATTAATCACTGTATTCACACACTGTTGGTCTTTAATAACACTAGTATAGACAATTAATATGGTTCTTCTTACATTTGATGAGCTAAAAGCTTTACATGTGTATGTATCAGGTAGCAAGAAGTGAGAGAGCTTCTGGTCTGTCACTTGGCTAGACACCATTGCCACGACAGACTTTAAACATACAAACAACATGATCTCTTTTAATAGAAAAGAAATACGAAGATGTTAGAGATAAATATAGGTATATCCCAAGAGGAAAGGAGTGCCCGGGATATATTGATCCTCCTAATTACTCCCAAGAGGCTCAACTTTGACAACAAGTGATTTATTTGAAACCCGGTTTGCAGCTAAAGAATAACACCTACATGGAATTTCACAGCTGAGTATTCAATAGACTGCGGAGAAAAAAGTTTTTTGTGCTGATCATATTACTATGTCCCCAGTCGTGGCCTATAGTATGTCTAATAGGTCTCTGCAGATTCCTTTTGGTTCGCCAGCACTGGAACACTGTCGGGAATACTGCCATCACAGTGGGTGATGATACGGCATATTGTCGGGCAAATGGAACAGTTCGTTCTCGAAAAGAGTACTATTTCTAATCGTACTTTCTTCTCATGAGAGAAAAATAGGTTTAAAAATGCCATCTGTGTTTTATTTATGGCATGATGCAACAATCATCGCTGTTTCAAATATGGAGGCGATTTTAGCCGGGTGGTCCTTAGCTTGACGTGCGTGTCTCCTCTGAGAACTTTCTGAACAGGACTTGTGCACTGGAAAAGGCTAAATTAATGGTATTGTTCAAGAATTACTGTTAAAATTTTATCGGTTTCCATAAGTAACCGCGTAAGTGGGGGTGATACGAAGTGAACGGGTTTAAACAAGGAGTGCGAGTGCATATATTCTAGCAAAGCCATGCCGCTGCTATTCAAAGTAGCACATCAGACAATGTCCAATCACGTCGTGATATTTTTTTTTTAAACGGAGAGAACAGCAAGTGGATATTTTCGAGATTGCTAGACAGTATCGTACATGTCGGTTGCCAACGGCCGATTGTGACCATCTCTAGGGCACGTATCAACCAGCTGGAGCTTGCGCCTACGTTTGACTTGGCAATCGCAAACATTCACCTCAGAGCTCGAATTGTTCGTATCAATATTGCTACGCTCTGTTGGTTGACATTTGTTTCTTTTATAAAAGTTCCTACTCCGTCCTGTCCGTACTTCTAGACTTATGCAGCTTCAAAGGAATGGAGTGGCGCGGGTTGCCGCAGCCCAATCTAAATACGGGTAGTGATTTATTTCGCGACTACATTTCTCCTAGGCTGAGAGAAACAGGCTAGAGGTTTCATAATTTGCATTCTTTGATCCAAACATTTCTTCGTGTTATATGTTATATGACACTTATCTTGATTGCTTTGGTACACTCCAAGATGGATTCTAGGCTTCTCACGGTCGTCTGCGAAAGGCTAATTTCGGCATGTGCTACTCCACAATGACTATCGAGGCACTGTACACACAAATTGTCAAGAACTTGTGTCTTCTGCGAGCATCTCATATATGAGTCGTTTTTGTTCTAATATGCCATGTCTTTTTTGGATGTTGTGCCACCACTCTGTTCAAAGGTGGTTGGACAATCCAAAGGGACCCAATCCACAGCCTCACTCCTGCTACCGCAATGGAACAAAGGCCGTACATCATTGACACGAATATCAGTGAGTAACGACGTTATTCAAATATCTGATAGAGAACATCTTTTTGAATCGTGATTCTAGGGGTATAAGACTTGGCATTTCGTCTCCCAAGTCGCAGTTTCGGCTTTCTTGTCAAACAATCTGCACTCAAAACTCGACTACCAAATTACTTGACTCCTTTTCAAACAACAATATTTCACTTCCTGCGTGATACATTTTCAGAGCCATCGGGTCGCAAATTTGGCACAATCAAAAGCTCAGCTTAATCATATCAAAGATAATAAAGATCCAAATAGGCCGCAAGCATATTTAAAATGGCTGAAGTCCACGCAGCTGAGGCATCCCGATGCAAAGAAATCCTCGAAAGCCTTTACGAGGTAGTAGTACAATCAGCCCCATCAGAGGATAAGCCTATCGTTTTTTCGGTGGCGAAGCCAACAGTTGATGATATTAAACAATCTAAGTCGGCTTGGGTTACGATCTGCTGTGTACGTAATGAACTAGGAGGGCTCCGAGACAAAACTACCATTAAAGATGATGGAAAATTAGCAGTCATCACTACCGAAGATGCAGGTCGTACCTTCAAGGTTGAGATCCGTTTTGATGAACACTGATGCCAAAAGCCTCTACTCAAATGACGATTTGCCGGTTTTTGGAAGTGGGTAAGCGAACACCTAAAACGTCACCAATTTGGCAAGGTTTCAGAGCGCGACTACATAGACATTCAGCACGTTTAGTGCTGGAGAATTCTCCCATCATTTACTAGTAGTAGCTAGGGCGATCAGAAAAGATCATGAATACATTATCTAAACACAACTTTGGATTAATGAAGGATAGTTAGCAGGTTGGAATGCGATTTGATTTTGAAATTTGAGGTATTTAGTACAAGGTCATTGGTCACAGCATGTCGAGGTGTGTAGACTTCGTGAATAGATGGAAAGAGAACCTAAATAATAAAAACACTTTGCTTTTGAATGAAATACTGAAAGAATTTGCTCAAACTGGTAATGTATTCCGAAGAGTCGTCTTCTTCTCCCGCTCCTGCGGCCATTGGGGTTGCGTATGCTTCGTACAAGTAACGTAATCATTGTCCGGCAGATTATGGCATTGTTAGCTGGATAGAATGAGAAAAGGGGGTAGAAAAGGCGTACAATATACATTTTTTATTCAGTTTACTATATTATCCAATAAGGGTGGGCGTTACATATATATATGTATCAATGATCAGGCTTATCTCCTCCTCTTGCAACATGAATGGCCCGCTCACTTTTACTCGTCCGCGATCAGCCAGCTGCCGATGGTAACGCAGGACTGCAAATACAGCTGCGAATTTTATGTGTATGATTGTAAGTTCATCTTCCATGCATGTGAAGCATAATGCCATGCTGCTAATCTACTAGGTAGGTATGGTCAAAGAGCATATATGTTCCGTATCCTAGACAAAGAAGACTTTACACATTTTAAGCTTGGCGCGATGAATTGTGGAAAGCTTCGACGGAGAGCCACTCGGCATAACCAGATGGGCGTCGTAATTAGAGTTACACTTATGAGACATTTATCAGAATCTGAATCCGCTTGGAGCATTAAGAGGTTCCATCTATCGACTACTACATCTGCTATTGTGCTCATACGATTATAAATTCCTTATCTTTCCTCGACTATCAGCGGCAAGAAAACGAGCCGGCCTTTATGCATGTTAACGCCACTAGATCATCTCAAGCGCGGGATCTACATGTATTCTATCCTGTCAAGTGGCACGCCATTATAAGCCTATCGCTCTAGTACTGGTACCACAAGTGGGCCCAGACAATCTGCGATGTGGGTTTTAGCAGCATTAAAACCGCATCTTAGCAGAAGCTTTTCTAGAAGCGCCGAGCGCCCACCTTGATGTCCTCGCTCGGAGTTCAGCACAACATGTAATTCCAGCAACGCAGCCGCTTCTACCGCAACGATAATTTTGTTTTTCAGCAGCATGAATTATCTCAAGCTTAAAAAGCACAGTGAGCGCAGCCTGCTCACAAATTCGCAGGAGATGCTGGTAAATCATGCGGCGCTGTTCAAAATGGCCCTGTCGGTTGCGGAGCCTGAATTCCGAGCTCGGAAAAGGCTTACTCAAAACGCAAGATATGTACGCACGCAGTGCACATCCAACTACCAATGACCGCCATTTTATGACCGCCTGCCGGGAGCAAACAAGACGCTTCCAGACGCTATCGAATAATAGCAAGTAGAAGAAATACTAGTTGGGGCCTAATTCGAGTGGCTTTTAGTAGGTCAACTTGTATATCCGTGCTCGGCATTGAGACGAACAGGAGCCTCATTTGTTGACGTATCACTGCACTTTCACTCCAAACTTGTATCGCCAGTCTCGTTCCTTGAACTCACAATATGCTCTATGAACCTTGTTCTATTATACTGGCACTTTTATTATAACCCAGTATAATGACAACTTGAAAAGCTAGTCTCTCTAAAAGCATGAAGAGGTAATGTTATTTATGGCCTTGTTGCTTGTAGATTCGCCCATATAAATTGAACGTTGGATATTCGACTATAAACCTCCAAACACGACTAAAACGGCGCCTTCTTTGGGTCCCAAACTCAATACTTGGCGCCACCCGTCTTCGTCTGCCGTCGACGCTTCAGTTGAGTTCTTTTCTACATTCGATCTCACCGAGCGTCCGGCCGAGTCTCCACCAACGTTACACTCCCCTGCTATCATCTCCAGGTTTTGTTCCAGCCTCCTTGTATCCAGATCTGCAATTAAGTGATCATCCTCCGCATAAAGCCCCCCGCAATCTCAGTCTCCGCACCTCCATCTCATTTGCCCCGTTTCCCAGAGCGAGCTTATTGGCAATATAGGCATCGTATACATTTGGGGGCATCCCGTAAGTTTAGAATACTTTCTACCAGTTGACTAGTTATCCCCCTTTTAGTTCGGCCTTAAATAGCTTTTACTGATCATATAACCTTCTATTCCTATTCACTGCCCTGACTTTGGCTTTCTCTTTAAAGTATTTAAAGAGGGTGACCTCTCCCTCTCCCTCTCGTGAGCTTCTCTCCACTTACACATTACACCCGAATTATACAACTCTGCTTTGGTTACTCAAAAAGCACACATACACACTTCAACCGCTCATCACCACTTCCTCCTCACCCAATCTTACACCACTACACCACCACCACCACCAACAACAACCCTCCTTCACTCGCAATGGATATCCTCCAGCGCGCCAAAATCTCCAAACCCAAAGATGAAGCAGGATCCTCCTGGCCTGCCATCGCAATGGGGTTTTTCGTCGCCTTCGGTGGCGTCCTATACGGGTAAGTCGAATCAAATCCCCCCCTTACTCAAGCAATACGACTTCATCTCATCCCATCTCATCTCACTAACCACGACCATCTCCTCTTATAGATACGACACCGGCACCATCAGCGGCATCATGGCCATGCCCTACTGGAAAAACCTCTTCAGCACAGGCTACCGCAACTCCAACGGTGATCTCGACATCACCACTTCCCAAGAATCCTCCATCGTCTCCATCCTGTCCGCCGGCACCTTCTTCGGCGCCCTCGCCTCCCCCCTCCTCGCCGACTTCTTTGGCCGCCGTCCCGCCCTGATGATCTCCACCTGGGTCTTCAACCTGGGCGTTGTGTTGCAGACAGTTTCGACTGCTATCCCCTTGTTTCTCGCGGGTCGGTTCTTTGCCGGCTTCGGTGTCGGGCTGATTTCTGCTCTGAGTAAGTGAACCCCTGCTTGACAATATCATCATCGTCATCATCGCCATCTAACATATCCCGTCCAGTCCCCCTCTACCAATCAGAAACAGCTCCCAAATGGATTCGCGGCGCCATCGTCGGCGCCTACCAACTCGCCATCACCATCGGCCTCCTCCTAGCCGCCGTCGTCAACAACGCCACCTCCAACCGCAACGACTCAGGCAGCTACCGCATCCCCATAGCCGTCCAGTTCGCCTGGTCCCTCGTCCTCTTCATCGGCATGATTTTCCTGCCAGAAACCCCCCGCTACCTCATCCGCTCCGGCAAGATGGGCAAGGCCGCCGCCGCTCTCTCCCGCATGCGGCGTCTCCACAAGGGACACCCCGCGATTGCCTTAGAACTCGGCGAGATCAAGGCCAACCTGGAATACGAGAATGGCGTCAGCAAGGCTACTTACTGGGACTGCTTCAAGCCCCCCATTCTCAAGCGCCAGTTTACCGGCATGGCCCTTCAGGCCCTCCAGCAGCTCACCGGCATCAACTTCATCTTCTACTATGGCACACGATACTTCCAGAACTCTGGCGTCTCCAGCGGCTTCACCATCGCCATGATCACGTCCGCCATTAATGTCGCCTCTACCGTCCCCGGCCTCTTGGCCATCGATAAATGGGGTCGTCGCCCTCTGCTGCTCACCGGCGCCATCGGCATGTGTGTCTCCCAGCTCATTGTCGCCGTTTGCGGCACACTCTCCACAGGCCAACGCGACAACGGCGACATCTTTGTCAAGAACCTTGCTGGACAACAGACTGCCGTGGCATTTGTCTGCATCTTCATCTTCTTCTTCGCCAGCACTTGGGGCCCTCTCGCATGGGTTGTCACCGGTGAGATCTTCCCGCTCAACACGCGCGCCAAGTCTCTCAGCATGACCACCGCAACCAACTGGCTCCTCAACTGGGCCATCGCCTACTCCACCCCATACCTGGTCAACTACGGTAAGGGCTACGCCAATCTCCAGTCCAAAATCTTCTTTGTCTGGTTTGGTGCTTGTTTCATCTGCATTGCCCACGTCTGGTTCTTCATCTACGAGACCAAGGGTCTCAGTTTGGAGCAGGTGGATCAGCTCTACACCGAGGTGTCTGTGGCTCGAAAGTCTACCAAATGGAGCCCTACCGAGACTTGGGAAGAACACCGTCGGCACGAGCCTTCGGTGGTTGGTGAAGTTGGAGAGGTCACAGAGGAGCCGAAAGAGGATGCGGGTACCGTGGTGCTGGACTCGACTCATGTCGAGCAGCAGGGAAATGATTCGGCATAGAGGAAGGGAAAGAATTTGCTGCTGCTTATTTTTTTTTTCTTTCAATTTTGGTTATGTATTTTTAAATAAACTGTTACAAGTCTAGTATACCCTTTACGTATAGTTTTCATGGGCGTTTTGCATTGATCTATGATCAGGGGTGTTAGGATTGTTGAAAGGGTACCCTCAAGCATATTTGCATAGAGGAACTTATACGTATGTAAGGATACTCGAAACTACAAGACTGGCTACCGAGCTAGCAATATTTTCATGTTAATGTTTATATATAAGCAATAAATGACAATTAACTCAAATTGAATAAAACCAGTTTGACGTAAAAGAATAAAAATATCATTAGCAATTTAGCCCTTGAAATATTCTATACAAATAAGAATTCAAGCGGCCGGTTCAGTATTAAAGTGTGTCATCAATTTCTTGTTCATAATCATACTGCATAACGTCGTTTTCACAAGTTAGCTTCTTAGGTATAGCTTCGTCAGTCTCCCTCCAGACGGCGTGGCTTCAATAACAAGAGGTACAAATATCCGATCCAAAAGGGGGAAGAAAAAAAAACCAAGGATGCATATGCAATTGCATCAGCGTGAGTAATGAAGCAGAAATAGAAATATCCAAGCTTATGCTTCACCACTGCCAACGATACTCTTCTTCCTATCCTTCAGCCCACCTTCCAGCGTCGCATCTTTAGCACTGTCATCGACATCCAACCCCTTGCTCTTCGAGTCTTGTTCCTCTTTCTTGGCTTCTTCCACCGCCGCTGTGCTTTCGTCATCAGAGTCGATGTACGGGCTTGGGCGCATCACCTTGAGTTTAATGACCTCCTTGCTTTTGTCGTCATCATCAGCCTTATGATAAACTCGTAGTCCAATCACGACAACCGCATTCCAAGGATCCTTCTCAAACTCATCAAGCTCATCTTCAAACTTCGGAGGCGATAATGTAACGGGGCGTCTATTCAGCTGACCACCAAAAGCTTGAGCTTGCAAGTCTAGCTCGCGTTCAGAAAGATCAGATAACGAAGATAGACTCTCCAGGCCGTCATCGCTCTCAGATTCGTAGTATGGAGAAGTTTGTGATGGTTTCCTTACGTCAACGTGTTCTGGTAGCGATCCCGGCCAATCAGTTGCGTCTTCAAGTGAATTAGGCATTGGAACTCTCCGTTTTGCCCTTGATGCTCCTGCTCCATTAAGCGAAGGGGGCAGCTCATGATTCTCGTCTGGCTTGTCAATTTGCTCCTGAGAGTTGGATTTGTGCCCGTTTTCCTCTTTTCTATTCCCATTCCTGAGTCTCCTTTTAGCCTCTTGAGCTTTCCGTTTTTCTTTTCGTTTCTTTTCCTGCTTCTGGCTTCTCATGTGCTGTTTCACTTTGAGATAGTAATCATCCTTGCGACGAGCAATAATTCTGTCTTTGACCTCACGGAGCTCTTTATCTTTGACACGTTTCTCGTGCGCTTCCTTTGCAGATTTCTCTTCTGGAGTTTCCACGATTCTGCCTTTGCTATGTGCGAGATCGTATGCGAGACCGATGCGCATCAGTTTCTCTCGCCGTTTCTTAGCATTATTTCGGATGACGGTCTCAATAGGTAAAATTTTATTCAGGCGAATTGCATCAATCTTGACACGAACGTCATATTGACCTGCCTCCAAATCGAGTTCGACATTGACTGAGCGTCTCATGCGGTACTGCGCTTGGCTACGGACAAGATAATCTTCATGTCCAGCTTTATGGATGCGAAACGCTAGCTCAAATCTGTATTGTCCGTGAAGACCGCGGAAGTAACGGTCATCCAGCTGAGCTAGCACAATAACGACGGGGCCAGGTTGAGTAATGTTCAAAGAGAAGTGAGTATCATGGTAGTCCAGCATCCAGGGAACGTTGATAGTAGTCCAGATTTGAGATACTTGCCAACTGTCATCAAATAGCCGAGTTCTCTCAAAAGCCTGATATTTCTGAAGCAAGTCTTCATACGCGATCCAAAAATCACCATCATCGCCAAACCGATGGTCAAGCTTCACCAGCCATTCAGGAGTCCACTCTTTGGAGCCGTCACCTATTGATATGTTAGCAACTACTCAATACCAAATTTTTCTCAAGTGCCAGGCGAATCTTACTCCAAGGGCCTTTCCATTCTCCCTTTCCCCAGGGATTTTTGAGTCGAAGTAAGCGTTTGCCATCAATGTCTACAGCCTTCTGTATGGAATAGGAATGAAGCTCGAGGATGCCTTTTCTTTCTCCCCAGTTCACTCCCCATACCCCGGTGCTACAGCCAAAGAGAAAGTCTTGGTTCACTTTCATGAGCTCCTCTTTCCAGAAATACTCCTAAAACCTCGTTAGTCGAGTACAGTAGACATGATACTATGTGCATGGATTGTAAATTCACACCGCTTACCTTGTCAAGAATATCGGTCGTGAAAATCTCGGACGTAACTCCGCCTGTGAGATCTTCAATGCCTTCGCCTCCATACCCACCCTCAATGGCAGCATAATCTCCGTGTGCCTTTGCATAGCACTTTTCAAGAAGCGGAAGCCAAGTCTCCTGAGGATGCTGACACTGGGCGAAATAAAGAGCGCTGCTGTTGGACTGGTACACTCTGCGGTAGGCTTCTTCCGGATTCGCACGCTCAAGCTCGTCAAAGAGAACTCGTTCCCAGTGTTTCTCATCGTAGTCTGACTTGGTGAGGTAGAGCTACAAAGTAAAAGTTATCATCAGCAATCCTCATCATGTACGAGAATGAGAGTTGGCAACATACAAAGTCATCCACAATCTCCGAAATCCACTCGCCATCTCTAAAGAAGACAAAGCCGTAAACGCCAACATCCTGGTCATGCGCTACGCACAACTTCTCAATCAGCCCTTTCTTGTTGCTCAGCGTACACAACGCCGACATGAGCCAGCAGTCTCCATCTCTCCCCTGTCTCACGTCGTTAGCCGTCGGCCCTTCGATGTAAAACTGCGGCTTGTCGAATATCTCCACGACTCGTTTGGCGCTTCCTGGTCGAAAGTCCTTGCCCGGATTTTCGAGAGGATCAAAATTGGAGAGAGACTCCAGGCAGTCTCGGCGGCCGAGCTTCAGATCGGCCTCGACGTCAAAATGAGGATCCCGATACTTTTTGTTGACGCGCCGGCATTCCTGGACAATCTTCTCGACTTTGGCTCGGCACATAGCCGCCGCCGTTTCGTAAGAAGACTGAGTAGTGGTTGATGAGGATGCAGACTTGGCGTTCTTTCTAGCCACTCTAGCAGTATATGGATTTTGCGGTATCACAGTTGTTGCTGAGTAGATGGAGTAGACGCACATGGTCAGCAATAGTGCCAATACAATTTCGCTATCATAAGACCAGAGGGGATCAAGTCCATCACAGCACGTAACGTTAGAAGAAACTCACCTTTGCCTGGCGCCTTTGTCGTGAACTTGGCCCAAAACTCATCTATCGCCTCCTGCGGCGTCTGCTGCTTCGCGATCCCTCTCTGCCGCACCGGCACGGGGTCCTGAGGCTCCATCATATAGTCATCATTACTCCTCGGATAGATGCGCCGTCTTGATCGCGACCGTCTGGAGCGGATACTGATATGAGATACGAAGCTGTTGTTATCGCTGTCGGTGTTGATGAAGGACATTGTGAATGAGCCGCTTCTGGGCGGGCGAAACGCGCAAAGTTGCAGGGAAAGAACAAACAATGCGCCTTCTGATTAATATGAGAAGCTGCGATGTAGACGCTGCGGTGAGTAGCGATGTCCTGATACAAGCTACAAGTCCGTATAACCTCTTCGACTCACACGCAGTAGTAGAGCTGATTGTGTCCAAGAAGCAGACGCTAATCTCAGTGCAGCACTTGAATGGACACAAGACACCAAGTATTCCAAAATCAGCCCATTCAATACACCAGAGTCACGATAGGTCGTATGAGATTTCAAAAAGAAGAGAATATATGAAATTAGCTCATCTGTGGCGGCTTAAAAAAAGGACTGTTGATTGATGTTATGAAACAACTCCAGCGCCAGCGCCAACAGGCTAGGCAGCCATCACAGCTCGGTGACGACTACAAGGCTGACTTGGATCCTTTACTCTCTACGCGCGCGCTTCTCATACACACATATCTATATGCAGTCTAACAAAAATAACGCAATAAGCTTGCTACATTTTATTACAGTGGCCCCCGCGCTTGAAGCACACCAATAGCTAATACGCAGGCCTGGTCTAGATCACGGTATTTGCCTGTAACTGCAGCACATGCCACGAAAATCTCTAGCTGATTGGGGTCACCACACTTCTTTTTTCCCCCGCTGATTTGGGGGCCGTCGACGCTATTGGATGCGTTGGCTGAATGGATGGGTGGATTCTCTGGTAGGTGCATATCCATGCACACGTAGCTAAAGATGCTACTGCTAACGAGGTGTGTGTGGCCAAAGGAATCGTAGAGAGGCTGCGTCAAATGCAAAACTCATGTGGCTTCAGCTACTACGTGCCGGAGAGTGCGTTACCTTGTGCATGTCCTTGTGTATGTAAATTGAAAGGTCAAAGAAAAGTCCTGTAGAGAAGAGCTGATGGGATCCAGAAGAGTCTGCAACGGGTCAGTAGCGTCGTATTGCTCTGCATGAGCACGCAATGTGATGATGATCCGACCTCGTTCAGCGTTCCATATTTTATCTCTTACCTGGATATTGGTGTTCGGTGTTTCATCGTACGAAAAAGGGAATAAAGAAAGTTGATCTCTGGCCTTGCTGGCTGCCATGCCTCTTCCGCGTGCTTTCGCCAGTCGCTTTGTATCAACTCTCCCTCGTTCGACTCGAAACAACACACACACAGACATGCACACATCTACACAAACACACGCGCTCATCATCACACCAAACACAACGCGCAGCGTCAACAGTTGCCGCCGCCGCCAAAGAGGGTATTTCATGACAGGATTTCTTCTTCATCTTCCTCATCTGCGCCTCTCCGCTTGTCATATTTTACTGTATCGCTGCATCTTCCACTTCTCCCAGCTCTCCTCTGCTCCGGCAGCCACGCTAACCACTCCGAAAACACGGGCATTGCTCAATGCCCGTGATCCCATTGCCCTGTATCAATCTTGGGGGCGCGCTCGTATTCTCCATTTGCCGCACAGTCATTGGATCGCACGGCTCCTATCCTCTCAACACCCTCAAACTGCCAATTCTTCAAGACATCCACCGCCTTCGCACGCGCGCGCTCTCATTCACTCTAGGAGGTGACAGTCATCACTTGCCGCTGAATTGCTCTCAAGTAGCAAACCAAGGATCTGCCGCCAAAAACCAATCAAACAACGAGTGTTACCGTTTGCGGCCTCCAGAGCAGCGCCGCCGATTCAAGCTCATTACAACATCACACACAGCCTCACGGGTATATCCATCGCATGTGCCTAAAGTCTTTAAGTCGTTAAGAGCTACGTGACAGCGTTTGTCGTTTCAGTCCGTAATATGTAGGTAGTTCCGAGTGATGTGATCCAAAGTAAATTCGTTTGAAAGATGGGGGATTTTGCCCAGGAATCGTTTCGAAGGAGGCTCATGCGTACCCAAGGGCCTCCCACAAAATCGGACGCTCTTCAATTCTGAGAAAATGTGTGTAAGAAAAAAGAAAAATTTTGACGCTTTCGATATCGTCGTTGCTGCCGCTGTCATTTTGCTCATTCCTTGCCACGCAGGAGGTGAGGCTGCAGTAAAATGTATGTTTTGCCGTCGCCTTTCTCTGGTACGAAAACGTCTGCGATAAGAGAGTGAAGAAGAAAAATAAACAGACGCCACATGATCCGAAGCCAAAGAAAGACTCCGCTTAAGCCGATGATGAGAAGAAATGTTGCCGACCATCCAGAATAGGAAAAAAAAATAGGAGATATAATAAAAGAACCGAAAACGGGGAAGCACAATCTGGGTGCTATGCAACGGAAAATGGGGTTGCATCGAGTTGAAATAGAAAAGAAAAATGTAACAAAATACAGCCTAGAATCCAGAGGAGTTTTTTTTTTTTTTTTGTCTTTTGTTTCTTTTGTTACAGCTCATGGAGTCCCAACCCTTAAAAAAGGGGGATGCGTCTGCCACCAACCAAGGCCAGGTATGGAGAGCAGCAGACCGCGTATCCGGACTTAAGCCACGGGGGCAATAGGAGCCACGGAGGGAGCAGGAACGTTGTTAAGATCCACAACCTCGTTGTTGATCTCGGTGTTGGCGGTCTTCTGGGGGCAATCGCGAGAGATGTGGCCAGCCTCGCCGCACTGGTAGCAAGTCTTGCCAGCAGTGTTCAGGGGGCCGCCGTTGGGGGCAGTGCAATCCCTGGAGATGTGGCCGAGCTTGCCGCAAGCATAACACTTCATGGCCTGCGCCTGGCAGTCACGAGCGAAATGGTTGGGGCCACCGCACTTGTAGCAAGTAGCGGGACGAGGGCCGTTGGCGAAGCCTCCACGACCATAGCCGCCGACGAAGCCGCCACGGCCCATGGGAGCACCACGGCCCATACCAGCATTGCCAGGGTTGGGGCAAGCACGCTATAGAGGCTAGATTAGTACCTTTGTCCGCAGAAATCTCGTAATGATGGCAAACATACAGCCAGGTGGCCGGGTTGACCGCAGTTGTAGCATCGGCCGCCAGTAGCGGTGCCGCTCAGGCGGAGAGTAGGGCAGTCGGCCTGGACATGACCCAATCCCTGGCAGTGGTAGCACTGCTTCGCCTCAGTAGAGCGAGGGAGAGGGCAGCCGTTAGACTCGTGGCCTATGATAAGAGGTTGTTAGATAGTGACAGGGTAATCGCATTACTTTTGTGTATGCCTACCAGGCTGCTTGCCTATCGTTGAATCATGTTAGCGGATCCAGTTCATTGATTCCTTTTCCGAGGCGAGAACGTATACGTACAGTTGTAGCAAAGACGCTCAGCAGAGGAGCAAACCTCAGCGTAGTGGCCAACGTTGCCACACTTGTAGCAAGCACGACGAGAGAGGGAAGACATTTTGATGATGTGTTTTGATCTAGTCCAGCATATCGAGTTAGCAGGCGTGTGGCGGAATGTTTCTCAAGTCCATGCATATGCGTTATAATCGAAAACAAGTGCCCACATAGCCACAGCCCAGTCAAAGTTCAACGTTGTTGTGCCGGCGGCGATGCCGGGTATCAGGAAACCACAAGAACCACTAAACGCGGCGGGTCTTGGAGTTTATCGCGGGGCCGCTGGAAGCTCGGTGACTAGCTTGGCTGCAAGAAATTCCCTCGCTAGGACGGCTGCAGGGGATTTGCGAAAAGAAGCCGGCAGGGCAGGAATAAAGATGTAGACGTAGGAAATAATGCGCAGTCGAGAACATTGTCGCTGTCCAAGTCAAAAGCTTGGATATAACTGTGTCGATCGGTTAAAGGCTTTGCCGGCGACTTGGCGCAAATCCAGATGTGACGTCCAAGTAGTGTAGAATGGCAGCTAGATTGCATGGCTTCTGGGCTTTCGTAAAGAAGGTATCGTCGCAGCCCTGCGAGGCGGCTTGGTGCGGTTTGGTGCATCTTGCATGAGCAGCAAAACCAAAGGGCAGTGCCCGAATCCGACGAGCCGAGATACTAGCGGCGCACAATCCAAGGAGATGATGCGCCTGTCCGGCTTCAGACGATCCGAGACATCCAAACATCCTCTGTATGAAGCTCGCCTTTCATGCACACACAATGCACTCAGGCACTGTTCGGCCGACGTATCAAATCTCGAGGTCGCAGTCGGAGTCGCACCACGTTGGTATGTCGCACAGAGCGGCGCAGAGGTGGGTGGCTTGATTTGCTGCTCCCCGCGCATTGACATCCGCACAACTCCAGAGCCGTCACAGCGTCGACGCAGCGCCAAAGAGGTACAAATCGTCATGATTTCGTCTTCTTCCGTCTTTTGGCGCAGCGCCGCCAGATGTAAACACCAGAAGAGTGCTCCCGCCGCAGACAGATAAAAACCGAAGATGGCGCGCAAAACAAGCCGTTGAACTTTGACCAGGGCAACGGGGTATTCCCGTCGCAAGCAGGACATGATGTGGGCGCGGGATAAAGACACAGAATACACACCTTGTAAAAAACCTCGATGGATTCAGCGTTCAGTAGTTTCGACAACTGCGACAACAACGGCGACGTCCACCAACAAATCCTAGATTTCCAGCAACGGCGAAAATTTTTCTTCTCGTGAGGAGATTGATATGTTCGAGGGAAAAAGGAAAAAATAGGGAAGTGGAGCGGCCTGGAGGAGGGCGAGGAAGGGCGGCGGCACCACTATTGGATGACTGGAGCCTGCACCTACAGCAGGTGCGCGCGCGTTTGGGCGAGTGTGTGGCCTGTGGCCCCCTGTGGTTTGTCCGCTGAAGCTGCCGTGGATCAATGGCCGCCGCCGTGGGATGCCACTGTGTCATCCGCTGCAGGGCCCTCCGCTCCAGCAGCGCTGTGCTCCACCGCTAGCCTAGCGCTGTCGGGGTGAGGTGAGGGGAACATGCATGTACGGCGCGAGTACATTCGCCACGCAGTCCGGGTGTTGTGCGCCCATCACCGCGGCTCGAGAGGCGATGGCTACCTGTCAGGTACATGGACACGCCTCTGCATCGCCGCACTGTTGCTGGACCCAGAAGGAGAACCTCTCTGAATCAAACCCCATTTATCGCCATCTTCGTTGCCGGCAGCAGCAACAGCAGCGTAGGCACGAAGTACGAGGCTCCCGATACATCGCCCGATGGGCTATATTTCTCGTATTGCCGTAGCATAAAACACGCAGGTACCTCGTGGCAACTTCCAATGGTCTATAATAGACTGGACCGTTAGTCACAACAGCGCATAAACTCTCTGCCCCAATTTCAGCACACCACAAAAACACCGCATCTCACAATATCAGAGATCCCCTGTTGCACCGTGTCCTTCTTTTTCCGGACTAGCAGAGCCGGTCCTCCAAAAGCAGGATCCCGTGATTGCCTCAGCTAGGGCTTCTACCTCTCTGTAGTTACCGACAATGTGTCTGCTGCATACTAGGTTATAAACAAGTATAGATATACCTATTTCTCACACTCACACTCACACTCGCACAGTATTGAAAAGGTGGAATGGGAGATTCAAGTGGTGACGGTGATGTGGAGGCTGAACCACTTCGCTGTGCGTGACATGCGCCGTATGCGCCCAGTTAATGATTCCTGTGCAGAATCCGAACCTGGTCACATTAATCCCTGCGTAGCACAGCATCTGATATCCAGGGATGCTGCCAAATAAGGATGCCCACGGGCCGAGGCAGAAACAATGATGATGAAGCTTACATGCTCTTCCGCGCAGCTATATGTTATGATCTCCGTGTACTGTACATAGTTCGTAGGTAATACGGAAACACGGTGGAAAATACAAAGCCTCCCCTTTTGTGATATTAAATGACCACCTCTTGCAACACACACACGCACGCACACAACCCAACACAACCATTTACATCCCCAAGTCAATATTTAATTTCTCGGCCCTGCATGCAGACATTCGCGCAGCATGTGGCCCCATACCAGCCAATCAAGGCGACTTCAGCATCCGGGAAAGGGAACAGGCCCAGTTCTCGGCCCAAGTCCATGACAGGCTATAAACTTGGCCCTTGTAATGACGCACTGGGGTTTGGTTACACGACTACTCTACCTACAACGCATATCTAGCACCCGAATAAAATGAATCACGTAAGACCAGTGGTTGTGCACGTTTAATCAAATGTACAATAATAGGGCAGATGGTTGAAAGCATGGGAAACGACAAAGACTCCTCCAATGTTGGAGGACACGAGATAATCATGGGGTTTCTGGGCCGTCAGCAAAACACATGGGCATCCTATATTACCAAGAACGCCGTCGGTAGGCCGCAGCATGCTGAGTTGGTCGGCCCCGATCTAATCCTACGCCTACAAAGCACACCCCTTTTATGTACATGTTCCCTTTGTGCGAGCATCTCCGTAATCTTCATGCGAATGCCTCCCAAACACCCAGTACAAAACAAAAAAATAAACTGTGATGCATGTACATCCTCTCAGTTCGGAGGCGGCTGGCCAGCTCGTCCTCTTTCTGAAGGATGTACCGGCTGTGGCTCGCTCGTTGATGAGGATGGAGCGATGGAGCGAGGCACTGCTTCGACCACATAAGACACTCCATCGTCAGAGGCGTAGGATGGTGGTCTTGGTCCCGTTGTCGGCCGAGAAGCAGGAGCTTGAGCAGTCTCATTCCTTTGCCAGAAAAAGCGATTGGGGTCCACCCGCTAGATTTGATGTCAGTTCTGCTCTTTCAGGAAAAAAAAAAAAAAAAAAAAAAAAAAAAAAAAAAAAAAAAAAAAAAAAAAAAAAAACAATTAGGCTCGTAGAGGATAAAACAAAACGTACCACACTCTCTCGCCAGAGTCCGTAAGCAGGGGGCTTCATCCTCATGGCTTCACTCTCAACACCAGCAGCTTCTTCATCCTGAACCATCACCACCCGTATGGGCTTGCGTGGGACGGCATATCCGCGCGGGTCTATCGCCCTAGGAACTTCGGGGGGGTCTCCGCGAGCAATGAGCATCCATAACCGAACCAGGCTGTAGCAGAAGAAGACCGCTGCCAGCAGAATGATCATAATCAACATGATGTTCAACTCGCCAATAACAGCGTGCTTCGTTAGCGTTATACCCAAATCTATACATAGGGAGCTCATATTAGCATTTCGTTTTCAAGATATAAAACTGAGGCACAATGCCACTTACACACTGCCAGCAGCGAAAAGAGGAACGTCGCAGCCACGAAGCATTGAGCAATTTGCATCCTCACATGCCTCGATTTGATGAACGGGAAACAGAACAAGAACTTCTTCTTCTTTTCCCTCTTGTCGGTCTGTCGCTGCGCTTCTGAATACGGGGGTGCCATGGGTTCTGGAGATCCGTTGGCGCCAGGCGCTCCCGCAAGGCGAGCCGGCTGAGGAGCTGACAGAGGTGAGGAATTCGTTTGTCTTGACTGAACAACCGGAGTCTTGGGGCTCTCCAGGGCAGCTTCTTCATCGCCCAGAGCACCTCGTCTTCGTCCCAATGCCAGTCGAGGCAGCAAAAGCCGCCGAGGAAATCGTCGAGTCGTGTCAGGCTCCATTTCCGTCTGCATGTCCCGCAACATGGTTCGTCGGCGCTCTGCTAGGATCTGGTTTCGGTCTGTAGCAGCATCTGCTTGTCCATCTCCCCGCGCTCTCCTAATGAGCTCGTCGCGAAGTAGCTCCATACTTCTATCTGACGCCATGTTGTATATTCGGTGCTGTTTTCTCTTATGTCATGAAATGCGAGAAAGTGCTGGTTGAGTATGTCTCTTTCCGGTTCTGTTACGGCGCAGCCGCAATCGTAGAAGGAATCGTAGAATATCGAGATAGGAAGAAGAAAAGTGAGAGAGAGAAAGAGTGTAAATCAACGAGCGATATCAAGGTGTTTGAGTGTGATGAGAAAATTCAAAGATCGACAAAAAGGTGAGATCCTGCTCAATGAGAAAAAGAAGAAGAAGAACAGGGAAAGAGACTGAGGTTCAAGTCGCTGCAAAAGATTAAATGAATGGAGTAGGATAAACAGGTAGAAGCAAGAAGAAAAAGGCGCAAAGGAACGGGTGTAGGAAGAGTCTCAATACATCGGATGTATAGGTAGAGAAACAGAGGCAACAAGCAAATCCAGAAACCAGCTGGAAGGGCAGCCCTCAACCTCCGGATTACGAAGAAAAAGAAAGAATCCGAACCAACGAGCAGGTAAGACGGAAAACCCGCCCTGCGTCTCTCTGTCTTTGCAAGAAAAAAAACAGAGAGGCGGGACGAAGAGGCTGCAGGCGGAGCAAACATCGAAGCTGGGCAAATAGAAGCGGCTCATTAAACCGTCGTCGCTGTTTCTGGCCCGCGCGCACGGGCTGGGCTGAATCCGGGCCCGACTCACAGCCCCCAGGAGGCCAGGCAAATCAGTCTCTGGCCAGGGCCTCGTATTACCCGCCGCAGCCACCATGTGTCAAAGCAGATGGCCTCAACTCTGCGCAGGGGCCGGAGGCGTGTAGCAGGTGCTGCAAAACCAGGGGCTGGGGGTCCAGGGTGCCGTGGAGAAGACGGCCGCGTTTCATCCTGCGCCGCTCCACCGCCAATAGACGGTGCTGGATACGACTCGGCGCCACTCCCTCGACCAAATTGAGTGTTTCGCGATGCGCACCGATTGTTTGACGCGGTTCATCACGACGAGGGGGGCAGAGGACAAACAATCCAGTCCTCGGGAGGGATCGCGTCGTTGAGCTTCTGTGATCGAGGCTGGTCTGGTCGGGTCTGGTCTGGGCAAGATTGCCGATTGTGCGGAGTCTTTCCCCAGCTTTGCCAAGTGCAGCTCATGGTGATGATGATGCTGCTTTGAAGCATGTGCCTATATAATAATCCATGTTCTGTATATAGCCGGGGTTCCTATTTTTACGCAGCCCGCGGTTGACCGTCATGACAAAGCCTCCCTGTAACGGCGCTTATTATAAACTTGATGCGATCTAATAATACCTACTCCCTGTGACGAAGATGGTTGAGCCTTGAACATGGCGGTAGCGTTACGAAGTTGTACATCATTTCCCTCAGCAACAAGACAATTCAAATCGATCGTAGAGCACACGGCAACCGAATTTCCACGGCCGCCTCTTATCTTTTTCTCCCTCTATTGCTTGCCCCTTTAATTCCAAGGTATCGCTGATTATACATACAATAAGATTGACGCCAATATTGCCATAATATTTTTTTCTCCCGAAATGCCGGTTTAATCCATTCGACAATGAGTACCCATTCTCAAGGTTGAGAGGATGTCTTGGATGAGGAGACTGAAGACTCGTCAATCCATATGAAGCCTTCAATTGGTAACTGGCTCAAACGGTATGAGCTAGGCGCTGAGACCAGTTAAAGTAAGAGTCGCCAACCAGCTGCAATTCGCAGCCGCTTTTGTTTTCGTTGAGACCAAAGCAGTGTGTTGACTCGCAGTCAATTTCTCCTCCCTAACAACAGGCAGCTTCCAGCCGCTTATTCCATAACTCGACGGTAAATCAAAACCGCATACATCCCTCACTTCAACTCCCCAAGGAGCATAGTGCGATCTGATGAGGCCGATAGTACTACGAATGAATTAATCAGAATGACTTCTTGCAGCAGCACAACAAAGCACGGTGACTTACATATGGGATCCTTGCCAGGCGCAAATTCCGCACAATTTACAACTCCTCTGTGGCCCGGAAGCTTATACATCAGCTTTCCAGTCTCGTTGGACCAAATAACCACAGTGCCATCTCCAGAAGCAGCCGCAACCTTCTTGCCCTCTGAATCCCAACTGGCGCGCAGCAGATTTTGCTCCACGCCAGCGGTTGCTCCGTCAAAAGTTCGAATGTGCCTTTCGGTGGGCGCAAACGGACGGATGTCCCATGTTCTCACCGTCGTATCCATCGAGTGTGACAGCAGAGATTGTGAGTCAGGAGAAACTCGTAGAGACGTAACGGTATCCGCATGTCCCAATAGAGAGTACACCACCGCCTTCTTTCTTAGATCCCAGACTCGAATGTCATTATCTATGCCTCCCGAGTATATCTCGTTGCCAGCCTGAGAGATGGCCACAGCCGTGATGGGAAATTCGGTCTCGATGTAGTCGACTGCATTCTTCGTCCGTGGATCCCAAATTCCAATGGTTGAATCGTCACTTCCGCTAATCAACATCTCCTCGCCTCGCTTGCTTATGTCCAAGGTATTGATGATTTCTTCGTGTCCGACATATCGTCTTATGCGTGTTCCTGAAGTCAGATCCCAGCTCGCAAGATGCATATCTGCTGAAGCAGAATATAAAATCTCCGAGTCTCGTGACCACTGCAAGTCAAGAATAGCTCCCTTGTGGCCATTTAGCACGCCGTAGTTTTCGCAGTCGCCATACGTCCTCCACAACACTGCCTTGCGTCAGCAAACCAATATACTCATTAGAGAGGTCGGGAACTTCGTACTAATGCTTCGGTCCATTGATCCAGAGGCAATTAAATTGCCCGTAGGGTCAAATTTGGCTGAGAAAATCTCCCCAGAGTGTCCCGTCAGCTCCATCACAGGGGCCTGTAGCCCGCTCGTGCGGGGAGCCTATACACTGTTAGATTCATTCCAACGAAAGCCTCCAAAAGTAAAATTTCGTCTCACAGTTTGCACCAAAGCGCTGCTGGAGGCATTGAGCCGCGCAAGCGCTCCTTCAGAGGTGTTGACATTCTGCCTCTTGACAAGAACCTTTGACAATCCGGGATCGTCGTCCGCCGGGCGCTTTTCAGCTGACATTGTGACTATTCGAGGCGATGAAAACGGTACCAAGACCTAAACCGGCGAAAATAGCAAAAGAAAACCGAGCTTCGAGCTGATGAGGCTGTCCGTGTCGCGATCGCGAAGCCTTGTCAAGTTGCGAACTTGGCGCCGGTCAAACTCGCCCTCCTATTGGCTTTCGGCCCGTTGATGTTCCTACGCTCCGTGGTCGAGGCTTGCAGCAACCAGCCAGGTACTCCGTACCCCACCGCTTAAGCTGAGCTCCCTGCATGATAGTCGCAACGTTCGTCAATCCCCCAATACCAGCGCAGTCACTCTCGCAGCCGCCTTGCTTGTTTGCATTCTCGTGATTAAGATACAGGCGCCACAACAGTGCAACTGGTCATTTCCACCCGCAAATTCCTCTCCGACAACCAAACATAGACGACTGTCGCAATGGCAGCCAGCAAAGCGTCCCGCATTGGGGAAGAGTATGTTCCCTCAGGTTGCTCTGCGCTCGGCGTTGTTCTAACATGGCTACAGAATCTGGAAGTAAGGCTATCTTGGCATCAGAGAAAACCGCGCCTAAATCTAATCGCATCGATAGAACTCGCATAGATAAAGTAAATGCCGAGCTGGTGACATTGACATACGGAACCATTGTTGCGCAGCTATGCAAGGATTTCGAAGACGACTACCCAGAGGTCAACCGCCAACTTGACAAGATGGGCTACAACATCGGTCTACGTCTCATCGAAGACTATCTGGCAAAGTCAAATACAATGAAGCGCTGCTCCAACTTTCGGGAAACCGCAGACATGATATCACGGGTAGGGTCATGCCTCAAAGATGCACCTCTTATACTATGGCTAACGGGGTTGGCCTCTTCTAGGTTGGATTCAAAATATTTTTGAATATTACACCACAAGTGACAAACTGGACAACTGACAACAACTCATTTTCTCTGGTATTCGATGAGAACCCGTTTGCCGATTTTGTCGAGCTACCGGATGACGGAAGGGCGCAGAACGAACTCTGGTACTCCAACATTTTGTGTGGAGTGTTGAGAGGGGCATTGGAGATGGTTCAGATGCAGGTGGAAGCGCACTTCATCAGCGACGTCCTAAGGGGGAACGACACTACAGAAATGCGGGTAACATTGATACGCTACATTGACGACGAGCTGCCGCCGGAAGACGATTGAGAGAATGACGAGCATGTCGGGCCAGATTAAGAAGGTGGAAGACTTGAAGCTGTTCGCAGGAAAGGCTAGGAAAGGCTAGGAACAGGCTCCTACTTGACAGCGGCGATAGCCGGTCCGATCCCACTGCCGTCAGAAAATCAGCGGGGGAGGGGGAGGGGGAGTGAAGGGGGAGTGCAAGTGAAACTGAAAGCACTATGATACCCATAGATCGAGCCGAGCCGTCTGTACACTTTGATCAAGCCATTGCGAACGATTACGGCAAATAATCCCGATGGGTATATATCAGGTAGATGAACGGGATGAATTGCCGAATGCCCATCTATAAACAGCTTACTGAGCTACAAGCAAAAAGTCCCGCGGGCAAACACGGAGCCTGATAGCTGCTCCGTTTGCTACTCCTACCTTATACAGCATCAATGGTTTAAAGTTCCGGAACATGCTTTGTGGCCTGCATTACGTCCACGGTCCCATAACATCAGTACTGCCTGCCCATGCAAGTATACGTGAGGCTCCTAGTACCGTGAAAGCTTACGTGCCGAAATCAAAGCATACCTACCTAGTAGGTGTAGTAGTTAAGTATATATAATATCCCCGAAACTCAATCTGGCTGCGCGGATGCCCCAACAAACTGGGCAGGCCGCAAATGAATCCAGCCCAAAGCCCAAGGCGGAAAGCAAGCAAAGCAGTCGTGCCTGATCTCCTTAAATCAGCCCACCCTGACTGTGGAGTGACTGAGCAGCGTGCTGGTTGATGCCTGCTGAGTGGTCAATGCCCACGTCTCGGGTTGTACGTGGTATGAGCAATCATGTTACAAGCCGGTGCAGCGCGTCCGGTTTGTGCAGATTCACGCCGAAAGATGGAGAAGCGCCAGAAGTGCCGTTGGGGGAAGAAGGGATGATGATGCGCATATTGGGGGCCGTGAGGATTCAGGGTCCAGAATAAATCACCAAAGTGGAAAACGGATGATGCTCGACGCAGCACAGTCACACACAAAATGAAAGTGTAAAATCCTTTATGGTTTGTTGAAATACGCAATGGACGCGGACTGCGACTGCGCATGCCAAAGTAAAATGCTGGAATTCCACATTAAATCCATATTAAATCAAGTCGCATCGAGTCTCGCCGAGCGCAACTCGCAACTAAGTTGCGCCTCAAATTCTCTTACACGCAGCAGCATTACGTCGAAAGCCTTAGCTCAGCGGTTTCAAGCGTGCTCCGTGTCACAGTCGCAGCAAGACAGCGCTGCGGCCCGCACAGAGTCGCGTTGGTGCCTCAGGCGCCCACGGCCACAGCGGACCCAAATCTACGCACGTAGTCCCACGCATACGCAAGCACCAAGCAGCCGGAGCCTTATAGTAGGATCGCCAACCCCCCCGAAGCAGCCCGTCAATTTCATGCGGCCCTCGAACAACTTTTCCAAGCTCGCTCTGCTTTTCGCCGCCCGCCCCTCGCACTGTGTCCTCTCGCGCCCACGCCGCATCTGCACCGTGCGACGGCCCCAGCCCCGGCGCAAGGCTACGCGACCATCCGACGCGGTCTGAGCGCTGCATGCACCGTGCGAATCGCCCGCGCTCCTTTTCGTGCCGCTGCGCACTGCGTACTGTATGAGCGGCGTTCTGCGCACCACCATCGCCCACCATTTACTTGCACCTTGCCTTACCTTTCACTACCTCCACAGCCTAATCTGATGTCCATCGCGACATTTGTCCCCACGGCCCAGCGCGAGAGCTGACCGGACGACCCACGACCGCAACCTGTTATTCTTGCCTGTGCCGCTGAGCGTCGTCGAGCCGTGCCGTTGTCGAAGAGAATCGCCGACGCTGTTCGCCTCAGCAATCCTCTCTTACTTTACAGGCCCGCCAGTGCTGCGCTGCAGTTCCCGCGCTGCCGGTGCGCTTACAGCAAAACCGCTAAGGCAACCTCACTGTAGCGTGCACTACATCCCCCAGGACAGAGGCAGCTCTGTTCTTTTTCCTCCTCTCCTCCATCTCGACTGCTTCGTCGGGCACTCGAGCCACATCCAGCTGCCATTTGCCGCATCCACGCTGCTCCGCGACTCAGGCGGGCATTTTTCTCCAGGCCGCCAGCACCGAGCGCCGCCGTCGCCGCTTACATACATCGCCACACTTAGCTGTCTGTCGTCGACGAGCGCGTCGCCCCAGCAGCCTCTGCTTCCACGCCTAGATTCGCACCTTTGCGCGGTTCGCGACCAGCCTGTACAGAACCTCGAAACTCTCCCGCTCTCCTGTTGGGATAGGCTTCCCGTTTAGGGTTCCGCCTCGTCTTGCCCACGTCGGCCAGCCCTGTAGCGCTTTTCGCGTGGCGGCACCCAAGTGGCTGACCAGGGAAACCCTCTCTCTGGCTATAATTCTTCGCTTGGGGCCTTGAGTGCTCTTCGCATCTTTGTATATTCTCAATCCCGCCTCCCACCCATCCACATTCACAATGAATGCCCAACCCGGAATGGCCAACATGACGCCCATGGGCGGCCCTGTTGGTGGCGCACCGATGCCCATGATGAATAATAACGCTATGAACCCCCAAATGGCTGTTGCCGGCGCAGGGCGACAGATGCAGGACCAGCGCAGCACGCTTAACACATACATTTACGAATATTTTCTCAGACATCAGATGTACGACTGTGCCCGCTCTCTGCTGGCCAGCGACCAACAGGTCAACGTTAACAAGGAAGCTGGTGGTCGTCGCGAAAACGGCAATGCCATGAACGGCGTCGACGATCCCATGGATACTGATTCGAAGGACGACGGCGACTCCAAATTGCCAGACGATCTGCCTCCTCCCAAGCTACCGATGCCAGCTTCGGATACATCATTCCTCTACGAGTGGTTTTGCGTGTTCTGGGATATCTACACTGCCCCACGCGCCAAAGCTGGGAATCATATGGTGAACCAATATGTTCAGCACACTCAGGTACGAAATACAGAAGCTGAACCCCTCTTCTTTCTTTCTTTTTCTTTTTTTTTTTTCTTTCTTTTTCTCTTTTCTCCCTTTCTGCTCCTGCCCATTGATACTGTTGACTAACTCGATTTCAAGCAGCAACAGCGAATGAAGCAGTCTCAGCAACAAGAGATGCTGCGTCAAATGCGCCCTGAATTATCGGCGCAACAGCAGTATCAGGCTCAATTTATGAGAAACATACAGAACAACAACATGACCATGGCTATGAAGCAGCAGCAAAATAACCTTGCTCGAGCTGCCATGGCCAACAATCAAAATCCTCAAATGCAGATGCTTCAGGCAAAGCAGAATCCAATGCAAAGGGATCCTTCCGGCATGGACGCCAACCGTGATCGGCCATCGTCGCCTGCGTCGGGGGAAAATGCGCCATCTCCCTCAAAACGTCCACGAATTGACGGCGCTCCTTTCAACGCTAACCAGCCTGGTGCCATGATCAACGGCGGTCGCCCTGGCCAAAACATGCCTGGCCAACAGATGGCTGTTGCCGGCAACGTCGCCAATGCCCAGCAGGTACTGGCCGCCAACGGCATCAACCCTAACCAGCTCAACCCCCAGCAGATGCAAAACTTTGCCAACACGCCACCCGCAGCCCAACAAAAGTCTATCGCAACCTACTCGCACAACCTCCAGCAGCATCATGGCAACCAAATGGGCAATAAGCAGATGGCCGGCGTCGTGCCCCAGAATCAGAGCTCACCCATGATGGCCCAGGGTGGCCCCGATGGCAATGCTCTCAATGCCTTTTATAACCCTAATATGGACGGCCCCAATGCCATGCGACCAGGAGGCCAATCCCAGCCGACAGGCAGCAATCATGCTCTGCAGGACTACCAGATGCAGCTGATGCTGCTTGAGCAGCAGAACAAGAAACGCCTGATGATGGCTCGCCAGGAGCAGAGCGACATGGGCGGAATACCCAGGGAGAACCAGGCGGGAGCAGCCGGACCCAATGGACAGCCTTTCCCAGACACATCGCCGCAGGCCATGAGATCCGGCACTTCTCCCAACCCTGCTGAGCAGATGAAGCGTGGCACTCCCCAGATGAACAACTCTGGCATCCCCTCACCTGTTCCCGATGGCGGACAGTCCCGCGAGTCTCCCAACCCCGCCATGAACTTCCTGGGCAACCATGTTGATGTCAGCATGGCACCTCATTTCTACAAGGGAGGAGCAGACGGGAACATGGCCGCCGCACAGGCCCAAATGAACGGCATGCGGCCGCCCAGCTCACATCCTGGCCAGCCGTTCAATGGCCCGATGAACGCACAGATGATGGCCGCTAGGCAGCAGGGCGTCCCAGGCAACCCCCAGCAATGGCAGCAAGGCATGAACGGCCAGATGGTGCCGCAGCAGGGTATGCCACAGCAGGGTCAGCCAGTCCAGGGGACTCCCCAGCAGCGATCTATGCCTCCTCCATCAGCGCCGGCAGCAGGCAACACAAACAACAGGACGACTGCATCCCCCCAGCAGGCGGCGGCAGCACCTCCTACGCCCAGCCAGAGCAATAAGGCGGCGCCAAAGAAGAAGGACTCTAAGAGTGCCAAAGACAAGGTAAGTCTACTCTGCATTGGTTTTCGCCTCGCCCCCTCCTTTCCCCCCCTTTTTTTGCAATCTGACAGATCTTATAGCGAACTGCTGCACAGAAGAAGAACCAAAATAACAACAACGCCGCTGCTTCTACCGCGGAGAATGGCGCAGAGCCCGAGACCGCAGCACCGGCAACTCCCATCACTCCCGTTGTCGCTCCTGGAGGCTTCAAGGCCGGCCAAGCTGGCGGGCCCGCGCCAAATGCATCTGCACCGACGGTTACCACCGGCGTGCCAGCTCCCGTTGCTGCGGCCAGTGCGCCGGTACCTCAACCAGCTGCTCCCGTGCCACAACCTGCCCATAATGACCTGGTTCAGGGTGGCTCATTAGGAATGGATAACAACTTCGCAATGGTACGTTTCTTCCCTCTACCTCATCGCGTTTGACATGTGGTAGCCTCGACTCTTAAGAGACTAACGCTAATGATTCAGCAGGATTTCGGTGGAATTGAATTGAACAACCCTCTTGGCACCACTGACGTCCTCAACGATTTCGATTTCGACTCCTTCTTGAATGATGGAGATGGTGGCAATGAGCCATTTGACTTCAATGGATCATACCCAGGGATGGAAGGCGGAGAGATTGGCGCAGAGTAGAGCGGTTCCTCTCTCCTGTTCAGTGTTTAAGCTGGGTTGGCTGTTTTTTACTATATCTTTTTCTATCATTGTTTGTCTTCCTGGGTAGTCTCTCTAATCTGGCATCATTCGACAAGGCGTTAGAGTGGATTATCTATATCATGGTCATGTGGCGATCCGGTTTTTTTCCCAGGGTCTCATACTCTTGATGGTTTGAAACGGGAAAAAAAAAAGAGAGCGAGAGAGAGAGAGAGAGAGAGAAAGAGATGATGTCCCTGTGGATTGTGTTTTTATTGTTTTTGACAACGCTTTTTTCCCTTTTTTTTTGGCTGTTCACTCTTGATTCTTCGTCTTTTATTTTTTTCCGCTCGGCTCTGACTTTTTTTTTGGTTTTGCTCCCTCCTTTTTTCTAAAAGGTAGTTTGGTTTTTTTTTTAAACTACACTACACACGTCATTTTCCCTTGCTGATTGATGAAGACGCGGGTTGGTGGAACAAACAAAACCCCTCCTTCCCCCCCTTTTTTTTTTTTTTTTTTGTAAAAATGGTTTTTTTTTTTTTTTTTTTTTTTCTCCTTTTGCTGGCTTTTGTCGTTTTCGATAATGGATTTCTCTCTTGTTTTTTTTTTTCTTGTTTTTTTCTTCCTTTTCAGTTGTTTCACATACCATATAAGCCACAGTTGTAAAAGATCAGATTAATGTTACTATGTGTATTGTTGATATAAAAACACACTGCCAGTGACATTGCATGCTGCCGTACGCGTTTAACCTAAAAGTATAATGTACTTTCATAACGCTGCTCCCCTGCAAACAACATATAGGCTGTCTTATCATACAGCAGCATCTATCACCAACCAATGTGTGCACGTGGGTAAGTATTCTAACAGGGCCGCCCACACACAATGATTTACTCACGCCTACTGCAGATTGTACACGAAGCTGACTTTTGGGTCATAACGGTCGTGGGTATAAGTTTCTAGTAGTATATGTACAGTGAATAAAATAGGTAAAAACCATCCTTCGTGTAGAAGGTAAGAGACATTTCATCATGATATAATCGCCATCACCAAAAAGAACGCCATCTACCATCTTTTTTTTTCTCTCTCTTTTTCTCTTTTTATCTCTATCCAGATTTTGAACTTCCCACTCTTAAATATGTTCTTTTTATATACCGGGAATTGTCCAAGCGCCATCGCTCTAGGCCGTCGCATAGACAGCAACGTACTGGACTTCAAACATGTTGCCCCAGCCGGGCAGAGTAGCTTCATTCGGGTCACCCTAATAATGACGAGTTAGCTTCATGCTGTCAGGACAGAGAAAGGAAGAAGAGATGCTTACGGGCCATGTTCCTCCAACGGCCAAGTTGAGGATAACAAACATGGGGGAGTGCGCCAGAGTGGCCCAGATACCCTCGTCGCCCATCTGAGCTCCCGTAAGAGTGTGGAAGAGCTTGCCATCCATGAACCACTGGATAGTCTCCGTCTGCCAGTTGTTGGATGTACGGTCGATCTTGAGGGACCAAGTGTGGAACTCGTCGTCTTGCGGTATGGCAATGCTCTCGCCCAAGCCCGAGGGCTCGTTGCAAGCACCACCACCAACGTGGTCGCAGTGGGCGGTACCGTAGCCCGTCAGCTGGCCATTGATCTGCTCGAAGATGTCGAGCTCTCCGCAGAGAGGCCAGGGAGTGCCGGTGCGCATGGACTCGCCGAGCATCCAGAAGGCTGGCCACATGCCCTGCTTCTGGTCAAGGGCGCTGTTGCCGCCACGGAGAGCAGCCTGGACTTGCATGACTTTTCCAGGGACCGGGGCCCAGGACTGGACAGACTCGATACGGGATGAGGTCCACTCGCCAGTAGGAGACTGCTGCGGGACGAGTTGGAGAGTTTGGCCACCAGAGAGCTGCATGTTGGAGCCGGACTGGGTGTAAGTCTCGAGCTCCTGGTTGTTGTGGATGTCGGTGATGACGTTCCATTGGGTCAGGTCAACCATGGCGCCCTGGTCACCAACAAAGGTCTCTTGCCAGACCATGTTCATGCCGGGCACATTGGGGGCGAGAGTGGCTCTGGCAGAGAGGGCCAGAGAGAAAAAGGCGAGAGACTGAAAGAGCATCATGTTGGGCGGATATATAAGGAATGTGTGTTTTTTCGGTTGCACAGCAAAAACGTAAAAGACGGCCTGTTCTCGGTTGAAAAGGATGGAAGGATCTCAGACGAAATCTTGAGATGAGTCGCTGATGGCTCTTGGAGCTGAACTGAACTGAACTGAACTGAGGGAATGAGTCGCAAACTAGCTGGACAAAGGATTGATGTCTTGTCTGCTAAACAGGAAGAAGGGAGTGAAAACAAGGAGTGCGCAGAAAATCGACCAGCGAAAGGAAGGGAATCGGCCACAGGCCTGTTGAGAATGAAAGTTGGAGTTGGAGAAGAGAAAAAAGAGGAAGAAAAAAGGGTATCAAAAGCAACCGAAGAACGAGGTGCGTGGCGGAAGAGAAAGGGAAGGAAAGGGGGTTGACAAGAGATGGTGGCAACCGCGGAGCCTTTTGTATGTACAGCAAAGTCGCATCAAGGGCTACGAGGCTGGGGCAGAACTGGACGCTACAAACTGCTACTGCTTCTTCTGCTACTGCTACCGCTTCTACTGGAACCACATGCTCGAGTCCATCCATGGCTGCAACAGGCCCAGATACGCGGGATCCATGCACTCCCTCCACCAGCGCTTTGCCGTGTATACATGCATGTGCAGTCACGTATGCAGCCAATAAAGCAAAAGCGAGAAGAAAAAAAAAGGTACCAGGCACCGCTCCACCGCAACACGGGCTCCCAGGCGCCATCTTTGCAACGCCGTCAGCTTAGAGGACCGCGGAATCGAACGTTGGCTCAGCCATGCCGGGCCTGAGAGTCGTGCAGTGGAGTGACGAGGGGGCAAAAACCGCGCTGTTAGGCTCCGGACCCCTGTCCCCTTAAGCGCGGCATAGGCTCAGGGCCAGGCACCATGCAGTGCAGTGCCAGACGAGCCGTGCGCGCGCCTCCAGGGCAGCATGGAGGGTGGGATTTCGGCAAAGTTTTGAAACATGAAACCGACCGGGATGCGGGCGAGTGGTGAGCGAGACAGTGGGGGGTGAAACATTTTCCGCTGGTGCATGTATTAATAGAGCGGTAGGTTGCTGCTATTGGTACCTAGTCCAAATTTATTTTTCATTTCATGCGATGAGGCGCGGATTGGCTGAGGATGCCGAGGTGGTGAGGCATCGTCGTGGTGGTGGTGATGGCGGCGAGGAGGACTAGCCAAGAGTTTACGCCGAGCCTGATGCTGGAGCGGGCGTCTGCACGGAGGATATGCCAAGGTGTAAATAGACGCAGAGTATAGATGGATGGACTGCCTGCAGCGCTTGGACGAGAAAACAAAAGGCCTCGCTCGGGGTTGGATATGGGGAAGTTGGTCCATGGGCGATCGGCGGCTTCGTGCTCAGAATCCAGAAGCGATCTGCCAATATATCACAAACAATGGCCCCCGTCCTCATCTCCTCCCGCTGTCTCTTCTCCCCATCTCCGGAGCAGATCTCTCCAACTAGTAGCAGTAAAGATGTCAAAAAGACCCTGCTACAGTACATACTATATTATACTACACACATACTAGCACTACTGAAATCCCCGGCTCATGCCCATCCATCTCAATCTCATGTAAACTGGAAAGCACATGCAAAATACTACTACTAACCTAGTGGAGAGTTGTAAACAGCAAACACACATCTAGCACATGTGAACAAACCACCCACCTGTGCCCAACAATATTGCCTCATCTCCATAACCCCCAATCGGATCTCTTTCCTACCAAAAATAAGACGTGACAACGAAAAAGAAGAAAAGAGACAATGAGCATAAAAAATTTCCATCAACCCTTGCATGCATGCCAACGTGCATGAGGCTAGCAAATGCAAAGGGGACACGCCGTCGTTACGGGTTTGGCTCGCCCGCAGCGCAAGTCCAGCCAATCACCGACCCAATGTGCCTGGTTGACTCGCGCGTTCAGGAGGCGGTGGCCATTTTCAGTCTGGTTTTGCTTTGTTGTTGTTCTTTGCCCAATACTAGACTACCTACATGTTCTCTGATGAGGGAGAGAAGAGGTTAGGAACTATTGATTTTATTTTACTGTTTTTGGGATTATATCTTCTTCTAGCGGTTGTAGCTATAGTTTGTTTTGTTTTTTACTTTTTTTATAGAGGCTTATACATGAGATGGTTATCTTGTAGTCTGGCAGCTAGACAGGGGCAAAATGTTTGTTTGGTGCAGCAAACACAAACTCTGATAACATGCCCAATACTACCATGCACTCCCATCACTCTCACTTATCGCAAAGCGCAAACTCAGTTCTATCCATCTGACCTGCTGCATAGGTAGTCTGGCATACACATTTTCACGTATTTGTCATGGCAGCATCGCCGCCGCCGACACCAATGCCGCTCCCTAGAGAATCCCCAAGCCTCCTCCCCAGCTGCACAATCGTCTTCTCGTAGATGCGCGCAGCATCCAGGTGCATCTCATCCTCGTCTATGTCCCACGCAGAGTTGCCGCCAGCATCGTAGCTTTCCGCCCTTTCCGTCTCTTGGCCGTCATCTCCATCAGTCTCATCATCATCCTCATCCTCATCATCCTCCTCCTCTTCTTCTTGTTCGCCACTACTCATGACTTCAACCATCAACACCCTCGTCTGCTCAACAAGACTCCGGCATCGCACCATGTCAGTCGTGGTCATGCCCGCCCGCAGACCATTTTCAAATCCCGGAAGCGTCTCGTTAGTTTCAATGTCTTGGCCTGAGAGTAAGCTTGCAAAGCAGTGGTCAAGCTTGTGTAGTAGATCAAATGACGCCTTGGACGATGGCGGAAACGATCTGACGTATTGCGTGAAGTCGCTTGCCATCTTGAGCAGGAACGGTATTTGTAAACCCGCTATAGTACGTATGCACCATATTAGCGTTTGTGTGATATTCTTATTCAAGTAGGTATTAGAACTTGGAAGATGGTTGTAAAGTAAACTCACGTGTGCCCGATTTCCACAAAACATTCACAATCCCATCGAGCTCTTTGCAGACTTCACCAAAGCTCTTGAATCCGACAACCGCATCTCCAGGATCCGGATTCCCAAACTTCTTCACATAGCGGCGGGAAATATAGAGCATTCTGTCCTCTACATATCTCCTTACCATGTCCTCCTTATTGGATCCAGGCTGTAGTGCATTGTTCCTCGGATGCGGCAGACTAGACGCAGCCCGTGAAGACGCTGATGATGGTGCAGGCGAAGGAAGACCGCCTTGAGAGCGGATGAAGCCGCCCGGTAGCTGTGAAGAGCCTGCCATGGGCGCTGCAAAGATCTACAATAAATCGTCCAAGAGATCTGTGTAACAAAGCCCTTTGCAGCGATGCGAATCTGCTTCGCCCAGATATTCTCAATGACGATATGGCAGCCAGCTCAGATAAGCGGGGGCGGGGTGCTTGTTATTGCTTGTGAGATTAAGATACCCTGTAGAGAGGTCAAGGAATCCCAGGGCAAGTCAAAGTCTCCGTCATGCAATGAATGCAGCAGTCTAGAGGAATTACGAGAAGAAAGTTGTAGGGTTTGGTTTTTATTTGATACTTGAAGTGAACTTATGTCATGCAGTCTTTATGTTGTGCGCCACAAATAACTGGAAGCCTAGGAAAAAGAAGGCGGCGGGACCAAATCTTGTAAAGACGCCTCAACCTTAAGATAAATGTAAAAGAGAAAATAATGAGCAATTAAAATTAAAATGTAGTGTGTATTTTTATGACTCTTTTTATAGATACACACAGCCTCTTTTACTTGGTTTCTGTACATGTACAGCCGAAGCTGGTAAACTCGTGCTGATTGGAATCTCCCTCGGCATTCTGGGTACGTGTAAATTTAGGTGCACTTTCGATTCCGTGATTCCTGACTTTCTTACACAAATGAAGGATTTTATCAAGCCCTCTCTCTAACTGCCTTTAAATCAAATTAAGTCCTGCAAGACACTCTAGGGTACCTGAACAGACGCAAGATGTGTGGCATGAAAAGCCAGCAAAAAAAACTGAGCAAGCTCTTTTCCCTCCATCAGAGGCACAAGCTATCTACCAGATGAAATAACGGCAAAAAGAATGATTCCGCCCGGGCTCGAACCGGGGACCTTTTCGGTGGCGTTAAACGATGTTAACGAAATGTCATAACCAACTAGACCACGGAACCAGATATTGTAGATGTCTTAATCGAGCGATATTTCGGTATATGATAAGGTTGATAACGGCCAGTCATGTGACTCACGGCGATGGCGGGGCGCTTCTGAATTTTTGACGGCCCCAGTGACGTTCGCATCCCGCAGACTTCGAGTGGAATATCGAGCAATTATAGCCGTCGCTTTCCTTATTCCTTGCTTCGCTTGACCCGCCTCCGATTCCAGCGACATCTCCAGACAATTCATCATGCCTCCCAAGAGACTATACGGAGAAAAGGGCCGCCGCGCCCCCAAGGGCTTCGTCTCCTCCACCTACGATGCCTTGACCTCTGCTGAGAACGCCGCTTTCGTTCGAAGCATTGCCATCTTTGGAGTGCGTACTCGGAATTTGGCTGATCATAGAGCGCAAAGGCTAACAATCTGTAAAACAGGCTGCCGTCACTTTCCTCTCCAGCTCCTGGGGCGAGATCCTCCTCCCGCCGTACGACTCTCCCGAGACGACTTACCAGAGTGAAGCGCTTGCTAACAGCTCATGTCATGTAGTCAATAATCGACAGGCACTCGGCCTATACTCCAGCACGACTTAATTTGATCAACAATTCGATATCCCCAAGCAGGAAAGGAAATGGGTCGTTGTACATTAGAAGGATTGATTGTATGCTATGATGCGAGATCTGCACGGTTTATGCCACATGCAATATAGACTTACTAGGCGACTTTGGATGGACGGCGTAGCTTGAAAATGGCTTGGCCGGAAGTTTTTGGCTCGATAATGAAAAAAGAAAAGAAAGAAAGAGAACGGCGCTCTCCATTTTGGAATATTTCTTGCGACTTCATACCATGTGCATGCTGTGCTGCTTTGGTGACGACTTGTCGGAAACCTTGTCGCATGTGAAAACCAAGCGCTTTTTTCGGAAACTAGCCTGGAAAGAGCTGATCATATTACCAGTCTTGCTTGCTCTATCTTGTCCTTCTTGGTGGCAAAGTTCTGACGAGAATAGGAAGCCACAGCTGCTCTCAGTAGCATTGGACTGACCATTGGTAGCTCGACGGAAACACCCGCTTCAGGCGCGGCCTCATGCCAACAATTGCTTTGGATGTATTGCCCGGACAGCCATAGTATTTTATCCAACTTTCCAAAAAAAAAAGTTACTCGCTATCTGCCTTTCAGCAACCACTCACTTTTCTTTCTACCTTTATTACTTCTCTCCTCACGCCCTCGTTTTGTCCTTTCATACTTGATAGGGTGATATTGACCTAACGACTGAATTTTTTTGTCTTCAAGGTAGCTGGCTGACGGCGGAATGTCTGCTGTAAGTTCTCGGCGTACACCTCTGCTTGAGGGGGGATTGGCACGGCTGGTATCCAAATTCGAGAACTTGGGAGCTTCGTCAAAATCCAATCGCAACGATGGAGCGACATACGGTGGCCTAGATCGTGCTTTCGTTGATTCAGGTCCATCAAAAGTTCCATTGATACATGATAAAGCAAAAGATGACGCCGAAACAATGAAAGTGGCGACACCGCCATCTCCAGCCCCCATCAGCTCATCTCCGGCCAAGTATAATGACACAGCTCAATCAGGACCTGCCGTTAAGGATATACATATTACAGACACTGCAACCCCATCGTTAAAACCGAGAAGACCACTGGTGCGCAGCGGCTCGGTTGTGGCGGAGATGAGGAGATTGTTTGAGCGAGGGTCTGGTGAGAATACCGCTTCTAGTGGGTAGCCAAATCTACAACATCCCGTTACAAACCGGCGCATATATATACGCATTTTGAATTTCCACCATGAGTACACAGAATGTGAGCTAATGCCTTGTTAGACCTCACGCCAGCTACCTATGAACCTCAACGCGTTGCTTCACCTACTACGACCAATGGGCGTAACGACCTTAAGACACCCTTTGATGTGAATAGCCGCGCCAATGAATTGTCAAAAACAGGAATACTACCAACAAAGGCCGGGGATCTAGAGAAACTAGACCAACAAGAAGAGAAAGACGCTGTTCCAGACCTGATACCCTTCCATCATCATCACGTTGAGCATCCCGAATGTCTGCCGCGACCACTTGCCTCCCCTGATCGCTCTTCTCGGCGCTTAAATGAGAACAATATCGGCGTCGAAAGTAAAGCAAGCATCTGGCAAAGAGGAACTGAGACCAGGTTCAAGTTGCAGGGCGGCGCATTTCTACACAAGACCCCATCTCCGCTCAAAAATATGATTGTTACAGGAATAGGGGCTTGGTATCCAAAGACTTGGAATACATCACCTGAAGAGGTCCCGCGCTCTGAAAGCGAAATCATGACAAGTCATCAAACAGATGCTTTAAATTCCTCTCTTTCACAGAGAGACGGAACTGAGCGTGATTTGACAGAGCACTCACAGCCCTATGTTCCTCTATCCCACCCACGCCAAGACACCGTATCGTCATCAACCACTCATGCTACTAGCGACCCTAAGGAACTACATCACATCAAGAGTCCATCGTTAAGAACCTCCAGATCAATTCCATCTCATCAGTCGAAAGTCTCTAGCCTTCCGAAAAAGTTTGACAGCTCGTTGCCTTCGTCAGTCTCGATGCCGTCATTCTAGAAGAAGCACCTACGAACAGACGCAGCAGACGCAACCGACAACAAGCAGCCACTTGTGCAAAATGAAACCGCAACAGTCAACTTAATTTCCAGATTCTCCCCTGAGCTACCATTACGATCGACTCCGTCGCGTCAGGCCCCCGCGCGCTATACTTCGAGGGTGGATGGATCTCTCCCAACACATTCCATGGCAACTTCTGCCAAGCGGGGACTCAAGGAAACCATTAGCCTTTTCGAATCAATGAGTCATCAAACTGATGGAGAAGACAAATTTGATCATATTCCCAAAGCATATTCATCTCCGATGTTCTTAGACTCCAATGCCAGGTCTTCCAATGAGAGGCAACATGGGGAAATGGCAGTCAAGGCCTGGGATGTGACGCCGACCCCGAGACTGTTATCACCATTAGAGAGTGGGCTCCCTCGTTCGTATAGCCAATCTCCAGATATAGACACTCTTAGCAGTCAAGAAAGCGATGCCAAACCTCTGCTCTATACTAAGCCATCTGCATTGAAGGCGAGCCGTTATACAAGAGGTTTTGTAAGTGTTTGTCTACTATCTGCCGTTCTGATATTCTTTCATGGGCCAATAAACTAATTTAGCAAGGGGTCTATCCTTAGGTCAGACTGGAGGAGAAAAAGGAATACGAGCTCTGAAGACGTCAAGCCTCATAGCTACCCAGAGCAACGGCGAGGCTTTAATATGGATGGCGAGGGGGGATTTGACTTGCAGCCACAACACTGGGCAAACCCTTCTGAAGAGGTGCCAAAAAATGCTGGCGAGTCATTTCCTGTCAAGCATCGACTCAGCATCGTTGACCGCCATCCCTCTCTTCTCCTCCTAAGTCGGCGTTTAATCTCTCGTAGCCACGGACTATTCGTTTCGCAGGCCCATTGCACACTTCTGCAGCCTCAGCCTGTCCGAGGAGGAGAAATACGGCGTATCACCAGTCTTTGCAAGGACAAAATGGCAGCGTTGAGAGCACGACCTCAGACGGAGTAGATATTATGGACGCATTATGGGTAAAGATAGGTATACTCACTTGACACTAACAGATACTCACTACGACAACCATTACCTGTGCGTGTTATTTCTTCCTAGTTTGTTTGGATGCCAATAGGTTAATATACGATACCAATATTCTCAAGAGCACTGGTTGACCAAGTTCGCGTTCAAGTTGCCATAAGGGGTAAGTGGTGGCGGAAATGAATTCTCGTAAAGTTATTAAATGAACCATCAAATTAGGGAATAGCAAGCAGAGGCGTGAGATGCGAGAGAGTATCTCTCTTCTTGGATAAGCGGCAAGACAGCATATTTAAAAAACTTCTTTCCCGTGACGCCTTGTGTTTCATTGGTCCTCCCTATGCTGCAACAAATGACTATAATAAATATATAGATAGATATACATGCTTAGTTCAATACGCACGCTTGCTAATGCAGTACCGCAAATGAGGCAGAAACCTGTCAATCAGCACTACTTGTGAGACCGGCTCCCCCCCAACTCTGCGCTAACGTGGGTCTCCTGTGGTTGCAGATATCCATCAATCTGTCTTAGCTCAAGTTCAATAGGATCAACGATATCCCTAGTTGGGACCGCCGTGATGGTCTGTGAATTCGACTTGGACCGAGCCGCAGAAATGCTGCTGTTAGTCGAAGTTGCAAACAGCGAACCGGGTTTAAGGGGCGTGGTAGAACCAGAGCTGTGATTGTTTTTGTAGCCTCCAGCACCGGATGAAGAGGGATAGCTGAAGAGATTGGGCGAGGCGTTTTGGTTTGTTTGGGCCAGCCGCTGGGCGACGAGAGAGCCGAGAGGGAGAATGAGGGCGATGGAAGCTGGCGTTAGAGAGCTGGACTCGAAGTTGACAACGGGACGAAATTCGATGAAGGCGAAGATGACTATAAAGGAGAAGGAGGAACATGATTTGTTAGTCATAGGAGAGACGAGACGAGACGAGACGAGCATGGAGGCGTTTATTTCTATTACCTGGAATGATCATGAGGACTCCGTTGGTCACGACGAGCACCTCCATGGGGCTCATAGCCCGACGAGAAGGAAGAACGCCACGATTGGTGATGAGGTGGATCACGAGCTTGGAGTTGAAGAGGGCGCAGAACCAGAGAGTCGTGCAGATGTTGAGGATGACCATGGCGTGGACCAGCCAGGCGAATTGCATGGGCGGATCCAGCTCGTAGATGCCCTCGCATTGGATGACGGTGAAGGCCGTCCTGGCCGCAATAGATAGCAGCGAGATGAGTAGCGACACGAAGCAGAGCGCATATTTGGTCCTGCTCGGCCAGAGAGACACCATCGTCCAGGCCTGGTTGATGAGCGACACGTCCGAGATGATGACGAGCAGCATGGAAAAGACGGTGCCCGCAACGCTCTCGCGGAACGTCCACGCCGGCACCTGAGAGTAGTCGTTGGTCCAGACGGCGTAAAAGTGGGCAAAGGGCGAGTTGAAGTACAGCGCCAGCAGGACGGTGCGGACGATGCAGACGAGCAGCCCGACGACGTGCAGCAGGTTGGCGGTGCGGAAGGCCTTTGCGGGCGGGGTGGTGAAGAGGACGACGAGGAGCATGGTGATGGCGGCGCCGAGCTGGGTGCCGTAGTTGAGGACGATGTTGACGGTTTCGTCGTTGAAGATGTCGATGACGGGGATGGGGANGGGGATGCTGACGTTGGGGGTGATGGCGATGGTGATGTTTTGGGTGTATGGATCGAAGGCCATTTTTGCCTTTTTTTTTTTTTTTTTTTTTTGGTTGTTCGCTTTGTTTGGTGGCACGAAGGGGTTGTTGTTGGTTGTGCTGTGGGAAAAGTGGTGATGTTGGGTATCTTGGTGTTGAGGCGCTCGGAATGGAATTGGTTGGCTGGTTGGATTAGACCAAGAAGACTGCTATACTGGGAGCGAAAAAGAAGAAGTAATTTTAGATATACAGAAAAACAAAAAAAAGAAGGCGATATTCTCAAATTGAATCGCGAATAAGAGCTATTGTTCTTGCTGCTTGCCTCCCATTCTGATACATCCTCAGCATTCTCTCTGTTCCGCATCCCATCTTATAAGAGAATACAATAGAAAGTGACATACCTCAATGTCACTTTTCTCCCCATGCCTGCTTTCCCCCCCTCCCTTACACGCGCTCTTATACGACACGCCAGCATCATTTGTTTTCCTTTCTGTGCCGCTTAATACCTGTTTTTTCGAAAATGGGTTTTGCTTTGCAGCCCGGCCCAGACCGGAAGTTTGAGCAAAAGAGGGACAGATTTGGAAGATGCATGGCGCGGACAGGAGCTTGATATTGTTCTTTGAAAAGTGGCGTCTGGGCTTAGTATTGTTCTTGAGACGGGGGTTGCGGCAGGGGGGGCTGGAATAGGAAGTGTTTGTGGTACAGGGGAGGGGGGATGTTGTTTATATTGTGTCATGAGTGTGCATAATTGGCTTTTTTACGCATGCTAATCTATTCAATATATTATTTTTATATTGCTACCTATTTCGTATGCATTTACTGTGCCTGCTCATAATGAAGGGGTGTATGATATATAAAATGCCTCGATAGGATGGATATCCAATCAGTGGCAGCTCAGTGGGAAGACGTGCAGTTTTTGCAGCTGTAAGTCTGACAGTCTACACACCACCAATTACCACTACGGCCACCTTCTAGTAGATGCTAAAGAAAGTAAAACTGCGCGCAAAGCGGCCCGAGTGGCGGCCCCGGCCGAAGCGCGTCCCTCCCGCCAACAGCCATCAAGTGCCGGCCGATGCAGCTGTCAGTCACACAGCCTTATGGCACCAAGTCTCTTGTGTACTAGTACTAGGTAGGTAGGTAGGTAATTTATGAAGCACTAATCTAATGTATTGCTGTTTAGGTTGAAATGTTTAGATTACACTCGGTCGAATAAGATAAGAGGTCCTCGTCGTAGAGGGGTTGTGTCACTCGCGTATCTCCTCCGCAGGTCCTTCGTAGCCGCCGCCGTAACACCAGGCCTGCTATCAAACAGAATAACTGAAAAGGAGAAGGGGGGGAAACACGTAGACGAAAGGGATATATCTGGGCTGGAACCCGCTTGAATTGTTTGCTGCTTTGCGGCTTTGCGGCTTTGCGGCTGGAGAGACCCTTGTCTGGAGGGGTTCTGGATTGGCACATCCCACGGCTGAAGCCGAGGTTCACTGAATGGCAACGGCATCATGTATATTAGATTTTAGCAGAAAAGATCAAGAGTGAAATTTAGTTGAGTGGTTCTATGACCTGTAACCCTATCTTTGCATAATCTACTATTCGCGTATTACGCAGTCGTCGTAAGTATCATTCCATCGTTTGTAATCCAACACTTGCGCGCAGTGCGAGTGTGCATAGTACTTCTTTTGTTCTATCGCAGTGAATCCAATCAAACAGCCGCCCGCCGAAAAAAAGAAAAAGGCAAAGACCCCAAAAAAAGAAAAGAAAATCAGTAGTAGCTTCCAAATCGTTGTAGAAAGCGTGTTGAACCGCCTCCAAAGCAATCAACAAGATCCATCAGTAAAGGCAAATACCGCCAACTTCGTCCTCCATCGTCCACGTGCCAGCAAGGCCCTTGACTTCGACATCCTCCGTCTCCGGCAGCGTTGCGTCTTCTGTCTTGCCCAAGAAGAAGTCTCCCTTGCCAGCCTTCTTCCCCTCTCTGCTCAAGAACCGCCTTGTCCACTCTCCCACGGCGGGCTCGCCCGTCTCGTCTCGGGCCTGCTTCAGGAAGGGAATCAGAGCCGTGCCGCCAGTGCCCTTTTGGTCCTTTTGATCGGCCTTGCGCGAAGCAATGGCCAGGTTGAGGCCTCTGCGAGTGGCCTTGGGGCTGCGGGACCGGCGAGACGGGTTGATGACATAGCGCGTGACAATGATGATGTGCTTGTCCCGGAAGGCGCTCAGCATGGCCAGGCAGGCATCGTAGGCGAGGCAAAGCTCAGTATTGTCGGTGTTTTCCTCGACGAATTCGCGGATGTTGGCCACATGGTACACGTCCTCCAAGAACTGAGCATGCGGGCCAGGCATGTACTCTCGCATTTCCTGGATGAAACCGTGGCTGGGGGCACGGCCTCGGCGTTCAGACGAGTCGCCCTTCTTTTCGCCTGTAGGACGGTGCTGGATTCCAAGGGCAATGTCATAAAACTGAAGCAGACTGCTCTGAGCGTTGCTTCCTCCGGCGAACTGTCGATACGCCGCGTTGGGGGTACCGTCGTCGTAAAGAACGCCCTTGGGCAATCCGGCATCGGCCATGTTCTTGCTTCCGGCCAAAAACGGCCTGATGCGGTTGAAGAAGATGTCAGGGTCGCATCTCTCATTGATTCTCTCTAGGAGGTTGTTCAAATCAGTCAAGCGCTCCGCAAACGCTTGCAAGCATCGTATGACGGTGACCGAGTCATTGCGTCTTGCGGCTGCAAAGGCCTTGAGCATGAGAGACATGACGGGGGCGCCACGAGCCTCGATGGCAACAGAGATGAGGTAGAACCATGATTCGTCGATTCCGCCGGTAAATGTAGACAGCGTGGCCAAGTTCTCCATGTTGTCAATGTCCTCGTCCATGAACAGCGGCTTGTAGTTCCACAGACAGACGGCCGCATAAGTTGCCACCGGCGGGACCTCCAGGTGCTGCGAGATGGCCAGATAGGGAATTGAGATCTGGGGCGGGAGCCGCTCAGCGGGGATGTCGTCGCTCCAGATGTAGCCGTGAGCCATGAAGCTCAGCAGCGAATAGGCACGACGCCACTCGGCATCGTGCTCCAGACCCACGGTAGACAGCACCGGCAGGCGGTCGATGACGCCGCGCAACCGGCGAGTGAGGATCAGGGCCGGCAGGTTTGCCACGATGGCCTCCCATTTGTTGTAGTAGGGATCTGGGAGGCGAGAGAGGGGGAGCGTGCTGGGGAGAAAGCCATGGGTTGGCGAGATGTCGTAGTCAGCGAGGACAGGAATTGGAGGCAGCATGTTATCTGTCTCTTTGGTCCTTGCTCAAGGAAACTCTCTAGCAAACGCTTAATAGAAGCTTAGATAGAAGCTAAACAATTAGGCTGGATGGAAGCGAGGGAAATAGGTTGAAAGAGAGCTGTGAGGAGAAGGGATCGAGACTAAGTCTAAGTTCTGAAACGATCGCTGAGTTGTCAGGTAATTTTTTCGAAGCGTCTAGCGTGGGGGACGCGCCAAGTTCTATTTTTTTTCCTCGCTTGCGGGATAAACGCTCAGAAATTTCTAAGCCGCCGACAATCGGACGTTACAGCAAAGTTAAATAGAGAGGAGAAAAAGGGACATAAAGTGATGACGAGTCACAAAAAAGAACGCAATCTATTGCGTGCGAAAGCGCGGGGAGGGTGAAGCAAAGAGAAAAAAGTGCCCCTGGAGGATCCAGGAATTGGAAATGCGATGAGTAAATAAGGAGAAAGTAAAAGATCAGCCCATATTTGCAGAAATCCTTCCGTGGCAAAAGCCGTTTCAGTAGGCTATTATTAATGTGCTCTGGCTTTAGTCTCTGGTTAGTGCTTCGACTTGAATGAAAACTATCCCACTCAGACTGGGCGCCTCTTTCGAATCCGAGGGTCCGCCGGGAAGCCATCGGGCGCCACCGGATGGAACATCCCGCGGACCGGGGGAGTTTTCACGGGCCTGCGGAGAAGATGATTATGGGGAGGGGTTTTTGTCTGTATGGGAAAAAGACGATGTTCTGGCCAGAATGCCATTCTTTTGAGGACAGACTTTCTTTCCCATTCTTCTTCATTCGTGTTCCACAGTGTCGCAACACGGACTGAAGTTGGCACGTGACTGCACTCGTGCCGCGGTAAATTAATGCATAATTGATCGGTTTTTGCATCAAGGATCATCCAAGTTAATAGATTATGTTGCTGTGCACAAGGCAATACGTGCTATTCAAGCTGACAGCGGCAGGTTCCCGGCGCAAGTCGACTATGTCTTCAAAACTAACCCCTGCAGTAGTTGCGAGAGTAGGATTCAGTTGTCTAGCCAATCAGAGACTACCGCATCGGCAGTCCCACAATGGCTTAGCTAGGCCTATTCTCTACTTCTTCTTCTACTACTTCTACTACTTCTACTACTTCTACTACTTCTACTACTTCTACTACTTCTACTACTTCTACTACTTCTACTTTTATTACTTCTATTACTTTTACTTTTTTAAATTTACTATATTCTAGTTAAAATTTTTCTATAAGGGCATTTGCTTTGCTAGGTGACGGCTAGGTTGCTGGATAGTGAAACCGAGATGCTGGATAAGAATTCTCTTTATAAAGCAATTAGGTATGTCATTTGACTACTAGGTATCTATGTTGAACATGGTTCAACGGCGCTACAACAAATTATAAACAAAAGGTATCATATCTAGGCATTAATGCAACAATCAATCGTCGCTCAGGGCGAAGCAGCGCTCGCTGCTATCCGCGTTGTTCCCCCACCAGTTTGGCATCGTAATGATCTTGCCCGCGCCAAAGCACAGGAAGATGAGCAGCATGTTGAAGTTGAACCCGGCATCAAACGCCGCCGCCAAAATGTAGTTCCACCGCGCCCACAGGTCGTAGCGGTATCGGAACGCCAGGAACATGACCACGAAGCCTCCAATGAAACTTGAGGTGTAGCCTGTGCTGAGGTTGCCATAGAAGATGGACATGGCGGAGAAGAAGATGGTGGTGTTCCAAAGCTGGAACTTGGCCCGAGGGAACATCTTGTGCAGAGCGAAGATGACAATGGGGCACACAGCGCCGACGAGGTAGCCATAGGGAACAGGCTTGTAAATGTCCTGCTTGAAAAGACGGCTAGGGCCGACGAGCACATACTGGACGCCCGATGTCAGAGAGGAGGCGAGCGACTGACCAGTCCACTGGTGAGTGGGATCTTCCTTGGCGCCAGAGAGATATTCGCTCTTGGTGTCGAGGACCCATCGAATGACTGCATAGTCGATGGGGATACCAATGGCCGAGCCGAAGACTTGCGAAAAGAAGACGGCCTTGGGAGGCACATGCATGTAGTGGCCAATCTTCATGTCTTGGAGGTTGAGCTGTGCACGATACCAGGCATCTCCGGCGATGGCTCCGTAAGTTGAAGCACCGCAAGGGTTCTTGAAACCGGATATGCCGTTTATCATGGCACCGTACAAGAGCTCGTTGGTTGTTCCGATAGGCTTGAGGAGAGTGTAAGTAAAATGGATAATGAATCAATATAAACAGAAATTTCTCACCAGTTGATAATTGGACAGAGCATAAAGCCAGCCCAGCGGCACGACAACTAGAGCTCCCGTGATAATGGCCACGAAATAGGTCCATACAGGAATAAACATCAAGTTCTTGCCGACGATGGCGATGAGCATGACAAATGAGACCAGGAACAGGGCGCCAAACCACCACCAGGGAATTTCATCGTACGGTCGCTGCAAAATATTGAGCTGATCCTTGTACTGCTCAGTAATCTTACCAGAGCCCTTAACTACTGTGCGCTCTCTGAGCTTCTTGAAGCTCTCTTTGATCTGAGGCCAGCCAAAGAGGAGCATCCAAACGAGGGCAGAAGAGTACGAAGCAATATCGAAGAAGTTGCTCCACAACTGTTGAGTACCAACGTATAAGTCACCATACTGTTCGTATGCGGTGTGGTTGAGTTTAGAGTCGGCAGTTAAGAGCTCGGTCAAAGGATAGGCCGTTCCGTTTTCTAGAGACATATACAAGTTAGCTGTGTTTCTTCAAATAACAAGTTGAGGCAAAATACATACGCAAAAAGACTCGATTTGACATCAGGTTATGCCGCCACTCTCCCAATTTACCAAACTTGGAAGCAGGAATCAAGACCCAACAATTGAACACAAATGCAGCAAAGAGAATGACCTGTGTCCACCAAGGGGTCAGGAACAGACTGCCACCGTTAGAGATACTGGACCAGTCAAGAGACAAGTTCAAGAATCCCATGCCACCAAAGCCGGAACCGATAAAATTGGCCGTCTTATTGTGCGGCGCAACCCAGCAGAGGAAAGCCAGAGAGCCGAGGAAAGGAAAGACGTATTCAGGCAGAAATTGCCACAGGATGATGCCTCCCATGACGGAGAAGAAGACCACCATCTGCTTGCGAGATGCGCGGTTTGGGTGCTCGCGCTGCTTCTTCTGGGTCTCGAATAGAGCAGCCTGGCAAATTGACTGGAACCAGGGGTACTGCGGGTCGTAGATCAGGAACTGACGTGCCAGTGCGGCGTACGAGTATCCTGTCCAGGTGATACCCAACATGAAGAAGACGGCCACGGCACCGTTGACAGGCTGGCCAAAATATAGCTCACTCATTGCAATAGGTGTATATCCGAGGTTATATGTAGCTCCACTCGCTGCAGAAATGGTAATCAAGACATGTTCTTTTGTGCTGAAAGGGCCGGGGTTAAGACTGAACCCCCATTTGGATCCGGGGATCCCAATCCACCAGGCCGGGAGGACCTTGGCAAGCCACACGCCAGCATAGTTGGAAGCGATTTGAACGAAAAAGACGGAATAAGGAGCATAGGTTGTTCGGAAATGAGCCATCTGTGATAAGAAGGCTCCGGGAGCGACGAAGAGGATGGTGAGGAGGAAGTATCGAAAAGTCAAGGTCGGTTCAGTGGGATCGTCAGTGAAGCTGACAATACGCCTCACATATTGCGGGATATCTTTGATCCTGGGGTCATCTTCATCGACAACCTCTTCCTCGCCGTTCTCATTGGTAAGGGTATACTGGGCCTTGCCGTTGGTGAGGTCCTCCTTGGACTCGACGTCGATGTCAAGATTGGCGCCAGCCTTTTCGTCAATGCCCAGGATTTCGGACTGCTCTTTTCGGCTAAGGGATTCTTCGGTGAGAATAGGGCCGGCAGAGACCACTTCGCCTGGCTTCTCCAGTTGAGCGGACGCCATTGCGGAAGGCTGATAGCCCTGTGCCCAGAACAAGCAGCCTGGCGTTCCCACAAGAGGTTCTACAAAATATAGGTTGAAGAAGGAAAAAAAAGGCACCGCTTGATGAAGTGAGCCTCTCAATGAATGAGGGCAGACATGGGGTTATTTATCCGAGCAGCAATGTAACGATGGATCGATGCTACGTAAAAGAAATTCTCCATCCATATCCAGCGCGGGGCCCCTCAGGTCCTTGGTCAATCCGATGCAACACCAAGACCAACACCATCACTGACAAACTGGCAGAATTACAATGGCCAGATGCGGGCAACTTTACGGCACAAGATATCCGGAGAGTGGATGACCGGGGCAGCACGCCATAGCAAGGGATCTTTACGATGGGCTGCAGGAGGATATAACTAGAGAGAATTTTGAGGCGAGCACTTACAAAGGACCCTCGACGATCCATCCTTCGTACGTCGTGTAAGCCCAACTTCGCATACCATTGCCAAAAAGTACCATTACCCGGAGGATGGGCACCAGCCAAGTTGACCAAAACTAGGGCTTTTCGTATAAGTGACGGTGGGTCATCTGAACTGGGTGGCTCGGTCTAAAAGCGGAATTGCCATCGAGAGTGCCACATCTTAAAATCAAAGCTTCACACTACTTCGGCTCTGCACTGCCGGCTGGGCATAAAAAACGCCATGCATATGGAAAATGCGCCAGAACTAAACAGGATCTTTTGCATGCTGCTGCACGTCCTGACCTAACTTGATGGGAGCTTTAACCTCAGCACAAGCGGCCACAGCGGCGTTGGTAAGCGCAACGCTTTTCTCGGGGAAAATTTCAAGGAGAATTAACAAACAAGCGTCGGCAAAGGCAAAAGACGCCAGGAGCAAGGGATATGGTGTCATCGAGCTAAGCTTGAAATAGACGACTCCATGTGGGAATAGACCCAGATGCTTGGCCGTCTTTATTGAAATGCTTAAATTGTGTTCAAAGCAGCGGCGTTATGGGTTCGCCTTGTGCCTCATGCAGCTTATATGCCAGCAGAGGCCCATCCGCATGTTTGGTGTCAATCAATCCGGCATAAAAAGGAGCTGTTGGTGAGGCTGCAAATTGGCGATCTCGAGGTTAATATAGGCGTTGCTTCAGGCGATAAGAGTGGATATTCGCGGACGCTCCCCATGGCTGCTACCACGAGTTTGATATGGAGCTTCAGTATCGGGCCTTGTGGGGTGCAGCCCGTTCCGGACTTTACTGATAAATGCACTATTGTCTGGAGAATTTTTTTCCTTTTTTTGTTTTGTCTTCATCACCAGTTGCCGGGTTCGCCTAACATCGGGTATTGTTACTGTTTTGCAACGGTCTTTTCAAGCTTCAGTTGCAGGACCCAGGAGACCCGTTCTGTATTACCAATACGTGTGAAATCATTGTCGTGTCAGCATTAGAGTGGACATTGACGGATATTTAGTTTGATGCTTTGTAGTTTGCGATTTCAATATTTGTTTGTCATGCACAAATTGGTTGAGATTGGAACTGGGTTGCCTTTAGCTGTCATGTGATCGGATGCTCCATGCAACCCATTCATCACATCTAAGCTTCAAGTGTTGGTGGGCTAAGGCAGCCAATAACCACCCTACTATTTAATACAGTATCTCGACAATCATTATATACAAAGTAGTCATTCTAAGATTGGATTGCCAGCTGTATGCTTGGCAGCTGCTATATTCGGGCGCCGTCATGGTGCGTGCTCGATCCATTGCTGGTACGACTCTATCCCAGGCAGGTCGAGTTACAGGATCTACAAGCTTAAAAGAGAGTGTATATGCACGGCCGCTTCCTTGCTACTCTGCTCCACGCTTGAGCCTAATTAGTTTATTCCTCTTGCTTGATTGTAAAGCTTCGCGCTCTTTATTTTGCGACAGTATTGTTATCACTTTATGGAAGTGCTTGTCCTTGTTATACCCCAGAATAAACTTTTCTTTCAATGCTTGATCCATATGCAATTTTGTCGTTGTATAGTAAGCCTCTGATGACCATATGTCATTTAGTTCATTGTCATTTGCCTCTGGATCAATTGCATTTGGGACTTCTTCATTTCCTTCTGCGGGTAACCTTGACAGCGCGTCGGGAACCAAGTTCTTCTTTCCGGGAATATGATGTATTTTCATCTTGTACTGACTGGTTAGGGGTTTCGTCTGTGCGATTTTCCGTCTCGTATGGAATACCTTCCAGGATTAGTTGTCGTCGCCAGTGAATGACAAATTCTTTAAAGCGTCTTCTTGCTCCTCGTCCATCAACCCAATCTAATGGGTATGCTTCCGTCAGTGCTGAAGATTCCAACAGTTAATTGCTTTTAAGTATAGATGCAAGGACCGTAATGTCGGGGGCTGTTAAGAATGTCGTATATGGATGACCGGATTGGAGAAATAATTCTATTTGTTTCGTGATGCGGGTTAGTTGGAGAGATATCATGCCAGTAATGCTTAGCTGGAAGGGCGAGTGGTGGGCCTTTCATTACACACCAGGTCCTTTCGCGGGCTTGTTCGGTGAGTACATCTGATGCGTCAACGAGGGCGCCAATGGCATGCTTGCATTACATAGTCAGCACTGCGTGATTAAGTAACGTGATGATAAGAAGAGGTGGTACTCAGGGAGATAGCATTACAAAATATGGATTGCTTTGTGAATCAAGCGGAATCATGCGATGATTCTACTGGGAGTTCTCCGCCAATACGATTTCTATATATCTAGATCCCACAACGCAGGTCGTCGATATACATGTGGTAGTAGCCATTGAAGCATACTCTAAGCAGTAAACAAAACTGTGAAGGCTAGTATCAGCTAGTAGCGGTATTTATGGCAATGGTAATACTCACATATAGAAGAAACGCTATCAGTCTCCAAGTTAGCAGACCGATATCCAATGGGGTGCACAGATTCGGCCTCACATTTACAGCATTTCACCATTGTCATACAATTTTCAGTGGTGTTATGTCCAATGATTGGAACACATTTAGCATCAGTGATGAGAGAAAAGAATTGTGCGATTGAGCCTCATGTTTGACTTAGTATGATGCCCGCAGTGGAGGCGTACTTACCGTGGAGGTATGTACATGAGTGCGGTGCAATCGATACGCCTGCTAAGAGATTGTAAGTAAATTCTTCATTAATCAACGTAATGCGGACGCAAATTATTCCAGTCGTGAGAGTCAAGTAAATTTCTTCGCGTCTTAACGTCTCATTTTTTTTTTTTTTTGAGCATCGCAATTGCAATATAATAGAATAGCATCGACGACGTGTCAGTTGTAGGACCCAAAAAGGGCGAGCTGGTGATTGCAAGACTATCTAAGTCGATTAACCAATGACACTGAAGTACCATGCACAATAAAAATAGGGAACTATTCAGCAACCTAGTCGTCTCCTAGCAAAGCAATTAACCACATAGGAAAATATTAAATGAAATATAGTAGATTTAAAAAAAAAAAAAAGTACAAGCGATAGATGTAAAAGAGGTAGTAGAGGTAGTAGAAGTAGTAGAAGTAGTAGAGCACCTGATAGATGTTTATGACCTTAGCGACAGCTGGGGTGCTGGATAATAAAATTGGGTATTGAATAACAATTCCCTTTATAAGTCTGAAAAAGAGGCTTGCTATTGTGTCTACTAGTAGTCATTGTAGAGTGGCAAATGTGTAAGTGATAAATCCAAGTTTGGGCAGTATCTCAGTCTGCAGAAAAAGAGCAATTCAATTCTAGCCCAAGCGTTACCTAGTAGGTATTAGGTGCACCTCTCTAGCAGCACAGCTTATAGCGGGCTTCAGCGTGGTTTACAGGGGCAGAAGAGGCTCCAGACCCCCACAAGGCGGCCCTCCAGTCCGTGGAGCCGTTAGATGCTGGGAGCTCCAAGTCGTCATCCGTGGAGCCACCGTTGACCCATCGCTGCAGCTCCAACTGCTACTCCAGTATTTACCCGCCCACCATCTCCTGCGACTGACGATGCCTCGCACAGCATCACCACTACGATGCCCGTTCAACAGCATGTGCTGAACTGGCTGTACAGCGTCTTGACAAGTGTATGTGCGCCTGCTCTCTGCTATTCTCTTGATCTTTCAGATGAAGCGCCCTTGACCACTGCGCTATATCAAACATTGGAAGCACCCCGCATCTAACCTCCTCGGCAGGAATATCACGATGTCAACCGCACGTACGGCGACGTGGCCACGGTCCTCGCGCGATATCCGACACTTGCTCCTCGAACCGACGTCTATAGTACGACTACGCTTCTCCATTCCACATCATCTGTATTGCTATCCAAGTCCTAGGACTGACAACCCGACTCACAGCGTTTCCTAATGGCGCCAGCTCCCTGCTAGTCCATTTGACGGGCACGATCCCAACCCTCTTTCGAGGCACCACATATAGGTTCCCCGTCTCAATATGGGTGCCCCATGCGTATCCGAGGGAGGCACCGTTGGTGTATGTCACCCCAACAGAGACCATGATGGTCCGTCCGGGTCAGCATGTCGACCCTCAGGGCCAGGTCTACCACCCATATCTGGCTGGTTGGGGCGATTTCTGGGATGCAAGTCATACTTCTTTTTATTGATTGGCTCTCTGGGCTCTCCTTTGAGTGAAATAAAAAATCATGCTAACCTTCGTGTACAGAAATCAAGCCTAAACGATTTTCTTTCCGTCTTGAGCGATGTATTCGCAAAGGAACCGCCCGTTATCTCACGGCAGCAGTCTCGACAGGGTGTCCAGAGTCCGCCTCCCGCTCAAATGCCACCTCCCGTCACCCCCCACCCCCCAGAATTACCTGCTACTTCGGCGCCTTCTCCGGGAGGACTATATACAAATCAAGGAGAACCCCGACCGCCGCCGCCGCCTCCCAAACCTCATCAGGACACTCGCTCACCACCGCCGATTTCATCACATTCTCAGCTCTCTTCTCCAAGCCCTGCCAGCAGTACAGGAATACCATCAAGATATGAATCAGCTCCGCCTCTCCCGCCACAGCCACAGGTATCTAGGCCGCCATACCAGCCTCATGGTCAATCTCTCCCCCAGTACGCGAACCATCAGGGGCCAAGCCCTCAATCTCCTCCTCAGCCTCAGCCGCAAGGGCTGCCGCAACCTCAGCCATTAGGGTCAAATGTTGGATATTCAGGTCAATTCCATCCCCAAGGACAAGCACAGGGCCAGGGACAATGGCAGCCACCCCATCAGCAGCAGCAAGCATGGGATAGGCCTCCTGCTCAGCAGCAGCAGTGGCAGCAGCAGCAACTGCAACAACGGCCCCAGCCCCCTCCCCAACCAAGGCCGCCACCGCCTCCTCAAAATCTCCTCGATGATACGCTCAGCTTGGAGATATCATCTCATGGCATCGAAGCACCTCCTATTCCTCCGAACCCCGAAAAAGATGCTCTTCTTAGGCAACTGGCCCAGACTTTGGCTTCTATCCGACAACGCAGCCGACAACAGAATGAATCTAGCATGGCAGGATTAGGCGCCCAGCAGAATGCCATGTTATCTGCAATGTCCGCCGTTCAAGCAGAAATGGGGCAACTGACTCAGCTGTCTAACATTATCAATTCCAACACTAATATTCTTCATGACGCTCTGCGGAAAGCAGACGCCGTCATTGAAGGGTCGAGGAGCCACACTGTTCCAGATATCGATGAACTACTAGTAGCCCCCACGGTAGTATCCAACCAGTTGTACAGAGTAGTGGCAGAGGAGAGGGCACTGGGAGATGCCATATTCATGCTTGGCCGTGCTGTTGAGAGAGGCCGCATATCCCCCGCCGCGTTTGCGAAAATGACGCGATCTTTGGCAAGAGAATGGTATCTGAAGAAGGCTCTGGCACGAAAGATTGCACAGGGCATGGGGCTGATCTTACAAGCATAAATGTGAGGCGTATAAATCCCAATCCCATACATAGGTAGTAGTTACCTACCTTTTGATAGCAATCGTGTGGATACAATAGTGTGATTTGATACGCTTGAAACTTTTCCCGCTGAATATAGTTTTTTTTTTTTTTTTTTTTTTTTTGCATAAACGCAGCCCAACAGAGTTTCTGAAGGCCAAATTTCAAATGCTAAATGTTCTCCCTCTTTGTGCATGCTGTTCATTGCTCTGTACTCTGTTATAGATTGATCTACAGCGTGGGAATGAAAGATCCTGCTTACCTAATCTAATGGTGATTTCAAAGGCGCAAATGCTGTATCGGGGCGCTAGTCTCAATTAATCAGTGGCTTTCTGCTCTCTAAGCACGTCGCGCGCCGCAGCAACTGGCGGGATCCCTTTTGCCTGAGGAAAGTTTCCATTATCACGCCAAAAAAGTCGCTGCTCTTCAACGTCGGCATCCATCGTGCACAATCGCCAGTCCCGCAAGAGCTCTTTGTGTCCAGGAGACTCTTTTTGCCGGGATCGCTCGCAGATGCTCGTTTGTTGACAGGCATTAGGATCGCTGCTGAGTCGTCGAGAGCTTCCTTGTTCGAGCGGTCCCTCCACGGCGCGAGGACGAGGCCGCAACCCACGATAATTGCTTCGAGTCTCTGCTCGAAGGCTCTCTACAGCAAGATCTGAAGGACAAGGCTGTACTCTGTATCTTAACGATCTTGATTTCGACTCCACATCGACACCATGGCTGATTACGAAGACGATTACGATTATGAGAACTATGGGGATGAGGATGAGGGCATCACGCCCGAGGATTGCTGGACCGTGATTTCCTCTTTCTTCGAGACCAAGGGTCTCGTATCGCAGCAGACCGACTCCTTTGACGAGTTTACTCAGACGACCATCCAGGATCTCGTTAACGAATACTCCACCATCACGCTCGATCAGCCCAATCCTCCTTCGCCACCTGGTCGAACGATAGCCCTTCGCCGATATGAAATCAAATTTGGAAGCGTCATGGTATCACGCCCCACTATCAGCGAAACAGATGGAACTGTGACATCTTTGCTTCCTTACGAATGCCGAGACCGTAACTTGACCTACGCCAGTCCGCTCTACATCAAAATCACCAAAAAGGTGTCTGCGGCTGTCGAAAGAGAGGTTCCGCTGCACGAGATGGACGATGCCCAGCAAGAACAGTATGCAAGGACCGGAGAGCACCCTACAAAGTTGGAATGGGAAGAGGAAGAAAATGGCGAAGACGACAATCTCGGCAAGTCTGACGACTGGAAGGACATGGTTTTCGTTGGCAAGCTGCCCATCATGGTCAAATCCAAGATTTGTCATCTGAGCCGTGAACAGGATGATAGCCTGTTCCTTGTCAACGAGTGCCCTTACGACCAAGGTGGATATTTCGTCATCAACGGTAGTGAAAAGGTCCTCATTGCCCAAGAGCGCTCCGCCGCAAACATCGTCCAGGTCTTCAAGAAGGCCCAGCCCAGTGCTTATACCTACACGGCCGAAATCCGAAGTGCACTGGAAAAGGGATCTCGACTCATCTCTAGCATGATGCTCAAGTTGTATGGCAAAGGAGACTCTGCGCGAGGTGGTTTTGGACAGACCATTCACACAACCCTGCCTTTTGTCAAGTCAGATCTTCCCGTCGCCATTGTTTTCCGTGCCTTGGGTGTCGTTTCTGATGAAGACATTCTGAATCACATTTGCTACGATCGAAACGACAGCCAAATGCTTGAAATGCTTCGGCCCTGTATTGAAGAAGCCTTCTGCGTCCAGGATCGAGAAGTTGCTCTCGATTTCATCGGAAAGCGAGGCAACCGTGATCAAGCTGGCCTCGGTCGTGAGAAGCGTGTTCGTGTAGCGAAGGACATTCTCCAGAAGGAGACGCTTCCCCACATTTCCCAGACTGAAGGTAGCGAGACGAGAAAGGCATTCTTCCTCGGATACATGGTGCACAAGCTATTGCAATGCGCACTTGGAAGACGAGAGCCCGATGACCGAGATCACTTCGGAAAGAAGCGTCTGGATCTGGCTGGTCCACTGCTGGCCAAGCTGTTCCGTGGTATCATGCGTAGAATGAACACCGAGTTGGCCAACTACCTGAGACGATGTGTTGAGGGTAACCGTCACTTCAACCTGGCTGTTGGCATCAAGCCCGGCACACTCTCCAACGGATTGAAGTATTCTCTCGCCACCGGAAACTGGGGTGACCAGAAGAAGGCAATGAGCTCGACCGCAGGTGTATCACAGGTGCTTAACCGTTACACTTTTGCTTCGACACTTTCTCATTTGCGTCGTACCAATACACCCATCGGAAGAGATGGTAAGCTGGCGAAGCCTCGACAGCTTCACAACACACACTGGGGTTTGGTATGCCCGGCCGAGACCCCTGAGGGACAGGCTTGTGGTTTGGTCAAAAACTTGTCTCTGATGTGCTACGTCAGTGTCGGATCTCCTTCCGAGCCTTTGATCGAGTTTATGATCAACAGAGGTATGGAGGTCGTTGAGGAGTACGAACCGCTGAGGTATCCCCATGCGACAAAGATTTTTGTGAATGGTGTCTGGGTTGGAATCCACCAAGACCCCAAGCATCTGGTAAACCAAGTTTTGGACACTCGTCGTAAATCCTATCTGCAATACGAAGTCTCTCTGATCAGAGATATTCGTGACCAAGAATTCAAAATCTTCTCTGACGCCGGTCGTGTTATGCGTCCTGTCTTTACTGTACAGCAAGAGGATGACCCGGAAACGGGCATCAACAAGGGCCACCTGGTTTTAACCAAGGATCTTGTCAATAGACTGGCCAAAGAGCAGGCTGAGCCTCCGGAAGACCCAAGCATGAAGCTTGGATGGGAAGGGTTAATTCGGGCTGGTGCGGTGGAATATCTCGATGCTGAGGAAGAAGAAACGGCTATGATTTGCATGACACCGGAGGATCTTGAGCTTTACCGTCTTCAGAAGGCTGGCATTGCCACAGATGAAGACATGGGAGACGATCCAAACAAGCGTCTCAAGACCAAGACAAATCCGACAACTCACATGTACACGCATTGCGAGATTCACCCGAGTATGATCTTAGGTATCTGTGCTAGTATCATTCCTTTCCCCGATCACAACCAGGTATGTCAACCCGAGAAGCTATTCTCTGTTTCTCTTCCCTGTTTATGGCCTGTTCAAATAACTAACTGACCCTATACAGTCCCCCCGTAACACCTACCAATCTGCCATGGGTAAACAAGCCATGGGCTTCTTCTTGACCAACTATTCTCGGCGTATGGACACCATGGCCAATATCCTCTACTACCCTCAGAAACCGCTGGGCACCACTCGGTCTATGGAGTTCTTGAAATTCCGTGAGCTGCCAGCCGGACAAAACGCCATTGTAGCAATTGCTTGTTACTCTGGTTATAACCAAGAAGATTCCGTCATTATGAACCAGAGTAGTATTGACAGAGGTCTCTTCCGAAGTCTTTTCTTCCGATCATATTCAGATCAGGAGAAAAAGGTTGGCTTGAACTACACGGAAGTGTTTGAGAAGCCATTCCACCAAAACACCCTTCGTATGAAGCACGGCACATATGATAAGCTGGATGAAGATGGTATCGTTGCTCCTGGTGTCCGAGTGTCAGGTGAGGATATCATCATCGGCAAGACGGCGCCAATCGACCCCGAGACCCAGGATCTTGGAACCAGGACGACCATGCACCAGAGACGCGATATCTCAACGCCTCTGCGAAGTACCGAGAACGGTATCGTTGACCAGGTCATCGTCACGGTGAACGCGGACAATGTTAAGTATGTCAAGGTCCGTGTTCGAACGACCAAGATTCCCCAGATTGGAGACAAGTTTGCTTCTCGTCACGGTCAGAAGGGCACTATTGGTGTTACTTACCGACAGGAGGATATGCCTTTCACAAGAGAAGGTCTCACTCCAGATATCATTATCAACCCCCACGCCATTCCGTCTCGTATGACAATTGCTCACTTGATTGAGTGTCTCCTCAGTAAGGTCTCTACGTTGGAAGGTATGGAGGGTGATGCTACTCCCTTCACGGATGTCACGGTCGACTCAGTCTCTGAGCTCTTGCGAAAGCACGGTTACCAGTCTCGAGGTTTCGAGATTATGTACAACGGCCATACTGGCCGCAAGCTAAGAGCACAAGTGTTCTTTGGACCAACATACTACCAGCGACTCCGTCACATGGTGGATGACAAGATCCATGCCAGAGCTCGCGGTCCTGTGCAGATCATGACAAGACAGCCGGTGGAGGGTCGTGCTCGAGATGGTGGTCTCCGATTCGGAGAAATGGAACGTGATTGTATGATTGCACACGGTGCGGCGTCCTTCCTCAAGGAGCGATTGTTTGAGGTGTCGGACGCCTTCAGAGTTCACATTTGCGAGATTTGTGGACTCATGACACCCATTGCGTACGTATTCCTCATTCATATTTGTCACCAATTTAATTACAGTCTCACTAACTTTTTTATAGTAACTTATCCAAACAATCGTTCGAGTGCCGGCCATGCAAGAACAAGACTAAGATTGCACAGATTCACATTCCTTATGCTGCCAAGCTCTTGTTCCAAGAGCTCCAGTCTATGAACATTGCAGCTAGAATGTATACAAACCGATCTGGTGCATCTATCCGATAGTTTGGAGACGGGGCGTGGGTTATAAAGGCCACATAATATGATTGCCGCAAGGTTTATAAAAGTTTCATTTTCTTGCATCTTTTGGAGACAGGTAGAAAGTGGAAATTGCTCCAAGGACAGAATGGATATGGGGAGCCTCACTCCCATTGCTACGCCAGCGACATGGATGCTGAGCGGAGAGTATGATTTGTACATGTAGATAAGAATAATACAATAAAGAAACAAAAAGTAAAACGAACATGAATCTCTAAAGCTCGCTTATCGTGATACATGGCATGAATAACTGTTTGGAGAAAAAAAGCTGGCGCTACTTCGGCGGGGCGGAGTTGCTGCTCAGAGGCTCTAGTGAGTTGTGAACGTTCTGTTCGCGCTTGTACTCTGCCTCCAATTGACGCTGCATATCAAAGTCCAATTCGCGCTCTCTCTTGATTCGCTGTCGCTCCATGTCGCGGACAACGCCCTGATGCATAACCTTTATATGCAGTTGCTGGTTAGCAGGAAACAACGAGAGGGCAGATGTCGATGAAGGTTAAGGCGAGCAGATAGACAAAGCACAACTTACATCTTTCTCCTGTCTTTGTCTGAAGTGGACCCATGCAATCATTCCACAGGTAAAGGTGCACGTTGTGGCGAGGGCAACTCTAGAGGCTTGAGACATGGCGAGTGTGGTTTGCAATGAGATTTTTTTTTCTCTCTCTTCTCTGATGGGGAATTGCTTTGCGTGCAAGGCTCCGGTGGAGATACAAGGAGAGCGATTCAATGGCCTGGTGTGGTTCGTATAAGAGGCTATCCAAAGATGGGAGATGAGCGAGTGTGTGGATGTTTAAAGGGTGTTGGCGAATTAAACGGCGCGAATATATGGACGAAGTTTTAGACGATATTGCCAGTGAAGCTTATCTGTTGTGTGGGTGGCCTAGGCGGTTGATTTAGGTAGCATTGCAGAAGGAGCCAAGTACCGTTGGCGGGATTGTTTAACAGCTTCGCTTAGAAAAGTGCGGCTACACAGTTAGCCTCGCCGGAGCGAGGTACTTTAGGAATGCACTTCTAACGCCGAGCCACGCCGAAAGCTGTGACGACAACCGGCATTACCTAGGGCGGCATCCCATCTTATCTAGCCTTCGCATTAAGCTGGAAGCTGCATCACTGCATTCTGCGAACTTGACAACTCTGCGCCATTCCAACTCCTTGAACCGATTTCTGCTCCCTTTTTCTTACTCCCTTTTTCTTCTTCCCATTGTCTTCTCTTTTCTTTGTATTTGAGCGAGTCTTTTGCATCTACACCGGCAATCAATCATGGTGAGTGCGCGCGCATTGTTGCCGTGCAGAGGGGGAGGTGAATGAATAGCTTCAGGAAGCTGACGTTCTGAAACCAGTCTGCCCAGAACTCGGCGGGTATCCAGACCCTCCTCGATGTACGTATTGACGAATGCGCATGATTTCTACCACTGTCTCAATAGGATCGATACGACTTTAAGGAAGATGCTGGGCGATGACGTTTCATGGTACTGATGCTATGTTGGTAGGCTGAGAGAGAGGCATCCAAGATTGTACAGAAGGGTACGCTGGCACCGCCCTAGTAGGGCTGCATTCTTCTCTCTTGGACTGTGACTGACTTCTCCTTGTGTGCATATAGCTCGAGAATGTGAGTGATATCCATACACCGCACCGCACCGCACCCGCACCTCTCGATCGAACTTTCTATGTCTGCTGGAATGGAATGCGAGAATACACGAATCCAAAGCTACAACGATAAATCTGACCTGTAAACGACGTACATAGTCCGAACCAAGCGCGTCAAGGAGGCCCGTGACGAGGCAAAGAAGGAAATCGCCGACTACAAGGCCAGCAAGGAAGACGAGTTCAAGAAGTTTGAAGCCGAGGTACGGACATGGAACCTCCTATCCCCCCCTCCGAGCAAGACACAATGAAGAAGAAAAAAAAAGTTCTTGGCCTAATGTATTTCCCGACTACAGCACAGCAAGGGCAACGAGGCTGCCGAGCAGGAGGCGAACAAGGAGGCCGAGAAGCAGATTGCCGTGATTAAGGAGGCCGGCAAGAAGAACCAGGAGACCGTTGTGAAGAACCTGCTGCAGGCTGTGTTTGATGTTAAGCCTGTGGCTGCGTGAATTTAATTACGCTGAAGTGGGTTTGTTGTTGCTGCGAGGTGTGAAGTGTATATTGAAGTAGAGGATAATATGGGATTGACCTTTTATACTAGCGGCTGGGAGAAAGGGATGGTGGAAACGCTCGTACTCTACCGGTACTGATGCTATGCTCGATCAAGTTTGCGCATTAACTTATATTTAAAACTACATTTTTGCTCATTAAGACCTGCGCTCCTCTGCTGGCTTTTATTAGTTGAGAAAATCTATCAGGGTGCTCAGCATCTCGCCCATATCCTTGCTGTCTTCCTCCGTGGTATCCAGCTCGCTCAATTGCTCTTTAAGCGTCTTCTGTATCGATTTAAAGTCATCGTCCGTCTCCGCTAACAGTCGCCTGATCTTCTGATTTGCGCCTCCGTCTTCAGCAATGAGCCATGCCAGGATGACGTCGGCGAGCTGGAGGTTAAATAGCCCGGCGTCCATCTTGCGTGAGAGCAGCTGAATCTCACGATCCTCCTCTGCATCGCGTGAATTTATCGACTCTTGCTGATGCGCCTCTTCGGCGGCTTTTATGCGCGTGGTATAGTCTCTGTGTAGCTTTACTAATTTGGTCGTCTTTTCGTAGTCCTTTTCGACGAATTTGGCCAGCAAGCGTATCCGTTCCGCGGATTCGGCGGGCAACAGTCGCAGCATCGAGGCGAAGATGGAAAGCAAGGGCCCAATGAGGCGGTTATCTTGCGTCTTGTTGAACAGGGTAAATGTGGTTTTCAGTCCTCCTGCCTCGACTATTCTCTGGCATATCTCGACACTGGTGGCGCCGCCTGTCGCGTGATCCAACAGGCGTAATGACGGGTTCTTTGCCATTTTGCTCTCCTTGATCATGATGAGACAGAGTTCGGTTCCTTCAGCTTCGAGGAACTTGGCTCTCCCAGCAGGTTTGTCGACCAGACATGTAAGACTTTCGAATAGATTCTCTACAAACTCCTCCTCTGGGCTTCCCTTTTCTGGATCTCGTCGACGATAAGGAGCTACTAGCTGAAGCATAGTGTCAATGATGTCTAAGCTGATTAGCTTGTCGCAGTTTTCGGGCGCTGTCTGAGCGAGAATAGCCAGGATCTCCGCAGCATACTGCTTGTTCTGGGTCACCGGCGACTCGCTGCGCTGAATGCGCTGCAGCAGCCACTTCAGCAGGGCGTCCTCTTCGCACATTCGCGTAGTGACGGATTTCTGGGAGCTGAGATTTTCTAACACGCTGAGAGAATGATAAACGCCTGTGCGATCGGACTCGTCCTCTTCGTTGAAGCGGGTCAAGTTGGACACTAGCAGACCAAACAGGTCACTGTCAATTAATGCGCCAACTAACGTGTCCCATTGCTCAGTCTCTGTAACGACATCATCGTCTGTGAGCTCTCCGATGATCTCAATGGCATCAATGGCGATGTCTGTATTCTCGTGCGTCAGCAGGCTGACCAAACTCCCTGCACTGCCCAGCTTGACAAACTCCTCGTACAGCTCCGAGGATTCAGCCAGCAGAGAGAGATTTTTTATTTCAGCATCGAGATCGGCTTCGCTATCGATGAACTTGTGCGGCTCGTCCTCGAACCTGGCGCGCAGTTCCGAGTTCTTGGTGATGAGCTTCTCGAGGTTGAGCGCCGTTCTTCTGAGCCAGGCGCCGTCTATCTTGCCCACGTCACCGCCAGCTTCGGCTTTGTCGACGAAATCGAGGATCTCGGATTCTTGCTTGGAAATGCCGCCGCCGAAGAAGCGACCTTCTTCGTCATCGCCGGCGTCGTCTTCCGGTGGCAATTCGGGGCCGAATTCATCGTCATCGGCGGGATTCTCTTCTACTTCGTCTTCGACTTGGGCATGGCGATGGACGGTGCGGTCGCTCAGCTTGGTGGCTTTGTAAATTTCATCTGTGGAGAGCAGCCAATTGGTTAGCATCAAGCCAAGTACAATGTTGGTCTATGGCCTGTCATTCTTGACAATGCATTGTGATGCAGCGTCTCGTGTTCTCACTTACTGGGGTCGCGAATCGGCTGCTCGAGTTTGCGCTTGCTGAGGGAGCCTGATGCCTGAGAGCAGGTAGTTAGTAAGAATACACATGCATATGTCAATGCGCGGAACCCAAAGAGCCGTGTTCTTCCCCATACCTTGAAAATGTCATCAACATTCGCCATTGTGTCCACGCAAGAGCTCTGTTGTGATATTTATCCAGTTGCAGCTGCTATGCATCCAAGTATACACTAAAGCTCCTAGCATCATAGGCCTAGGTCTAGCAGCTCTGGCGCCTTTATCGCAGCCCCTGTCCTTCAGTTACGGCACTCGCGGGGCGATAAGGTTCTACTCTGGATTTGCGCTCTACAGAGGCAGCGATCCGCTAACGGGGCGCCAGATCACAAAACGGTTAGTCCGCATCATGCCAGACATTCGAGGCTGCATTGGCCAATTAGGATGCCTGGGAGCCTGGCATTTCCTACTTTGGCACAAACGTGTACTAGTGTACTGGTACCCGTCCATTTGGAGCAGCACAACGGCCAGGGGTTGGAAAAGGGGACGAGACGCTGTGGGTTAGGGGTCGGTTTTAAGGGCTCCATGCAGCGGCATTGGCCTGCGAGTTTGGCACTAAGCGACAAGCTGCTGGGACAGGCGTCTCTTTAGCCTCAAGCGAGCAACTCTAGACGGCCGACTGGTCACTATCAGGGGGAGGTTTTGTGGCCTGGCAGCGGCGGGCCTGACAGCGGTAATATCGTGTGGTAGCACCACATGGTTGCGGCGGTGAGCGCTGTGATCAGCGGTGCATGCCAGGCGCTGTCGGCGCTGTGGGCGGCGTCTGGTCCTCGCCAGCGCCAGGCACAGGTACTGGTACTTGAGCTTGGGCTGGTGCTTCGCAGCAAAGCAACTCCCAGCCTGTCCCCACGATCCACCGTCCAGGGAACGTCCATCCAAATCCCCGATTTTCTCTGCGCTGGGTGCATGCAGACGGGATTTACAGCAGCTGCTGTGGGATGCGGCCGATCTGAGCGTCTCTGTGCCTCTCTCTCTCACATCCTGCCGCGATCTGGCTTCAGCTCGAATCGCTAAAACAAAACATTAAGTCGGATCGTGTTTGTGGTCATGGCTATCTGCCGCACAAGCGCGATATCCAGGCCTGCACATCTCCACGACCCACGTTGTACGAGTAAGATTGACCCGGGAGAGGCGACTATTGGCTGACACGGGAGCCTGCTCTAATCTGGTAACTTGCAGAGCATGCAGCAATCGCATCCCTTTGACGATAACATCATCTCCCGCCGAGCAAATCGCTCTGCTCCCACCGAACCCTCGTCGCCGCCGCCGCCACCACCGCAGGCGTCGCTACGAGAGGCTCCCGGCATTGAGGCCGTGCTGTCGAGCCCGCCCAAGCCGCCAGTTCTGCGCTCCGTCTTCTCATCCGCCCGCCTGCCGCGAAGCTCGTCGCTGATCCCGCCGCTGCACGGCTCGCCGCCCAACGCCAGCATTGCTGCTAATAATACGCAGCCTCACCACGCAAACGCAAGCCATCAGACGCATCGCGGCACCGTGCACCCCCCCGTCAGTCTCAAGCGGCCGTCAACACCGTCGTCGCAGCTCAACAGGGGCGCCAGCTCCGGAGCGTCGCCGCAAGAAGCCTCCCAGACCCGCAACCGCTGGTCGACGTCGTCCATCTCGTCTGCCTCAAGTCGCACGTCCCCTTATGCCTCTCGCCAGGCCTCGATATCGCACCCACGTATCCGTCGCGCCAGCCTTGAAGCAGCTGTTTCTCCCCCCTCGGCTCCTCCTCCTCCTCTCCCATCCGCCCAGGCACCTCGCAAACCGTCTTACACGGGCCGAAGCCGTTTCAACTCTTCAGACAGCGGCGCCATGCCCACATCGGCACATCCAATGAGGTCTGACTCGAGTATGTCCATGAGGCATTACGAGAACGGCCAGCTACGCTCCGTATCGCCCAATCCTTACGCCAATACCGCCACCACCACTACATCGTCGACCGCCAGAATGCCGCATGAACACCATGATCCATACGCCCCTCGGGGCCATTCAAGGGACCACTCTGGGAAAAGCAGCAGAGACCTGGGCAAGCCCCGCGCTCAGAAAAACCCCTCTCAAAAGGCAATGCTGTCTCGTGCGCTGCAAAAAGCCAACACTGCAGTACAGCTTGACAATGCTCAGAATTTCGAGGGCGCTCGAGAAGCGTATGCCGAGGCCTGTGATTTGCTGCAACAGGTGCTGGATCGAACTTCGGGGGATGAGGATAAGCGGAAGCTTGAAGCAATTGTAGGTTTTTGAGTCCTTGCATTGAAAGACCCAAGATGAAGATGAAGATGAAGATGAAGAACCAGAGAGAAGAACCAAGCAAAGGCCACCCATGTACTTGAGCTAACGAGATATATTCAGCGCCAAACTTATACCAGCCGTATCGACGAGCTAGATCAAATGGGCCCTTGGCAAGATGAAGCTGTCAAGGCTCTGCCCGCCCGACCAGGAAGCGAAGATTACAGCTCGTCCATATACATGCATCAGGACTACGAAATGATGGATGAGGCTCCTAGAATTGAAACTGCAAGAGTTATAAGTATTATTGGAGATGGCGATTCCCCGATTGCGAATCAGTGGCAGCAATCTGCAGGTTATACGACAACAGATATGCTGCAGCCCACGCGTACTTTGGGACCAGGGATGCTACAGTCCTCCTTTTCCCGGTCTCCTCGGCGACTCCGCTCTACAGAAAATCTCCGGGCACAGAGTCAACAAGAGGCTCAGTATGCGCCGGCCCCTCTATCACCTCGTTCGCCGTCGCCAATGAAGATGCGTGAGGAGGAGTATACCGATATGGCACACGAGCACCACGAACCTCATCACCAGAATCACCACCAACACCACTACCACCAGCGACAACCTAGCGACTCCGTCCTACCTTACGACATGCAAGATTTTACAGAAGGAACCCAAAATTCATGGCTGGATCCAATCGATGAATCGGGTGCTTCAACGGCTTCGTCTGTACATTCGCGTACATCGTCGCTTGGCTACCGCCGACGCCACATAAGGGCGGCGAGCGGTAACACAGAGGCCGAATTCGACACAGCGCTGGACGCTGCTATCGAAGCTGCATATGACGACGGTTATGAGCCCATGGAACCTGAAGATTACGATGACATAGATCCTAGCGAAGATGCCGTCGCAAGTGTAATGCAAAGGGTAGAGAAGGCACGCGAACAAGTTAGACAGACCGAACAGGAAGCGTATGATGAACTAGCGATGCTACGACAGGCACAGCAGCAGAACCAACAGCAGTTCCAAGAAGAGGAGGATAAATATACCCCAGACGGATTCTACGAGGATAATTCTTCTGAAGATGAAGAGAGGCTGCTAGACGAGATAACCCGCGACTTCGCAATCGAAGACTTTACCATGGCACAGCCGCAGTCGAATAACGCAACGATATCGGCCAGCCAGCAGGAAGCATGGAATGAAGACGAGACACGGCCAGACTTTATATCAGGTGTTCGGTCATTTTCTGCTCTATCTCAAAGACCACCCATCCCCCAAGCATCAACCATGATGCAACCAGCAGCACCACCTCCAACTACAACATTACCAGAGCTACCGAAAGGCTCTGCTTCTCCATCCCAAGGCGTGCAGAATCGCAAAACGTATGGGCAAAATCCAAAGCAGCTAAAGATTGAAACCTCGAATCTCGGGCAGTCAAATACCAGAACGGTGTATGACGACGAAGAGATATCCCCAAGCACGGTAGACAGGGACCTAGTAGAGGCGCTGGTCCGAGGAGCCAGTGCACACCCTGCAAAACAACTGAATGCGGCAGAAAACGAGTCAAAGATTCCCGGATCACCAGGTACCAGGAGAAGGCTGGCGGAAGGAGAAGATGGGGCTGCTGCCAGTGGGTCGCCATCCATTCACAGATTGAAGAAGAACTTTTCATCTTCTAGCTTACGAAGCATGAAGAATCGAAATATGTCAGTGTCACATCTTGACGATAGCTCTGACGTATCTCCCGGCACCCCCATGGGCAATCCCTTTGGCAAGGCGCCTGCTGTGCCTGCGCTGCCGACGCCTCTAATCACTTCATTCAGGGACAATATGGAGGCCGGCGGCGGCGCTGGGCTCCATCTGTTTGACGACAATTTTCATGTGGCGGCCACTCCCGGTCCTCAGAGTCCAGTTTTCTCAACGGAAGTTCCTGCGCCTCTGGAGCCTTGCCCCAATGACTTTATGCTGCGACCGTTTTGGTTGATGCGGTGTCTCTACCAAACACTGGTGCACCCCAAGGGTGGCTACGTCAGCACGAAGCTATTTGTACCGCGGGATGTCTGGCGTGTGAAGGGCGTCAAGATTAAGAACATTGAAGATAAAGTTGCAAACTGCGATTATCTGACTGCGGCGCTGCTGAAGCTGGCCAAGGTTGACACGTTTGATGCGGATGCTGTGCTGGAAGAAATGCAATCCCTCGAGAACGTTCTTGAACAGGTCCAGTCGTCCCTGGCCCGGAAGCTCGGAAGCGAGGTTGGAGTTCAGGGCTCGGGCAATATCTTTAAAGATGCCTCCATGGACGGAGAGGGAGGCTCAAATGTACCACGTTCGGGTAGTGTATCTGGGAAAGCATCCGCGTTTTCATGGCGAAGACTTCGACCGAAGACGTCGGGCGTTGGGCTGGGTGGGTCATATAGCAACCGCAATGCTAGTATGGAAGTCAAGGAGGCAACAACGCTGGCGACTCTCCCCATGACGCCGAAGCCGACGAGCCGTCCGACCAAACGAGATGTCAGCCAGGCTCAGTTTATTGGCCCCAATGCAATGTATATGGGCTCGCTAGCCCGTTTATTTGATGCTGCGCAAGCAATTGGTAAGTTCTAGCGATATTATGCTCACACTCTTGTCTCTTTATGAGATACAAAAATCAGATAGACTAACATGGAAGATGTAGATCAAATCGCAAGACAAGTCGAAGACCCCGGTCTGCGACATGCAGACAAAACCCAAGTCGGCCTGGAGCTTTGTACACGCCACGCGGCCGAATTCTTTGGCTTCTACATCTGTCGGTTTGTTCTCGCCGATCTTGGCCTACTACTAGACAAATTCCTCAAGAGAGGAAGCGAATGGGTTCTTACATAAGAGTGGAAAGAGGAGGAGTTGCAAGAGTTGCTGTGTTTTATACAATGTGATACCTTACGATCAAGAGACGGAAATAATTAATCTGGAACTTAGAATAATGTTCATGACGATTGGACGATTATATATATATACCTATATATAGTAATGGCACGCTACGTGGGATATTCAGTGCCGATATCAGACGGCGGACGTCGCGTTTAGAAGATGTTTTATGAAGAGAAGTGAGTGAGTGAGTGGGCTGTTTACAATGATTCAGCTATTACAATACTTGCGTGTACATAGATATATATATTCCCTACGGTTGCGGCCATCAGTTATAAGGCAACGGATGAAATTTGAACAAGTAAAATAAACGAAAGAAGAATAAAAAACGACTTGAAGAGAGTATTCTTTTGAGTTGAGATTCCATTTGCCATAGCCATAGTTATCATGCCATTAGCTGATGTTGCCCACCCTAGAGGGGCCGTCATCGCAAGAGCGGAACTAATCCGCCCCAAAGAGGAAAATTCGCCTGGCCTCCACAGCTTAGAGACGCTCCAACCCTCAACCTCTGCAGCTTTGCGCCAAACCACAGCGACATCGCACAGTCGTTGCTCGATGCAAGCGCTGTCGATTCCCAGATGAGCCTGGCTGGGAGAGCTGGACGAGCCTGGACTCGACAATGGCTGACGCCGCCGCGGAGCCAGGCGCTCGGCTGGACGAGCAGCTTTAATGGCAGCAGCTATAACAGCAGCAGCAGCATCTTCAATAGGCGGCTGCCGGTCCCTTGCTGCTCCTCCAGTCGATATCGCGGGCTTGCCTCACAGGCTAAACTGACTCCTGCACAGCTTGAGGCGCGGATTGCGGCGATTCCGATTGAGCGATATAGAAACTTTTGCATCGTCGCGCACATTGATCATGGCAAGAGCACGCTGAGCGATCGGCTGCTGGAGCTCACGGGGACGATCTCGGCGAGCGATGCGAACAAGCAGATTCTCGTAAGCTATTGATGTACTATTCTTCCGGCAGCATGATAACTGAAATGGTGGACTCTGTTTGTAGGACAAACTCGACGTCGAGCGCGAGCGCGGCATCACGGTCAAGGCCCAGACATGCACCATGATCTACAAGCACAACGGCCTCGACTACCTGCTGCATCTCGTCGATACACCCGGCCATGTTGATTTCCGCGCCGAAGTAACCCGTTCATATGCCAGCTGCGGCGGCGCCTTGCTGCTGATCGACGCCAGCCAAGGAATCCAGGCGCAGACGGTGTCCAACTTCCACCTCGCATTTGCGCAGGACCTGGCGCTGGTGCCCGTCATTAACAAGATTGATATGCCGTCGGCGGATGTGCCCCGTGTTTTGGATCAGATGGAAACGAGCTTCGAATTGGACCCCAAGAAGGCGATTATGGTGAGCGCGAAGACGGGCAAGGGTGTTGGTAATCTTTTACCGGCCGTGGTGGAGGGGATCCCTCACCCTATTGGCGATGAAAGCAAGCCGCTCAAGATGCTCCTGGTTGATTCCTGGTACGACACTTTTAAGGGTGTGGTTCTCCTTGTGAGACTATTCGATGGATCCATCAAGGCTGGCGATAATGTTATATCGTTGGGTACAGGCATGAAGTATACAGTCGGCCAGGTTGGTATTCAGTACCCCAACGCAACACCACAGTCGGTCCTTCGTGCGGGACAAGTCGGATACGTATACTTTAACCCGGGTATGAAGAGGATTCAGGATGCCAAGCTGGGAGATACCTTCACCACGGTTGGCGAGGAGGAGACGGTTGAGCCGTGCCCGGGTTTCGAAGAACCGAAGCCCATGGTGTTCGTTGCCGCTTTTCCTACCGACCAGAGCGACTACCACCGTCTTGCTGATAGTATCAATCAACTCGTACTCAACGATCGCAGCGTGACGCTGCAAAAGGACTTTTCCGAGGCTCTCGGATCGGGATGGCGTCTTGGATTCCTGGGCAGTCTTCACTGCTCCGTCTTTCAGGACCGTCTAAGACAGGAGCACGGCCGTAACATCATCATCACCGAGCCTACTGTGCCCACCAAGATTGTGTACGCCGACGAGACAGAGGAGATTGTGCAGAACCCGGCTTTATTCCCTGACATGAGTGATCATAAAATTAGGTCTGCAACACTATACGAGCCGTGAGTATAAAGAAGGCAATGGCACAAAATACATTTAAAAAGATACTTGACTAACTTTGGTTCGTGTTTGATAGCTTTGTCAAGGCGACAATTACGGTTCCTGAGGAGTACCTCGGCCGAGTCATTGAGCTTTGCGAAGGCAACCGCGGTGAGCAGCAGAGTTTGGAGTTTTTCCATACAGATCAAGTCATCTTGACGTATGACATTCCCGCTTCGCAGCTCGTCGACGATTTATTCGGAAAGCTCAAAGGCGTGTCGTAAGTTCTATCTAGCCCATATCATACTACCGCTGCATGCTATTCGAATCCCAGTATGCTAATCTGGGGGCTATAGAAAGGGCTATGCGACTCTCGACTACGAAGACGCCGGGTGGCGCCAAAGCAAGCTTGTGAAGCTGCAGCTGCTTGTCAACAGACAACCCGTGGATGCCATCTGCCGAGTGGTGCATTCGACGCAGGTAGAACGCCTGGGCCGGCAGTGGGTCACCAAGTTCAAAGAACACGTCGATCGCCAAATGTTTGGTTAGTTATTTCATGCTATGAATCGTGTACCTCGTTGCCAGCTAACCTTTCTCGAAAAGAGGTCGTCATTCAAGCTATTGTGGGCAACAAGGTGATTGCCAGAGAAACTATCAAGCCGTTCCGAAAAGACGTGCTGGCGAAGCTGCATGCCAGTGACATCACTAGACGGAGGAAGCTATTGGAGAAGCAAAAGGAGGGAAGAAAGAGGCTTAGAGCGGTGGGCAATGTGATTATTGACCAGTCGGCGTTTCAGAGCTTCTTGTCAAAATAAAGGTAGCGTTTTTATGTCATGTGTATATATATACGTATGTATATACTCTATGAATCAATATTCAATCAACCGCCTATCATGTAGAATACAAATCTATCAATGCCATCCATCTCTATTCATACAGCTCTATCCATCCATCAGTTCACCTCCTTCTCACCACGACTTCCATTTTCCTCCTCCGCATCATCTGGAAGCTCGCAGCCCACCTCAACCCTCTTCGCCCACGACCACCCCATCCCTCCCTCCAGCGTCGACTGATCCATCTTCAAAGGCACCAACCCCCCATCCGTCCCCTCGTCGTCAAACTCGAAAATCCGATAATCCGCATTGAAATACCACCAGCTCGTCACGGCCGTCCTCAGAAACGCAGAGTGCGTAAACACAAAGATCAGGTCCTCCGGCCGCTGGCGGAGCTTCTCGAGCGCGCGCCGAGCTCGGCCGAGGATGGCGGAGCGGGTGTAGCCAAAGAGGCTGCGGGCCGCGGGGGATGAAGTCTTATCCGGCCACAGGGGGTGGATGGCAGAGAAGTCGAACGCGGGCGAGGCGAATTGGAATTTGGTGTGGTTGTCCTTGAGGAGGGCGAGGAGAGAGGCGGGAGAGCCGGTGTCGCAGGGGTGGTTGGAGTTTTCTAAGTTGTTTTTTGTTGGTGAGATGACGAGGAGTTTTGAAGAGTGCGAGAGTATGTATGTGGGTTGTAAATGCAAAAAAAGAAAAGAAAAAAAAAAGATAATATGATACACAAGTAAGAGACAGTACAAATGATGTCTTTGAAGAAGGCTGTGTGTGTGTCATTGGAAAGATGGTGTAAGTCAAACGTACCCTGCCAATCAGCATCCGCCTCAATCTTGATTCCTCGCTCAACCAGCCAATCGGCCGCCAAGCTCGCCGTCTGCAGCGTCCTCAGCATGGGACTCGCGACAATGGCGATTTTGCCGTCAAACGATGAGAAGCGTTGGGCGAGGTTGTGGCGGAGCTGGGCGCATTGCTGGATGCCGAGGTCGGTGAGGCGAGGGTCGGGGATGGAATGGTCCTGTGGGAAAATGTGCGTATGAGGATGATTGTTTTACTTTACATCAAACGGGGTACTTATTGGCTTCGTTGTGGAGGGCCTGGGCGTGGCGGATGAGGACGATTGTGGGAGGCATGGCTGGTTTTGGCGAGTGCTGAAAAAGGCTGTGGTGTTGATGGATGGATGGATGTAAGTGAAAGTGAGTCAGTCAGTTGCAAGTGAGTGAGTGAGTGAGTGAGCGGTGGATATAGAGTTTGATGCCGATCAGGTAATCAAGATTTAGTTTGCCTAGTGCGGCATCTACGAATCTATTTTTATCCGTTACGCGGTTTGCCGTTGCTTTTGGACCCGAGCAGCAAAAGATTGTCTTCATCCCCCGTGAAGCAATTTGATGTCGTTTGTTGATGTCGCTCACGGGAAATAAATTGTACCAGGCAGGTACCTGTGAAATTCCGTGCTGTTGCGTCTTCAATGTGCCTCCTCGTACCCGGTACGTACAGCCTACAGACCAGTCCACTTTGATGACGGGCTTTAGCGGCAGCACCCGCATACTGCAATAGTCTTCTAAGTCGATCCTTTTGAGATTTTTTCAACTTCAGGGTCAATGCTAATGAGCTGATAGAGGGTTGTTGTTTAGAAAATCTCGGATATGTCCATTTACAGCCATCGTACGGGAGTTCTTTTCTGCTATTTTGGTAGCTTGGTTTGACTGTCTGTTATGCTCCAAATGATATACAAGAGATGTAACGAGGCATGTTGCCTTTAAGGATTATTAGGGTTCTGAACTGTGCTGTTGATTGTATAAGCCATATTAGTATGTATACGGCCGAAGGATGGCCTTTTAAACAGACATTTACAGTCAACCATTGACAGGGTGACCTGCGCATCATTCAATCTTCCCACTGCATTTAGAGTTATACCAGGAACCCCAAGAGGTCGCTTGAACTTTAGGGCTCGCTATAATTTGTACCTTATACACGTCAATGCTGCCATTTCAACATACCTCTTCCCATTTGGTAAAATAAAATACAGCAATCCATCTTGATGATTGAGCTTTAAAAAGCGGCAGCACCTGTATATGATTCAGCTTTCTACGTCACTCATCCCCTTTCTCAGTATCCCACCGCTTTCTCCATCATCACTTATCGAACCGCCAGACTTTTAACCACTATTAAACATGTACCAAGTCTATTCAGCGGCCAGATCCCAACTAAAATGGATGAGGCGCCATAAACGGGTCCTGGTGGGAAATCGTTACGCGTCCCATGTGAGAGGTAGCGTTGGTTTATTAGATTTATTAGATAGGGACTGGGGGTTTTATGTTGAACAAGGAAATACTAGTCCGATGTACCTGCATGGATCACATAGAGTATATACATATAAGAGGTTCTGCCTCCACATTTGTTGAATAGATAGCTGGCATCTTTCACTATGCTCGTTACCCATTATTCTCGGCTCAACAATTTCCACTCTCGTATATAATCACTTGCCTAGCCTGGACTATTGCCCCTTATGAAACCTCATCTGTTTCTTCCATCTCCTCTACCAGCTATACTGCTTCCACTGCCTCTACCATACGGAGCCGCATCTACTTGGCCCAGTCCGTGTAAGTCAGCAGAATAGGAAACCGAGAAAACCACCCAGCAACACATGATGTCTTTCCTTCCAATCATCCAAGCTGCCCTTCTCGCAGTTGCAGTCACAGCTGCAACCGCACCCACGTCAAACTCAACAAGCCCAATCCAAGAACCCGATTGGGCCTCCATTATCCCAAGCCGTGAACTCGAGTACCACGACTGCTACAACGGCCTCAAGTGTGCTCGTCTCTCTGTCCCCCTTGACTGGCGCAACGCCAGCGACAACCGCCTCACACACATCGCCATGGTAAAGCTGCCTGCCGCCGTCCCAGACGACGACGCCACCTTTGGCGGCACCGTCATCATCAACCCAGGAGGCCCAGGACTCTCCGGCGTCAGCTATCTCGTCGAAAGAGGCGCCAACGTCCAAAAGCTGCTCGTCGACATCCCCGACACCCGCCACTACGAGGTCGTCTCGTTCGATCCGCGGGGCATCGGCAGGACAACCCCAACGGTAAACTGCTTCCGTTCAAACGAACTCACCCGCATGGCGTGGACTCTGGAAAACCATGCCAAGGGCCCGCTGAGCTCTGGGCCAGTCATCAGCTACGGTCTTGGGCTCTGGAGATTCCACTATTCGCGCTGCCAGCAAGAGGACAGCATGAGGGGCCCCGACGAGGAGGCACTGAAGTTTGTCAACACCCCGAGCGTGGCCCGCGACATGGTGGAGATTGTCGACAAGATTGACGAGCTGAGGAAGCGTGAGGCAGCCAAACGGCAGAAGCCTTCACAGAAGAAGCCCGCGGACACGAACCCGACAGTTGCGCGGATCCAGTACATCGGATGGTCGTACGGCAGCATCCTGGGCAACTACTTTGCGTCCATGTTCCCCGGGCGAGTCGGACGCATGGTTCTCGACGGCGTCATGGATCCCAGAGACTACGCCACCGGTTCTGTAAGTCAAAAAGTCCACCATCGCTTTTTACCGCTTCTGCAACTTCACTTACCCAAGAAAAGAAAAAAACCGCTGTCTCTAACCAATAGCATGTAGGGCTGGGTCTCCAACACCCAAGACACAGACAAACTGCTCGAGGAGTTCTGGAAGACCTGCTACGTCGCCGGCGCCCGCCTCTGCCCCTTTTACAAGACAGACAATGATTGGAAAGCGGCTCAGCAGCGCTTCTACAAATGGGTAGCCCACCTCGACGACTATCCCGCGGCCACAAAGTCGCCCTCGGGCGGACTATTGGCTCTCAGAGGGGAGGATGTACGCCGCATCGTCGCCAACGCCCTGTACAGCCCTCTTCAGCATTTCCGACCCCTCGCGCTGGCGCTCTACGAAGGGATGAAGGGCAACCCGACGCGGCTGTTCAAATGGACCGATGCAGAGATCCCAAAGATCGAAGATGCTCGTCGCGGCGCGCAAAACGTCTCGACCACGCCGGCAGTCAAGGAGGAGCAGGTCATGGCCGTTCTCTGCACCGACGGCCAGGACATCAGCAGCCGCCAAGTCGCCTGGTGGCAGGAGACCGTCTCTGACCAGCACAAGCAGTCGAAGCTCCTCGGCTATCTCTGGGCGGCGATCCGCTTCTCGTGCTCGGCCTGGCAGCTCCGCCCCAGCTGGGAGTTCCGCGGGCCCTTTCAATCGCCCGCGCACAGCGTCAAGCTCGAGACGGACCGCCCGGCCGCGCCGCTGCTGTTCCTCAGCACAGTGCTCGATCCCGTGACGCCGCTCAGGGTCGCCAAGCTGGCGGCCAGGAGCCACGTCGGGTCCGTCGTCGTGACGCAGAAGAGCCTGGGCCACACGGCCTGGGGCAGCGCGCCGAGCAAGTGCACGTGGAAGATTGTCTCCAAGTATCTACTCACGGGCGTTATGCCTGAGACGGGGACGGTGTGCGAGGAGGACTGCGGGCCGTGGGACGAGAAGTGCAATGCGTTTGAGGTGGCGCAGAAGTTTGACGTTGATGAAAGGGCGTGGAGGGCCATGTTTGATGCGAAAGAGCCGTCTCGACTTAGACAGGTGCCCCTTGGATTGGAGTAAAAGGGTCGACTTCACTTATTTGTTATACATTTACTAAGCAGCATGTTTATTTAATCACTAAATGATACCCGTACTTAAACTATAATAACACATAATAAAATGATATATTCTTCACAATCATTTTACATACAAGCAACCTCAGCTAATAGGCAAGTGAAGGGTACTGAGTAACAGAACCAAGGTGTTTGATATTCATGTATATAAAACCACCCTGGCAAGATTCAAATAAATTTCCACTTTTTTTCAATTTCTAGTTTGGTTATACATATCTATTAACTATGTCCAGATGCAAATCCAAATCAAGCATTGGCATACTGCTTGTTGAACGCCCGTCCAATAACCATCCTTCTAATCTCTGAAGTACCGGCTCCAATCTCATACAGCTTGGCACTATAACACACAAAAGTTAGATCAAATCAATTTATCACAGTAAACGTCAAAAGGAACTTACTCTCTTAGCAATCGAGAAGCGGGCATCTCCTCCATGTAGCCCATACCACCCAACAGCTGGATAGAGTCGAGCGCAACCTCCGTCGCCCTCTCAGCCGCGTACAGAATAGCTCCAGCGCAGTCCTCGGTGCGAATCACGCCCTGCTCGTCAACCTGGCGAGCAGTGTTGTAAGTGTAGGCGCGCGAGGCCTGCAGCTTGGTGTACATGTCGGCCAGACGGCCCTGGACCAGCTGGTTGTGGGCAATTGGCTGGCCAAACTGCTTGCGCTGGTGGCTGTAGGGCAGGGCAACATCCAGAGCAGCCTGCATGAGACCCAGGGGCCCGGCGCTGAGAACCAGGCGCTCCAGATCGAGACCCTCCATCAGCACGCGAACACCGCCGTTGAGCTTGCCGAGGATGTTCTCGGTGGGCACGAAGACGTTCTCAAACATGAGCTCGCCCGTGTTGGAGCCGCGCATGCCCATCTTGTCGAGCTTGCGCGCGCACGAGAAGCCCTCGGCCGTGGTATCGACCAGGAAGGCGGTGATGCCCTTGGATCCCTTCTCGGGCTCCGTCTTGGCATAGACGACAATGACGTTGGCGTCGGGTCCGTTGGTGATCCACATCTTGGAGCCGTTGAGGACGTAGCCGCCGTCAACGGGCTTGGCCGTGGTCCTCATGCTGACGACATCAGAGCCAGAGCCAGACTCGGACATGGCCAGGGCACCGACGCTGGTGCCGGCGATGAGGCCCGGCAGATACTTGGCCTTTTGCTCGGCATTGCCATTCAGCGAGATCTGGTTGACGCACAGCTGCGAGTGCGCGGCGTAGCTCAGGCCAATCGATCCAGAAGCGCGCGAGATCTCCTCGAGCACAATGCAGTGCGCCTGGTAGCCCATTCCAAGACCGCCGTAGTCCTCGTCCGCCGTCACGCCGAGGAAGCCAGCCTCGCCGAGCTTCGCCCACATCTCAGCCGGGAAGGCATTTGTCTTGTCGGTGCGCGCGGCGAGCTCTTCGGGGATCTCGCGGCGGGTGAAGTCGTGGACGCGTTCGCGCAGCTCGTCGAGCTCTTCGTGCGAGGGCGGAGCAAAGCCCTTGGGATGTTTCTGGGAGTGCAGGCGCTTCTGGCTGCAGATGGAGGATGAGAGGAGTGATGGTCGGTGGAGCGAAGCTGACGGTGATGACCGCGCGGGGCGGGCGAGTCTGGAAAAGGTCCTGAGGCTGGACATGGTGGGCGGTGCTGGTGATGTGGATAAGATGATATGAGGGCAAGGTAAGGTATAGATGGTGTTGCGACGCTGCAATGTACGTCACTGGTGTAGATCGATCTAAGATCTATGCTTATACAACAGTGGGGGAGAGGCACAATGAGGGGAACAAGAGATGCAATGGTCAATGGGAGAAATAAAGAAAAAAAAAAAAGACAAAGATCTGAAGATGTAAATTGAGAATAGAAAGAAAAAGGAGAAGAAAAAGCGTGACAGGTCAGAAATCGACAGAAAAAGAGAAATTCAGGATTAGAAAAACCCCAACTAAACTGCTTTGTGCCGTTCCCCAGAGCCCGTCTTGCAATGGGGAAAAAAAATAGCTGCACTAAGCCGAGGTGCCTCCCCCCTGCTTGCAGCCAACTTCCACCAACCGCTGGGCCAAACGGCCTGTCGGGCACTTCGGCCACTACAGGCTTTAGAGCCGTCGCTCCCCAGCTTTTGCTCGGCTCAGCGCGGCTTGTGGCGGCCCGGGCGAGCTGTGCTGTGAACAGCCGAACAGGGCAAACTGACGTACTTTGAGCCTCGAGGCTGCTCGGCTGAGCTGAGGGAACAGAGCATCGCCATTTATTTTGTGCGTGGTGTTGATATTCTCTGTTTTTTTTACTTCATTTTCATTTTTTCATTTTTCTTTTTCATTTTTTGTGCTGCAGCTTCTCTCACACAAACCACCAATTGGGCCCTTCCTCACCATGTCTCTCTCACGGCCGTCTCGCCAGGCCCTGCGCCTGTCCCGCCAGCTCCAGCTTCGCCCCTCAATATCATCAACAAGAACATGCTCAACACCGTCGTCGTCGTCGTCACCAGCATCGCGGCTCGCCCGCCGCTCAGCAGCGACCCTCACCCCTCCGCACCAGGCCGGCGCAATCTCCCGCCTGCCCACAAACGTCGACCCTTCGTCGCCAGAGTTCAAGGACAATGAGGCCCAGATGGCCGACATCACCGCCCGGCTGCAGAGCCTCACAAAGACCATCCAGCAGGGCGGCTCGCAAAAAGCCCGCGACAAGCACATTGCGCGCAACAAGATGCTGCCGCGCGACCGCGTCGCCGCGCTGATTGATCCGGGCACCACCTTTCTCGAGCTGTCGCCAATGGCCGGCTACGAGCTGTACCCGGAGGCGGAGGTGCCCGCCGGAGGCATCATCACGGGCGTGGGCGTCGTCGAGGGCGTCACCTGCGTCATTGTCGCCAACGACAGCACCGTCAAGGGCGGCACGTACTACCCCATCACCGTCAAGAAGCACCTGCGCGCCCAGGCCGTGGCGCAGGAGAACAAGCTGCCGTGAGTTTTCTCATCTCAATTCATCATCATGTACAATACAAGACTAACATGAGCATCATCAGCTGCATCTACCTCGTCGACAGCGGCGGCGCCAACCTCCCCCACCAGGCCGACGTCTTCCCAGACCAGAACCACTTCGGCCGCATCTTCTACAACCAGGCGCGCATGTCCTCCCAGGGCATCCCCCAGATCGCCGTCGTCATGGGCCCCTGCACCGCCGGCGGCGCCTACGTGCCCGCCATGAGCGACGAGAGCATCATCGTCCAGGAGCAGGGCCACATCTTCCTGGCCGGCCCGCCCCTCGTCAAGGCCGCCACCGGCGAGGTCGTCAGCCACGAGGACCTCGGCGGCGGCAAGATGCACTCGTCCGTCTCGGGCGTCACCGACTACCTCGCCGTCGACGACGCCCACGCAATCACCCTCGCCCGCCGCAGCATCGCCAACCTCAACTGGCCCAAGCAGGCCGCCGCCACCATCCCCCCCGCAGAGACCTTTGCCGAGCCGCTCTACGACCCCAACGAGCTGCTCGGCATCGCCACCACCAACCTGCGCAAGCCCATGCCCGTGCGCGAGATCATCGCCCGCATCGTCGACGGCTCAGAGTTTGCCGAGTTCAAGCGCGACTTTGGCACCACCCTCGTCACGGGCTTCGCCTCCATCTACGGCCAAAAGGTCGGCATCGTCGCCAACGACGGCATCCTCTTCGCCTCGTCCTCCGTCAAGGGCGCCCACTTCATCGAGCTCTGTGCCCAGCGCGGCATTCCCCTCGTCTTCCTGCAGAACATCTCCGGCTTCATGGTCGGCTCCGCCTCTGAGCGCGACGGCATCGCCAAGCACGGCGCCAAGCTCGTCACCGCCGTCGCCTGCGCCGATGTGCCCAAGTTCACCGTCGTCGTCGGCGGCAGCTACGGCGCTGGCAACTACGGCATGTGTGGCCGTGCTTATTCGCCTCGCTTCCTGTGGATGTGGCCCAATGCTCGTGTTGGTGTCATGGGTGGTGAGCAATTGGCTGCCGTCATGGAGACGGTTGGCAAGTCAGTCGATCCTGAGCTCAAGGATCGCATTGAGCGCGAGAGCGAGGCTACCTACTCTTCAGCGCGTCTTTGGGTAAGTCGTGAATACCTATATACCTATATACCTGTGCTGAACATGAACTAACCGTGGTAATTTGATAGGACGACGGTATCATCCCTCCCCAGCACACTCGCCACTACCTTGGCCTCGGACTGAGAGCCGCCATGGGTGGCCGCAACGAGGTCAAGGCCGGAGACACCAAGTTTGGTGTCTTTAGAATGTAAAAACCCAACCAAGAAAGATATTAAGAAACAAAAAAAAAAAAAGGAGATATAAAAGAGATAATAAAGAGGAGCAGAAAAAAATGATTTTAAACATGCAACATGCAAGGACTTGGTGTGTCATATGGTATGGTATGGTATCCCTTTTTCAGAATTAGACATCTATGTACATTTCACCACTAGCTACACACATAATCATTGATTGCTCGCTTGACTACTTTCCATCCGAAATACTCGTAGCAGCTCAACGACGAACTGCAGTGATATTTGATATCAGTTAATCTACTCTGCCTCTGATGAAAACGCCTGCGCTAATCTCCTCTTCCACCTTTCTCGCATTTGTAAATGCACATGAAAAAAAAAATGGAAATATGAGAAAGAAAGGAAAAGAAAAAAAAAGAAGAAGAGAAAAAGTCTCAGAAAAGAAAAAGAGAGTCCATGACATGCTTATACAAGATTTCCCAACCGTATCGCCCTTTTTTTATACCTCTTACGTCTCGTCTCATTGTCGCAAATACCCTCCTCCCTCTTCCAGTTTCAACTAGTATATTAAATGTGGTATCCCAGGTTTGTACAAAGGGGGGTGGCGCCACCCCTCATCTGCAGCCATATAGTCTTCGACCTTCTTTATGTGCATGAATCAAAGAGTTGGCTGAATGTGATGTTGTGCTGAGAGCTGATTGAGTATCATCTCTTCAGAAGCCGAAAAGGAGGCCACGTTTTGACGTTTTCTTGCCTCCCACCGGCCCTTGGCCAATGTCGACCGTGGCATCCACTAGGTCAACCGTTCTGTTCCCTCCGATTGAGATGCTAGATGCCTGTTGGACTGTCACCACGGAGCCGTACTTTGTAATTGCTTGAGAAGCCTGGGTGAAAAACTGTTGGAGCTGAGTCTGCGCTGTGTTGGCAGCCTCGATACTATCTTCTTGGAGCACGTACAGCACAGCTGTGCGAGCAAAGTCGAGGACTTGTTGCGTCACAGTGAACATGGAAGTCTGTTCGGGTGAAGAAGAAGAGCTCGAGGATGAGGGGCTGCTTCTTCGAACTCGTGATGGCACTTGGCCCTCAACAGCTCTCAAGTCTCGGGATGTAAGGTCGGGCGTTGGCCCAGAGTCCTTGGCAGTTGCGTCTTGAGCATTATCAGAAGTACTCTGAACTTGCGCATTGGCTACGCCTGTTCTCGTTGACTGGCCATCAAACGTAACAAGAGCGTTCTGTGCGATGCAAGAAAGGTTTCCCGTGTTAAACCTGGCCAGGATTTCTGTCCCCAAGAGGGGAATAGAAAAGTTCTTGCCCGAATCAGCAATGATGCGTGGTATAGCCATACCGAGTGTGACGTTGTTGATGTGGGCAGAGCCGTCCGTGGGAATCAAGTTTGTTGTCGTGCAGCCCGATGAACCGTTCGTGCCACAGTTGGCTCCCGTGAACCCGTTGGTGCAGATGCACGAGCACGTACCATTAATAACGACACCACTGCCGCCATTCAGGCACGGCAGAGACTTTGCGCAAGATTGCAGGTTGACTGTCGTTGATTTGTTGGCGCTATTGCCCAAGTTCTTGAATACAAAATACTCCAAGGGTATAACAATAGCAGTCGCAATGATACAGAGCATTAGGAAGATGATCAGGATGAAGGCCCACACGGGCAAACCGCAGCACCTGCGAGCTTTGGGTTTGGCGTTGGAATTGGCTGGCACCTCCTGGTCGTCGGGGGTCATCATGAATTTCTCACGGCCGGTGTAGGTTCCTCCCGGCACCGAAGGCCAGGCATTCGTGGGTCGGTGAGTGTGTACAGGAGTTTGCACCGGGGGAGGGAAAGCGGCCAGCATATCCGAGAGGCCCGATTGATAACGATCGTCTAGTTCCCATTCATCAACGGTTAGCGGCAATCCAATATTAACTCTTTACCATAAGGCTCATGACATACCAAAAGAGCGCTTCACTCCACTGCCACTGCTCGCCTTTTCGTTAAAGAAGTCGAGTTCATCGAGGCGACTTGATGGCCGTTTGCCCTTGTCAATCATCGAAGCGAGACGGGTAGCTCGTCGGATCAGATCTGGCAAACTGGTAAGACTTCCTCTCGACTCAGCCTCTCGCACGGCGTCGATATCCAGCCTCGGTGGGCGTCGAATAGCAGAAAGGCGACTGGTTGGCGGGGGGGATCCTGCGGCTCTGCGTAAATCTGCGGGGCTCATCGTGCCGGACTGGCTCAGACGAACCGCTGCGATGTGGTTTACCACGCCGGGAGCGGCCGCTGGAGCCTGCTTATTTGAGAAGGTGTTGGGAGTAGAGTCGGTAGTGAATTCGTCGATGAGGCCTGTTCCGTCATTAAACGGATTGGGAGAAGCCGGCTTCTTTCCCCTAGAGTGTGGACTAGAGAGTGTCTGGAGCGCATATTCGTCTTGGCCGGATACTAACCCACTCTCATCGCTATAGTCTTCTGACCCGGAATTTCTGCTTCTCTCCGTTAACGATTCTTCGTAGAATCCTCCTCCATGAAACCCCGGGCTAGTACCCGCAGATTCAGCTCTCCATGCATCGGGCATAGCTGCGCTCGAAGCGTAAGAATTGTGAGATGTATAGGCCGAATGTTCTTCAGGAATCGGAGAAACAAAAGAGGTTGCAGAGTAAAAGGAAGACTGTCCTCTTCTACTAGAGGGCGGTGGCCCCAGATTTGCGCTTCTCCTTGGACGCTCTGAAGTCTCTGAAACAGGGCTTTCGACTTCTGATGGGCTGGCAGGTTCTCCTGGGACACGGAATATGGGAGTTGGCTGTTGTGGACGAGATTGATCTACCAAGGACGGGACTTGGCTTGGGCGTGGTGGCCTTTGGGGGGCTACTCGAGGTCGATCGGGCGGTGGACGATATGAATCTGCATCCGGGGGGGCTGCTGCATCAGGGCTCTGCAGTGGCCACTGAGGAGCCGGCGACGGTCGTGAGATTGTTGGTGCCATGTTACCATTCTGGCCGTTGGCTGCTCTTGATCTGGTCGAGTTGGGCGGTGATACCTCATCCTGAGGTGGTGTATCGTAACTCGGATTCGGATTGTGTCTCAGCCGCTGCTCACGCCTATTTGACTCGCTGCTGAAGGGAAAGCCAACCTGGGCTCGGTCCCGTGGCCTTTGAGAGGACGGTGGAGATTGTGCCGGCCAATCCCTGCCTCCATTATATGCCTGGCTCATTTGGAATGTCGTCGAGTCTAGCTACAAACCATCCGGGGTAACAGTGCTTTGGGTAGCTGTCGACATCCAACGAGGGCGACAGTCTGGCCTGAGACGTGTAAACAGGTTTCTGCCTGTAGCGGAACTAGCTGAAACCAACTTGGTTGCACTGATCGAAGTGAAACCTGTTGCGAACTGGTTGGATGGAAGTTGAAACGTTTGAAACGAACAAAGAGATAAAAAGCATTGAGAAAGAGAAAAAAAAAAAGGGCCAGAAGTCGTGCTATCAGCTCTACAGGCTTTATCAAGCAGATCCGTATTCAGAGAGATAAATGAACGAGTGAAGTCTATTGACAAGTGAGGTTAGATATGAGCAGAGCTATTTACTGATACAAGTCTCAAAAGGCGGGAGAGATGAGAAGCAGGCGTATTTGCGATGAGCCGGTGTGCTATGAACAGTCTGAGCGTCGACAAAGATGCGAAGAAAGACATCGAGCAGTTTCAAAGATTTTGCATGAAACGCATGAAATCGAAAGATGTCTTCCGAATAAGATAGATCGGACGATATGTAGAGGCCTAGAGCAAAGTGGGAGGCAGGTAGACGTGGACGATGAGCAAAACCTACCTTTGAGGAACGAGACGGCGTATTCACCTGGAACCGAATCTGGCACAAGGGCAAAGAGGGAGAAATCAAGAAACGAAATGTGAAAAAGAAAAGAAAAAAGAAAAAATGATAAAAAATTGAATTAAGGAAAGCGGGGAAATGAATAGGTTAGCAGCAGCAGCGACTAGCAGCTGGTGATGGGGGGGAGAAAGGAAGAAAGAGTGAAGGTTAACGCAAGCGAGAAAAAGACAAAACTGGGGGGAGAGATGAGAGATGAGATGATGGAGGAGAGGATTTCTGGCGAGCGAGGCGGCCAGGATTCGAGGGATTTGGCTGCTGCGGGCCTCTCGGAAGCGCTGCCTTGCCTGTGGCTTGTCGTTTGTCGGACGATGCGGCCCAGCCTGATGGTTCTGACGGCCAGCGAAGAATCACAGCAATGCAGAGGCAGAAGAGGAGGCGGACGAGAGAGAGGAGAAGGACGAGGGCCATGCGGTTTGCGGTGCCGGGAGCCATGCCTTGCATGTACAGGTACAGGTACAGGCACAGGCACAGGGGTGGTTAGTGGGCACCTTGCCTGGAGCCAGGTCCTGTTCCTGGCTGTGGGGAGGTCGCTTCGCCGGGCCATGGGCTGCCCTGGGCTCCGGCTGCTGTAACGAGCTGCGGCATGCGGCGCTGGTACCGGTACGGGCGAGTGGTGCAGCACAATGCCGTATATGGGTGCAGCAGGGATATCCAAGGAAAGAGGAAACCCACCAGCAAATTGAAGCTTGAAGAGCATCATGCGCAACCAGTTGAATCGAGCATCCGGCCAATCAATTTCCGCAAAGCACGGGCATGTATTAGTGACGCATGGTTGACATGCACGTCAGTGGTGTCTGAGACAGGTCAGATAATACGAATAGTAGGAATATATTGGATGAATGAAGTGCTATTTAGAATGTAGAAGAGCTATTATTGTTACAGTAATACTTACATTAGTATTTACTTGCAACAATAGACAAATGAGGAAAAGAGATTGATGGCATTAATCCTCCAAGCCACAGTACCACAGGGCCAGGCACAGGTACCGGTACCGCAGCTAGAAGCACATCATAGTGCCAACATCAAGTCCCCTGTGCCAGCTAGTCTCCGTGTTGGACCCCCTGGAGAGCCACTCTCAAAGCAAAACACTAGCGCCAATTGTTCCTGCAGGTGGCCCGTTCGCAGCACATTTGCCCAGCCCTTTTCATTCGCCCAAATCACACTGTTAAAAGCTCCAGCGTATCATCAACCCGCGCCATTCAGACTCGAGCGCTGGCCATCTCTTCGTATCCATTTGTCCTTGACAAAGCTTGTTGCGTTCTTTTTTCCTTTCTCTTTAAATGGCTAGACGATGCACACCAGTCACACCTGCATGCATCCGCCCTCACGTGGATTCCAGCAGTAGCTATCGCTTCTATTTAATTACCACCCAAGGGCCAACATGTGCCTAACAAAGTATCAAGTGCTGCTATCCAGCTCAGCTGCAAGCCACAACTCAAAATAGTTCGATGCCCAGCGCGCGCTATTTGTCCACTTACACGTCCCTTGAGCCTTGAGCATCTGGAGAGCGTGCCCAGCCGTAGCATCGTCGGCCCTTTCTCGAGCACGTTCCACCTCGCTCCGTCTTGGATATGTTGGATCCCATTCACGGATCTCATTCCGATCCACATGGTTTCCTCTAGCTGGTAAGGCCAGTGCCACAGCTATTATTAGCCCCGATACTACAGCACAGCTTTCGTTTCTCATGCCTCTCTCTTGTATTCTTCCTTTATTTCTCTTACGTGGGATAGAGCCTCCCCAAGGAATTTTGGCAGCAGGATCTGTAACAGCCTGATCCCGTCATCGTGCCTTGATACCGCCACTGATGAAACAGACGCTCACATTCAAGGCTGTCATATAAGAATAGAATACGGGCTGATGATTTGTAAACAGCCCCCTCGATGTATCCTCGACTCTTTTCTCGCACGGTACGCGATGCCTTCACGCCAGGGCCTTCAGCAGGCCCCAGCCTAATCTGCGTTGTAGCCCATGAGAAGCTGGTCATTGATTCACATACAATGTGCGAATGTCTCAGACACGCATCAATAGCGGGGCCCTGCAGCCGGCGACTAGTGTCCGATTCACATCATATCAAGGCATTGCTTGCGACCCCAAGACAGATTAAAAAGGACAAAAAGTAATCTTCAAAAAAAAAAAGCATCTCAAAACTCGATTCATTCTTCACAATTGTGGCATGATGTGATACTCACATCCACCCTCTGCAACCTCCTCAGCGGCAATCTGTCCCAAACAGCCCGGCAAAAAAGGAAAAACTCCCCGCATCCCTGCCTCTCATCACACCAGCACTCGCCGCCAAGAAAGATCCACTCATTTGCTCCCCTACATATAGAGAATAAAACAAGGGACTGCGCCGCTTCAAACCCTTGACCCTTGCTCATCTCAACCAAGGACGGGAAAAAAGAGAGGTAAAAAAAAAAGCTCATCGGGGGTTGGTTGCGTATGCGTATCCACGCACTCAGAAGCCCCGGCGGCTTACCCTATTTCGTCGCATACCCAATACTGTAGCCGCCTCACACGAAACAGTTTTGGTTCTGGCTATATACGGGGCGACTGTTTGATAACCCCGTGGTTCGTATATGCTTACTTTCAAAAGGTGTGACATTTGTTTTTTTGGTCGTGGAAACATTGTTCTTTTCCATGGCGGTCGGCCAGTTCACAGCATCCATTTATAGTACTTTGATTGATAGATAACTCGTACGGCTATGTATAATTTAGCACGTTGAACCAAGCACAGCCATTGATCACCCTCTAAATCTCCAGAGTCTGCATGCAAGATTTCTTTTTTCTTTTCTTTTTTTTTTTTTTTTTTTTTTTTTTTTTTTTTTTTTTTGGTTCTATTTTTTCCGCATCGTCGATAGGCGACGGTTCCATATTCGATGCCCCAAAGCTCGGCTCTCTCTGAGCTCTTGGCTCTATGTATTGGCAAAAAGCGCCCCGCATTTAGCAAAAGTCGTATCTATTGCCCCAGCAATCAATCTCCAGCACCCTAACCTGGATACATATTATGTCTTCCATGCGTTGATTATTTCATTCTTTGCTTTCTACAGCTTCCCCCCTCATCATTATTGTAGCTGTTCATCATGGCTGGAAAAACACCTGCTCCATCGGCTTCCACCACGATGGCGTCCCGGCCTCCGAGCTCACAGCTCCCTCAACCAAGCTCTCCTGCATGCTGTCCGTCATCTTCCACCACTCGCGCACCTTGGGATTGCCCGCCATCTTCTCCATATCCCCAGCGTAGTCGTAACCAATATACCTAAACGTAGCAAAGAGCAAACCCAGGCTGTCGTCATAGAAGATGCTATCTGCCCCCATTGAATAAGCCAAAAAAAAAACCCGTATAAGAGCGTAAGAGAGAGTCCCGTGTAGTAAGCTTACAGTCTTCTATCCCGCAGTCCTTGATCTGCTTGAGAACCTCGGGCCAGACCTTGGCATGGCAGGCCTTGTATTCGTCCACCCGGTCTTTCTTGAGCCTGATGACCTGGCCAAACCAGCGACCCGGGTTTTTCTGCTTCATCGACAATGTCCTGGCATGGCCGTGAGGAGCAGTTGGCGCAGGCTCTTCCGAAGTTGGCGAAGTTGGCTGCCACATGTTTTTTCTTTTCTTTTCTTTTCAACTGCTTCAATGCAAAGGAAGAGCTTGAAAAGTTTCAGCTCAAAGAGAAGAGCAGGCTGACGAAGAGAAAGAGAGAGATAGCACGACAAAGGAGAGAGAGATGACAGTCAGCCGACCAGCTGATGTCGCCTGCGGAACCGGATATGCAGGGCTGCGATGAGGGGCAAGAAATACGCTGTGGGGAAGCACAACGTGTCTCGCAACCCCGCAGACCCAAAGAATGAGTGTGCTTTTCCAAGGATTATACATTGTTATGTTGACGTTGATGACTGCTGCGCTTATAGAATCCCCATCGACGTGCGATGCGGCTAGCCCGGTTCAGGTAGAGGAAAGTGAGTTGTCCGTACACTATTTGCTGTTCCCCCTCGCAGATCCGAGGGTCCCCCGCATATCCAGTATGGGGATACAGGTACCTTAGCAGAGACAAGCTGCCTCCGAGACATCCATGAGAAAGCAATGGCTCCAATCCAGCAACTCCACGTAATATTTTCCAGCTCTTGGGCAACGGTGCACAAAGACACACGTTGAGGTCATACCAACTGCATGTATGTGCTTGAGATACTAGTGACCTGACGAATGAGCATAAGTGATAGATTGCCAACACGACATCTAGCTACTAGGTGCCTAATAGGTATATGCAATAAGCACATATTTAGACATGCCCTTAATCTCATTCTCCTTTAGTTGGAGAAAAAAAACCAACAACCATGCCCCCACCGGACCCTTCATCTGGCGTCTTTGATTTACATAATTAAGCGACGGGTGAAGTTGCAAATCTCCAAAAATGTTTTATCCAGGTTAGCGCACAGCTTATTAGCACATAGCTCAACCAACACCCAGCAAAACTAGAGCAAAGGAGATGCATTTCTCCTCTTTTTTTTTTTTTTTTTTTTTTAATTATTCTTCCGGTATCTCCTTCGACCGATGAATAGAAAACAGCAGCTTTCACACTACATTTGTGCACTACTTGCAGAATAAAAACGGAGCATGATACCCGCCACAGTGGGCAGAGTGGACTCGCGCACAAGATGCTCCAGTCCGCATCTCCCCACACGGGATCAGCCCCCCGGATCAGGGCCCCACGCGGCTTGCAGGCCCGGAGGATCAAATGGATTGATGGAGAATCGGAGGTTGATTTGGATAGAGAATATAGGGATGATGGCGCAACTTACGTGCGTGCGTGTAGTCAGACAAAAACATCACAAAACTAAAAGACAAAGTCTACTGATGTCATACCACCTCATCTCAAAGCAATATACGGAGGAACGAGACTGATTTACAAAGAAAAAAAAAGTTGTAGCATTCAACTAATAACAAAAAGTATGCTATTTCACATTTGCATATTTGATTTCCCATAACGCCCTTCGACTCCCCTGACTTGTTGAATCAATTTAGTAGTAGTAGTACAGCAAGGCCATTTGCTCTCTCTCTGTTTGGCCATAGAATCATTCTGTACATCTTTTCTCTCACTGAGCAGGACAAAAAGAAAAGAAAACAGAAACGCTTGAATCTTTTTCATCTTGTCTTCAATGGTAGTGCTGGTGGTTTATTTGCCCACCTATTCGTCGTTCAGCTACGTCATAGCAGGTATATAGTAACGCAAGGAAATTAACATAGGAAAAAAAGATTTTCAAGCAAAAAATTTCTGCTTCTTCATTTGTCGGCAAGTTCTGCCTGGTAGGCGGGAGCTGGAGTAGAGTCTTGGGCCTCCTCAGCCTCCATCAAGCCCCTCTTCTCCTCATCAGCAGCGGGGAAGTGGGAAGAGTTGCGTCGGTGGTGAGGGCACCATGATCGGCGCTGAGATCCACCACGGACAAACATGCTGATACGGTAGACGACGCTGCAGAGGAACATGGCGAGGCTATCACAGAGGTCAGTAAAGAACAGACAAGTACTTGTCAAACGATATAGGGCAACGTACAATGCAACACCGACACCGGCAGTGATGCCCATCAGGACGGGCAGGACAATGTGTGAGGCGACATTCCTGACAAGGCGGCGCCAGTCGCGCTGCGAGTTCCAGTCCTCAAACTCGTGGTGGTGAGGTCTCTCGTGATGGTGAGGCTTGTCATGGTGGTGGTGAGGGTGAGGGTGAGGAGGAGGAGGGTGAGGAGGGCGGCCGGCCTCTGCGTGTTCGTGCTCGGGGCCATGAGGAGGCTTTCGATGGCAGCCGCCGAAACCTTTGAGTGCTGACTTGGCACGGCACCACATGGTGGTGCAGGGCATCTCAGGCGCGGCCATGAGCTGCATATCGGAAATGACAATGTCGCCAGTGACGGCCTTGATCAGGCCAACCTTGACCACGGGAATATCGTCGATAAATCGGTGGCCGACCTCGATGACCCTCAGCTTGACGTCCACCAGTTCCAGCTGCTGCTCCTCGTCCTTGGCCCTGGGCAGAACCGAGAGGCTGTATCCCAGAGTGCGCTCCGTGGCGCTTCCGCTCGCTCGCACGACATCGGCAGTCAGATCACCACGCCACGGGTCGGCGTGGGGATACAGCTCAAAGCCATTGACCATCAATCTTGATCCATCCTCCACGGCAAAGTCGAGCTTCAGATGCGTGTCTCTGCCACGGCACTGTCTGCAGGGAACGTCGAGGCTCTGTCCGAACGCTTCGGCAGGTAGCTGGAAGGTCTCGGGCTCGACGGGAAGGGACTTGAAGATGTTTTCGTCCTTTTCGGATATCTCGGGAACGATGGCGAAGGCCGTGGCCGCAGCCGCCAGGGCAAGCTGCTTGAAAAGCATGGCGACGTATATCGGGGTTTTGCGATGCACAAACGAACAGTTATGGACAAAACACAGGCTGCGGTTCTATCGAGGGCTGTCGCAGTGGGTTTAATTAAGATGCAAAGAGCAGAATCAGACTGGAGCTCGGAAGGGAGGGCGGATGGTGATGTGGGTGGCAACGCCTGCTGTAAAAAGGTGTGACGACGCCCTGTCATTGGCCGTGCGGGATTGGCACCCTCCGATTGTCCGACAACCCCAGCTTACGAAATCGAGCAGGGATCGGTGTTGCGTGATTGGGGAGCAGCGACGGCGACTACGTCAGCTCTCCCAGGGCCAAGAGGGCACTGATGCAGCTGCAGGAGCCGCATATCCGAACGGCTCAGCAGGTCAGGCCCCCCTGGCAAAACCACGTCGATACGCTCTCTGCTGGTACGAGTACGAAGCGTTTGAGGAGGGCATAGCCTGCAAATTAGTAATTGAGGATGCCTGGCTGCCTGGCACTGGTGCTCGTACGGTGTCACGTTCCCAAACCAGACAGCAGCACAGCTTGTACACGATGCCGCATTCCGTTTAACCCGGTGCTGTCATTCTCTGCTGGACCTCGCATAGTATTACGTACTTCAGACCATTACTGCAGGTAGCTCATTGGAGTAGTACTGTAAGTCTGCAAGTAGCACGAGCGCTATGGAGTCGATAGAATCAATAGCAGTATCAAGTTTCCGCTAATGAGCTGCCACTTAGCGAGTAGTGCCCTGAAAATCTGCAGCACATACCTGCTAGTCTGCTCTGCACATGATACGAAAAAAATTAGCTCCATATTAGCTGTTTTCCCACTTATAGGAAATGCTTTTGTGAGCGAGCATGTACATACATACATGCAGTTACTCCACAGAATACGAAGCAGACATCGTAACGCATCCTATTCTTATGCCTCTTTTTACACATCTTCCACTGCCTTTTCCGTGCATACACGAGGTGGCATTACGGCTCATACTGTAGAAATGCCTCCGCCAGAAATACAAGCGGCTGCAAACCCGCTCTCTCTCCGCAATACCCCTGTGCTAGAAAGGCTCTCATACCGGCGCCCGCCTAGTGCTTGGCTAATTAAAACAGATGCCCCTGGATCGCATGCAATACCGGCCTTGTGTTCAATAAGGTGCCATACGCGTAATGCCGGTGGAGCTGCAATGACACGAGCACAGACAGGCGCAGAATTAAAACAGCGGAAGCGGTCATTTCAGATGGTTTGCAGCGTATAAGCAGGCTCAGTCTCGCAGGCTCACCATTTAGAGGTTCCGTTTCCTGTACAGGCATGGTTACAGTTGCAGAAAACACAAGGCTGGTATATGAACCGCCATGGCATTAAAACCATCAGTAATTATTACCGACACGATATATCAGAACCTACAACAAGATCCACGAGTCGCCATCTATCATGGCTCTCCTAAGATTGCAATGCCATGCCATTCCATGCCCCTTTTCCATAAAAAAAAAACCCTTTAGTTTTTAATGACTCAACCTTGAAAATTTCCCATTAAAAATAAAAGGAAAGAAAGGGGAAAAAAAGAGAAGCAAATATGATTAGTCTTCCAACAATCCCATGTATCAAATCAACCCAAGTCACCCCCTTCGTGAAATCCAACAGGATTATAGAGTAATGCAACCAAGGCACAGTCAGACTTCTTCAAAAAAAGAACACTCCAAAGTCGGCTCTCCTTTTCGACATCACTCTTCTCCTTCACCTTGCTCGTCTTCATCAACGGGCTTCTTGAAGAGCGCCCTGAGGCCATGTACAGCCGTCTTGCCCCAGTCGACGAGGACGCTTCTGCTACCCAGGATGCCATCGCCCAGCCCTGTCACATTTTGGTGACGGTGCAGCGGCGAGCCTGCTCCCCATGGGAAATTTGGGTTGCGCGGCATCGTCTCTTCTGATGGGACTGTTACCGTGGGTACGGGATAGGAAAAGCCCTTGGAGCGGGACTCATGGTTCTTTGCGGTGGTCGAGGTCTCAAATGTCGTTGGGAGCGGATATGAGTAAGAATCTAGTGCAAGAATCATCGTGTTAGCTTATAAAGAAAGATTATTTCTTGTGAGGGCACTTACTGGTTCGAGTATAAGCAGCTGTTGCGTTGCCATATGTGCCATTCGCTGTGCTTGTGGTGTTGCAGGTCGACGTATACAACGGGGTATGGCGAAGCGAAGACTCTGGCGCACCTGTTGTCAACGGCACAGCCCAGCATCGAGTGAGTGTCGTGTTTCCGCTGGGGAAGCGGGTACAAGTTGTCGTGCTGTCACTGATGTTGGAATATGGGTATACCCACGAATGAGTGCAGGGAGGAGTTGCAGTGGTGCTGTTCGAGTAGAGAGTTGTGACGATTACACTGCCCGTGTGGCTGGACCCATGCGCAGTCGTGACGGTGGTGGTATTTGTCCATTGTGGCCTAGTGGTAGTTATTGATCCAGAGAGTGTTTCGATAGAAGTTGTGGCTACCTGGGTTGCGTTGCCATTCGTGTGCGTTTCAGATGATGACGACGATGGCGAGATGACAGTACCGGAAAGTGCTGATGATCCTGTTGACCATGGCAGTGTTTTAGTAATGGTACTTTCAGCAACCGTTGCGTTAGACTTTGGAGTAGACGCGGAAGATGTCAGGGTCAGCGTCGAAACAGTGACTGTGACCATCTGAGTCGTTGTCGTAGTAGATGCAGCCGGACCAGTTGAAGAAGACGGTGCCCGAGTGCTGTTAGTCCAAATGGGCCCGCTGCTAGATGCTGACGATAGGGTGCCGGTGCCGGATGATACTGCCGACGTCGTCCACGGAAGAGCTGATCCGGTTGTCAAAATCACCGTCGTCCCATTTTGAGTGACGGTGGTGACTGTAACATTGCTTGCTGGAGATGTGCTAGGTGAGCTAGAGCTGGTTGTAGATCCTTTCGATCCTGTTGTCAACCAAGAGGTGAATACAGTGGTTTTTACGGTTGTCTTGCTGGTAACAGTAGAGGAAATGATAACCGGGCTAACAACGCCGCTGCTGGAGCTAGCTGCAGTTCCAGACGACAGAGTCAAAGAGGTTGTGGTCCGAGATGTGTTTGTCCAAGACGAGGAAGATGTAGTCAAGTTCGATTCAGATCCACTCCATCTGGTGGTAGAGGAATTGGTAAAAGGAGGGGTGGCGCTCCAAGAACTGAGTGGAACCGAGCTTGCTGTGCCAGTCAAAGCGCCGCCTGTATTGGTTTTGGTAATGGTAATGGGAATGATTGACGAACCCCCAGCTGGAGCAGTGGTAGTTATCCAAATGGTAGATAGATTGAAAGAGTTTGTAAAAGACCATGTCAAGCTTCCGCCACTGATGCTAATACCTGATGTTGATGTTGGAGATGGTCTGGAAGTTGAGTTTGTTGCAGGCAGAGGACTGAGAGTGATAGTAACAACACTGGCAGTTGTTGAGCCTGTGCCACTCGGACTGATAATTGTTCCTGATAGAGTCTCAGTAAGGTTGCGAGTCGTGGGGAACGGGGGACTACTGGAGCCTGGCGTCTTTGTCGGCTGGCTCGTCCAGGAGAGCCAAGTCGTGTTGAAAAGCGTAACTGACGGACGCGATGTTCCATGGGTCCCAGACTGAGTAAAGTTCCAGGTGAAGGGAAGAGAATGGCTGGAGATTATTGATCGAGAGACTGAAACTGTTGGTGCGCTGTTCCAGGATGTTGAGGTCACGGCCTGCCCAGACGATGAAGTCGTATTGCTGAATGGCGGTTTGCCCAAGGTAGCTGATCCAGACCCTGTGGCACTAGTCCAGACTGTGGTAGTCACAAACTGCCCAGACGACAGCGAAGACGAGGTCGTATTAGTAAATGGGGGCTGACTACTGGCCAGGGTCTTGGTTATAGTTCCATTGGAACTTGCTGATGGGGACTTGACTGTTGTCGAGGCAGCAGAATTGCCAGAAGTCGCCACTTCACCCGTAGTAACAGTAATGACCACCACGGTATTAGCAGGGTTAGAAGCCGTCGAGTTAGCAGAGCCTTGACCCGAGATAGTAGAGGTGATGGTTCGGACGCCTGTTTGCCCTGAGGTAGTAGTTGTCGTATTCCAGGGAAGCTGGGATCCTGGCGTGGATACGAGGCTGGTAGCAGCTAAAGTCGTATTGACAACCCCTGAGCTCCATGGCCTGGCAGTCGAAACAGACGGTGCCGTTAATGTCAGTGTTTGGACAATAGTGGTGGAGTTTTGAGTCCAGGCAGAAGTAATAACTGAAAGCTGATTACTTGTTCGTGTCGCGGTCCCAGTCACGGTAGACGTTGAGTTGACCCATGATGTGGACCTGCTCCATGTTCCTGTTGAAGACGACTGGATTTCGCTAGAGGGCGTCAAACTAGAATGGCCAGTGCCAATTAGGCGAGAGGAGGACTGCGAGGTAACCACAACAGTGCCATTCGTCTGTGAAGTCGAGGTAACTGAAAAAACGACAGTACCATTATTGAGTTGCGATGTTGGTGCAGTCACAGGCACAGATGTAACAGACGCTGTTGTCCCAGATGATCTTGGCGAGGTTGATGTAGCAGACCAGATTGTTGTCACGTTTGACTGAGCCACTGTAGCACTAGAGGTGGTGCTCAGAGTAACCGAGGTCTGATTGCCCGTAATTGACAAAGTAAAAGTGCTTGATTGGGCGGTGGATGCCGACCGTGATACGGTACCTGATAAAGTCAGAGTTGACAACAACGTAGCCTCGGTGGTGGTAATTGATGAGATTCCTGTCCCACTACCAGTCGAAGGGCTCACAGTAGCAGTAGCCACAGACGAGTTTGTGAATCGATAGGTCGAAGTAGCAACTGATGGGATGCTTGACGACGACCACCCGCTGATAAGAGAGGACGAGATGTTTGACAAGGTCCCTGTCGAGAAAGACGAGGTAGTACTGGCCGCTGCTTCAGAGACTGTGATTACGATGGCAGTTCCATTAACAGTGCTCGTGATACCATGGCCCGATGCTGTGGTACCAGAAGGTCTGCTAATCACAGAGGTTTGCGTCAGATTTGTACCCGTGGCTGCTGAAGAGCTAGAAGATAATGTCTCAGAAGCAGATGAACCAGAGGCGCCGGTCGAAAAGGTTGCATTTCCAGACGCAGAAGTCGACGAAGTCAATTGGGTGGAAGACTCAGATAATGGCCTCGTCAGCGTCACTCCAATTGTGGTTAAAGTGACGGTACGTATGGTTCCATTCTCAGTCAACTGGCTAGAGGAAAACTGTCCTGTCGACTCGCTCGAGGGTGGAGCTGTAGAGTTGAACCATCCTGTTATAGTGGATACAATGGTAGGTCCAGAAGTTGAAGAGCTCGTCGTGGAAGTAGATATAGGATGAATGGTGCCGGATTCCCCTTCAGTAAAGGACCTAGTCGACTCTATGGAAGCGGTCGACGTTGAAGTCGAATGAACAGTTGCATTCTCGGTCAACTGACTAGACGATAAGCTTCCACTTGACGTGGTAGAGGGTGACGAGGCTGAGTTGGACCATCCTGTCGTGGTAGTCACAGAAGCAGACCCAGACGATGAAGAGCCTTTGGTAGAGCTGGAAGAAGATACGGACCGGACGGTACCTGATTCTTCCTCAGTCGAAGATCTGGTCGACACACTAGACGCCGACGATGTGCTTAGGGAAGATGTCGCTTCAGATGAAAACGAGTATCCCTCGTGACTAGATTCCACTTGTACAGTTTTTGCTGTAACGAATGTGGTAGAAGCTAACGATACAGTAATCGTTTGCGTTGTTAGGCCAAACGAAGACTCTATGACTGATGAAGCCTCAGCCGTTGCCGATGAATGGCCCTTGTCGGAAGTAGACGATGCAGTCACTGTTCCTGCCAAAGTAGAGGATCTATTTCCAGAAGATGTCTTGCTACCGGTTGGATGAGTGATGGAAACAGTCTCTGTCTTAGTGGTCACATTGGAAATAGTGCCTGTAGACGATGCAGCAGGAGGGGTAGGGTCTAGATATATGTTAGTTCATGACATATATGCAAAAAGAACCAGATCATATACTCACAGACGCCAGATTTGGTAGTCGAGGTAACAGAAGAAGTTTCTTCTCCATAGGGAGGAGGATAGTAACCATAATCACTCGGTTCACCATAGTTGGCAGCACGAGGGGCCAAGACCTGGAAATGGCCTGCATCAATATCGCTGCCATAATCCTCGGCACCAAGACGGTGCACTTCAAGCTGGGCCATAGTTGTAGAAATTCCAGCTAGAAGCGTAACCACCGCTGGCAAAAGGCCAGCAGACAATACCGACGCTCTCATTGTGTGGTGGGGATAGGATGCTATTCACTGTTAGAAACAATAAGCGGTGCTCGTCAAGAAGTTCTCACATTTTTCCCAACAATGAATATGGACAGAGTAGAGATGCCTGATGATAAGGTATTGACAGCGTAGACAATAGAGAAACGCAAATACTGGATTGAGGTGCGACGGAGATTCAAAGGCGCAAAGAGGTTAACGAACGAAGTTGTTGAGTGAAGAAGACTGCAGTTCCTCCAAGTTGCGATGGGGAGCAGAAGAAGAAAAAGAAGCGAGAGAAGAAGGGAGCGCGTAACTGCGCGTTATAGAAGAGAAACAACGCGAGCGAGCAAAACTGTTCGCAGCTGGCAACCCACAAGTGAGAGAAAAGTGAACGAGGAAGAGAGGAGGGCAGCTCAGATGTCCAGGTACACCTGGCCGGGACTGGCCAATAAATGGGATAATTGCACTACCAGCTGCCAGCATGTAGGAAGATACGCAGCTCTCTCCTTTCTCTTCAAACAATTTCAAACCATTCCCACCAGCCATGACCACACCTGGATGGCTGCCAGCTGGTCACACATCCCAGCTGAGATGGACTGTGCTGAGCCTCTCTTCCCGGCTAATTCCCTCCCGAAAACCCATACTACTGAATTGAACAAGGCTGTGTGGTTACAAGGAACTATCCCGAGTCCTCTCCGATGCTTCGCGAGACTATGTCTCGGTCATACTGCTGATAAGGGTAGCCCGGCGTTGTGGGCGTTTGTCGTATCAGATTGACGACGATGGAAAAACCGACAGGGCTCCCCGCTCCGGATACGGCCGCCAATTGATGCTCTCCTATTCGCCATGATCAGACTCGGCAAGTGTACAGCTAGATGCTGCAGCTGCTGCAGAAGCAAGCTTGGGGTACACTGAGATCCGGGGCAAGCTGATATGGCCCGTTATCTAGATCTCGCACCCTCCCATGCAAGGTTGTAAAACGCCACGATCCAACCGTTTTGTGCGACGGATCGAGGTCAATGCAGCCGTGCCGAAGACGGACGCGTTGGAGGCCACTCTTTGACGAAAAAGCGTTGACGATATCGTCACAGGATATGAGACTGTTGGTTAACAAGGGTTAGTCTTCGCACGCTGTTTCACCACGCTTCTAGCCTTTTGTAAGTTTCCAAGCATCATTACAAAATTTATTGCCCATGTCACATCGAGCATGAAGAGGTCGACATATATTAAAGTACCTCCCCTCTGATTCCGTTGGCCAACGTCTGGCTCTGGTGAACACTTCACACTGGAGCATGGTTATACACGGACTTGAGCTGCACCGTTATCGCCTACCATTGGACACAAAAGAGTTGCTCGTAGTATAGATGTAGGGGAAGACGGACCAGCAATGCCGTGAGAGCTCCATGGGAAACACAAGAGATCCATGCTGATTATACCGATCCTGTGTTGAAGACGTGTCCGTATCGTCGGATATTAGATGCCCTTCCATCAGTTTCTTGTTTGGCCGAATAATGCACCCGGATATTTCGTGAGATGCCTCCTGGACTCGGTCGTTTACCTTCCCGCCATCTCCCTCGCACACGCCTTCTCGCCTTCTCGCATAATGACAGGACGCCTTGTGCCCTCATAGCAATGAGGCTGTGCCACCTCAAGAGCCTAGCTGCAGGTATAGACGAGTGTAACATCCGAGAGCAAATCCACGGAGGAAGAGAGGACCAGAGCTGGACCCCATTAAATATTTGCTTCATCTCCCCTGTTCAGCTATGCCTTCCGTGTTTCAACTTAATTTAGACGGCGATGAGCTTAGCTGCACATGGAAGTAGCTTGTTGGATGCCGACACAGCTTGAGGAAAATTCAAGAGCAAGGGCAAAAGAACCTCCGTCTAGTAAGACACTTATTAGTATGCATCAGGATAAGACAGTATGAGGCGAGATCCCCTGAGTTGTCACCATAGAAGAGGTACAGTCTTGGTTGAAAATATCCGTGGGACTGGTGCTAATGAGGATTTGTCTCATAAAAAACCGAAATCTAGTCGCTTCAATTTACAAGCTAATCATCTACGTTGCCAGGTTCAGCCCCGTCAAGGAGTACGGGTGTTCCCGAAATATCCATAAATAGAAGATCCTGCCGCGTTTCAATCGTGACTAGAAAATAAACAAAGCTAACTGATTGCGCGATAGCAAACATCGTAATGACCCCTGTTCCGTGAGCTTGGTTGTTCATTGGCATCATCTTTGCAAAGTCCTAATCGGCCGGGGGATGAAACATAGCTCACTCAAAGCTATCGGCTGCAGCTTGTCTTAGCTTTGGAGCAGTTTCTTTAACCATGGGGTTATTTTGTGACTCGATATCAGCAGCCCAAAGAGCAGCACCGACTAGATAAGTCAGTATTGAGAAAATGAATTAAAGAAGTATTCATACCGGTATTTGTGTAGGAGAAGAACACAGACACCACGGGGATCATCTCCAGAAGGGTGGCGACAACACCAAAGCTGTGTGACAATTGAGTGATTAGAAATGGCTTTCGCTTGACAGGGTAGGATGGTGTGTATAAAACATACGACGCATAGGCACCACTATGGGTATGGATCCATTGTGCCCTCTGTGAATCAGACCAGTTCTTGAGCTGGAAATACTTTGAGTCTGTTAGTACATGGCCTATGTTAGTAGCGCTCTGTAGAGAAGACGTACTCGGCTGTGTACAATGTTCCCTCTATGTTTTCCTGTTTCTGGTATTAGCAAAGAATTTATCATGGACTCAAGATATTGGCTCACTGACCATGGAGAAAAATAAAAGCTGCGGTGCCCACGACAGGGATGAAGTTTAGAGGCAGATACATGACATATCGAATCATGGCCGTGAGACTCAATTTCTCAAATCGCTTCTTAAATACCTTTCCAAGCTTCTTCATAGGGTCACTACCAGCATGGACTTCTCGGCCTTGCTGGACGACGGCCGTGGCGTTTCTGGCAACCAGTGTGCCATCAAAAGTGTCCATGAGAGATTCTTGGAGCAGCCAGGTGCGAGATATCATGTGAATGATGATGGAACTTTCATTCAGCGTGAGGAGGACTGTCGAGTACACTGCTAATGGGCCGTTGAAAAGCGCCATGACAGCGAGCTGAGGAAGGTAGGTAATGACAAACATGGCGCCAATCACAGAGGCTGTGAGCGTGCCATAAGGAACAACTCGGTCGAGCAACGGCTGCCATAAGCTGCGGTGGGCGATGAAGTAAAAGATGCCCTATTGTGTTGACGGCTGGGTCAGTGGCTATCGGGAATGAACCGTGATAATGCATAAGGTATTGTTTGTATTGCACCTTTATGGGATAGAGATATGCCCGGCTCTGGACGGCGTCGGTGGCCATTGCCCTCGCCTTGCCATAATCCTCCGTGCTAGCAGCCATCAGCATTACAGCCTCTCACTCCGATCATGGCATTGCACACTTACAGAGCATTTTCGGCCCTCCTGCTGATCGAATCGACGACGCGATTCCGCAGCTTGTGGTCAGATTCAGGCATTGAGCTGTCACGCTAGCGCTAGGATATCCCGTTTTGGGGGACGCTTTCTAAAAAAAATCCCGAGATCTGGCAAGATCTTGATTCTGGCCGAAAACCGGAGATGCAATGGAATTCTGATGCTGTATGGCCTAAACGCAGATTATCTCGCCAACTGGAGCTCTCTCGGTTTCGAAGCTTGTTTGGATGAGGGAGAGCTCTTGCTTCGGCTGAGGTAATATTCCCAAACCGCAATAGTGTCGTCATTGGTATGCGCATGTGGGGCCTACCTCAGGCCCCAACTCTCTCTCACTAGCAATGTGAAGCTAATTCCTACACTGTCTTCCTCAATTTGCACCGATTCAACCACTTCCGTCCAACCGCTTGTTAGGATCCTTGCCAGATATTTGGCTCCCACCAATGACCAGTATGCGCTTGTAGAATGACAAAGAAGCCAAATCGCGCGGCTCCGACTTAGAATGCGGCCGCCGAGGTGCCACACGGCAGAGTCAGGCCGCCCAAAGTGAGTCGATCTCCAACTCCAGGGACATATCTTGAATAACAAGCAAGATTAGCGAAGCAATAGCTGCCGTCTCCAGCTTTAAAACTGGCTACCGTGCATTCCATTGACCGCATGGAGATGCTCCGGCACTAAGCCTCGGCCTTGGATTGCAGAAGTCATGGCAGAGGAGCACATACCAAATGGCCAACCACTGCGGTCCTTGGGACAATGAGTTTCTGGAGCTGATTAAGGTTTCCTTGGAGCACGTTCTCAAGACGACGCCTCCTCAGCCTACTTATGGAGTTCACGATATGTTTGGTGATACACAGGAGGCCCAACCAGCCACGTCTACTTATTTTTTTCGACTGGCGGACCTTTATCTCATGTCCAGGTTGCAGGCCACTGTCTGATGCACTGGACAAGGCAGTATCTTGAAGGCGACAGAGGCGAAGTCAACATCACCACCCGAGTGGGAATCAACAGCAAGAAATTAGCCCGTGACGCGCTCACAGCCTGCCTGAGCAAAGACGAGGATGATGTGACAGCCTTCCTGTCCAAAATGCCGATTGTGCTTGGCCCTTATCCAGACTCGGAAAAGGATCTATTTGGATCAGAATTCTGGGAAGGCAGAGCTGGCACGCTCTACTTTTTGTGGCTGATTGCGCCACTATATCCCGCAAAGCGCCGTTCTTCTCGAAGATCCCACTGCTCAGGTATCTGAAAAGATTCTCTCGGATAGCATCGACCAGGACGAGAGGGGGTGGATGTTCTATGATCTGGAACTGACTGGCTCTGGTCACGGCGCTATTGGAATCACCACGCAGCTGGTTGTGGCTACGCCTTCTCTGGCACTGAGGCTAAAGACCAAGCTTCGTGCTGTACTCGATCTCCAGGTGGATGGTGACTGGCCCAGTAATATTGCGTCTGCTGGATACGACAATCCATTCCTAATGCAGTGGTGCCATGGCGCCTCTAGATTTGTCTTTTCTCTCAAAGCTTTATGGCCCTACTTCCCTGATATGCAAGGCCAAATCGATGTTACCATAGCCAACGCGCAAGAGGCTACTGGAAATATGGACTTATAAGAATGGAACCTAGTCTTTGTCACGGCATCCCCTGCAAATGCACTGTGGGTGTTGTTTCTCCTCTTCTATGTAGTTTTATAATAACATTCTAGTAGGGCGCTACCTCGTGGACCACACAGAAAGCACTTCCTCTCGCTGGTGACGGTCGAAGCCACTGAAGAGGCCAAGCGGCTCGAGCCTGGAGATTTCAGTCGTGCAGATTATGGCCCGGCCATGGCAATTACGTTCAAATACCACTCCAGTGTGGCTTGGACTTGGGCAGTCTGTGAACAGAAGGATCCCTTGATGCTCGTCCAAACAGACATTTGATGTTGGGGAAAAAATTGGTGAGTTGAACAGTCTATGATGAGATTTCGAGTCTAATTAAGATTGGAGTTGGGCTGTACTAAATTGCGGTATGCGCTATATATTGGCATCACTATGAACGAAGTCTTTTTTGATGACTGTTTTCGATATCCGTCGCCGATATCGTCCCAGTATTCGTATTTTCCGTTGCCATTTTCGGTGTATTTAACATGTATTTTACATGTGATGTTTTTGTTGAGATTGATTTAGTATTGTAGGGTTTTTTGCCATGGCTGTTGAACTATCTGCTACTATCAGCCACAGCATTTTATAGTATGCATTTTACCTGGCAAATCGATGTCCAATGGCGAAGTATACAGTAATATGGCTGGTGGTCGTACTTATAACAGGAAATACAGTTTAATTTATGACGCGTGGATTGCGGCTCCCTGTGAGGAGCCACAACCCTGATGAACAGAGAAGATACATGTGGCTTGTTACGAAGTAAGAATTCAGCTAAGCGAATTCATACCGAACAAACTTGTTCCATATATTTACAGTAAATGCAACACGTACAACAAGAGTGACGTCGTCAATCTTAGAATATATTACGCACTAATCGCATCAGTTATCGATTCACATGAAATCGAATCGGTAGCCTTACGTGGAGAGCCTAACCGAAAACGCCTCTATTGTCGCGAACCCGCAACGGTTTGTTCCTTTGACTCTCCCTCTCCCGTTTCTTTGCATGTTATTTCCATGCAACACCCGTAAAAGGTGTCGAGAGATAGCCGCCTGAACTGCAGACGCCTGAGTATAATCTACCTAACCTATGATTCATCCTATGATTCACCCTATAATTCGTCCGAATCCAACCGAAATTCTCAACGACTGTTTTGACGCCATGTCGCAGCAAAAGTTTCTCGAAGCAGAGGTGTGTATGTAGGTGAGAACCACTGCAGAGTAACTGGGCAAAGCAAAATAATTGATTAAATTGAAAAAATAATAAAAAATAAAAATTGAATAAAATGATACAACGTGGTGGACCAATGGGCCATATTACATGCATCAATAGCTTGGAGAACGATTGATATACACCCAATCGTTAATTACACGCGTATCGAATGTTTTCTTACCCATACTTCATCGTCGATATCCGGTCTCGACCACCGGCTGCAGGCACGGTGATGTCACCAATGGCAGTCGCATTGCCGTTATCCGTGGCCCGTAGATAATGGCAGCAGTCAGCCATGCATGATGTGCCCTTTGCCGAGCCATTGCCGACAACCGCCTTCCAATTGCGATAATCTGAAGATTTTTTGTTCATGGGCATCAGCCCTGCATGGAACTAAAACAAAACCAAACAATGTCAAACAAGGTTTTAGGGTCTACTCTTAAACACTGGGCGTCGGTCGTGCCGTCGTGCCTTGGACGCGGAACCCCACCGCCGTCAAAAACTTTGCGAGATTCCGGCTCGGCAAGAGGACGCCCAAGGCTCGGAGATCCACACGGCTGGCTGAAAGTTGCGGGTGGCCGAGGGACTCGGAGCGTTTTTTGCCACAGTTACCACGTTTGCTACGAAGTTTCTACAAATTGGCTCGCCCTTGTTTTTCACGGTGGAAAGCTTCACTTGTGAGCCTTTTATTGCAGAACAAATTCAAAAACGGTTCCTGCAGGACAAAAGGAGAAGACAAGACTTGTGTCATGACCAGAACTGTCTGGTCCCTACTAAGGCAGGGCTGATGCTATTTTAGCCCAAGAAGGCGACTAAGCTAAGAACTGACATCGGCACTTGCAAGTGGCAAGGGGTCTTTGATGTGAAAGCGGTATCAGACCCACATCCGGATTTGTAACCCGGGCACGGCAAGGCTGTCGGCTGCAGGACGCATCTAACTCGGCAATGCATCATATGAGAAGAGAGAGAGAGAGAGAAGGACAGAGACAGAGACGGAAGACGTACTCGCCTGCATGAGGACCCTGGTATACGTCCCCGGGCAACAAGAACCTGTAACTACACAAACACAATCCATTCATGCAGGATGCGGCCGGTGGTCGGTGCCGAATCGGCGCGTTCTAGAAGCATCAAAAGCTGAGAAGAGCGGAGATAGCAGCAAGCTGAGAGAGGGGTTTTGTTTCGTTGTCGATGCTTCAATGCAAATGAGAATCGACAGACACCCCCCAGCAGAAAAAAGGACGCAAGCACCAGCAAACAATTAAAAAGGCTCACGAGAGCTCTTCTGCATCAAGGGCGTAAAGCCGCGGGCGTTTCCTCCTTCAGGAGCTTCTTCCATCGGAGCAATGGAGAAGGGATCTCAGTCTCAGCGTCTGATTGGACCAGCGAGCAAGCTGCTCTTCCTGGGCCATGGCTGTCGATATATTGGAGACGCAGATATGTCACGCGAGGGCAATTTGGCAAGTTTCCGCGGAGATTCCGCTTATGAATCCGAATTGACCAGTCAGCGTCGTGCTTTGCTTTCCAGAACGCCAGGCCGGGACAGGAATCGGTCAGGAGTGGAGTGCTGCAGTGGAAACAACCAATTAGAACAAAAAGCAGAAAGAAAACTTGAGTGACAAGGACGGACCCGCAATGGAATCGGGGACCCGTCGGCATAGTGGAGACGGAGGAAGCTCGAAGTCGCGAAGGGCCCAAGGGGGGGGACGCTCCCCACGCCGTGGTGGCTTCTAGGGATGTGCCTGGAGCGACGGAGCGCGTCTTGAGGCCGTGCCGGAGTTGAGAGAGCAAGGGGGGGCCAAAGGGGTGGGAAGAAGGATGTGAGCCACGATCGTCGATCAAATCCATGATGTGAAGGGTGGCCTGGACAAACGAGAGAGTGGAGGGGGTGTGTAGAGAATGGATATATTTTTATTTTATTTTTTAATTGTTATTCTGGGTTGTTAAAATATTCAATTGGCGCCGGTTGTGATTATGATTTTTGACAAATCAAAGTCGAGGAATTAAGAATGATGATTTGAAGCAGCAGCTGCATGTATGTCGAATAGCCGCAGCATCACAAACAATGATTCCAGCTGTGCTATCTAGATACACCTAGATTTGTCTTATATAGCAAGATCGTCTCATGCCTTGCCTTGCCTTGCCTTGCCTTGCCTGGCTACTATGGAGACATTTCGGGGATGAGGCTTCACGCTGATTCGATCGTCCATTTTCATCCCCAGGAAATCGCATCATGGCAAAATCTGATTTACAACCCAAACGCTGCCCTTGTCCTTTTCTTCTTCTTCTTGTGATTCCTGTACTCCAGAGATGCGGAATCAACGAGCGAATGGCATTCAAGCCCACACATCAAACTTGGACACCCACGAGCCCAGAGAAAAGAAGATAACATGCGAACCCGGAAGATTGCCTAGCCTCGCGATCTAGAAGACCACTCGCTCCAGCTCTATTACCCCAGAGAAACACGCAAAGAGGTCATGAGAATGAAGAAAAAACGGAACCTCGAGAAGCAGATGACGGGCTTACCAAGAGGTTCTGGCTCTCGGTGACGTAGGTCTGCAAGCCCATTCCGCACAGTTTGGGCCTAGCACCGGAGCTTTCCGTCTGCGTCCTGACTCTCTCTATCTCTCTCTCTCTCTGATATGCTCTCGCTCTCTCTTCACACTGGGCTGTCGCTTCTGACCACTCACGTTGGCCCTGCTGTCCTCGGTAAAGCAAAGCAGGTACGTACTGGCCGTCCGCAGCATACCCGGGTCGGCGACCGATCTCCCGTCCCATCGGAGAGGCTACAAGGCCTGAGCGCGAGGTTCCCAGGGTGTTGCGACCCCCTTTTTAGCTCCAAATTGGAGACGCAAATGACTAGTTTTGCGATCGATGGACATACAGAACCGGTCCATTTTTTTTTTCTTTTCTTGTTTAATTGTTTTATTCTTTTTTATTTTATTTTATTATTTTAGCAATCTTGTCTTGTGCAATACTTACGGCACTCACCACCGTAGATGAAGAACAGAGCAAGACAGACACGCCCCCCCTACCTTGACCAAGACCAAGGCCGCAAGCCTGTAAATCTCGCACCGGGCTAGCCTTGCGCGGGTATCGCTCGCCCTGGCCCTCTCCATCCTGATTCCTCCCAATTCACTCCCCCGCGGAAGTCATTAAGTCCTCGGCGCCGGTAATAGGAGAATATCGACCATGCAGCGTCTCCACGCGCTTTGTTATGGAGCTCTGCCGCGTTTTGTTTCAGGGAAGCTCAACAGCATCGGAGATGTGTAAAGCTGCTAGCAGGCGCTATTATGTACTCAAACGTACGAGCATACTGTAGCAGAGCGGAATTCGCGCATGCAGAGAGTTCTGTAACTAATCACCTGCAGGGCTCAATGCTATTTGCTTTCGAATTAATAGGGTATAGCAGTAGTAACATTTGCTGCCCTTAACTTGTACAATTGACGACCTAAGCGAGGCCGCCATGATATCATCTCGCACCTAAGCAAACGTCTCTTGCGGGCGGCAAAAACGCTTCTAGCGGAATTAGAATCCAGTCATGTCTCTGCTCCCTGCAGCAAGACTTATCCACAGATGGCAATTTTCAACGAACTCTCAGGTGGCTTCAGCCGAGCAGGTTCCGAATAAGCGTCCGCTGTGGGGACCCAGCAAAAATAAGGGTTGCTCTCGATTCTTTCTAGAACGATGGATCGAAGCACATTTGATTCCGTTTCCCTTTTTTCTGCGTCCTTTTTTGCTCGGGTCTCCGTGCACGAGGGCGTGCAATTTTGATAACGGAGCAGTGCATGCAGTGTGAATCACAGTAAATCGTAGTCGAAACCCACTTGCAGGGAGTACGGGGATTAGGATCATGGGACTTGACAAGCTCAAGCTCGAGCCGACGTGATGCGTTTGAGATGCGATTGCGATTTTGCGCTTTTTTTTTTAATTCTTTTTTATTTTTTATCTTTATTTTTTTATTATTATTATTTTTTTTTTTTTAAATTCCTTTCTTTTGATTCCACAGCGCTGGGAACAGGGGGCGTATCGCATACTGCGAGCATATTCCTATTATGGTCGTAGTGCTACGACCTAGTACCTTGGGTAGTGATATAATCATTTATGTGCTATATGTAAGCAACAAAAGCTCAAGGCTGGTAAATCCCAAAAAACAAATGCACACAAGTGGCATAAGAGGTAAAACGGGCCTAGATGCGGCTATTCGCGATTGGTAATCACTAATTGGGCCCGCGGCGTTCACACAAACAATGGGCTTTTGAGTGGGGATTTTTGGCAGGTTTATCAAACACCGCGGGACGCAGCACTCAGCATACCGGGACTGGGTAATAATCAAACAAACAGCCCTATTTAGCATGAATTGGCATCTTCTTTTGGGTTGCGGCATATTCCGCAGAGGACCCCCGTATCACTAAAACAGCAGGCAGTTTGTCGTCTGGACATCACATAGGGATGTACAGGCATTGTATAGATGCATGTGCAAGTATGCCTGCAAAGCAATACCTTGCTTGATGCCCTTTTGAGTCCGTCCTGGGGTGGGGAGAAATGAAAGGGAGGGGAGCACAAGACCACAAAAAAAGAATAAAAAAGAAACAAAGTTTTCCAGAACAATGTTCCCTTTGTCTAGACCCTCACCAACGCGAGTCATCCATCTCCCTTCGTGAACCCGTTATGCAAAGCCAAGACACCAAGCTGAGGCAGCGGACTCCCATGCCACGCATCCAAGCACAGCAGCCATGAGCGAGGTGTGACCCGCCCCCTTCTACGGTAATCGCTCCTCGCTCCGAAAAGGCTATACGGAGACTTTCTTGACTTACCACCGTATGGTACTAGGTAAGGTAGGTAGCTATATGGTTTTTTTTTTTCTGGCTTGTTGGCTCCGTACTGTAGCACTTATAAGCACTTTCCTTACCGAGGTGAGTAAGCCCGACTCGGACTCGGGACTCCACCAGGCGTTTCTTACCCAAAAAAGAAAACAAGCGTCCGTGGAGAAATGTCATCGCGCACAATGCCCGCAAAGCAGGAAGAGCTAGCCGCTCCCCCCCAAGAACAAAAAGGATTGAAAACTGATCGGGAATCGGAGGTAGTTTTTTGGTTTCCACGTCTTTCGGCCCCGACTGCCTGCGCCGATGAACCACGAGGCCCTGGTCCATGTAATCCTAGTTTTGTGTGTATCAACTATAATTAATTAATTAAAAATAAATAATGATAAATAAATAATTGGAAAAGAGAGAGCAAAAAAGGGAATCGGAATTCATGATCCAGGGGCCGCATACGACGACAATAGTGGCTGGGGGTCAACAATGGTGGCTGGCGCATGACGGCATCAACAAAGCACGCAGATACAGGGAGAGATGGCATACATGCATGCCTAGTTAGCAGGTAGTACTATCTACGGTATACAATTGGTTTTGCTGGGCATAACAACAGGGGAAAAGGCATGGAGCGTATCCTTTTCGCCCAAGGCTGTCAACATGTCCACAATTGTGGCAAGCAATCTATCTGTGAAAAGAGACAGCTCACAAGCGGACCCCCCCCCCTCTTGTTCAGCCGCCTTCCCGTTGATATCAATTGCCGGAAGATTCCGCCTTACAGAAGGCTTTGTTTTAGGGGCTGATAGTGATAGGAGGTAGGGGCGTGTTGGTTGTGGTTTTGGCTTGAATCATTCAAATTTAAATTTACATTTTAATATATATATATATATATATATATATATTTATATACACTTGTTGCCCTGCTATTTCCGTATGGAGCCCATGATGTCGATCATTTGGCTCCATCATCTGATCATCTAAGTGCGTAATTCACTCGTAATCCCAATGGCTCTGCCATCTCCATCCATTACAATTAAGCTGCCCGTGAGAAAAACTACCTTGACAATGCGGCTGACCAACATGGCCCGACTACCTATTCACTCTTACTCTCACCAGGACATGAAAACGATTCCAATCTTCAAACAGCCCCTTCTCATTGGTAACTTCCCGGCAAACGAGGTCCCGCAATGACTCTCATTTAAGTTGCGGCAGGCGTATTACTTGAGCTGAGCCGAGTCGAAAAGATGGAGACGGGAATGAGTGAGCAATACATGTATAAGTAAGCCCAAAAACAAGCTCTACTAAGAAGCTTTTTTCTGCGTACCAGTTACCCGTAATTAAGGCTAGACGTCCTTTGCCTTGAGAAAACCCCCGGCTTTATACTATTTATACGGCGTGGCGGCACCAAGGTCAAACTGAATAGTCATCACTGCCTTTGTGCTTTGGAATGCGATATACATGCCTAGAAGTAAGTTAATACTAAGATTTGTGACAGGCAGGTGGCTCCAAAAACGCCACAACAGCAATTGTCATCTTTGTTTCCCCCCTCGCGCTCTTCCTATTTATGCAATTCACAATTCCTGGGCGCGCGCTTAGGGAAAAAAAAAAAAAAACAAACCTTTATGGGCTTGCTGCTAAATCGAATGTCAAACCTTTCATACGAGGAACTGAGCCGAAGTGTCAATGACATCATCAGAGCTTGTCGCTCCAGCGCAGCTGTTGCTGGTATCATGATTGGAGAAGCTGGGGTAAGCATGGGGTAATTGATTAGTAGTAGAATTATTTTGTGTTATTGGTTATCGCCCGAGGCTGAGTTGGCATTATTTATTTTTATTTTTATTTCATTTTATTTTATTTATTCTGTTGAATTTTGTTAAAGTTGCTCTTGGACCCATCCTGCTTAGCAAACCCAACGTTCAGTCAGCGGAGGCGGTAAAACAAGGCGACTTGGACAAATCGTCTAGAAACAATAGCCTATGTACCTACTACTAGAACTAGCAGCTAATATTACTGTAGAACACCAAGCCCAGGCAA